GGGACTTCAGTTAGGGAAGCCATTAAAAGTCCTTAACAAACAAAAATTCCTTAAGACTTAGTGAACTCAACAGTAACAATACAGAATGGGTTGTTTTTACATTACTACATGATGGTGTATCATATTTGTACAGTGTATGTGGGAATATCTATAGATGTTAACATGATACAGTACTTTAATTCTTTATCCAACCCTAATAGAATGGCCAAAGTCTTATTGCAAATCGATAGTGACAAATACACTACTAGCAGTTTGAGTATAAAGATTAGGCCAAAGGAAAATATTTGTATTTCTGCTCACTAAATGTTACAAGGTCAATTATTTTCTTACAATTTTTACCATCAATCTGATGCCGCCGATTTTCTTGAATATTTGACTTAAAATTAAAAAGCAAGGCCCAAAAAGCCCTATTATGCCCAAAAAGGCCCACAAACTGCCCAATTTTTTTCTGGGCCCATCCTAGGGGGTTGGGCCCCCAGATCTACCAGTGTTACTTCATGCTATATTGAAGACACGTCAAAATGCAACCCCCTTCAAGTGACCCTATCAGCAAGATTTAAGTGGTCTCTGTGAAGAGGGTCAGATTGATACTCAAATTTGTGTGTGGATCATACATTTAAAGGACAACTGAAATAGGTTTTCTCAACTTGCAGCTACAAAAATGCGGCTTTCTTCATTGTAAGCCCAATGTAGAGTTCTTGCGATAGCCATTATAAAAGAAATGTTAGATAACTGTTAATGGTTAATAACGTAATTAAATAAACTGATCAATCAGATTGGCCCCCATGTGATTAGTAACGTCATACATAATATAAAGTTTTGGATTATTGGTTCCTTGGTAATCACGGCGTCACAGCAACCATAGTGTTGTTGTGTAAACAAATAACAAAACATCTTTTGGCATTATGGCGTCATGCTTTAATGGACCAAAACTGGCCACATGGGGACCAGTTAGAGATCACGTGGTGGCACAATAACGTCACCATTTCATATCTGCTTTAAACACCACAGTTCAATTTCTAATATTGATAATCTTTAGAATTAAAGTACATGTACATTTCATTATGTGTAGTACATAAAATTCAGGTTTATTTCAGGATGAATTAATTTTAACTAAGAACATAATTTGACTGAATAATTTCTGGATATTTTTATTCAATTTTAGACAGCAGTGCATTGAGTATAAAATTGCATCTATATAAGTTACAGGATTTCCAACCAATGGGTCCTCTACCATTCCAAATACAAGATTTTATCAAATGTTGAATTTATTATCCAAAAGAATGAAGTTCGAGGGGGATATAAAGAAGCTGTCCAGCTGTCCATTCATCCATCCTTTTCATCCATCTGTTTGTCAATAATTCAAAAAACCGATTGATAGATTTGATTCAAATGTTATATGCTGATGCCTTATAGGACCTTACCCTTCGCGCAGAGTCTATTTTTAAACTAGATGTTGAAGCTCTCTTTTGAGAAGCGAAGTCAAACGAATGCAAAGGGTAATAGGATCTATGCTTGAGAAGTAATTTTTTAATATGGCCATGCAATTCAAAATGTCTGCCTTTTTTCGTAAAAAATATAATCTTTGATAACTCAAATACTTGTTGACAGATTTGGTTCAAATTTTATATTTTATTTCCATTTTCCCCCTAAATGTCTGCCAGGTGCAAGGTCCGGCTCTGCCAAGTGAGCACCTTTTGCGGTAAACACCCCATCCACAATGTTATCCAAAGTAGAACACATTCAATGCCCCTAATTAGATGAAATATGAGCTGGGACGAAATATCTCAAAAATCCTAACTTTTGGGCTCTCCTGGATCGGCAAATCAAGCTCATTATATCATGGCATCTCAGGGCTGAGAAGAAATGAGATGTCATGGTTTCATGATGCAGTTACATCAATATTTATAACTATAAATGAAATCACATTATAGAAGAAGAGATTTTCTAGATGGCCACTAAATTTCAAAATAGCTGCCATTTTTGAAAAAAAACATATTTGGTTCAAATTTTATACTGATTATATGCTGATGCCTAGAGATAAAAGAGCTCAACTCGAGAAGATATTTTCAAGATTGCAGCTAAATTTCAAAATGGGCCCTATTTTTCGTAAAAAGGTAATCTTATACTAGCATACTAGCTCTGCTAAAGAAGAAATTTTAAAGGCAGCTGAATTTGGAATTGCCCCCATTTTTCAAAAAAACCTTGGTTCAAATTTTATATCCTTTACCTTAAACTACAATTAAGAGCTACATTCAAGAAGAAATCTTCAGAACAGCCACTGTTTATCAAAACTTGTTCTGTCAGTGGGATATGCTTCTCTTTGGAGTTGCTGTTTTGCAGAAGAGAGTATTCAACAATCATAGATGTATTAAGTGCATTGGTTTTTATAGCAGTACTGGATGGTGTCTAAAAGCTGACAGTTGTGGATTAATGAAGTTAGTTTCGTTAGGGGAATGAGTAAATGACTTAGTTAATCTACAACTATATTTGGACACCATCCCTTTGGCCTAATTTTATTTATATCTACATTTATTTTTTAGAAATGTTAAAATCTCTATATTTTTCAAGAAAAATAGGCATAATATAACAAGGAATGATAATAGATGAAAAAAACTTGATGTTTATATATTACCAGTTGTCCTCAACTTATTAATGATTCAGGTGAAATGCATGTATATTTATTACCTATATAGCAAGGTTGTTGATGGGCTTATTTGAAATTCAATGAAACTATATCTACCAGAACGTTTCATCTAAATACAGGTAGACATGAAAGTGGGATGATGTAAGGTGTGTTGCTTTAATATTAACCAGTCATCATGTTGTTTATATCCTATTGTTTATCTGCTCAGCATGTCATAGTGCCTTGATTATGTCAGCATCATTCTGTCCACACCTGTGAATGAACAAGGGCATAGCTTGGCAAGGCAGCAATTGCCACAACAAAAAATTCCAAAAGCCTATATTCATTCAGATATTTTTCAAATGAAACAGTAAAAAATAGTATTTCACCCTTGTTTGGATATGACCTTATTTTCTATTTGCTAATTTTTTATTATATTACAAGTTATTGATGGGCTTATAAGTGAAGCAGGATTCTTTTGAAAGCCCAGCCCATGAAAGAGTGTAGACCAAGCTCTCTTATACTGGAGTAAGATCAGAATATTGACATAAGGTATTACTTTGGGATGGTTTGGCTGTTATATGTCAGGTAGAACTTGTGAGATAAAGATGTTGATGTTTATAATCAAACATCAGCTATGAGATCCTTGGCTTAAAGCCTCCTCTTTGGTAATCCTGTTAAAGGGCATGAATGGCTGATCTGCTACTTGCTATGTAATTCTAGATAAAGCCCTTGTCTAATAATCTGGACATCAATGTCTACCCAGATACAAGCTTAATGCAATCATAGGCTTGAAGGCTCTTTTCATTTAACAAGTATTGGTATTGCATGTTACTCATATCTAAAGCTATATAATAACCAATGCAAAGATGATCATATTCAGCAATAAGTGCTGCTTTATATTCTGAACATGTTTGAAATATGACTTATGTTGAACTTTTACGTTTATCTCTTAACTACCGTATTCTCTGTAATAAGGGCCCACCCCCTAATAATCGCCCACTCTGCGCTTCTCAAAGCTCAAAGAATATTGAGGAATATTGTCGTTTGTATAAGAAAAAATATCGACATTTAAAAAAAATAAAGGTACCGATAAAAGAGAACTTGTGGTGAAAATGACACATTTTGTAATTCAGTGCATCTTCCCAATACATATTCTATTATTGAGCACTTAAAATCCCCAGTGAGGCTCCACATCATTTTGTATTGTATTTTGTTTACCACCAATGAAGGTGAGCAATACCTCTAGGGTATATCCCGTATATATACGGTCGTAACTTACGTAATTAACCTGGAAGATAGACCCAGAAACCCCTCCTTGAAGGAGCCCTGTGTTCTTTTATGTGCACTTATACATAGACATACAAGTACACACCACAGCCTTTTGTACGAGTTGCGGACCACTCAGTCAAACACCCTGAAGTACTTCACGCAAACAAGCAAATTTACGCATTAGGTAGCAGTTTATTACTACAGTGGTAAAATCATACATGCATGGATTATATTACAGAAACTAACTCTTAAATTCTCTTTTTTTATTTATTATCGCACTTTGAAAAAGTGCTATATTGTCATCGTCTTGTGCTGTTGGGTGGGCGGGCGTGCGGGCGGGCGGCACATAAACCAAATCTTGTCATCAAATTTCCAGGATAACTGCTTACCTGTTCAACTTGAAATTTTTACAGATGCAAGAGCAGACTAGTACCAAGATCTGCTTAGGTTAAGGGCATGCTGGGTAAACTACGTGGTGGCCATTTTGAATTTTTCAACAAATCTTGTCATCAAAACTCCAGGAAAACCACTTATCCGTTCAACTTGAAATTTTTACAGATGCAAAATTGATATTTTGGATTTAAATTTAGGTCAGCTTAATTACAAAAGACCTACTGAGGTCTGAAAAAGTGAAATTTTCAAGGTCGAAGGTCATCAAATTAGGTCACAAACAATGTTATCTAAATTTTCCCAAATTTTAAGACTACAAATAAATTCTTGTCATCAAAATTGCAGGAAAACCGCTAACCTTGTCAACTTGAAATGTTTACAGATGCAAGAGCAGACTAGTGCCAAGGTCTGATTAGGTTTTGGCCATGCTGGGTAAATTGCATGGTGGCCAGTTTGCTCTTCAAAGTGCGATATTTATCACTGTGTGTCTTGTTCCTTTTTATAGGCAGGGAAAAAGGTGGGAAATTATGGGTACTAGATTAGATTAGACTAGTGTGGTTGGATGCCTTAAAAAATAGAATATGACCATGGAAAATTTTGTGACTCCTATGATATTATTATGTATATTGTATATGTTAATGTAACTGCTTTGAAATGTTTTTTCAATGAATAATAAAATAAAATAAAGACTGTTAAATTCTTTGTGTTTCAGGTGATGATGAATAATGCCAATATTAAGAGGGTTGGATTCTGGATCAATGATCTAAAATATAAGAAGCTGGGCTTCGAGAAGTTCAAAACCATATGCTGGTATGTTGAAAAGTTGCAGATGGATTGTACTTAACAGTATAGTTATCCAATAAGGCCAGAGTAAAATGTAAATTGTTTATTCATATCCATTGTATTGATAAGTGATATATATATATAAGTGATATTGTGATTGAGAAAATCTCATCCCTGTTCTCCCTGCCTCTTTTGAACATTGCCTTGAAGAGTCCATGTTTTCGACTACATGTACTAAAATGGAAAAAGTCCCAACCAACTTCAGGGTCTCAAAATTCAACCATGCTTGACACTAATATATTTACACTGGCCTTGTTTGATCACTATTTTATAATCAAGTTTAAATTACTTAGAAATAATAGAATGTATTGTGTTTTAAAAATGGTAAATCATATTTTGAATTAATAATTATAATTGTATAATCGAGTTTTTGCATGTAAATATACCAAATATACATGGTACATGTAAATCATGTTGATATAAAATTTTGAAATATGCACGCATGTTGAAATATATTACAAGTTAGATGCACAATAATCGACATGATGGGCAAATCCATATGGTATATATACCAGTGATTGAATAAGTTAATGAACTTAATAGTTGGAACGGATTCAAATGAGGGAATAGAATGTTTATGTATATGTCAGAATTTGCATTGTGCATATTTATGCAAGTTACATCTAAAATGATAAAATGAGATATTCATATTATATGAATTTCTTGACATTGCCAATGTTATTAATCCTAAAATGATATGATTCATGATTATTATACACTATGTACTCAAAGTGATTGCCAAAACTTTTATCTAAACATATATGAAGTACAGTATTTGAGCTATCAGGTTTAGGATCAACAGATAATATCCCATCAAATAAAGTTTGCCGGGGATATAGAGAATGCCTCCATCTGTTTGTCTATAACAAAGTATGTAATATATGTATGTTAGTCAGGGAGTTATTCATTGAATCACCAACTTTTTTGTGGATAGCTTTCGATGGTTAGTTTTGGTGGATGGCATTCTGCTGTTGGTGTTTGGCAGCTAACAAATGGCAGGTGGTGACAGTTTGCTTGTTAATACCTTGTTTATTTAGTCATTTTCTCAGTTTCTCTAACATGTGGATGTATACATTTTTGATTGTATACATATCTGTTAATATGCTTTGTGATACCCTGATAATTATCTGGAATATTATACCAATAATAGTGTCTTGTAAATCGTTTTATTGTGAATTTTGAAATTGTTTTTGAACAACATTGACACAGGGTTTTTATTATTTTATTGTTGTTATTATTGTTTATGTGTAACACAAGTGCATAACACTATTTTTAAAATCTGTTTACATTTTCATAAAGATGGAATATTGAAAGATTCTGGCCCTATTGAGAAAGACCCTGGCATAACCACTATTATTATACATGTGCAATCTCAATGAACAGTTTTGTTTGATTGTTGTTTCATACACTTATAGTTTAATCATACAGGTTACTATTTACTGTAGTAATTGCAAAAAATGTCATATTCCTAATAATGCATTCATTGCTTTGTATTTGTAGGAACAGTGGCCTGGAGCTTGTGAAGGTAAATACGTATGTTATTGTATTATTATCCCTCTGAACAAGAGGGATATAGATAAGTTGTCCATTTGTCCACTCATTTGTTCATCTGTCCAGGTAGTAACCATACTGTTAAACCAATGTATTCCTTCAGTCACACCTTGTTTATGTAATACCTTGATGGATCAAGATGAGTAGTAACTCAAATAATGATATATTGATTGAGTTCTAATTTAGTAGATTGTTGTCTAATGCCTCAGTCACATTTGATCTACAACAACTGTATGGTGACCATAGTATTCCAAAATCAAGAGAAATATGCAGCATTAAATATTGGAATAAGCTGTACAATGTAGATTTTCTTCATCAATTTTGAGAGTCAAATATGCCTGATGCTTAATGGGCATAGGACCTCTGCTCCGTAAAGAAATTCCAATATGGCCACTCATGGTCAAAATGGTCACCTTAGACCTAGTTATTGATTACCTTAATACCAGTTTTCAGATTAACTTCAAATTGTACAGACTTATGTATTATGGGAATAAAACCTCTGTTTGAGAAAGAATCTGCAATATGACTGCTCAATTAGATAGCAAGAGTTAGTTTCTGATATGTTATCATGTCATGGGTGTTGACTTCGGTTCGTGCTTTGTACGACATTCTGTCTGACTCGTGCTGAATTTCACCATATTGAATGACCATTCTTTATTTATTCCTTAAATAAATGGATACTTACAATGCACCAATCCATTAACCTTATTAGGGCACTTGAAATGAAAAAAACTAGTATTGCTTTGTATTCATTCAATTATTGAATTATTTGTTTAGCCTTCACCTTACATTTTATAAAAACATGTTTACAAGATTGTCCCCTGGTTGCAGGTGGTGACATTTTGCATGTTAGTACAAATGTACCTTTTATTAGCTAGATTCATTAATAGATAGGGGATGAAAGAATTTGAAGCAAAATCTGATTTGCAACTTACTAGATATAGTATGTGTTCTTTACCATTCCAAATATTATAACCCAACAAAGATCCATGATCTCTTACTGAATGGCGAAGGAACATATATTGAACATACACAATATATATTTAGTTTTATGAAGACAGATGTTGCCTTATCATTTTGACTCTTAGACTATGTGTTGACCTTACACATGGTCAGAGACATTTCATTGATCTTCATCTTGACCTCATAGATGTATGTCCTAAAATAAAATTACAAATAAAAATATGCCAAAATCTGCTAGAGTCAGTGTCATTCATGTACTGAATTATCAGCCACTCGGTGCAACCATTTTTCTGACAATCACTAACATGGATGACATTGCTTCCCTTAATAATAATTAAATATATTTATTGAATTGAATTTGATGTTTTCTTTTTAATATTCCAGATTGACTTGGCTAGATCATTGGAGGAACAGGGACCATTTGATGTAATCATACAGAAATTGACAGACACCATATTATATGAAGCTGACCAAGGGGACCCAAAAGCACAGCAGAAAGTCTGTCGATTTCAGGTGGGTCATTGGAATACATACACGATCTGGTACATACCATGACGTAATAGTCTTGTATATAGTTATAGTCTCTGGTAGATAAACTAAGGTGGATCCAAGATTAGGACCATAGATTTGCCAAATTACTTTGCTAAAATCTTATAACAATGTTAATCTGTATTACTGACATTAAGAATTTGAGGATTGCAGACTTCATTTCGATCATCAATCTAGATGACCTTGATTTGATATTGACCTTGATGTGTGACCTTGTGTGAACCATGTCATCAGTGATTTTATCCTTGAGGGTAACTTTATTACAGGAGTACATATGTGACCATCCAGATGTTATTGTAATAGACCCACTCAACAAGACCACACAGCTCAGCAGGAACCGCTATGAGATGTACTCAACTTTACATGACTGCGCCAGTGATATTACCAAATTAGGTATGTATATGTATACTAACTCCGAGACTTGAGAAAAGGAGGTTTTGACCCATGCCTGCATATTGTTTTAGCATGTCTAAAATAACATGACTACAAGTTCAGTTTAGTTCAGTTCAGTTTAGTTCAGTTGGTCCCTCTCTGATGGTGCATCCTATATGTATTTGTTTTACATTGCATGAAAAGTCAGCTAGCCTGTATCTAGGGGGGGGGGGGGCGCTAGGCTGGCTAACATCAACATCTTAAGTCTGCAACCTTAGTCTGTTGAACGTTTTAATACTTCCCCTCTGTGAATAAACGAATCATGGTACTATGATCATCAGAAACCAAACTGTTCACACCAAATAAAAAGTATGTTATAATGTTATCTTATCTTTGGATGTTTTAAAGCACCTTGCAGGCTTTTCATTGCTATATGATAAACACAAGTTTGAAAAGCCCAATAAAACAAGGCAGAAAATGTAATCTACTGTGAAAACATACATAAAATAGGTTGATCTGGATAAACAGCAGGTTCATTCACTGCTTGTAGCCACCACCTTCAAATAAAACTAGAAAGGACTAGCTGTGCTAACATACAGTAAAACCTGTGTACAGTGAACACCTATGGAGCCAGTGTGTTCACTATAACTATATGATCACTACAAAGAGGCAATTTTATACTGAACTTAGTGGAGTATGCAGGCCCGTAAGACACTTTTCTCCAAGGGGGGTGCGGTTTTTAGCTTTTATAAAATTGTCATTTTTTTGCCGCGTAAATCAAATCGCGTAAGACAGAGGGGGGGGGGGGGGGGGTCAGTTACTCCCTATATTGGTTTGGAATTAACAAATGCATGCAACTTCCAAACGTTCCAATTGTTTTGTGGGGGTAGTGAGGAGTGGTCCACTCCCCCTAAAAAAGTTTACAGTTTTGAGATGCTATTTGGTGCTTTCTGGGCACTTTCAAAGTGTAAGTTTCTAAGTAGTACGCCACCACCACGGGAATAAGAGTTGAGTGAATAAATCTAAAAAACCGAGCATTCAGGGGGTTCTGGGGGTTCTCCCCCAGGAAAATTTTGAAATTTGGTTGTATTTGGAGTGAATTTGCAACCATCTGGTACGCCTGTGCGTAATGAGTCAATAAGAAAAATGTGATTTTTTCAAATTCTTTTGGGGTGTCAAAGAGGATGAGAGGGTGAAGTGGGGTGGGGTGCCAGTAGAGGAGCAAGGGGTTGTCGCCCAGAAACATTGACCATATCAAGGTGTTATTTGAAGATGTCTGGGCACTTAAAAAATGTCTGAGACAATACATGAAATTCAGAATATTTTCTTTTGTTTTGTGGGAGATGTGAGGGGTGGCTAACTCTCCTAGAAAATTTTACAATTTAAAGATGATATTTGGTGCTTCTGAGCACTTTTAAAGTGTACTAGTCAATAAAAACATTGAAAAACAATCACAATTTTTTTCAAATTTTGGGGGTGTCAAAGGGCGGGGAGGGGTGCCAGAGGGGGAGGTGGGGCTGGGGTGCCAGAGGGGGAGCAAGTGTTTGTCCCCCATATCAAAATTTACAATATCAAGGTGCTATTCGATGAAGTTTGGGCACTTTAAAAGTGTCTGTGCCTATTTCCCAAGAAAATTTTACAATTTTAAGATGCTATTTGGTGCTTTCTGGGCACTTTCAAAGGGTATGAGACAATAAAAAAATTTGAAAAATCTCAATTTTCTTTTTTTTTTTGGGGGGGGGGGGGTGATAAGGGAGGGGGGCTGCCAGAGGGGGAGGTGGAGTGGGGATGCCAGAGGGCGAGTAAGTGTTTTTTTCAAATTTTTTTTTTCAAATTTATTTTGGGGGGGTGACAAAGGGGGGTGCGGTCGCACCCATCGCACCCCCCCATCTGACGGCCCTGAGTACGTGCTGAGAAGAGCTGTTCGCTAAGATAGGTTTTACTATTTATGCCATAATTTGATTGTATCCAATTTACTCCATACAGTACTTGCTTATCTGATTTAATTATTGGAATAAGTTGGCCACTATATCAATAAGATTATGTATATGTGGAGTAATTACTCGCTAGTTTGATCGATGCATGCAGGGGCGATAGCATGATAAGTTTTCAGTGTATCATAAATACTTATCCTGTATTTATTTCAAGGTGCATAATCACAGGTATTGAATACCACATAATTTTGCAAATGGCTTGCACTTTTACACACTACCCTACCACGTGACCACGTTTAAAAGGGAAACAGGGTACAGCTTAGTTGCAAATGGAGGACGTGGGTTTAATTCCATATTTCTGAACGTAAAATACATTTTACATTTATTTCTAGTGTTCTACCAGACATAGAATTGATTCATCAAGCAGTGTGTAGAATATTGTTGGCAAAAAAACACTATAGGCAAAGATAGATAATAGTGGGCGCAGTGAAGCAAAACACGAATGCAATACACGATACATTTCAGTAAATCTATCAACGTACAGGGAGCATGTAAGTTTCCCTTCGAAAATGTTACATTGATATGTAACAAAAAACCCAGTTAACTGTTATTTAAACTGCGTGTCATCGTGTTATAGGTGGATACGTTTTCTAGTATGTTAGTCAACTGTATTTTTGTGAATTTGAATAAAACATTTTGAATGATCGGTTTTTGAGGACGGTAGTGAATAAGACCATTCAAGGGGTTCTATAGAAAGATTCTTCACATGTAGTTCAGGCAATTTTAATTATTCTGAGGAGCAGATAGTCATTAATACTGAGAGCAGATAGTCATTTATCATTAACGTGTTAACATTTAATTTCGTTATTTTATTTCAATTTGATACCTTAGTAACACATATAATCTAGCGTTCTTGTTAATTTAATGACTAAAATCCATACGACCTGAAAGCCCGTGTCTAAATCTACAAAATAATGTTTACTTTATTTGGATTAAATAACAATTGATGACACCTCAAAGCATCAACAGGCGGCCTTTTTAGCATTACTTTCACTGTTTGCAACGTAAATGTACATGAGGTCGGGACATAGTATGTCTGTATAATCAGCTTACTTTCTCGCTCCCTGTACTATTGAACAATTTACATTCCTTGTACCCTGTATTGATCAACTTTTGCAACTGTGTACCTTGTACTATGACATATCAAATATTTTAAAATCTAAAACGATATTATTTACATTCTTTCTTCAACTATCATATAACTTGGAACATGGACTTCACTATTGCATCACTGAAGTGTAGCGAATAGCAATATTGACTCACTCCGAGCACAAACGTATTAACCTTTTGACTAAGCAGTCGATATACTCAAAAGCGACCTGGTTGAAAGCCAGAAGATTCGCGCATGCGCGATCGAGGTAGGGTAGTGTGTTTTAGTTCAAACATATTAACACTGTCTTGTGTCTACATTATTGTATACAAAAATAGGCTTACAGGGAGCTTGTCTCTCATGGAGATACATATGAAGTGTAATTTTATGTTTGACTTGTTCCAGTTCTGAGCTTGCTTGACTTGCCACTATGACCACCTGCCCCCTTTAACATTCTTATAAAATGCCTTATAGGGCCATATAGGGTCAACAACTTTGTATACATACGTATATATTCAAATAAATACATAATATTGTGATTGGTTAAATTAAAGAAAATAGTAAAAACCTCAAAAAATAATGTCCCTTTTAAAATAATGGTCCATCACTGGTCAATAATGGAGATATTTACACACTAAACTCCTGTACAGCTTTGTTGCGTATTATGTAAAAAATACTTTCCATATATGAATTTTCATTTTTAAATGCTGGTAATCAATTTTGCACATGTTGAATCCCAGATAGACTATCGTTATAACTTCTGCACTTATTTAATTATTAATGTGTGCATGTACTTAATTATGCTGGTATGTATCCATGCATGGATGTAGCCAGCACAACCAATGCCTCACCAAAAGTTTTACAGCAGTATATTTTTCAAATGTGTCTCAATCAGAACTATGGAAATGATGTTCAAAGGTAATATATGTAAATTGGAATACATTTGACTGGTCCATTCTAAATTCTCTCACCTATTTTAAGATCCTTGCTCTGACCTTACCATTTGACTTTGTATCATCATGGCTTCATATTTTATGCATTTGAATATGAAGCATACCATTTCATTTGATTGCATCTTGATTATGGATTGATGAAAATAACCTTCAATTCAATTGAAAATGTCTTTGCACCAAGTTGATCTAAAACCTATTACGGTCTTGGTAGATGACATCCAAGAATATATAATTCTCTAACTTTAAGAGTAGGTTGGATATTTATGTATATGCCCCACTATCTCTGGGGTCTGCGATACACCTATTTCCCTATGAATAAACTCTGTATTTGAAACCTTCAAGTATATAAACCTAATGTAAACTTACATAAATATTATGATCAAATGTATTTAGTTATGTTTGTAATACATGTATGTTGAAATATAAAGTATCCGTTCATTAAATTACATGTACAAATGTATAAGCCTACCAATAGTTCAGCGTTTTGATCTTATCATCAATATGCATATTAAATCATCAATATCAATAATATGCAATAATTGTGAAGTTTTCTTTATAGATGTCGTGGATATTCAGTGTGTATAATAAAAGTCTCATGTATTTGCACTTTTGCAGATACTGAACTCCTTGTCCCAGATTTTGTAGAGCTGCCAACAATAGATGTCACTAGGAACAAAGCTGCAATAAGAGAAGCAAATATTGGATATCCATTTGGTAAGAACATATCCTTATATGGTAAAAGAACATATTCTTGTATGGTATAAGAACATATCCTTATATGGTAAAAGAACATATTCTTGTATGGTATAAGAACATATTCTTGTATGGTATAAGAATATATTCTTGTATGGTATAAGAATATATTCTTGAATGGTGTAAGAACATATTCTTGTACGGTATAAGAACATATCCTTATATGGTAAAAGAACATATTCTTGTATGGTATAAGAACATATTCTCAGCGCTTGCATTAGGTTAGAAAATTTGTGAGTCCCAAGGACGCAATTTTTTTAAAAAGTGTGTCCTTTGAAAAAAAAGTGTGTCCCCTATTTCTAGCCTGTTTTTAGGTATAACTTTATTTTAAAAGCATTTTTTCTTGCCGCAAATTTAAAACGGAAGTAAACGTTAGTACAGACTGAATTAATGTATGTTCGTTCATTCGACAATGAATACATTTTATTTCATGAATAACCTACTATTTGTTTCTGAATAGGAAAAACTGTGGCGTGTCATGGTTTCAAATCTAAAAATAAACAAAGTCGAAAAAATTCGAGAGAATCATGATTATTTGTAAATATTCAACATGTTGAGCCTTATTTACGATTCAAATAAAGGTGAGAGATCCTAATTATTTGTTTTTGTTAGGTATCGTTGTAAACACATTGTAGTATTGACCTAAAGATATTTTGCGTCCAAAAAACGGAAATATTTTCAATTTTTGCGTCCTCCAAATTATTTTTGAGTCCTTAACATGTACGGGACGCCGTTAATGCAAGCCCTGTATTCTTGTATGTTATAAGAACATATTCTTGTATGGTATAAGAACATATCCTTATATGGTAAAAGAACATATTCTTGTATGGTATAAGAATATATTCTTGTATGGTATAAGAACATATTCTTAAATGGTGTAAGAACATATTCTTTTATGGTATAAGAACATATCCTTATATGGTAAAAGAACATATTCTTGTATGGTATAAGAACATATTCTTGAATGGTTTAAGAACATATTCTTGTATGGTATAAGAACATATCCTTGAATGGTGTAAGAACATATTCTTGTATGGTATAAGAACATATCCTTTTATGGTATAAGAAAATATTCTTGTATGGTATAAGAACATATCCTTGTATGGTATAACATATTCTTGCATGGTATAAGAACATATTCTTGTGTGGTATAAGAACATATCCTTGTATGGTATAAGAACATATCCTTGTATGGTATAAGATCTTTATGGTATAAGAACATATCCTTGTATTGTATAAGAACATATCCTTATATGGTATTAGAACATATCCTTGTATGGTATAAGAACATATCCTTACATGGTATAAGAGCATAACCTTATATGGTATAAGAACACATTCTTGTATGGTATAAGAACATATCCTTGTATGGTATAAGAACATATCCTTGTATGGTATAAGAACATATCCTTATATGGTATTAGAATATATCCTTGTATGGAATAAGAACATATCCTGGCGTAATGTAAGATCATATTCTTACACTATATTGGAACACATTCTTGCAAGATGAGAGAATTTATTGTGACATAATTCAAGAACATAACCTTGCTTGACATAAGAACATAATCCCTGCACATTGCAAGGATCTTTCCTTTCATATTTGAAGAACATATCCTTGCATGAAGTTATAACATTCTTTGCATTATGTAAGTTATATCCTTGCATGATATGAGAATGTATTTCTTGCATGGCATAAGGACACATTTTTGCAAAATGCAAGGACCTATCCTTTCATATTGGAAGAACATATCCTTGCATTCCACAGATGAAGCATAAGCTTACATAGCATTAGGATATATCCATCCCAATGCATGACATAAGATAGGATAGCCTTGCATGACGAGAAAAAATATCTAAATAAAGAGATAAAGCTTTACAAAAAATGTTGTAAATTAATTTTTATGAATTATTATATTTTTAATTTCATCATAAAAGAATGAATTTCTATTAATGTTTGATTAACACAATCATGTAAATCTTCCAATACAAACACTCAGCCATGTAGGAATAGAAGAACAATCAATTAAAAATAATATTGTGTACACAAAGCATTGTGCGCTGAATAGTTGAGCATGTTATAGTATTTTATGTTTTCCATAAAATTAGTTGTGCATACAAGATTGTTGGAGATGGGATGGGCTGTTGGAATATATCAGATAGAAGATGATTGGTTATAATTACAACATCTCAAACTTACCAATTATTTGCACAGATAAAGTTTGGCTGTTGTAGAATTAGTATAACATGCAAAAACATTTTGTGATTTGACAGAACTTCTGATTTTACTGCAAGTTATTAGTCAACCTACAAGCCCCCGTGTCTCCCTCCCACTATATACCTTCTCACACAGGGGAGTTGTGTAGCTGTGTGTGCAGCCTACTTTACAACAAATGTAATTTGATTATTTCAAATCTAATAATGAAGTTATTATGTTTTCAGTTTGTAAACCAAGGTCTGCAGATGGATCTGAAAATTCTCATACGGTATAGTTGCCTCTTTATTGTTCACCTTAATTTCTTTTTCTGCTTGTGTAATATATTCTTCTCATATGGTATAGTTGCCTCTTCATTATTCACCTTAATTTCTTTTTCTGCTTGTGTAATATATTCTTCTCATATGGTGTAGTTGCCTCTTCATTATTCACCTTAATTCCCCTTTCTGCTTGTGTAATATATTCTTCATGATGGTGATGTGATTGCTATTATGGTGGTTTCACACTTTTAAAATGTTGGTAGCCATTTTGAAGCTTTCCATAAATTTTGCCTTTGTTATTCCACTCACCAAACCTTTTTCAAATTTGAACACATGTTAGTGGTTATGTGGCTACTTGGTGGTGTGATATCATTCAGGTCATATGCTATGTTGTTGATGTTTTTCACATCCATGGGATATAGGGAAGAGAATCATAAGGCTTTGGGTTAAATGGAAGTGAGTGCTGTGAAAGAGTGAAAGAGTGAATATAAGTAATATCCTATTTGAAACCTTGGGGAACAATCACATAAGATTTATTTACTACTGTATTAACTTTTAATATCCAATGCATGTGCAGATATCTCTTTATAAATTTTTGCTTTGTATACAATGTTTTCATCATAATAATTATACCTTCATTCTGATTCTTACAACCATAGATAAACTTTTAACTTAAATGCTTCTAATAAGTAAATGGAGATGTTGTATGTCAATATCTTGTGTAAAATATTTAGAAAGAAAGATTACTCTCCGCTTGGAGCCAGTTTCATTCAGTTTATCACTGTCATATTTCATATTCATATGCCTAATGAAAAATCAAGACAAATATCTTTTGTTCTGCAAAACTAATCTAAAATTTGTCTGGTATAGATCATGATTTATGCAATAAAATTGTTTGTAAGGTCATATTTTATGAGGCAATTTCAACTTTTTCTGTATTCAATTGCTTTGCAATACATGAATGCCAACTCCTTTTGAAGAATTACTTAGGTTTACAAAGGAATATATTTCTTTGAGAATAAGGTCTTCCAGCATACATATGAATTTCATGTCACCACCAAGAATGACATATTGTTGTTAGAAGAGATGACATATCTTTAATACAACTTATTTATACATATTTTTGCAATTAATCTTTTTATTTGGCGTCAGCGTTCGGCATTCAGTGTCTACATTTTGTCATGATAATAGTTTGTTGGTTATTTATCATATTACCAGTTATTGAAATCGTACCTTTCTGTGATCTCTAAATCCTGAGTCACATTTGCTCCGATCCATCGGCCGGCTCCCGGCTGATTGATTGTTTTGTTCAATATTGTATTCAATTTTGAATATAATACTCAATCGGCCAGGCACCGTAGTGAACATCGGAGCAAATGTGACCAAGGCATAACATAGCCTTTCTTTATGTCTGATACTTCACACAAATTACAGGCCACACAGTATCTACATATTTGTGTTGAGAGGCTATTATCTTGATTTAATTTGTTTTGAAGATGAGATGTGTATTATGCGATATGGAATTGTACATGTAATGCATAGACCTTTTCCAAAAACAACCATGGTATGATTTAAAAGAAATCAACAAGATAAAAGAAAATTGACTAGATTTTTCATTTCAGAGATCTATACTTATGGACCTCACCACTGGCAGATTGTAGTTTTTCTTCAATTACGTCTCAAAGTAAAGTTAAATATTTCAAAATGTTTCTTATTTCAAACTTAATGTTGTTGTGTTATCATGTTATTCACTCGTGTGAAAACAGTAACCGTATAAATCAAAGTTCTTACGTCCGTCACTTGTAACAAGATTAAGTTATTGGCTGAAGTTTCTTAGCAGATTTAAAAACAATAAATGTAAATATTATTCCTTGGGCATTGACTCTTATATCTTAGTCATTAGTCTTTTCTTCACAGCTTAGTCTTACACCTCCACTGTCTCCATGAACGATTATATAGTTATTAATGGAGATGTTTTGAAGAAAATACTACTTCTGTTGTTTATTAAGTTTATTGTAAAGACAATATTTGAAGTCTACAGAAGAGTAAGCTGACAATAGTAGAAACATTTATGTCAATATGAACCCATTTATTCTGCGGTATAGTGAAATCTAAGCTATTGTAATGAATGATAGCATATTATTATGCATATCAGCTCAGTTATTACATCCTAAGACAATCTCATTGTCAAGTTATATTTAACTTTGTGCTTTATGTGTTTTCCCATCATGCATTTTATCTTCAATGCTGTTTTCTTTTTCTACATTCCATTTGAGCTATATTTTCAATAATTTGCTCTCCATTTGTCCAGAATCTTTAATTTTGTTGTCATCACCAAAAGTGGTGACATATTGTTATAGCCTTTTTGTGACAGTGGTTGGTGTTCAGAGTTTAGTGTTTGGAGTTCGGTACTATTTGGTATCTGTATCAAATGTAACAAATGGCAAGTGGTGACATTTTGCATGTTGATGTCTTGTTTTCCAGTTTGCATTACCTTTGCTATCACTTTTCTTTTAGTGTATTATTCAATTTTTGTTTTCATTCTGTTGATAACTTAATGGTCTGTTTTCATCCTGTTAAATGATGTAATGTTTTGTTTTTTCATTCTGTTAAATTATTTAATGTTTGTTTTTGTTTTGTCCATTATCTCCATTGTTTGTTTTCATTTTGTAAAATATCTTGATGTTTGTTTTGCAGTTGTGCATTATCTTCAACGAGGAAGGTTTACGTGACATTAGGGTTCCAAGTGTTGCCCAGAAACTAATCAAACACAATGCAGTTATGTACAAAGTATTTGTTGTCGGAGACATTCACCATGTTGTTGAAAGACCATCTTTAAAAAATCTAAAACCAGGAGGTAGGTTCCAACATATACATCATTGTAGTCTACCTACACGCTCTTCTGACCACTCCCCCTACTACACATTCCAACATCCTTGTGTGAGGTGTCACTGTGTAGTCAAGTAGAGGGGGGTCACAGGGCCTTGTAGATTGACTAATATCATTGTGAAACCCAGAATTCATCTCAGTTGGATGCAAAATTTTCTTTTTCTTGCATCCAAAACTGACCAAAATATCTCATTTTTCATGATTTAATTTTCAACTGAGTGCAATAGATACAAGGTAAGGGCAATTAACAGCCCCAATTTCTCCAGTGCCATAAGGAGATCACTGTACATTGTATACATACAGTATCTAGATGTTCTACATATTGTACATTGGCATATTCACATCAATTAATAGCTCAATTTCTTCAAGATTTGACAACGATGCTGGCTGGTTATAGATATTTCTTATTTGTTCAAAATTCAATATATTTAAAGGAATATTCCTTGCCAAACAATCTCTCTCGTCATATGGTAGCTATAACCATATATATGCATATACATATTGTACATTGGCATATTCACATCAATTAATAGCTCAATTTCTTCAAGATTTGACAACGATGCTGGCTGGTTATAGATATTTCTTATTTGTTCAAAATTCAATATATTTAAAGGAATATTCCTTGCCAAACAATCTCTCTCGTCATATGGTAGCTATAACCATATATATGCTTGCCATGTTTAGCAAAACACGCAAAAATGTTTTGATATGGTCAAATTTGATCACTTAGAAATGTGATGCTCAATTCCAGTAAGCTGCCATCTTTTAAAATTTCACACAGGAAGTGATGTCATCGACTCTCAACTTTGCATATAGCATTAGGTGAGGAGCTATTAAGAATTACAAAACCAGCTAAATATTCTTTTTTAACTTTGTATCTTATCTAATCCTTCTGAAAATCTCTTATTTTATTCTAAGTTGACGAGCACTGAAAATATTTTTGCACAGAAAGTAATGATCACTTGTCTAGAAGTGATTTTGTGGTACTTTCCTATACTGTTATGGGCAAAGTTATAGAAGTTGAGAGTTGATGACATCACTTCCTGCAAGAAATCTTAAAAGATGGCAGCTCACTGGAAATAAGCACTAGATTTTTAAATGATCAATATTGACCATATTAAAACATTTTCCCATGTTTTGCTAAATATGGAAACTATATATACGATTATAGCTACCATATCAAGAGAGAAAGGGTCTGGCAATGAATATTCCTTTAAGGAATAAAGACCGAGATTTTGTGACTTGTGGCGTGAATGATATATGACTGAAAATTTTATTCTGTTCATTGTTAAAAGACCGAAATTGCTTAGCAATTGAGGGTCTTTGGCAATGGCCAGAATAAAATTTAAGGTCATATATTTGACATTAATCATAAAATCGAGGTCTTTGTTACGATTCTAATATTGATAAACAGTCAAGAAACAAAACTTTTTGCATTTATGAATTTTAGCGGTCATACATACTCCAATAAATACCAGTAAATGAATTGTTCTAGCTATTGTGACATCACGTATCATATTAGAATCATTTGTAAAACATAGATTCTTTAAAGGTTAATTGGTATTTAATAATGTTAGCTTATAAGTGAAACACCACTCTCCATTAAGTAAGTGGAGCAATGTGTAATTGTTATTGTATACAGTTAGATGATTTTGTAATTGTATATTTATTCAAGATTGTCTGACCGTTTAGGAGAAAATATGATCAGATCAATACTTTTGTCTCACTAGAATTGTATCAAATGCAATAAAGGATATAGAAATTACTGATGATTAAGGTGAAACAATACTCATGAAATCATCAGTCACCTGTAACCTGGGCCTCTAGGAAGACCAGTTTTCTACTGATAGAGCTACCAAGAATAAATTTGGTTTTCAAATCAAATCACTTGTACAATATTGAACTCTCGTGTATTAATGTGCATGTAGAGTACCAAGCATTAAGTGTATCAAGCACAATGTGTACAAGCACTATGTGTACCAAGCAATTGAATCTAGCACTAAGTCTACCAAGCCCAGGGTGTACCAAGTACTAAGTGTATTAACCACTAAGTGTACCAAGCACTAAGTGTATCAAGCACTATGTGTACCAAGCAATTGAATCTAGCACTAAGTCTACCAAGCCCAGGGTGTACCAAGTACTAAGTGTATTAACCACTAAGTGTACCAAGCACTAAGTGTATCAAGCACTATGTGTACCAAGCAATTGAATCTAGCACTAAGTCTACCAAGCCCTGGGTGTACCAAGTACTAAGTGTATTAACCACTAAGTGTACCAAGCACTAAGTGTATCAAGCACTATGTGTATCAAGCAATTGAATCTAGCACTAAGTCTACCAAGCCCTGGGTGTACCAAGTACTAAGTGTATTAACCACTAAGTGTACCAAGCACTAAGTGTATCAAGCACTATGTGTACCAAGCAATTGAATCTAGCACTAAGTCTACCAAGCCCTGGGTGTACCAAGTACTAAGTGTATTAACCACTAAGTGTACCAAGCACTAAGTGTATCAAGCACTATGTGTACCAAGTAATTGAATCTAGCACTAAGTCTACCAAGTCCTGGGTGTACCAAGTACTAAGTGTATTAACCACTAAGTGTACCAAGCACTAAGTGTATCAAGCACTATGTGTACCAAGCAATTGAATCTAGCACTAAGTCTACCAAGCCCTGGGTGTACCAAGTACTAAGTGTACTAACCAGTTTGTACCTTGTTCTAGGACAGTGATCATTTTGCTTGATTGATGATACCAAAATATGCAATTGCCAATCAATATTTCAGTATCTCTGAATCAGTTTATGATATTGTTTATGCATCCATATCACAATAACAGTTATTCTTGGTCTATTGTTACCTTTTTATTGTCGCAACCTTGAATTGGTGACATTGTTATAGCCAATATTTTTATTTTTTTGTTATGGACGTAACAAATTTTTACACTTTTACTATATCAGGCCCATAGCCAGGGGGGTTCGATGGGTTCTTTCAAAATCATGCAGTTTTTCACCATTCTGAGCAATTTTTAAGTGTTTTTGGCCATTTTTGGATCAAAATTGTTACAAGTGAACTTGGAATTTTTGAAAAAGTGAACCCCCTGGCAAATCCTGGCTATGGGCCTGCATATACTACCAGTCTTTTACTATACACTACCGGGAGTTGACACATTGTCATATTCATTTCTGGTATGATATACATACTTGGTTCATTAAACTTGGCATTTTTGCTGTTTTTTCCAGATTATTCTTCAATATTTTTTCACTCCAGAGATGTCTCAAAATCTACCTCATGCAGCTTTCTAACCAAGGTAAACAATGTATGTACCTTTGTGTAAACAATGTATATACCTTTATGTAAGCAACGTTGCTTATTTTGTAAACAATGTATGTATGTTTAGGTAACTGATGATGTACATGGTACATTTAGGTAAACAGTATATGTACAATAAGGTACCTTTTACATTTAGGTAAACAGTATATGCACAATAAGGCAAACAATATAGCATTATGAATATTAAGTTAAATAATATACACATTTGTTGTTATAAGTTGGTAAGTAATGTATGTCCATTCTAATAGTGAAAGAGCAAATGGATTAGTGTGGGAGCAAAGAAAATTAGTGATAGAGCAAAGGAAATTAATGATACAGCAAAGGAAATAAGTGAGGGAGCAAATGCAATTTATGAGGGAGCAAATGAAATTTGTGATGGAGCAATTGAAATTAGTGAGGGAGCAATTGAAATTCAGGAGGTAGCAAACTAAATTTTGTGGGGGAGCAAATGAAATTAGTTAGGGAGCAAAGGAAATTAGTGATGGAGCAATTGAAATTAGTGAGGGAGCAATTGAAATTAGGGAGGGATCAAACTAAATTTTGTGGGGGAGCAAATGAAATTAGTTAGGCAGCAAAGGGAATTAGTGATGGAGCAACTGTAATTAGTGAGGGAGCAAACTAACTTTTGTGGGGGAGCAAATGAAATTAGTTAGGGAGCAAAGGAAATTAGTGATGGAGCAATTGAAATTAGTGATGGAGCAATTGAAATTAGGGAGGGAGCAAACTAAATTTTGTGGGGGAGCAAATGAAATTAGTTAGGGAGCAAAGGAAATTAGTGATGGAGCAATTGAAATTAGTGAGGGAGCAATTGAAATAAGGGAGGGAGCAAACTAAATTTTGTGGGGGAGCAAATGAAATTAGTTAGGGAGCAAAGGAAATTAGTGATGGAGCAATTGAAATTAGTGATGGAGCAATTGAAATTAGGGAGGGAACTAACTTTTGTGGGGGAGCAAATGAAATTAGTTAGGGAGCAAAGGAAATTAGTGATGGAGCAATTGAAATTAGTGATGGAGCAATCGAAATTAGGGAGGGAGCAAACTAAATTTTGTGGGGGAGCAAATGAAATTAGTTAGGGAGCAAAGGAAATTAGTGATGGAGCAATTGAAATTAGTGAGGGAGCAATTGAAATAAGGGAGGGAGCAAACTAAATTTTGTGGGGGAGCAAATGAAATTAGTTAGGGAGCAAAGGAAATTAGTGATGGAGCAATTGAAATTAGTGATGGAGCAATTGAAATTAGGGAGGGAACTAAATTTTGTGAGGGAGCAAATGAAATTAGTTAGGAAGCAAAGGAAATTAGCGATGGAGCAACTGAAATTAGTGAGAGAGCAAACTAACTTTTGTGGGGGAGCAAATGAAATTAGTTAGGGAGCAATAACAGTTTGTAAGACATTATAAAATCTTTCTAACTCAGCCTTGTTCACTTTTATACTCATTTTAGCTGGACATTGAAGATCAAAACAAAGCACTGATAAAACCAGACAAGATGACGCTCACAAAACTTGTCAACAAAGTTCAGCGGAAGATAGGCATGTGTCTATTTGGCATTGATGTCGTTATTGAGAATGATACTGGACGATATTATGTGATTGATATAAACTATTTCCCAGGTAGGAGAACCATATTCTTGTCTTCAAAACATCATTTACTTTTGCATAAAATGAAGTTGCAAGTACAATTTAAAGGCTGCCATTGTAGAATAAAGTTCTTTTTGCCATTATATGCATATGGTATATCAGCACTTTGAATCAATCATTGTTATGCCATATTATAATTCATTGTATGAAATAAACCATATCATATGCCATAAAATGAACAAATGGCAACATACTGAAAAGAAAGGTGACAATAAGATGACGGATAAAACAGTCAAGCAGAGTATCAGCTGTCAATTTTGCAGTAATTATTAGTATTATAATTTGATCTGTTAATTGAAGCACTCTGATTGGTCAATTATTATGCTGTACCAATCTGTATTGCTACTGAGATTGTCCCAGTTGATCATCTTCATCGCAATACAGAAAATATTGGTACGGAGGGGACAATCTCAGTAGCAGTACAGAGGATCACACGATACGATATTCTGTATTGGCACTCGACTTCGTCTCGTTCCAATACATAATTTCTTGAGCAGAATATATCCTGTATTGCACTTCAAATCATTCAATAACTTATAGTTTTATACTGGAACAGTCCATGCAAGAACAAAAACAAAGCGTCTAAGGGTAATGTAATGCAATGAATTACTACTCTTGGGCCAAGGATGTCATGAACATGAGTGAGAAAGATGCCCCAGAAGGATGCCACCTTTTGGTGGTGGCATTGGCATTTGGTGATTGAAATGTAACAATACGAAACAATTGAATTTTATTCCATTTGGAATAATGTTTTTAATGAATCTGAATGTCATATATTTATCACGTAATTGTTTGTCCATTTATCTTTTGGATAGTTTCCAGGTTTTCTAATCCTTTAGCGGGTAGTGTAATTGGCATCTTTTCAATTTATATGAATGCATGGTTGACCCCAGTTTCACCAGTGTACTTTATAAAGACATTCAGTTCAGTATGTAAGGCAGTCCACAACACGTGGAAATTTCAACTAATTACTGCAAAATTGGCAGCTGATACTTGAATGTTATTAACCATCATCTTGTATTGACTCTTATATTAAAATGTAAAAAAATGTTATGCCATAATCCACTGAATCTAGTTTTCAAACAAATCAGACTTCAGGACCACGGATTTACATGTATTGTTTATTTCAGGTTATGATGGCTTCCCAGACTTCCTGCAAGTGTTAGCTGAATATATCCTCAAAAGACTACATACCAAACAGATGCCCCAAGGCCGGACTGACTAAAGCCCTCTCAAGGGAGCTTCAAAGTTTTAGAGAATAATCAGTGATGTTCCAATTTATATGGTCGCATTCTCAGTCAGTTTGATGCAATCAAATGTTGTTTGATTTTGAGTCAAATCAGTGTAATTTTGATTTTAATTCTTCTTCTCAGAAATCCTATTTTGATCTTGTTACAAAATCTGATTTTATTACCCCTGCTACACAACTCATATATCCATAGAACATAAATACAATACAAGTTTTTGAAAAATGTCAGAGCTCAGGTGCAACTCTAGTGAAAAAGACCAGAGTGTAAATTAAGAATGTGCAAAAAACAGCTGTATTAAACATGGAACAATATAATAAACTTTACAAAGGGCCTTTAAAAGTCTATGAGTAAAGGTGCAGTAGGTCATGGTAACCTTATTGAGGTATATGCAATGATATCATTTTTGTCATAGATTAGATAGATGTCAACTAAACTAGAATGTACAGCACAAGTTATAAGTATGTGTAATCTATGATATATACCATATACATGTATAGTGCTGAACTTATATTGAATTTTTTCTAGATTATATATATAATATATTCCAATATCATTTATCTTCTTACATTGCAAGACCCCGGATACAGGCATTGTGTTCATGGGAATATTTGTACTGATAAAAGTTTTCATGCATGTGACATCTGAAATTCTAAATAGGTTTGCACTTTAGTTTAACAATTTTATAATTTACTGGATATTGATGATAATCTAATTTGCAGGTTTTTGTGAAATACTAATAGGTTACATGGAAACTTGTCTTTGACCAAGATTTAAATTGGCCATAATTGTTGAATCATAAAATGAAAGTGAACTGATTTTAATAGCATTCTCTGGATGAGCCTATCATGAATGAGGATGCAGAATTGTCCGTGTGAACTAACAAGTCTAATCAAGTCTAACACAAATGTAAAATTCACAAAATTTAATGTAATTTATTATCTTTTGGGAAAAGGTTAAATTTCATTATTGTTACATTCATTAATTTTTAATAGTAAGAAATTATGTTTTGATACTAAATGTTTGACATGGTCCCTGAAGACCTGAATGTGGTCATCTTGTCATTCCAAAAGCAACTTGGTTTAGGAAACCATTCCTTCTACTGTAGTTCTTCTGTCATATATTTATGGATGCTTAACAATGGCTTTTGAAATGGATACAGCCTTAGGAATTGTATCCACTATCCAGTTGTCAACAGTTGTGGATGGACAATATTCCTGCATTAGGGGAGAGGTGGTGACTAATGATTTCATTGTCAATTGTCGATTTTCAATTGAACAGCAAGTTGACATTTTCAAGTATCATGATATAAACCATGACGAAATTATATTCATTTTTGCACAACTGCCTACATTTGGACATCATTCCTAAACATTGCCTGTTGAAATAAACAGACTTACAGAGTCAGTTAAAGAATGGTAGAGCCCATGGTTAAAGAAAGGACCATACATGTACTCTACCTGTATGTTGCGTCTTTGGAGTGTTTGGTAAAAAATAATTATGTTTCTGAGTGCTCATTCATCTCATACAATATGTGCAGACCAATAATTTAGAGGACTTTCAAACTTGGAGGTTTAAGAAAAAATATCGGGCTTAAGTTCGAGGCATAAACATGTGTTTTGAATTTCTGTGGTCCAAAACACAATTGAGTAACATAAACAAGTAGAGAAAGATCTTTGATCCTCTTGTTTAAGAAAACTGTAATCTGGTTCATGGTAATTGAAAATAAGACATCCTTCCCTTTTATGGTCTGCTCCTTATTAACTGAGAAATCAGCTGAAAATTAAAACATCGTTTTTGTACTTGTTTGTATATTCTATCACTTTATTATTTATTTTGTTGTAATATAACTGTATGTACATAGTTGTATAAATGTAAATCATCAATACTCGACAATCTATTGCTTTTATACTTCACATTACTTGATTGAACCATTGACCAATTTTAACCATTGATTGTTGTTGTCTCACAAATGTACATTGATGAATAATATTTCCACGTTTTGTTTAAATTATCTTTCACTTTCTTAGTATATAATGTATATTGCTATTGTTTCCCCATATATTGACAGGAACAAATGTCTATTAAGTTCAGTATTGACACAAATTTCAAACCAGTCTAAAGAATTCTTCAGAAAAATTGAAAAACCCTACAGATTTGATTTGACAGTTAAACATTTTTAGACCTGCTTTCAAAATTGGTATCGCAGCGATCATTTATGTCAATGGTCCAAGTTAACTGGTGGAATCCAATAAATAGAGGATGTTTAATATGAGGAAAGAATATGATTTTTTTGAGGGAAAATACAATATTTCAAATTCATACCTACTGATTACATTAATGTCTAATGTATATCTAATGTAAAGTTTATGCTCAATCGCAACTATAAATAACTTATTTATTACTTAGATAACAAATAAATTGTTCTTGCATGGGAAATCAACAGTAAAATATTTGTAGAATCTATTATGAGATCTCATATTACATACAGTTTCGAGTTTGTAAAATTGTTCTTCACTGTATTTCCCTACTCTGTATTTCCTTTGGAAATGCTGTATTGATGGAATAGACTCTATTTTGAATATTAGTATAAGTATAACGTAACAAAGGAATGCCTAAATTTGAGATACCTTCTGTATACATTATCATGGGCCATGTGACCCCATTCCCTTCATGCTCTTAGTGCTGTGTATGAGATCGAGTATTTAAACAATAATTCTGGCAATTAATTATTCCAATTATAACAAGTTCAGTTTGACTTCAGATTTATGCCAATGATTTATAGAGATCTTAATTTATGTTAATCAACAAGTGATAAATGAATAAAAAAATCAGGTTCAGTTGTTTGTTATGATATAAATCAGTTTGTACATGTATTGTAAGAAATGGCAACAACGTACTATTAAACCCCTGGATATTCATCTTGAAAAATTATTTATTTGGACATTTCAAAGATATTACCATAGGATCATAGATGTGAATTGTAATGTCCAAATAAGGAATTGTTCAGAGAAAAATGGATTGTTTTGTATTCATTTACATATACCAGTTACCATGGCAAACCCTGATTGAACTAGCTGAATATACTCATGTTAAGTTGTTCTCATTAACATATTAGTCAATAGGACATGTAAACTGAAACAATAAAGTGTTCACATTGTAAGATGTTCACTGTTCACATATTTACTGTACTTGTAATTTAAACGTATAAAAAAAGAAAATGTGAATAACTTACAACTGTACATACACATAAAGAAGTATTGATATCTTCTTAGGTCTCATCTTTGTAGTTATAATGTTAATATGTAAATTATATGTGCAATGGTTGTTATACACTCTATCACAAATCAAAAGAAGAGTTGTCTCACACAAATGTAATGTACAAATGTAATGAGTTTATGTCTTGTGTTTAAAGGTACAATCAGAGTTAAAATGGTAAAATAATTGTGACATTCACATTTGAACCACCACTGTATTCTGTACCATCCCCAAATATAAAAAGATATTTCAGATTTGAAACGTGTTCATTTTTCAAAATCATGGTTATACTTAAAAAATTGTTTTTGAACTTAATATTTTTCTTGAGTATTATGTATGAAACATTGAATTCTTAAGAACATAGGTATTACAGTATTACATGAGGAATAAATCCATGGCCCCAAAAGATAATGAAATCAAAACAATTTGTCAAAGTATGGCTCACTATCTCTGATTCTCCCTTTAACATATAATATAGTGTAAAGGATATTCATGTGAAGTTTGCAATATCCATTGGTGTGCAACTAACTACCATTTAACACTGCTGTCTCCATAAATTATTTCATGTGAATATTTTTAATGCATTAACATTGTTGTTTATGTCAACCTTGAGAGATTTGTATTACATATTGACATTTACTCCTACACTACACTAACAACACAGATATCAACCAGGTTGTTGCAGGCCCGTAGCCAGGATTTATCAGGGAGTGAGCAGTTTTATCCCCCCCCCTGGCTACGGGCCTGTGTTGTATAATGTAAAATGTGTGTGTGAGGGATGTTACCAGTTTTGTTTTGCATAAAATTCAGTGTTCATTTTTTAAATTTCCCAAATCTGAAATCTGGTTTATTGCTGTCAATTTTTTTAAAATTGATATTAAAGAGATTTTTTGTGTCACCACCACAAGTGATGACATATTGTCATAGTCTCTTTTTCGTGAAGAGTGTTTGGTGTCTGATGGTCGTTGTCTAGCATTTGGTGTTCGAAGTTTGGCGTCTGTAGATTCCAGGTTGTGACATTTTGCATGTCAATGTCAATTTTGCAACCACAAAGGTAATATGCACAAAGGTATTCAGTAGATTTGGGATCACCAAGGTCTTCAGTAGATTTGGGATACATATTTTATGTACAGTTAGTCTTTTGATACAGGGTTTAACCTCAGGAAATATGTATATGTCCCTGAGGATAAACCCCGTATCTATAAGCTTCCACTATAACTCTTATATATATTTAATATATACATTTCTAATAAACTTTACACTGTAAATGTATTATTTTTTAGTAAATATCAATTGTACTCTATATAAGGGGGAAAATATGTTGCAAAAATGGAAATATAGAATCTTAAACATATACCTGGCTTTGTTACTTTAACTCAATGTTGAAACATAAACTGCCCTTCCTTTTATACCAAGACACGTGACACTTAGATATCTACAGCTGGTCCTATCGGAATAAGTTGATAATAAAATAATCCCAGAGTAATTTATCTTCCATTTTCTTTAATAATTTATAGAACATTATCCTTAAAAGTAAATTAAACATTTCATACAGTGCTTTACCTTTGGCAGTGAAAAATACTAAGAGTGTTCACTTTACTCTGAATGAAGGGTGCCACTGCTATGTGACGTAATGGTGGCGCATCATCAAGTTAAGGATACCACCTCCCTAAGCTAGTACCAATGAAAGTTGGCTCCCAGGGACGCAACTCAGTATTTTCCAACAAGGTAATGATAGAATGTCGGGCGTTTGAATTCGAATTTTGCAATCACTACATTTCCATGTATGGCAGAATATCGAGTTTGAACCCCCGGAGCCAAGGAGGATTGGCTCCCAGAATGCAACATCGATATTCTGTCCCATATTGTATGGTGACCTTTAACCTTGTGTCAGGGTCCAGAAATATATCACATGTAAATAAGGTGAAAGGTCACCATACCATATATGGGACTGAAAACCGAGGTTGCATTCTGGGAGCCAATCCTCTTTGCCCGGGAGCCAATCCTCCATGACTAGTGCCAATTTTCGTGCTTCCCATATTTGCGGCACTACAATTTGGTGCCTTGAAGAGACTAAAAGATTCACAAACATTATAGATACGCTATTAAATTAGCTTTAGATCTTTCAGAAATGATTTTTTACATTGGTGGTAGTTGAAAATCGTTGACATACACATAAAGGCTATACCAAAATTCAAAAATTTAGTTGGTTTCTTGGTAGAAAAAGCAAATTTTAAAATAGTGTCTAAATTAGACTACACAATGCTATTCCATGAGATACTTTACCGAAGTCCGAATACTGATTGTTTTTTGCAAATATTCTTCAGTCTGTCAATTACATATTTAGTTTTTGTTGAAGTATCATGTAAATTCTGAATACCTTCTTATTATTAGGTTGGGATTACATCTACAGAAAAGCGACTAGCGACTGAATCCCATAATTCAGTTTAACGTTGCATAACGACGTAAACGACTTATTTAAACGATGGGGATAAAACAAATCTTAATGGCCTAAAATGTAATAATTCAGCTATGAAATCAACACATTCATTCGTTTAGTTTACGTGTATAAATCAGGCAATACATTTTATGACTTTATTACTTAACATTTCCAGACATGTAATGTCTCATACGGATGAGGAAATCTAAGAATGATGACATTGTTAACATAATTTTATAATAATTTACTCCAGTTAATAAAAGGTGAAATTGTATTTCAACCTCATTACTTTAATCGGGGATTCAACATCGGCACTTTTACACTAACATTTCACGAATTAGTATTGTGGATTTGTATTATATTCAAAATGGACAAATGGATGATTAACTTTATATTTTTCTTCACTATTCTCCACATTGGTAAGTAAATACTTGTATACACGAACCAGTAAATTAAAATAAATCAATGCAACATAACACACCGTAAACCATTTTTGGAATCTTTATTTAACCATCAACCACGGCATTGTCTACATCTACATCTACATCAATAATCCACAAAAGGCTAATAAGCCCATTTAAAGCAGATGTATAGGTTAACAGTGACATAATTTGAATAGACATAGTCATTGTCATAGACACGGTTAGAATACATTTATGAGTAATTAACGCATGTGCACCCCTTCCAAAATCCGACTCCTGAGTCCTGACACAGTGCAGGGTGGTGAATGTACAGGACGGTCCAAATAATGGGACACTCATATTTCAAAAATAAATATTGATTTTATTTACGAAAATATATACCAATGGATAGGGAATTTACTTATCTTTAATTTGGTATATCATAAGTTCAAATTTATTATATTGTCTGTTATCCAGCGTCCAAAATATAAATGACGCCATTTTCGTCTCAAAACGGGTTTTCCAAAACTTGCAAAAAACAAATTTTATTGTCAACTTTATTTACATAAACAGAACAAATGTTCAATATGTCCATAATTTTGATTAATTATAGCCCTCAATATTGGCCTAAAGTAGTCAATAGCACCATTGATGTGCTGTTGAGACAATGAATTTCACTTCTCAATAATTCTGTCCTTAAGGGACTGAATAGATGTAATTTTATTTATATAATCAGACGTTCAATATGTCCATCATTTTAAGCCCTCAATTTTGGCCTCAACTGGTCAATAGGATCATTTACCGTACAACAACTCAGTCAACAATTCAACTCAAGGGACTGAGTTGTTGTACGGGGTTCATGGTACACCAATTCTGTTAGTTCTTCCAATACGTGATAGTCGCAGATGTTGGATGATCGGGTGATCTGGGGGGGGGCAGTGATTAAGGGGGGTGAATCTGGGCACATTTTCCTTGAAACATTTGACACTCTTGTGGGATCTGTGGATTGGCACCTCATCTTGTTGGAAAATGTAATGATTACCACGTAACAGAACTAAACTAACAGAATTGGTGTACCATGAGCCATACAATGTTTAGAAGAGGAATCCATTGTCTCAACAGCATATCAATGATGCTATTGACCAGTTTAGGCCAACATTGAGGGCTTAAAATTATGGACATATAGAACGTCTGTTTATATATAAATAAAGTTGACAAAAAAACTTGATGGTTTTTGCAAGTTTTGGAAAACACGATTTCAAACGAAAATGACGACATTTATATTATGGGCGCTGGTTGACAGACATTATAATAATTTTGAACATATGACATATCAAATTAAAGATAAATAAATTCGCTGTCCATTGGTATATAATAGGACATGATTTCAACAACAAAAATCTATATTTATTTTTTAAATACGAGTGTCCCATTTTTGGACCACCCTGTATATCTGAAAATCGCCAAATATAAATCGGCTAAAAAGGTTGGGGTTGTCAAACGTTGAAAAATCAGGAGCTATAGTTTTAAACTTTACATCTTATTTCCTTTTTGATACCACGTCATACCTAATTTTTGTAAACCAACGACTTCACCTTATTCGAGGATACACTCAGTGTTAGCAAACGGCAGAGAAAGTATGATTTGCATGTCCAGTGAGAACATATTAGAAAAAAATGTATTTTAATGAATGTTGGAACCTTACATTTAAATTAGAAATAAAGGCGGTTACTGTCGGACCACAGGGGCTTATTCAAATCTAACCTGCAGTAAAATCACGTCAACCTAACGCTTATGTCTTTAAATAGGTAAATTCATCAACTGTGAAATTTTCGTTATTTGAAAAAACTGAAATTTTTCGTTTTCGGAAAAGCGCCTTGACGGAAAAACATTCACAAATTCGCATTTCTTTGCTCATAAAAAGCCAATTTTTGATATTTCTTGTATAGGGAGAGGTGCGAAATTCTCTGGTCCTCTGGGCCTATCTAATGGTCGGCTACGGGTAAGACCAAGGCCGCCAAATATTTTCTACGATCCTGGCCCTCCACGTAATCCTATGGGTCCTATAAACCCTGAAGAATGTAAGTTACATAGATATAAATAACCAAACTAAATGATATGTACGAGTATTCCTATTGTATTAATTTCTAAGCCACCATAAACGCCAAAAACGATCTTAGATTATTAGAATAATATACAACGGGCCTTCATTAGCGGGCGTCCATTTGTTTAAGCTATTATAAGAAGATTCAAAAATTGTAGTATATGTAATAATATATATCTATCTTCATTTTTCACTTCATCATGTTGAAATAGTAGACTTGCTCTGCTTTGCTTTAGTTAAAATATGCCCTGCTAAATATCTCTCTGGAAATCCAATCACTCGAGAGAAGATAAGTAAGTGTCAATACTTCACTTGCTCACCGGGAGGAATATACAAGAAGCATAGCTGTCCAAATGGTCTGGCTGTCCAGGTATCCGTCCGAAGGAAATGGCAATACGATCGTACGGGGGTGGATTACATGCCATGTACCAGGATCTCTTTAGGGTGCGTCAAACCTATCGCTGGAAACGGTACAGGTCAAATATGTGAGTACATTTTTATAATATCGGTTAAGGCCAGGGTGCATGTTCGGAATTTTTTCTACATTCCCCAATCGAGTCACATGTTATTTTTCAAACAGGTAGGAATTCTTCCACACATTGTCTACATCTTCCAGTTTTGCATAAAGAGTGCACTTATGTGCCTCGAAAAGTCTGGTGGGAAGATTTGTTTTGTAAAATGTATAAAAAACGAGAAAATTCAGTGATAATTTTTTCTTGTTTTTTATACATTTTATCAAAACTTTCTTTTCTAGGTACATTAGTGCACTCGTTGTGCAAAAGTGAGAGATGTTGACACTGTGGGGAAGGAGTGATTCAAATTTGAAAAACAACATGTGACCCTATTGAGGGTAATTGCAGCAAAATTCCGAACATGCACCCTGACCTTAAGTATGAAAGTTCTGTGCAACGTTCCAGTCAAATATGAGAGTACAATATTAAGTCAACTCTTGTAGGATAAGAGAATGTGCAATTTTGGTCAAATATCAGTCTATAGCTACAAGCCTCTATAATCTCCTCCCCTTAGTAGTAGGGGGGGGGGGGGGTCACAAGAGCTTGTATCGAGACTTGTCAAATATGTGAGTAAATTGAGCAATTCTAGTCAAATGTTAGTAAAATGTTCAATAGGATAGTTTCTAAATAGCAGAAAAATCAATGAAATCTCGTGCTGCCATCTTTTATTCAGCTTTTAACTCGGGCTAGAGCTCCATTCATTTACATGCCAAAATCTTGGAAAAGTGGCTTAATTTCATGATTTATCAAAGTGTGTTTGTTGAATCTGTATAAAACTTGAATGATATACCACACGATGACCCTGTTTATGTACATGATGTGATTAAACATGCAAATGTTGATTGACATACAAATAATCCACGGATTTAAAGAATTTTAGCATTGCATCTCTGGACATTTGGCCCAAGTTTTTTTAAATTGTTATAGAAAATTATTCAAATTACATAACTGTGTAAATCAAAGCTATTAAAGGAGAAAACATTTCACTGAATTCAGATATGCCATTTAAAAGAAGGTAATGTAAGTCATTAAAGTCTAATATGCAAGTCTCTTAAAATCTCACGAAAAACGAGATTTAGCGAGATTTCAAAAGCTATATGGAAACTATACTAATTCAAGCCAAACATTTGAACACAGGTAATGAACAATTTCAGTCAAATATAAGAGTAATGAACAATTGCATCAAATGTGACAGCAATTCAAGTCAAACGTATGTGTAAATTCCTGCAACATAAGGGTGCCACATTAGTAATATGAAAGAAATGTATAATTCTATTGCATAACCACCTTTGATTCTGTCTAATTGTAGCCGATACGCCAGTGGAAATTTGTGGAATAGATTTGGTATTCGCCGCTGATATTTCCTGTTCAATTTCACCTGCCAATAAAGCTAAAGTAAAGAAGTTCATAATAGCAGCATCGAGTAGCATTCCAGTGAGGTCCCAGTATTCTAGGATTGGTGTTCTGACATTTTCTGACAAGGTTTACCATGTAGCTTACATGAATGAATTCACAAGGCAATCTCAAGTAAGCTGTAATTAGATTTAAAGGGACACAAACACGAACGCCAACCGCCGAAAAGCAACCGCCAAACGCCGAACACCGTCCACAAAAGAGTTAGAGACTGATAATATAACTGTTGGTAGTGACATAAAAACCATACTAGTATGCAATTTATAAAATTATTTTATTCATCATCAATATATGCCATGGGATACTACAAGGCTCTGCTTTTGATAAAGGTACGAACATGTCAAAATGTGTCTTTGATGTTTGTTCAGAAATTATGCATGAATCATGAATACCAACATGAAAATGTTATTGATTGGATCATAGCAAATATGTTCAAACAACAACGTACAAACCTACTTTGTGTGTTCCAAGATTTACCCGCCCTTACATGTTCCTCAATGACCATTAAAAAAGAAATAACCATTTATTCATTCGTGTTCGTCCATATAATATCTCTAAAAAATGACAATTCATTCATTTATGTTCGTCCATATATAATATTTACAAAGAAATGACCATTCATTCATTTATGCTCGTTTATAGAATATAATCGGAAATGATCGACCATTCATTCATTTATGCTCGTTCATATAATATAATCAGGGGCGTAGCCAGCTTTCAGTCAGAAGGGGGAGGGGTGCGATCGCCCAAAAAATTCGGTTTTCAGATTGTGGCATGAACAAGCCAAAAATACGATTTATCTTGAATTTTACAAAAATTGATGCAACTTCCTTCAAAATTGAGCTAGAAGCATAGTCATTACAAAAAATGACCATTCATTCATTTATGATCGTCCACATATAACATAATCATTACAAGGAAATGACCATTCATTCATTTATGCTCGTTCATATAATATAATCATTACAAAGAAATGACCATTTATTAATCTATGGTCGTCCATATATAATCAAAAATATGACCATTCATTTGTGTTCGTTCATATAATGTAATCATTACTAAAAATGTATGTTCATTCTTCTATCTTCAGCTTATTGAAAGACTTAAGGCGATGACAACTGAACCCCTCGCTTGTGGTACAAGAACCGATGAAGGATTGAGAGAGGCCAGAGAAAAATATTTTTCGAAAATGTTCGGTTCTAGACCAGATAGACAGGTAAACATTTATATTGATTTCAACGCATTTATTTTTTGTATTTCAGTACAATATTGAGAGTTAATGGGTTGCACGACTACTTGACATTATGTAATAGTTGTAATTATAATATATTATAATAACAAGCAATATAATATAATACAACAGGAAATGTTTGCGCTTACAGAAAGTTTTAATTGTGCTGTCCGACGGGTTTACATACCCAACGTCGTTCCAGAAGGACACTTTCTATCAGGCGAATCTTATACACAAAGCAAATATTCAAACACATGTAGTTGGACTCCCTAATTTGAAACTATTGAATCCACCAAAGGATGCCAAGGGAAAGGCGACCAATCGATTCACACCCGAGGCTGCACGAGAGGAGTGGCTTAAGATTGCATCAAAACCAGAAAATGTATTCACGCTCTCATCATTCGACCAGTTATTTTTACAACTAAATCAAATTGTCAAAACAGCTTGTTTCACAATTTAGTAACGAATATGTAGAAATTGTACAACTTCGAGCTATGAATCAAATTATGAACCCGTCCAGTAAACCAATATCATACCGCCTCATATCATACTATACCCAATCTATCATATGAATTAAATCCATAAACCCGTCTAATAAACCAATATCATACCGTATCATATTGTAGTTAAGCAATCCTATCAATCAAATCTTTAAACCCGTCCATTAAACCAATATCATGTCGCCTCATACTATACCAAATCTATCATATGAATTAAATCCATAAACCCGTCCAATAAACCAATATCATACCGTATCATACTGTAGAATAGCTATCCTATCAATCAAATCTATAAACCTGTCCATTAAACCAATATCATACCGCCTAATACTATACCCAATCTATCTTATGAATTAGATCCATAAACCTGTCCAATAAACCAATATCATACCGTATCATACTGTAGAATAGCTATCCTATCAATCAAATCTATAAATCCATCCATGAAACCAATACCATGCCGCCTCATACTATACCCAATCTATCTTATGAAATTGATCCACAAACCCGTCCAATAAACCAATATCATACCGTATCATACTATAGAATAGCTATCCTATCAATCAAATCTATAAACCTGTCCATTAAACCAATATCATACCGCCTCATACTATACCCAATCTATCTTATGACTTAGATCCATAAACCTGTCCAATAAACCAATATCATACCGTATCATACTGTAGAATAGCTATCCTATCAATCAAATCTATAAATCCATCCATGAAACCAATACCATGCCGCCTCATAATGTAGACAAGCTATCTTATGAATCAAATACAGGCTTTGTATAAAAAACCACCTACCTCATACCCACCTAGGCACCTACCCACATACGTTGGACATGATACAATCTTTGAAGGGTTCAATTTTAAAGATCTTAGTTTATTAAATCTTAGTTAATGATGAAATATAGATGCATTTGTAACGACCCTTGATAGCAAGTTGCTACTACAGCCAAGCTGGGTTCGATTCCCACTCGGGGCATCGAATTTAGCACACTTTCTTTCAATTTCTTTATCTGGCTTGTTGGACCTATGCTCGCGGTCGTAAGTTAGTTATTCCCCAGGGGCGCCCTCGGGTCATTACGCATTACAATGTACTTATATGCCTTTATTTATGGATCTGCCATCCGTCTAGTCATAAAATAAAGCCGGAATTGAAGAAATGTTAATAATTAGAGCTATTTTAATATTTAAAAATCTTTAAATTGAACCCTTCAATGATTGATCATGTCGGTATGGGGTAGGAGGTTTTTTATACAAAGCCTCAAATGCATAAACCCGTACATTTTTTTTATAATAAAGTTAATCTATCTGACAAAAATAAATAAATTAGGAAATTTTCTTGATGATTATATAATGTGTAAGCAGGTTATTCGATCTTATATTGTATTACCAGATTTGCAGGAATAATATGAACTGGTCTCCTTATGTACTGAGATCCATTCCTCATCTATGAAGACCAATGGAATAGTTCGACATTACAGATATTTCGATTAAACTCTGTCATAGTTTGCTGTATACTAAATAAGAAAGAATCGTGATGTCATATGTTGTGTGTAGCGGACGACGGCCAATATATGCTCCTCAAAAAAGTTAAGGGGCCGTTAAGGACTGGTCTTTTTCCTCATAGGTTCACATGTTAAACCTCATGTATCTTTGAACTCTATTTTCTAAGTCCGAGATGAAAGAAAAACTGATAGTGTAAATGGGCATGTACCTTGACTCTATTCTCTATATTTCAGAAAAGTTTCAATTGAATCTCTCTGTTACAATAGGTCAAAAATTGATGTCAAATTTGATGAAGTTTAAAAAATGGTAGAACCTATGTTAACCAATGGGAAATGGTTGGGTTGATAAAAGTCATATGAGAAAATATCCATCCATCATATTGCTCTCAAAAATGGAATCTAAATAGACTAATGAATTTGCTATCTTGTCTTCAACAAGAGTTTCAAAAGTCACTCAACAAAACTCTCAGTTAAATACCATTCTACCATTTTTTTAATTCATCAAATTTGTCATCAATTTTTGACCTATTGTAATAGAGAGATTTAATTGAAAATTTTCTGAAATATAGAGAATAGAGTCAAGGTACATGTTCATTTACACTATCAGTTTTTCTTTCATTTCATACTTAGAAAATACAAAATGGAGTTCAAAGATACATGAGGTTTAACATGTAAACCTATGAGGAAAAAGACTGGTCCTTAACATTTTTGAGGAGTATATATTGGTTCCTCGGGTGCAGCAAAAATGTGGCAGAGTTATCTAAAGGTCTATTTTTCAGTTTTGTAATAACACATTTGCACAATTTTATATCCAGAAATCAGAGACATGTAATATATAATGTGCATGAATATCTGTTAGAACGAAATAGTTTAAGCCAGAATATACAGTTATAACAAAGAAGACACAACGTGATTTTTGTTCAATATACAATTCATATTACCCTTTGCATTCGTTTGACTTCACTTCTTAAAAGAGAGCTTCGTCTTCACTCTTTCAAACTCAAATAAACCTGTGAACTGACCGCGCCAATCAGTGTTCGTCGGCTAAATTTGACCGACGTTCTTTATATGGTCATTCCTTCTGACGTCATCGTTGAGCCCGGAATTGACCAATGACATGCGCATATTTAATTAGAACGCATTTGGCGTATGTTTCTTCAAGCTCGCTGATTAGCGCGTAGGTCAAAAGTGATATAGCGAAACTGTCACCAGTACCCGTCATGGGGGCGGGGCTACTAAACTGTAATATGGTCTCTACTAGGCAGAGTGTAGTTTAACTAGACTCTGCACGCAGGGTAAATTCATATATACAGTGATACTATTTTACCATACTTAATGAATAGGTATTGAATGTAGACACGGTGGTATAGGACTAAATAATAAGTCTTGTCTACGCGTTTTCAGGTGAACCGTTTGGTAGATCAATTTCAAATTTTCAGGGATGATTCTAAATATGAATATCTAGATCTGATTAGTTTTTTGGCATTCTGGATAAATGTCAAGGCAGCCATTTTGGATTTTCCGTCTTAAAATCTTGCCCGTAAAGTCTTGTCTACACGTTTTTAGGTGAACCGTTTGGTAGATCAATTTCAAATTTTCAGGGATGATTCTTAGTATGAAAATCTAGATCTGATTAGTTGTTGGGCATTCTGGGTAAATGTTGAGGCAGCTATTTTGGATTTTCTGTCCTAAAATCTTGTCTGTAAAGTCTTGTCTACACATTTCCAGGTGAACTGTTTGGTAGATCAATTTCAAAATTTCAGGGATGATTCTTAGTATGAAAATCTAGATCTGATTAGTTTTTATGCATTCTGGATGAATGTCAAGGCAGCCATTTTGGATTTTCCGTCTTAAAATCTTGCCCGTAAAGTCTTGTCTACGCGTTTTTAGGTGAACCGTTTGGTAGATCAATTTCAAATTTTCAGGGATGATTCTTAGTATGAAAATCTAGATCTGATTAGTTTTTGGGCATTCTGGGTAAATGTCAAGGCAGCCATTTTGGATTTTCTGTCCTAAAATCTTGTTTGTAAAGTCTTGTCTACGCATTTCCAGGTGAACCGTTTGGTAGATCAATTTCAAATTTTCAGGGATGATTCTTAGTATGAAAATCTAGAACAGATTAGTTTTTTGGCATTCTGGATAAATGTCAAGGCAGCCATTTTGGATTTTCTGTCCTCAAATCTTGTCTGTAAAGTCTTGTTTACATGTTTTCTGGTTAACTGTGTGACAGATCAATTTCAAATTTTCAGGGGTGGTTCTTAGTATGAAAATCTAGAACTGACTAATTTTTTGGCATTCTGGGTAAATTTTAAGGTGGCCTTTTGGATTTTCCGTCCTCAAATTATGTCGGTAAAGTCTTGTCTACTCATTTTTAGGATAACCATTTGACGATAAGATTTCCCCTAGGTACCACGAAAAGGAACTATAAGCCCCTGATGTGTAAATTACATGGTCACCCGTTTTTAACAAAGTTTTTTACCATGTGCAACAGCATTATCATTCTGCAGTTGAATGTTGCCCCAAAACACCACGGGGGTGTAGCATTGCTCTAAACAACCTCTGTGATACTGCTCCAAACATAAATAGGACTGCCTTCATGGACTACCACATCAGTAAGTGTCCTTATTGTCTCCTTCCCCTGCTAGTTTACGACAAAAACGAACACAATTATCAATTTTGTGGAGGGGACATTTTTCATCACAGGCTGTCATATGACACCAAAGATGAAGTCCAAAGTTTTGGTGCCTTCTTGCCCATTTAAGTCACCTTTCTTTGTTATGGTCAGTCAGCTTTGGTCTCTTTAAATGTCTTATGGCCTTGTATCCGTTATAAAAAATCACCGGTTGTTTATAGCTCTGAAACACGGGTTTTGAGCTGGGGCAGCAATTCATCTCGTAGACTTCTGGTTGACTTGAAGCGATTTTGATGACATGAATGCAGCAGGTGGTGGTCTTTTCTTACATTTTTCTCACTTGGGCTACTATTGCTGTGACCTGGTGTCACATTCCTGTGGCTTTGGTACCGCTGCAGAATTTTAGAGACTGTTCCTGACACACCATTAGGGTCCTGGCAATGGCATTTTGTTTCATGCCGGAAAGCGCCATCCCTATGACTAGCCATGCTCTTTTTCGCTTATTCTATGGGGAATGACTTCTAAAAACTCTTCCAACTCAAAATTAGATGTTTATGAAATGTGTACAATGATTACAACTTAGATTTAGTCGCCTCTTTCAAATTACCAACATCATGACGCCATGGGGTCACTTGAGTGAATGCAAGTTTACTCAACCATAAATGTTTTAACTTTTCATACCAATCAGTTTTATATGCAAATTTTCAACAAAATGTCATCATTTTGTAGAAATTCCATCAAACAATTTATAGCTATAAGATATTCCATATTTATGAGCAACAGAATGTTATAGACAAAGCTGGGCAAGGTGTGTCCGATTTCAACCAATCCGAACACAGCATTTCGTTTAACTGCACTGCATTATTATTGAAATAAATGCTAATGCCAACTTGACCCTCGAAAAATTTTCATCGAAAATATGTCCTGTTTAGTGAATTCGTATCTTTCATGTGATTTTGTTTGTGCGAAAAGAAATTAACCCTAAAACTTGATGGATCGGGGCTGATTCACTCTTCTCGGGCGTTATTTCCTAAACTTCACACTCGACGCTGCGCATCTCGTGCAAAGGTTGAATTAACACCTTTTTGAGAAATGATTTAGTCCAAGGGTTGAATCCTTCAATCACTTTTTGCCTACCAAGAGCACGGAGTCTAGTTTTAAACTAGAGAAAAAACAGACAAATGTAAAGGATAATGTTTATACTTACGCAAAGAGTATAATCATTTCCCTGGTGATTAAAAGGCATTCATTTTATGTTTACTTAAAGTACCATCATTTCCCATGACGACATTTAACAAATATAATATACAAAGTAATTGTAAAGGCGTTAATGGTTATCATGTAACACGTCTTAATACAACAATAGTACCAGTAGATATCATCATATTAACGTATATATATCTTCAAATGGACACGGAACAATTGGAAAGCGGAAATGTTAAAATCTAAGACATAATTTTGATGAGGAATTGATGAAATGGGACCAGATATATTTAGATTTCTGTTATGTTGTGTTTTAGTAGAACATGGTAAGTTAACTTTGTGATGGTAGAAATATATTAACGTCAGAGATTTAGAATTTATTTCATTTTAGCTCTTGGGTCCATTGATTTATGATAGCTCAAAGTACGAAGTTTGAAACTGATAAATGAAACACGCAAAAATACAAATTTTTCATTATTCTTAAATGACATTGATTTATAAATTCCATTTACATTATACAGAATAAGTTATTGTTTCTGGTATTTTCGTTTAATGGAAATTCCATGGAAAAATCGAATTCATCCTATACAATGTTTTTACCATTTGTTTTCAACAGTGTCTGTATAAAAGGAGCGTTTCACTTTCTTCAATTTTAAGACTATGGCCTGCGATCTAAAAGTTCTCAAGGCTTTTGTTTACTTGAAATTTTAAAACAGGATAAATATTTTCAAAATATATCTTGGTTTTATAAATAAAATGCTGGGGCTTTGTTGAGTTTTGAGTATATAAATGTCCATGATTTCGTTGAATATCTTAATAAACAAGTAATCTATTACAATCAATTAACATTTCCGTTACAGGTATAGGTTTTAGTAGATTTGCCATCGATATATTTCAACGACCACGTCCTCGACCAATGTCTGATGATATACGTAAGTACAACCATAGATATATAGATTTTACTCGTATGGAGGATAGTATATGTATTTCATCAGAGGAATGATCATATCAATCATATCGGAGGGTATTCCTCCGCACATACTGTACTGACTTCTGTATAAATTACCCTCTCTGCAGTAAAAACTATCAACACTTAAAGGGGTATTCCTTGCCAGACTATCTCTCTCCTAATATGGTAGCTATAACCATATACATACTTTGCAAGTTCATCAAAAACAGAAAAATGTTTTGAAATGGTCAATTTTGATCACTAAAAAATGTAGTGCTCAATTCCAGTAGGCTGCCATCTTTTAAGATTTCACTCAGGAAGTGATGTCATCGACTCTCAACTTTGCATATAACATTAGGTAAGAAGCTATTAGAATCACTAAACCAGCTGAATATTTTTTTCAATTTGGTCTATGATTAAAATCCTTTTGATGATCTCTTCTTTAGTTATGAGTTTACAACTCCTGAAAATATTTTTACACAGAAGATAAGGGCTTCTTGTTTAGAAGTGCTTTTGTACTTCTTTCCTATACTGTAATAGACAAGGTTGAGACAGGTGAGACAGGTGAGAGTCGATGACATCACTTCCTGAAAGAAATCTGAAAAGATGGCAGCTTACTGGGAATGAGTACTACATTTTTAAATGATCAATATTGACCAAATGAAAACATTTCCCCGTGTTTTGCTAAATATGTAAAGTATATATATGATTGTAGCTACCATATCAGGAGAGAAATAGTCTGGCAAGGAATGTTCCTTTAATGTTTTTTCTCAGTAAAAAAATGTTCAATATACACAGGTTTTACTGCAGTGTGTTCTAGACTGGTGTAGGGTTTATGTCCCACAAGGTATAAGTTTATAATATAATAGCAAATATCCAAGGTGTGTGTGGAAGCAAATGTAATTTTTTCATCTTCAAGGAATATGCAAAGGGAAATACTCACATGGGGATCCTAACACTAACGAGAAAATAACCAAATGTGAATATTTTACGTGTATATCTGGAATTTACAAAAAGAAAAAGTGCCCAAACGGACTGGCCACACATGCGGCGTTCAGACGTTTATGGACTCAAGACAAAATGGGAGATGATTACTTCCCTTGTACCAAAATGTCTTTTGGATGTGTATTGCCGATAGCAGGAGAAGGACCAAGGCAGCTTTGTAAATAAGTTTAATTTGAATAAATATAAAGATATCGAGACATCCTTATTTTATCAACTCCTTGCAATTCGCCAATTGAGTTTTTTTGAAATATGCATATTATTAGCATCCTATATGGCATTTGTATTTAGAACTGGTCACAATTCATTGCAGCCAATACCAAAGTGGAAATTTGTGGAATAGATTTGGTATTCGCTGTTGACATGTCCTGTTCGATCTCTAATGACAATAAAGCTAAAGTGAAAAGGTTCATCATAACAGCAGCAAGTAGTATTCCAGTGAGGTCTCAGTATTCTCGGATAGGTGTACTGACATTTTCAGAAAAGGTTTATCACGTGGCGTATATGAATGATTACACACGTCAAGCACAAGTGAGTGAATTTGAATCTGGTTTTATTGAACCTGGTTTTATTTCGTTAACGTTTTTTTTATTTAACGTTATTCCTTACATTTTTAATTACTTTTTAATCAGACCTGGTGTCCTTAAACATCATCATTTTGACACACTTAAGCAAAATAAAAACCATTTCCTAATATGTTAATTATTTGGTAAATATGCACACATAGTGGCCAAAGGGAAATCCAAAAAGAACTAGTATAGGGCACAAAGTAAAAAAGCCACCGGAAACCACGAGAAAGGAAATGAACCCAGTATCATGAAACGCATGTAACAGTTTGAACATACGGACCCCTCCCCCACTATAACTTAACTCAATATCATAAATCAAAACAACAAAACAATGGGATATTTCAGAAGAATGCTTAGACATCAAATAACGTTTGACCATGTGTTATATGTCATTTATGAACCTTGCATTTTCCAACACAGCTTATTGAACGGCTAAAGCAGATGAATACTGACCCTTTAACATGTGGGACCAGAACTGATGAGGGACTGAGGTTGGCTAGGGAAACATACTTTTCAGAGCTTTTTGGTTCAAGGAAAACAAGACAGGTGAAACTTTAACTTTATTTGTAGCATGACAATAATATTAAAATAACACAATACATGTAGTATTAGTTTTAGAAAGATGTGACCGTTACTTGTAAATAGATATGAAGTCGGGCTATTGGCAGGCTAGAACAAAATTTAAAATAAGGCTTGTGGGTTTCGTATGTTGAAATTTATGAAATCATAAAAAATACAGTGAACCAGAAATTAGACCCTGGGAAATTAGATAATCTTCAATATTTGAAGATTTTCAGCAAGTGTGTCCTTTGTGTATCTTGACGACTTCATAATTTGAGATGTAGTGGTCATTATGGTCGTCATTACATACCTTATTGAACTGACACATTTGAATTGGTATTGTTTTTCCAGAAAGTTCTGATAGTTTTATCTGATGGTTTTACCTATCCGCTATCATTCCAAAAGGACACTTTCTTCCAAGCAGCTCTTATACACAAAGCAAAGATTCAAACTTATGTCGTTGGACTTCCAAATATAAAACTCGAGGATCCACCTAAGAATGCAAAAGGCGTCGTTAATACTCGATTCACACACGAAGCTGCAATGGAAGAGTGGCGTAAGATTGCATCAAAACCTGAAAATGTCTTCACAATGTCATCATTTGACCAACTGTTCTTAAAACTAAATGACATCATTAAATCTGCATGTTTCACAATTTAATTAGACAAACACTTTACATAACATTTATAGACATATCTGTTTAATATATGAAAGTTCTATAATTCAGGTTAAGCAAGCATTGTGTTTGTTATATGTGAATGCCATTTGAAGTGAATAACCTTACTGACTAACAATGAATGACCAGGTCTTTGTTGTTTCTTGGTCATTGTTTACTTTATTCAAAGGATGTGTTATAAAATCACCATAAATCACATTATAAGGAAATATACTATTTCTTTAGTGATGTCCATTTAAAGTAGAAATGCAAATGTTTTCTGATTAATTATTTCAAGGACTAAAAATAGAACCATAATTCATCGAGGAAGAGACGCACGTATGTTATTTTATATATGCATTGTAAGTGTTTCATGGACATATGTAAATAAATGATATTTTGCCTAATGTTTTTTCATATTTTATTGCCATCGTTTGTTTGCTGCCTCCAAGAAGGGGCTTTATATATCAGGCCAATTTGATTCTGGATTCCCTTTCTTTGCTTGATACGTCCTCTGGATAGTACGTTGTACAACAGGAGATGTTACTATGGATATATACAACGGTATTTATTTGTGCGGTATTTAATACAGGTAGGTGTACATCTTTTACTTCTGATTCAAAAAAGGATGATCCTTATAGTAATAAATGATGAAATTATACTTGACCTTTAAAGGATTGGTATCGATATGGAGAACTGAATTCAACAACGTTTTTCTCTTAAACCAAGCATTTGAATACAAAGTTTCAGCATGGGTACAGTTTTTGTCACCCCTTACCTTTTAAACAGGCCACATTACCTTTTTTGAAGCTCTTTGCAGTGTTTTTATTACTAAACACCAAAACATTGCGCCATGCAGATTTAGTATTGCAGACGTTCGCAAAACGTTTTCAAATTTTATATTCTCTTTTTAATCTTAAGAACATAATTTTTACCAAAATCAATTGATGTCATACTTAAAATGCAGTTATGTGGTAAAAAGCAGAAAATATATATTACTAAAAGTTGTTTTTAGAAAGCAACCTTGTGTTACCCCAATTTAGAGGGAAATGCCCCTGTTACAATCAAAAATGAAATATATTTCCTTAATAAGGGAAGTTATTACTTTCAAACGATATATTCATTTATGTTCATTTTGTGACGGAGTACCAGACAACGACACTATTGGCTTTTAATGTAAGAATCTTTCCATTAAAGGATCTCATTTTTCCTTCACATGTTTTTCTTTTCCAGTCGTTATCGACGCCGCTCAGAAGAAGAATAAATTTAATCTACGGGCGTTCAAACGAGCTCCTCCTAGGAGACAGAACGACCCAGGCCCAGGTAAGTTGTAAGGTTATGAGTTAGAAGAATAAAGAAACCTCAACACTTTGCGTGTGTATATAGGAAGAAAAATGCAGTGGACTAAAACGTACTTTCTGTTCAAATATACAACATTGGTTATGAGCATATCATCATTCCAGAAGTAGTGACATATCATTACAGTCTCCACTTTTTGAGGACGGTGTTCGGTGCTAATGCCTTGTTCAATTTTGGAGTGTTCCATTGAGTTAAATTCAATTTCAGATGGTCCAGGAGATTGTAGGGCAAGATATCTGAGTGGTAACCCACACACTAACGATACTGTGAGCAAATGCAAGTACTATGAATGTAACGGAGGAGTATACACAAAAGTCAATTGTCAAAATGGATTGGAAGTGTTTGGTGATCTGAGAAAAATGTGGAAAGAGGACCGGAGCGGTACAGATGTATATCCCTGTGTGAAACACAGTGTGAGCTGTAAGAGAAAAATCGCTGGCGAGGAAAGAGGACAAATACGTAAGTATGCAGTTTGCAGTTTTCTATGCAGTGTGAGAGGCCATTTATTCGTGAAAACATCAAATGAAATTATCAATCATGCTTGAGAATGATAATTAGTTTTGACACTGCAATTACACTACACTACGTGAAATAAGTTTGGAGGAACTCAGGAACTAATCTGTAGCTCCAACAAAAAATACTTTAAGTAAACTCTTTTCCTTTGTTCTCTATACAGAGAAAGTGTGAGATTTACACAATGGGTCAATAGTAAAACACCAAAACACACCGCCATCTTTCTAACAACTCAACACCTATGACTTATCTCAACCTTTACAACGTTTACTTTTTCCTCTATAGCGGACAGGGTAGTAAAAGTGTGTGGAATTGACCTTGTTTGGGCTGTTGACATATCCTGCTCAATCCACCCAGATAATAAAGAGAAGGTGAAGAAGTTCATCAATAAAGCGGTAAGAAGCATTCCAGTCCGGGCACAATACTCCAGGGTGGGGGCGTTTACCTTTTCTGACAAGATCTACAACGTAGCATATATGAACCAATACCTTCGACAAGGCCAGGTAAGTTTCTTCAGTAGTGTCCTTATGTTCTCTAGGGTGACCTACACCATTAATATTATAGCTGTTTATAAATTAGTTCCTCGTGTCTAGATCGTCATTATCTCTACAAATAAGCATTAGATCAAACTGCGGCATTTCAGGTATATGTGATTTTGGTAACAGTCAACCATGTAAGGGACTTGTCATTTTATAGAACTATTCCATTTAAATGACTTCACACTCTGTGTTGCTTTTGATTTATATTCATAATTTTGATAAACTATCGTTGTTTCTCATTTGAAACGCTGATAGCTTATGAAAGCTCTGGCAGCGATGCGTCTAGAGCCAGACCAATGTGCCACGATGACGAATGAAGCACTGAAGGCGGCCAGGGAAATTTATTTCAACGAGGAATTTGGCGCAAGAAGTGGAAGACAAGTAAGCATATGATTTCAGCCATGGTCTCTTTCTTCTTGCCTGGAATTTATAACTGACCAACTAGTACATTCTGGCTAATATTTTCGATTAATCTCAGCGTTACTAAACGGCCTACTTTTTATTCACATACCATGGGGACATACAATGCAATTATAACTCGTGCTATCCTTCGTTTGAAATATAGACACACGCCTCGGAGCAATGTTTTTTCTTCTTCGTCATAGGTTCAATTTTTGATTGGCTCTGACTCAAGAACCATCCGAAAGTTGGATTTTAATCCTAGGATTTTTCAATTTCATAAAAATGTCATCATGAAACAAACATTAGAGACTTACAGTAGATATTATCATACAATTGTATAATTGAAAATAAACAGCAAATTTGCATGTTTTAAACGAATTGCTGATTTAGATCATATAATTTTTCGCATCATGGCCTCTCTGTGTCATCATTATAGCAGTATTGTGCCCCAGGGGTCTGTTTTGGAACCCCTACTATTTCTAATTAATATTAACCACTTATCCGACAATTCTCTACTTGAACTGTTTACTTGAGTTTGAACCTTACTCAATTCAAAGGAAAGCATATTTTCTATTGAATGGAGATAAGAAATTTGGACATTGAAACAAATAAAAAAACTGATTGAAATCACTGCTCACTATACTTTTCAAGCTATACAAAGTCTGGGACATGGTAATTTTTAACATTAGATTTTGATACCATCACTTAGGTCCGGGGAACAAGCAAACCAAACAACAACAAAAAAAGAAAAAATCTTCTCTGAACATTTTGTGTATTTCTAAATATCAATTTTTTATTTATCAACATTGTTCCAATTGCCGATAATGTTGTCTTGTCAACAATGGCAATTTGTACATATGTAATCTATTGATTTGTAGAAATAAATGTGAAGTAAGCCTACGTAAAAGAATTATAGCAGCATTGGAAGATTACTAGTATGAAAACGTAATATCCCTTTTTTCTTTGATTATTTACAGAAGGCACTAATAGTATTGTCTGATGGGTTCACATATCCAAAAAAGTTCCAGGAGGATACGTTTCATCAAGCAAAACTTAACCACAAGAGGGGCATACAAACGTTTGTGGTTGGCTTACCGAACGATAAACTAGCTCAACAGAACGCAGGGGATAAAAATGCTGCATTTGCAGGCATGGTTGAATGGAACGCCATTGCTTCTAAACCTGAAAATGTTAAAACAATGCGATCATTCGATGAACTATTCGATGTTGTTTCGGACATAATAAAAGCTGCATGTTTTGAATTATGAAATGATTTCCAAAAGTATACAGATCCAACGTTTAAACAATTCAGATTCTCTTTTAATTTTGCAATTGTAAAAGCCTTCTAGGAAAACTCAAAAACAGTAAAATGAGCTCTGTATCAACATTCACAGAATATGTCAATATTTGTAAACCCCCGCAAGAGTGACGCATTATTATGAAAAAATGTCTTTCCATGACATCAGAAAACCCAATTACTTTTACACGAGAGAGGATTAAATAAAACTCGAATCCGAAAGTAAGTTATTGTTTCGTCCACCATCGGACGCGGATTTATTAAATGGATATATAAGTTAATTATCGAAACATTGAACTCTTTACATAGGCTGCATGACATACACTATAAATAAATATTTGAAATGTCCAATGTATTTTCACGGATTAGATACAATGGGTCATTAAAATCACACTGCTAAGCCTTATATCTACAATGGTCAGTTCTTCTGAGAGATATACAGATTATTGACAAAAGTTGTTCGTGTTAATATGGAGATGTTTTGGATTTACTGGATTGTATTCACATATCTTTCAAAGTCACTAGGTAAGTGTAGCTAAAGTCAAGGTAGTCATCATTTTGTTGAAAAATCTGAAAATCAAAGTACAAATTACCCAATGATTAATTTAACCCAGCTCCATGGATATCAGGTTCGATTTCGGGTGGATTAACTTGGCTCAGCTAATTTGAATTATTGAATTATTCTAACAGACAATAATGAATCATATGTATTCATATAATATTATATTATCATACTTTACATCTCTGTTTTAGAGGCAGCAAAGTTCTTCATTCCAAAGTTACAACTACCAAGAAATCACGACCCTCTTTTAAACAACAATGACGTTTCAAACCCCGATTTTTCAAGAAGTAAGATACATTAGCTTATGTCACGAGACCTTTTTGAGATATCAGGTATTCTATACTTATAACATAGTTTTTGCACTTAAAACTGTCATTGGATTGCAACCTAAAAAATATAATGGTTTAAATATTAATGATCACATACATCAATATATTGTAACCATGTTTCTCTTGTAGGATGTGTGTCAAAATATTGGTTTGGGGACCCTTTAACAAACACAACTCATGGAATATGCAACTATTTTGTATGTAATCACGGTATATATACTAAAACAGCATGCCCAAGTGGACTTAGTGTACTTGGGTCATTAAAAAACCGATGGCATAAAAAGAGAATAGTGCAGTCAGAATGTGGGTTTCGGCGTGCGTTCAGAGGGATTTTATGAGACATAATTTTTCATGTTACTACTATGATTATACATATTTATATGGATTATTAGATCTTAGTTTTTCAGCTTTTAGATTTTGTGGCCATTTTACCCCCCATGGGCTAAAATTTGGACCCCTACTATAAAATTGGGCAAGAACTCAAAAAATACTCAGTGGAATGTTTCCAAATTACTAAATTATATTGGTATAGGCTTACTAAATATATGATAAAAATTTCATGTCACATGGTTAAGTGGTTGCCATGGAAATGGATAAAACATGCCCTTCGAGTGTCAATTTTCAGGCCAATTTTTCAGGACTGACAGAGTCATTTCATGCATATTTTGTCACCAATGTGTTAGGAAGGGTTAAAATGTAAATAGAAAACTTCTATAATATATTAGCAACAATTGCATGTAAAGATCAGTCCACAAAACCTCAGATGTTGGCCTTGTATTGGTCCATGACTTATACAGGGGTCTATTTCATAGACTCGAGCTCCCACATTGGATGGATGCTATAACTTTTGAAATAATGGAGATACAGGTCTCATTTTTTCAAATCTTCATAAATGGTTAGTTTTAAGTATTTTATTATACTTTGGGAGCTGACATATGATTGGTTGCCATGGTAACCGGGGTTTTAGGGAAATTCTCACCCTTACATTGGATGGATGCTATAACTTTTGAAATAAGGGAGATACATGTCTCATTACTTCAGATCTTAGACAATGATTGATTATAAATGTTAAATTAGACTTTGGGAGCTGAAATTTGATTGGTTACCATGGTAACTATAGTTTTATTGAAATTTGGACCTCAATTGATAAATGGTTTAACATTTGAATTTAAGCAGATACAGATATTATCATTTCAGATCTTAAAAATTAATTAGGTTTGTGTATTGAATTAGACTTTGTAGCTTAGCATTTACTTGATTGCCATGGTAACCATGTTTCGTCGTCATGGTACCCTTAATTTTTTGTTCCATTCTTACCTTCATTTGAGAATGTTCAATTCACAACATGTTATACCGAAATGCTCAAAATTGTCATTTTGCTCTTAATTTCAGCAATTTATCCTGTATGTCTGACAGTATAGCCTCATTACATTCTACTAGTTCTCACACATATTCTGACTCCCAACTTGTTTTACTCATCATTATGGTTTTCATCTTCCACAATTGCCTCTTAATTAAAAATATCAACAATTTCTATTGGAAAGAAGGATTCTTTTGACCATTCTTGTGTTAAAGATTTGTCAGGGAATTCACAGTTCATTCATGCAGTGTTGGGCATAATGGTAGAGCTGGGTTTAGGCTGGTGGGAATGTGTCCATATATAGGTTTGATAATTTACCCTCTTCAAATGTGAAAAAATGTCAACACCTTCATAAGTGAGGGCAGCACTGTTCTGTTTTGTTCTGTATCTCATGGGAAACAGCTCATCTCATAATCTATTAGTGGCAGTTTTTTTCTATTTCTGCTATATTTTTGCAGGTGAACAATTCAACTTTCGACTTTATGGTAGCGGGAATTCCTATATTGTTTCCTATTGAAGAAAATAACTTTAAGAATTGTTTGTCTTCCGTTTCAGTTGATTTACTTTTCCTTTGTTCAGAAAGGCACTGGAGGAATCTGATATAGCTAATATAGCTTCACACAGGACTTGGTCCTAGGTTTGCAGCTACAGGGGTTGGGTTGAGCTTCTGACATCTAATGGGACAGAGTTCACATCAGTTGAGCTTCTTAAGGTTGTTTTCTTCATAATAGGAATCAATATAGAAATTCCTGACACAAAAAAATTCAAAGTTGAATTGTTCACCAGTAAAAGTACAGCAGAATTACAAAACTATATTTGTAACTTACATCAATAGATAACTATATGAGCTGTTTCACATAAGATACTATTCTCCAAACCAGAACAGTGCTGCCCTCACTTATGGAGGTGTTGACATTTCAACTCTTCCCATCTTTCAAGATTGGTCCTTCACTGCTTTCATAGCAGCTAATATAATGGAATGAATTAAATGATGAACTCTTCTTCCTTGTAATGATTGCTCATTATAACATTTGAAGAGGATGGATGATAAAACTTATATTTGGAAGTGGAAACATTACCCCCTGTCTCCCGGGAGTTCACTGTATATAAACCTTGAGGGGATCCTCAGCTCAGGTGGGGTACTTTTGACATTTGATATGGCAATGGACCCAAATTTTAGGATCTGGTATGAGAATGCTCTCTAAATTATGACTTGAGAGGTATGGCAATGGTATTTGGGAATGGTCGTGAAAAGTATGTTGCCCCTCACTTGTTGTACATGTATGGCATTGATCTAGTATATCCTTGATGTGTGGTTGCTTTTGGTTGTTTTCCTTAAAGATCTGCCTTCTCGAGGCATTAGAAATTTTTGAATGGCCATGTTTTCACATCTGGATATTTGGAATGACACTGTTCCTATATTTGGGCATTTGGTATGGCTTTTGGGCATTATTTTGGTTGATATCGGAACACATTCAAATTTGACAGATTGGATGGGAACATATTGATATCTGAGGGTTCAGCCTAGGATCGCAGCCAAATTTTATATTCAGTGAACCCATAAGGACCAGTCTTAACCCATTCTGCCAAGTCCAATACTGCATGAATGGACTATATCCCCTGAGGATCCTTATCTCCAGAATGGTCAAAACAATCCTTCATTCCAACAGAAATTGATGTTAAGAGGAAATTGTGCTAAATGAAAACAGTAATGATGAGTACAAATGAACAAATTAGGAGTCAGAGCTTTTGTAAGAACTAGTCGTATGGAATAAGGCAATATTGTCAGACATACATGTATTGTTCACTAGTATTTGATATTTTATGAGCCAAATAATGTTTGCATCTCTAGTATTATTGAGTCATAAGCATGTAAATCATATAAAATAAAAAAATGATAAAAATTAAGAATAAAATGGTAACTTTGAGCAATTTGGTATTTTATGTCATGTATTGACCTATCTAGAATAAAGGTGAATCTGAAAACGAAAACAGCAGTTACCATGACAATGAAACATGGTTACCATGGCAGACAAATAAATCCTAGCTTCCAAAGTCTAATACAATACACACATATTATTATTATCTTACATCTGAAAAGATTATATCTTATCTGCCTGTATTTAGGAGTTATAGTGTTCATCAATTGTGGAGGTCTGAATTTCAACAAAACCCTGATTTCCATGGTAACCAATCAAATTTCAGCTCCCAAAGTCTAAATCAATACTTAAAATCAATCATTGTCAAAAATCTGAAACAATAAGACATGAATCTCCCTTATTTCAAAAGTTATAACATCCATCCAATGTCGGGGTCAGGATTTCCTTAAAACCCTGGTTACCATGGCAACCAATCATATACCAGCTCCAAACGTATATTAAAATACTCAAAACCAACCATTTATGAATATCTGAAAAAATGAGACCTGTATCTCCCTTATTTCAAAAGTTATAGCATCCATCCAATGTGGGGGTCAGAATTTCCTTAAAACCCTGGTTACCATGGCAACCAATCACATGTCAGCTCCCAAAGTATAATAAAATACTTAAAACTAACCATTTATGAAGATCTGAAAAAATGAGACCTGTATCTCCATTATTTCAAAAGTTATAGCATCCATCCAATGTGGGAGCTTGAGTCTATGAAATAGACCCCTGTATAAGTCATGGACCAATACAAGGCCAAAATCTGAGGTTTTGTGGACTGATCTTTACATATAATTGTTGTTAATATATTATAGAAGTTTTCTATTTACATTTTAACCCTTCCTAACACATTGGTGACAAAATATGCATGAAATGACTCTGTCAGTCCTGAAAAATAGGCCTGAAAATTGACACCCGAAGGGCATGTTTTATCCATTTCCATGGTAACCACTTGACCATGTGACATGAAATTTTTATCATATATTCAATTAGCCTATACCAATATAACTTAGTAATTTGCAAACATTCCACTGAGTATTTTTTGAGTTCTTGCCCAATCTTATAGTAGGGGTCCAAATTTTAGCCCATGGGGGGTAAAATGGCCACAAAATCTAAAAGCTGAAAAACTGAGATCTAATAATCCATAAAAATATGTATAATCATAGTAGTAACATGAAAAATTATGTCTCATAAAATCCCTCTGAACGCACGCTGAAACCCTCATTCTGACTGCACTAGAATGGGCTTAGAGGAAATGCCCTGTAAGAAACCACACCAGAAATGTAGGACGCGGATAGCTGCGGGTAGTGGCAACGAAACAGACGGACGGGAAGGCGTGTTGTGTACGTATTCATGTGTTTTATGTTATACTGCTTTATACTTTTGCAATTTCGGTTGAAAAGAATAGTTTTTATAAACTTCAGGCGAGGCAGTTGCCTCTCATGCCTCATAGCTAGCCTCGCCAAAGCACTCAAAGCTTTCATATGATGCAAATGTCCAATTAATCATAGTGAAAATATTAGAGGTCTATAAAATACAATGGTTACTATTTTAAGTTCAAGTCCACTGCACTTTATGCATAAGAATATCAATAGGTGTTAAATTACATGGCATATATAACTTGATATTAAGTACAATTGTAATCAATAAAAGTGTATTAATCCAATATTTTCATTTCAGTTACTATAACTGAATCAGCAAATACCATTTTTAGATTTATCTTAATATGCTCCGATAGTTTACGTTTTAGATATGATGTATAGTAGAATTATTTTTTTTCAAACTAAAGATATAGCCCTTTGAAAAATGCTTGCCATATCTTACGTGCTCTTTTCAATGCTTTTCAAATACTCTAATGTACATAGATGTACGTGTACTTTTAAATTTATTGATATGTTCTTAGCCAGAAAACCTATCAAAGTCTGTGGGATAGATTTGGTCTGGGCCGTGGATATATCATGTTCTATCGATCCGGACTCAAAGAAGAAAGTTCGGAACTTTATTGTGAAGGCAACAAATAAGATTCCCGTAAGAGCTCAATATTCGCAAGTTGGAGTCTTGACGTTTTCTGAAAAAGTATATCACGTGGCATATATGAATGAGTTTAAACGTCAGGGTAAGGTAAGAATCTAAAAGACCATTGAGATTAGATCAGCTAAATGTTCCTCTATATTGTATCTTTGAATGTCAGATGCTGGAATCACCAGGACATTGCACGCAATATGATGGCATACATGGTGCCAAAACCTCTTGCATATCACCAGTCTAATTGTACGCTTTATAGTTCTAACATTTCGTGAATGCCAGTGGACCGATGGGCTGTATAACTCCTTTTAAAGTGTCCCACTGATAGTCACTACTGAGTACTAATTTATGTTTCTATTTTTCCCTATGTTCTTTCTGATTGTGTAATGATTTCGGGATTTGTTTTCCAATAGCTCATGGACCAGATAAAGAAAATGAAACTTGAACCAGATGATTGTGGTACGGTTACTAATGAGGCTCTCTATGAAGCTAGAACCAAGTACTTCTCTGAAGAGTTGGGTGCTCGAAAGAAGAGAAAAGTAAGTACCTTTATCCAAGACCTTCGCCATTGGTAGTATCCAAAATATGACAGCCCCTTGATAATTCACCATACCGTGTACTACGCCACGATTATACCAGTTTCTTGACAAAACTAGCAAACAGTAAAGCACTAACCCTTCCCGTCAGAAAATATTTTGGATAATCAAATGTTTAAGTCATGCTAAAACCGCCTCTTCTAATTTCTTGGATAATGTATCAAGGTATTCGACCACGTCAAACGTGAATATTTCAGTAATTCTCCTTAAGGAACGGGGTCAACCACATTATAATTCGTTCAATGAACTTCTGTTCGTAAACCATAATCTCACTTCGCCTTGATTATTTACTAATAAAAAATAATGAGATACTAGTAATTGTTGTGGATATAAATTGATACACTACTACAGATCGATTTACTGAAGATTGTTTGTTTGAATTTGAGCCTGGACTAACAGATCTCAAACTAGATAAATAATCAATGAAAATCTCTCATTTGATTCATTGATTTGTCCAATGAATGAAACGATCAAGTAATTTTTTTCTTACTTATGGTGGCAATATGCTTTATTGATATAAAATGCTTGACTGGCAGTTTTTCATAATAATTTGCTTTGCTTCAAATGGCGGCCATTTATTTTGGCTCGGCTTGACGGATTTATATGCATAATAGAGACTTCAAGCTTGCCATGATTTTCACAACCTAAACGTGAACAGAAAATTTAAGCGATGCATTTGTATGGGCGATTGGTCATACGTATAGGTTGGCGTTTCGATTTTATAGGCAAGCTTAAACTAAATATTTGCTTCTTCGTGGGGCTGCTTCTTTCTAATCTTGCCAATCGTATTTATGATTTCAGAAAGTTCTAATTGTTCTTTCTGATGGTTTCACATACCCCAGATCCAACATAGAAGATACATTCAAACAAGCTAAAGACGTCCACAAAGCTGGAATAGAAGCATTTGTGTTAGGAATGCCAAATGCTAAACTTGTTGAACAAGGAGCCGATAATATTTTTGCCGGGCAAGAAGAATGGGAAGCAATAGCTACTAAACCAGAGAATATCTTTAAACTCACATCCTTTGATGATCTTGGCAAAATTATTACTAGAATTATTAAAGAGGCCTGTCTGACAATTGGTATACCAGGCTCCAACTGAGGAAACGACAATGGAAATCACTATTCTTTCAAGCAAACATATGTGGATACACGTCGTAAATGCATAGAGGGCCTTAGAGAAGGCTACACGTTTTAATAGAACTTGTACGTGAGCCTGTAGAAATATTCTCCTTTAGGGATTAGTCCTTCCCTTGATAGCAATTGCTATCCCAGTTGAGGAAGGTATATGTAAAATAGTTATAATTAGGGCTAGTCACTAGAAAAAACAATTGAGAGAAGGACAGCAATCCCGGGGGTCATAATTTTACATGTTCACATACACGTTATCGTTCTCTTAAAACGTGTAGCGTTAACCTCTCTAATTATACGCCCAGTTGTATTTATTGTTGTTATTAGTATTCTGCTGGAAAAGCAATATCTGTTTTTGATAATAAAATATTAAATATAAATTGTATTTAGTTAGTTATTTTATGAGGTTTTGATTATCCTAGAATAGTCCTAATTAAGTCTTTATAATCTGGTCAAGATTGTCTCAAGCTTACAAGTTAGTCAGGCATTCAATGCATTTTCAGTGCACGTATTCGTAAAAATGCCTCCAATAAACACCCGAGGATGTATAAATATCAGGAATCTAACAAATATATTGATAATTTTAAAGGAGCAAGTTCTGAAATATATCATCCGAAAAGAACTCGGTAATTTGTACCTGGATCAGAATTACAGAGACTGCCCTCTAGTGAAAGTCGGAAAAATATTAAAAAATAAACTGCAATAGTAAGATTGGTAATGATATCAGTTGGCAGGCTGATAATCTTTGCAGTACAGTTCACGAAACAATCTATGTCAAGCATCAATTACATTTGCTCCACGGCTGGCGTACGGCGGCCGTAGCTTAATAATATCAATATAGAAATTCTATATCGTACTGCTTATCCCTATGTTTTATGCTGCATATTTCTCTCGATTTTGGGATGCTTTAATAAATATGACCATGTTCATAATGCCCATCAGAAAGTTAATGTTACATTGATCAACTCAAACAAAATGTAGGTCAATTAAGCTTTGGGCATTTTAGGTTACATACTAGTAGCTACTAGGCTATGAATCTTACGTCTTCCGATTATACTATCAGTATATCAAAATATTTTATAACATCAGGTTTCACTACTAATTTATAAAGGGATTAAAGGTTAGCTACTTCCAAATTTATTGGAAAAAAGATATTTTGTGGGACCCTTTTGTCATTTTGAAGAACAGACAAGGAATGTCATATGAGATTAATCCTTTCTTAAAATACCGTTGCAAATGTAATGTTTACTGGTAGAACTATGAATGAATATCACATCAATTCTTATAGCAAAAAAAGTCCAACTCTTTACATTAGTCAACAGTTCCGAAAATTAAGAAAAGCATACAATGATAGATGGGTTGCATTTTTCTGATCTCCCTTTAGCTAATCGTCACCTGATTTGATGAACTTGAGTGTGCCTTTGAACTATGGCCGATTCGTTTACAACATAGATGTGACATTTCGTCATCCATGATGATCTGTTTTATTTCATTACGTTTTACTTGTGATATCAAGGAGTTAATGATTTTTCTTATTTATAATCATGCACTTATTTTATAATATAAACGGAATTGTGACCTTTTGGGTAATAGCTGTGGCGGTTGCGAGGGAGTATTTCAGGATAAGACTTGGTTAACACGCAAAGGACATCGGGACCCACCAAGATAACAAGAAAATCTTTGAAAATATCTTAATCGGATTCTGGTCTTATTCATTCAAGGTAAGTGAAGTCAACATTGAACCTGGACATGAATTTAGGTGTTAATAGAAGGTGAAGGGGTACCATTATGGCTGTACCATTTACTGGACAAGTAAATACTATTGAATACAATAATTACATGCATTAACCGTATAGAAAATGATAAATTAATAAATTAATGTTTCCATGCACGCATTTGCATGTTTCAGACTGGAAGGTCATTCAGATGTGAAATGTGGCTTCACTGTATTCTTCTGATGAACTTGTTCATGATCAGCCGTAAGTTGTTTTTTTTGTCTTGCGTACGTATTAGTGAGGTTATCCCTGAGTGTTGCTCCCAATCGTATCCTTGAGGGATAACCCACTTGATATGTTTGTAACCCCTCCCTTTTGTACTTGCCCACCATAACTCTTCAAACACACACACGAGCAATACCCTACAATGTCACATATTTCATGTCAACCCGTCGCTGTGACACAATGATAGACAGACGTCCATTAAGAGAAAGACATTAGGTCACACTGACAGTTGCAATTGTAAATTGAATGGTATATAGAAATAAAAAGCTGGATTATATTGACGCCTGCAAAATCCAACGATAAGTTATATCTAACTGATTGTTGTTGATCAACTATAGTGTGATCGTTATGTTCTGATATAGTTGGGTGATGATCTTTCATTTGAACATCATCATTGCCAGTGGCTATGAAGAATTGACTAAATTGAGATCAATAGGCCAAGAAAACAATGTTTAATATTGAGAATTTCAATTCAAACACTTCAAGATCCTGTTACTTTACTTTTGTGAAGGCAACCCTCCCAACTGGAACACTACATTCGTATTTTAGAGAGTACCATAAGGTTTCACTTGCACAGGTTTTACCACATATATATCTAGCCCGTTCAAGATGCATTGATGATCAATTCATCATCTAATCGTCTTTATTTAATTTGTGATGATTTTCCAGAATGTAAGCGTATGGCTGGGTTTGGATTTCAACTATTCCCATCGATAGAGGGACCAACGTGTAAGTTCTATTATCCAGCATTGGTTTTTTAATAGCATCTGACGTTAGTTCGAGGCTAGCCTTTATTAGTTCAACATTTATGAGTACACCCCTGCCCATGTTTGTAATTGAGATACAAGGGCTTCGCGCAAGATCATACATACTAGGTTAGTAATAAATCCGAGAACCTGAGAACGTTTTGTGGTAAATGTTTCGCATTTCTCGGATCACAAATCAATCGTTTAATACAGTCATACATGTACGTTTATTAAAATAAGTATATTTTATGAACTGATGAAGAGGGTAATACGTTTTATTTTCATCTGCAGCGTGTCCAGGGAGGAGTAGATTCCTGGCTGGTGTTCCAGGTAACGATTCAGTTATAGGACCATGTGACTACATAAAGTGTGTATCTGGTCAATTCAAGAGACTTCCTTGTCCTGCAGGCCTAGGCACCAGAAAAAAGTTTATGCAGGCCTGGGCACAGAATCAGACAGGCGATAACAAATACCCTTGTGTGAAACGAACACCGGCTTGTAATTTAGAACTTGGCCTATCAGATAGTGAGTTTTTTCATTGAACATTAGGGTGCACTTTTTGATTTGTTCAATTTTATCCCAGTTTCAGCGATTACCTTCAGTGTAAGCTCGTTTAGGTTCTTTCATTTGAAATTAAAAGATACTGTGTGAAAATTAACAGCAACTTGTTTTGCTTGGGATTGTTGCTCAATGCCTCAGTCACATTTCCTCTACGGCGGTCGTACGTTGGCCGTAACTTCCCAAAATCGACATAGAAATCTACTGCTTATCCCTATATTTTATGCTGTATATTTCTCCCTCGATTTTGAGAAGCTACGGCCGCCGTATGGTTGCCGTAATTTCACAAAATCGACATGGAAAATCTACTGCTTATCCTTATATGTTATGCTGTATACTTTCCCGATTTTGGTAAGCTACGACCGCCGTATGTTTGCCATAGATCAAATGTTACTGGGGCATTAGTAGTTGTGTACCTCTGTTTTCAGATCCCGTCAAGATATGTGGGATAGATTTGGTCTGGATTGTGGACATAAGCTGCTCCATATCCATAGAGGACAAAATGACCGTGAAGAGATTTCTAAAAAGGGCAGTCGCACAACTCCCAGTGCGTGTGCATTTTACAAGAATAGCGATGTTCGGATTCTCTGAGAAAATCTATCACGTATCGTTTTTGAACGAATATCGACGCCAAGCTAAGGTAACTTCAATCCCCACTGATGCTATTCATTAAGGTGTGGTTATATTTGGCAACACAAATGAATTTGAACCACACAATGTGATGTATATATAAAGCTGTACTGAGTTCGAGTATGTCCCAATTTTTCTTTCTATGAAAAGTTTCTCACTTATTTTTTTAACTACTGTCAACCACCCAACTGTATCAGTCAACATGAAAATTTGTAGAACAACCAAAATGTCTCTAAGGAACATTTACTGAACATTTCATGGAAAAATATCAATTATTGATAAAGTTAGAGCATATAGTGCATTACTTCTGGGACAACCCTCGTAATCTTCGATCAATTTTGATATGTAATACCTTGATATTGAGTATGATCAGTAGTCTAGCCGGAGTATTTCAACTGATACAGAATAAAATAATTGTTGTCCTCAAACAATTTATAGCTGATGGAGGCAATCGACGGGATGACGTTAACGCCGACTGAGTGTGCGACATATACCTTTTCAGCCTTGGAGGCGGCCCGAAATGTATACCTTTCCCGGGAATTTGGCAGGAGAAAGGCTCGCAAGGTAGATTTTAATTACTGATATGTTTACTTGTTCATATTGTTTCAAGCTCGTTTTCTAGATCTAGGTTTGTGATCTGTAACGATTTCCAACTCTGTTTTGCTGAAATGCGATTACATTGTTTAAAAATCGTTGAACTATCGGCAAAACATTTTGCCAATTCAACTAAGATAAAATGAAAGCATATCACTGTTACTTCGTATCCATGTCAGAGAAAATGCCAATTCCATTCTAATATCCTTCCAGGCTGTTGTAATAGTCTTGACTGACGGATTTACGTGGCCACAAGAGAGGAAGCTAGAGACGCTTGAACAGGCCCGACTTCTGCATAAAACTGGAGTTGAAACGTACGTCGTGGGCCTACCCAATATGAAACGTAACGTCTCGGCTGGGAAAGATGAATGGGAAGCGATTGCGACCACTCCTGATAAAATATATGACCTCCAATCATTCTCAGAGCTACAGGGTATTATGGATGATATCTCTAGAAGTGCTTGTTTCATCTTGTAAGATTCAGAGAGAATAAATAATAAGCATATGGCACCAGCCAGTGTTTGATTTATGTTTGGGGTTGTGTTAATCTCTATTTTATCTCTTTGTGGAGTCATTTTTAATTTTGGAACAATAGCGGCATTGACACTAAGCTCAATTGGTTATTACACGAATGTATTGTCGCCGGGAGTTCGGTCGCCTATGCGCTCTTACAAGTGTGGTAATACCAGGCCAAAAAATAGTCCACACATACGGTACCATGCATAGCCAATTAATTCCATTAAGCCCATTAAATTAATCAAGATTTGGATGATGATACATGTCATGTACATATTATATGGACATACTTGTTAGACTGTCGTATTTCCACGAGACGTTTGTGAGTCATCCTACGTCCTCCAAACAAGTTATTTCATATTAGGAAATGGTCTAATAACATCAGACTTACGTTTAAAGACTTAAAGATGAGTATCAGAATGTATATAGATTCGCTCTCTCTCGGGTTATCGGGAAGGTCCCTTCTCTAGATCTACATATATCATTGGTTTATTACCAAAGATAAGCTACAATGACTATTCGCCCTTATTCGTTAATCCTAAACCACAGAGAGTTGGCGAACCTTAATCCTTGGAAAAATATTTTTACTTTAAAGTGCAGAGTTCTTACAAAACTATTAAGAAGCTAAACTTGTATTTTGGAATGCATCTTTCGTCTGTCGGCTGACAGATTAACCTGCTATTTTTTGACAAACTCATTTTAATATAAATACTGAGTTTGCCATAAAAAGTAGCCTAATCCGGACTGCTTACAGCCACAAGTTGCATTCGAGAATACAAGCTAACCTTGTATTCGTGAATGCAACTAACGCCTGTCGGCTATCGGATTGACCTAGTATTTTATGACCAACTCATTAAATATGAACAGAATGGTGGCATGTACTATTCATATTTAAATGAGTTTCCAGTAAAATAGTAGATTAATCCGGTAGCCGACACAGGCGTTAGTTGCATTCGCGAATACAAACTAAAAGCTAAGTCAAACGAATGCAATGGTTTTGGTATCAAGCTCTCTTTTAATAAACTATTGGTAAGGTGTGTTGTTTTGAGACTTGTGTTGTGACCCGTTTAAACGACGTTTTGAGTGTGTTTTGTGCATCGTATTATAACATTTTTCTTCTTTCCAAAGTCTACATCTGATCCAAAGTGTATGCATAAAATTCAAACATTACTTGAAAAATAAACATCTAGTTGAATGAAATCAAAGTTTATCAACGTAGTAAATATCAATTTACGCATGAACCTAGTTTACGAGTGCATCAACGCTAGGGTTGTGATAATCTCATTAATAAACCCTGTTTATAATTTTAATTGATTATAGAACGTACTTGAAGGACAGACGGGGGACAAGGACATAAACTTACGTGAAGAACATCTATAGTTTTTGAAGGGTCTAAAGGGGAGAAATCATTTCACGTATACAGTCTTGTGCGCAGGCCCAAGAAACTACTGAATTTGAGCATGCAATATAACGGAGGATCGCTTCATACATGAGGAAAGTTTGGTTCCGTGCCACATACTTTATTTATATAACTTGTACCAAAGACGGCATTGACGTTCTTGTTTCCTGTGGTAGATATCATTACAGGAATAAGTCAGGTTAGACTTATATAGCTCAGCTACATCACATAGATTATTAATAATACGTTTGGTGCTAAGTGTAAATATTTCGAAACAAAGATGTCCATTCTGAGCAGCATCCACGAGACTCTTGGAATACCTACCATGCTCATTTTCACTACGGTGTTTCTACTCTCTCTGTGGATTGTGACGAGACGCCAGAAGTACTCTAATCTTCCGCCAGGACCCCGGCCTCTCCCTTTCATTGGGAACCTTCTGCTTCTCATAAAGACACCATCAACATATAAATTATTCCACGAGTTGGCTCAACAGTATGGAGGTATCTTCACTATTTGGTTTGGTTCCCAGTGTACGATTGTGTTGAGTAATGTCGACACCCTGAGGGAAGCGTTTGTGAAGAACGGTGAGGTTCTCGGCGGACGCCCTAGAGGAAAGACTTCAGAAGAATTAACAGGCTACAATGGTAGGCTATTGTTCCAATAAATAATGTAAAGGGTTGCATTTGGTTTAATACTCACCGGTAAGCATACGTTGAGGACATAATATCAGCAATAGCATCAGTTTTACGGAAAATAATTGTTTGCGAATGTTACATGTTTTCTCCGATCTGAAATATAGGTTTTTCTAGTATATGATGACTAATGACTTTTCCTATAATATAAAAGAACGATGCCTTGTTTTAGTAAAATGATCCCTTTCAGGTATAACAGCAAATGATGGAGAATCTTGGAGGGTGCTGCGAAAATTCAGTCTTCTAAGCCTTAGGAATTTTGGAGTCGGCAAAAACTCCATGGAGCTGGAGACCAGAATACAAGACGAAACCAAATGGTTGCAGACAGAGATATCGGGATATAAAGGCGAGCCATTCGACATTGCTGAGCTTTTTAATAAGGCAGTATCTAATGTAATATGTTCTATATGTTTTGGAGAAAGGTTCGATTATAATGATGGAACATTTAAGAAACTCTTACATATGCTGGATTTCTTTTTCGCACATGGAGGTCCAAGGACAGGATCCAGGAAAATGGTATGTATTCAGTTAGTACCCACGTGAGGAACCACAAATAATATTAAAAGTCCACATGTAAAGTTTGGAAATATATTTTTATCATTCATTGACTATTTGTCATGACTTAAAAGTTGTTGTAGAGATTTGTGGAAAAAAACTTTTCAAAACAGTTGTCAGCTTTTCAATTCTCAAATATTCAAATTAACAGCCATTTTTCAAATAAAAGTTGAAAATTTTTAATCACCAAATATCCCACTATACAGTGCAAAAACATTCTTTTTTGAACACCAATGCAACGATTGAACAAAGAACAAACTATTTCAATAATAAAATGTCATTTCTAAACAAATGTACCGCTTGTTTTAGCATATTAAAATAGTTTGCAACGTAATTGACATCATCGTGACATCACGGGTGGCAAAGCTGTAAAAAAATGAAAATGCTTTTTCTATGTGAATCTTTTCGAAATATGCTTAACTTCAAAATAAACCTATGTTGATTGTCTAACCAAGTTAAAGGAAGAATATATAGTTTTAAATATTATTGTACCAGTGGTTTCTATGAGAACTAAAATTTGAAATGCATTTTTCTCTGAACCATTTTCATGCATGGATGAATATTTATGAACCAGTTACTTCATTTTTCGGCATAAAACACATGAGGATGAAAACTATGCATTTTGTGAGTTATTATGATTTTTCGAATGATTATTATGATTTTTCGAACAAAAAGTCACACTTTGATAAAAAAAAAGGTAAGACTACAATTTAAGCCAACGTGGTTTAAACTTTATATGGGGTCTTTAAGGAATATATTCGAAAATAGGGAAAATACCCATGGTGTCCAAAAACGTAAATAAGTATTTACCCCTCCAAATTATAGACACTAGTTATAACTTTGTCCCCTACTAGTTTTGTCAAATAGGGAAAATACCCATGGTGTCCAAAAACGTAAATAAGTATTTACCCCTCCAAATTATAGACACTGTTAAGTTATAACTTTGTCCCCTACTAGTTTTGTGCTAACCTGAGTTAAATTGATTCATATGTAAAACAATACTTTATATTCTTTTAGTGGAAACAAGTTGTTGAAAATGATCGAGCTATTAAAAGGTTTGTAAAAGAAAAGATTGAGGAGCATAGGAAGACGTACAGCGGTGACACAATTAGAGATTTTGTCGATTTGTACATTCAAGCAGAAGAAAACGAGGAAGATAAGACACACCTAACAGGTAAGTTCACTGAAAAAAATAATGATGCGCGCCGTATAATCTAGGTCTACTATACGGGCCTAGCCCAAATCCATGGTTGGCATGGTGGTTACCTCGATGTGGAAAATGGACATTTATCACTTTAATTACCAATTCTGGTAGATATTCATTGTGTTCATTTGCAAGACTGAATAGTGCAGAAAGAATAAGTCTACACGTTGTATGGGAACATATTATATCTAATCTACGATTTTGCTTCAGAGGAGAACGTGTTCCAGCTCATCGTAGACCTTTTCGAGGCAGGGACAGAGACGACCAAGACGTCACTCACTTGGGGGGTTCTTCATATGACGCAACACCCTCACATACAAGACAAGTGTCATAAGGAATTAGAGATAGTAAGAGAAGGAGACTTGCATCAAGTCTTTCTTTACACCGACTAAATAAATATACAATTACCAAAATTAACACAGCACACTACAGGGTGACACAAAAAATGACACCCACTTTACGTTGCCACACATTTTATGAGCGTTACAACATTTGCTCTAAATGTTGTGACGTCCATTCCTTTGCAGACACACGTGGATTCTGCTCAAAAATGCCACCCAGCTTTGTAACATAACTTTGTAAATATTAATGATTTTCGGCTTGTGCTACCAGGTAACTGAAGTCCATTCAATTAATCATAAAATAACATACTGTAGTTGTCGTTGATAAAACCCTTATAAAATTATGTTACAAAAGGTGGATGTCATTGTGTGTGTAAGACCCAGTTGTGCCAGCAAAGGAATGGACCCTTTTATTTTGTAACGCTCATAAATGTACACCTAGGTGAGCTAGTCATCTGAAACTTCTTGTGGAGTTGCATAATGGAGTATGGTTTTAATGTGCGAAAAGACAAGTAAGAATTTCTCCAGACAAAAAAGTGATGAAACACATTAATTGGTGGTGTCATTTTTGTGTCACTTGGGTATTTACATATGGTCGATATTAAAGGGTAATAAAGGTAGGGGAGGGATAATCCCTCTGATCACAACTTTTTAACACAAGAGTTTTTCTGCAGGTATTTGACAAAGATCACATCCCCTCTGCCGGAGATCGGCTGAAGATGCCTTATACTGAAGCAACCGTGTATGAACTACAGAGGTGCGCTAACATAGGTGAGGAAAATCCTAATATTCTGTATCACAAGTATGGGTACTGAGTACTGGTTTTGTATATTAATCAAAGTTTACCACTTTTGATTTAATTTACTTAAGTAGAATTTATCCTTATATATCACCAATTAATATATACTATACGAGATGCTATCTAAAGAGATTTTGGATATTGAGTTTATCCTGATGAATACAGATATATTGACACTGATGCAATATGTGTATAAATATATAAATAACTAGGTGAGATCATACTCATTAGTAATTTGTCTAGCCTACATTAATTTACCTTATCAATAACAATAACTGACAACACTTTTATATTTTCTATGAACAGCGCCAGTAACAATTCCCCATAGGGCACAAGAGGCGACATCTGTTGGAGGCTACATCATACCGGCAGAAGCTATGATTTTTGGAAATCTCTTCTCAGTTCATATGGATAAAGAATACTGGGAAAATCCTTCAGCATTTAATCCCGACAGATGGATTAAAAATGGCATGGTCATAAAACATGAGAATTTCATGCCATTTGGAATTGGTAAGTCAAGACATGGAATAGGGTTCATTGTCTTAATAAAAATAATTTCATGCAGCATGTGAACTGTTTCTAACTATATTCTGCTACATTAATGACATGGTTAGTTATACAAACCTTAATATTTCCCCATATCAATTCAAAATATCAATGTTTTGAATAATTTATATGAGAGAAGACTTTAATTTTTCATTTTTTTCTTCTCGAAGAATAAGTTTTAAATTTGGAAAAATTGCAAAAACAATTCAGGCTTGGTTAAACTTATCTTGACATCATGTATGTGATTATAGGTCGTAGGATATGTTTGGGAAAAGACCTAGCAAAGATGGAACTGATTATCATGTTTAGTGCCCTAATGCAAAGGTTCTCATTCAAATTACCTGATGGCGCTGTTGCAGATATGGAAGGAGTACAGGGAATGACCTTGACACCTAAACCCTTTAAAGTGTGTGCTATCGATAAATACCTTTCATAAAAGCAATAAAGTTAATATCAATGATGCAAAATATCGCTACACACAAATGAATTAGTTTTGTGGATTTTATTAGGTTTAAGTAATATCATATTTATCTATCAGCTGAAATCAGAATGATAAAAAAATTCACATTTTCTCCCAAATAAACAAGAATAATTGATGAAAGTGAAGCACTACACTGATTCTGATTTATATTGATCAATAACTTATTTTAATTTATCTTTAATTGCAAGGCTTTAAGCTATTAAACATTGTTTTCACAGTTTTCCTGGCCTATTTCCAGATCCTGGATATGTTTCTGATAGTGTAAATTGCTTTGTCAAAAATGTGTTATATGTCATAATAATGCACTGGTGAAAATTGGAAATAAATATAATTTAAACATGTTTCTAATATATTCCATGTTGGGTTGGATGTAAAGCCAAAAAATACTAGACATGTGCCATTTTAAGTGTGTTTCTTTTTTCTTTGAAGATCCTCAATTCATTGACTACTGAGAGTGAGAATCCCAGTTAAGAGTTTTTAAAAATCCATTACTTTACAAAGTTTGCAATTTTTGACACACATCTTAACATGGTTTTTTAAAATTTCTAAGTTGACATTTTGTGTAAAGGACCAATGAGAATGAACCAGTTCAAAATCTTGAGAAAATAAAAAATCTGCAAGAGAAAAGGAAGGGGGTGCTATATTGTACAGAACAAATTACTGCTGGGATTAAGACTGAGCATTTTCTTCACATACCTGGTATGCACACCCGGGTATGCACAGTGAGGCAAAGTTTGGGTTTACATGTTGTACATGCGTCTGTAGAGACAAATAAATAATCACTTAATAACATGATATAATTATTTCATTTTCACCCCTTTATATTTCCAATATGACCGTACACCCTCATCTACAGTATACAACCATGTTACATATTTTTCTCTACAATTAGAGTAAAACCTGTCTAAAGTGACTGGGACTTTCTAAATGTTCTCACAATGAGGGAATCACATTATACTTGGAGGAAGTGTAAGATGTCACTGTTTAGTTTTTGTGACTGAAATTCCATACAAAATTTCCCTGCTCATCACCCTTATTTCCTGATATTGAGAGAATAAAAGGTCAGTGAGGCAAATTAGAAGGTGGTGTAAAATTACTACCGAAGTTGATTTTGAACTTTGATATCCAGACATGACTTCAAAATCACCAAAAAGTCGAGTGACATTCTGCATTTCCTCCAAGCTTAGGAAGTTTCATTTGGAAGCCAATGGGATATTCAAGATGACACTGAACTGGACACATTTTATTATTAAAGTGTTCCATTTAGAAAGATGTTCAAATAAGCACAGTATTATATTAAATGTGCCACTGTGAATTTTAAGCGACTAGACTGTGTTCAACTGTCGATATAATACAATATTTCATATTATATGTGAGGGATAGACTGAGTTTCGATGTATGAACTTGAATTTAGTGCCATGTCACATATAAGTACATAGGACAATTCAGGTTTGGACTGATCATTCCCCAAACATCATGATGTCATCACATAGCTTAGGCTGATCATTAATACCGTTTAATCATGCTATTTTAGGTTCCACACTGTTTAATTTGTTCAGAAATTGGAAGACAATACGTACATGTACAGTACAAGGCATTAACATGCAAAGTGTCACCACCTGGCATTTGTTACAGACGCCGAATGCCGAACACCAACTACCAAACACCAACTGCTGTTCACAAACAAGTTGGAGACTATAACAATATGTGACAAGTTCTGGTAGTGACATAAAATACAGTGTATCAGATGTATATGTGATTGAAAAAGAGGCTTCAGATCAAACAAAGACTGCTAGTTTGAAATAAATATACATGTAATATCATATTGAATGATTTTGATGAGTTAACTGAATATCCCCACTTCCACACTTTATACTCATGTACTGCTCTCTCCTCTTTAGGGCTGAATTGTAATGATTTTGATGATTTACATTGAATATCCCCACCATCATACTATATACTCATGTACTGCTCTCTCCTCTTTTGGGCTGAATTGTAATGATTTTGATGACTTACATTGAATATCCCCACCATCATACTATATATTCATGTACTGCTCTCTCCTCTTTTGGGCTGAATTGTAATGATTTTGATGATTTACATTGAATATCCCCACCATCGTACTATATACTCATGTACTGCTCTTTCCTCTTTTGGGCTGAATTGTAATGATTTTGATGATTTACATTGAATATCCCCACCATCGTACTATATACTCATGTACTGCTCTCTCCTCTTTTGGGCTGAATTGTAATATGGTTGCGATAGCCCGCAACATTTGTTTTTTCCCAGTCGTTTCTTTACAGACCATGTACTGGTACACTACGTTCTTTAAATATTCCAAATTTGCACTTTCCCTAGATTTATTACGTTCTAATTTTCGAATTTCCTCCTTTAAAGAGTCAATATGTTCATTAAGTTTTTCAGCCTTTGCAACTGAGGAAAGCTGTAAGTCTCTTAGAGCACTTTCTGTGGAATGTTTTTGTTTTCGTAAATTCTGGATTTCCACTTCCCGCCTCGCTTGTTCCTGGTTAAAATGTAATAATGATACCTCCCCCTGGGAGGGTGTATTATGTGGACTGCGAATGAATAGCTGTGAGACTGAAGAAGATTCTGGAGCAGATGCACTATCACTTTCTGAGTCACTTTGAGATGTTGCTCTTTTAAATGTAAACCCAGAAGATATGTCTGTGGTGTATGGTCCAGGACTGTTAGACCTATGTCGTTTTATTGCCTCGATCTCCCGATCTTTTTCTATAAGTAACGCAATAGTTCTATCTCGATGTTTATGTAACTCTTCCTCTAGTTCACTGGCACGCCCTCTATAGTCATTTTCAGCTTGTTTCAGCTCTTCCTCATGACGGTCCTGTATACTTGCAATGCTTTTACGCAAGTCTTCAACAGTTTTTCTATGTGATTTTTCTTCCTCTTCTGAATTTGTGAGTAAGCCACGGATTCTATCCTTGAGCTCCAGCACTTGGTTACGCAACACATCTGTCTCCTTGGCAACACCAGGATCCTGGAAAATATTCATAGAGACACTAGAATCAAAAAGTTTAAAATAATAGAAAATGAATGTAATTGATTTGCTTATCTGGTTTAAGATTTAATTGTTTGAATGTTTTCCAATACTGTCAGGAACTATAATAAAATATATTAAATAAAAATCAACTAAGAAACAAATATATGTAAGTGATGATAAATTAAAAATTCAATTTGTAAAATGATTTCCTGAATTCTGTTGAAATGGCTTCATGCCAAGATTACAAAAGTGCCCTCTTATCCCCTTATCCTCTAACAATCCCATCTATCAAAGATCTTACATTTTTGGAATAATAAATATATTGAGAAGTTCTCCCACTTTCTATCAGATCACCTACCTTTGTCGTTTTAGTCTTCAGTACAGATTGTGCTCTTAATTTATATTTCTCAAACTCTTCTTTGAGACAGGTATACTCCTCTTGGCAGTGTTTGTGTACATTAGTCTCTTCTACCACACTGATGTCAATTGTCTTGAGTAGCTCTACAACATAGGAAACAATCATTCAAACAGAATCAACTCTTGTATAACCTCATAAAACAAGAATCAAGAGACTTGGTGCAAGAATATTCTGTCTTGTATTAAAGTGTATTATATTTGGAGTAATTTAAAAAAAAGACTGGTTATAATTTTCTCTTCATAAAATTATCTACATGTGTCTATTTTTTCTTGAAAATCGCTTATGAATATGCAATTCTCATTACAATTGACAAATACAAGTCAATATAAACAAGGCATAAACATGCAAAATGTCACCACCGCCACAAAAACTTTGAATACTATAACAATATGTCAATTTGTGTGATGCTGACATAAAAATAATAATTTAAAGTACCTTCAACATTAACTGGTTTCTCCGAGCGCTCATTTGCCAACTTCAACATGCCTTTTAACTTGACCATCTTCTCAACTAAAGCTTGTATGTCCAGATTCTTATCATCATCATTTAACAGATCAGGGTCATCAGGAGAGGTATGAGCAGCTCTGGCTAAAGCTGTATTCTCTAAGTCCAACTGTGTGACACGGTCCCGGAGTTTACTAATCGCAAGCTGATCCTGATAGCGTAATCTCTCATAATTGCCAACCACCTCAGAGAGTTCCGAGAGCTTTGATTCCAACCCACACACTCGTTCCTCTCCTTGCTACAATCAATTCAATGAAACAATATGTGTGACATAAATGTAAGAACTGCAGGGGCCCAGAGTCATTTACATGTAGTTTCAATCTCAGCTATTTAACATGAATAGGAAAATATTATTATACCAAAAATAGCATAATGGGCCCATATTTCTATGAATCTATAGGATGCACACTGAACTTATTACATGTAAGAAAATGTTTTTCGGTGTTAAAATTGAAGAAATATTTACATAAATAATGTCAATCATCCATTATATTGAAGCAATGATAAAAACACTGGTTTAAAGTTCACATGTATTTTTCAAGAAAAAACAAAAATCATTTCACCTTACAAAGGAGTGGTACCGATATGGTGAACTTTTTGAATACACGTTTTTCGTAAACCAGTCATAAAAACATTCTGAAAGTTTTACTCATCGTCAATTTAATGGTCATCATTTGGATGGTAACATTATAATTTGAAATATATTTATATACTTTTCCCTATATTGTTTCAGAAAACACATAAGACACGTCTTCTGTTCTTGGTATTTCCTTTGTACAGCTATAATATTATGAGGTCTGAGAAAATGTTGTTTATGCTATTTTGTTCCAACAAGGTTCGGAAAGACATTTTATTTCATTCTCAAGAATTGGTAGAAAGGAACAAAAAACAATTGCACTAAAAAACAAAAAATGTTAACAAAAATAGTTATATAAAATATAGAGAAATAATTTTTGCATTAAATTGTTGCCAATCGGTCAACATTTCATAAAAGACCGTGTTTTTTTACAGAATGTTTTCAATAATTGGTTTAATTGTTGAATTCAGTTCACCATATCGATACCTATCCTTTTCACCATAAAATATTTTTCTATGTCTGACATTTGACATTAAAATTCAACAAGTACTGGATCAGAGCATCATACCTCTGCTACAAGTCTCATGCTCTCCTCTGCCTTGTTAGCTCTCATCTGTTCCTGCTGCACTGCTATACGATGATGGGCCTGAAATACATAAAACACTGTTAATCACCCTAGTGAAATAAAATTAGGAATACAAATTCACAGTGAGATGAAAGAATATAGGGCCCATGATCCTTATGTTCATACGGTGCACTGTAGTGTCTCAAATATAAACTAAGTGTGACTTTCTGACCAAAGTATGGCTGCCAAGTAGATCCAATGGGCTTCCTGTGTGAGCCAAAAAACAAGGCATATGGTAAACAATACTAACCAAAGAAACAAAAAATAGACGTCTTTTTACCCAGCATTCACCTAAAAGTAATCACTTATAGATTTTCATACTAACTTAAGGAACATCCCTAAGAAATTCAATCCATCAAGCAGTTTGCATGGACAGGATAAGATTAAATACTGCCACTTGCCAACCGCCAATCTGGCAACTATATCATACCCTTTTTTAAGTGCATTGTTAGAATAAGTGTTTTAATGATCGAATATTCTACCTTCATCTCAGCCATTTCAGTTTGTAACTGTAGCAACAATGGTGAAGGTTCAGAAGCTTTCTCTTCAGATTGCTTGAGCCTTCTGCGTACTGTTTCCATCTCTTCATTCATCTTGTCAATTTTTTCTTGATATTCCACAGCAGGGTCAGGCACATCTTTGTACTCTGATAATTTCTCCTTCAAGGTGTCAACCTGAATTCAAAATGTTTCTATATAATTACAGATTAAGCACTTTTAAGATCAACATTTTTGATCAAAAAGTCTTTTTTGAAAGCAGGATATTAGAACACTAGAACAGACTATGTTATACATATCATTGGAATCCTTTATATAGCATACAATCCCAAATTTTCCCAAAAGATCTAGTGCACTCTCCATTATGATTTCCCCATGAACAAAATGAATCATTCTCCTGTTCCTAATTTATATCAATGATCTACCTGATAACTTAAATACCAAATGTTTTATATATGCAGACGACACGTCACTTTACCAATCCTTCACAGCTGAAACAGCAGCTGCTAAGAATAATGAATTACAAGAGGATCTAAATAAAATTCTCTTATGGTCAAATACATGGAAATTAAACTTCAAAGCTAGTAAAAGTAAAGATATGACTTTTTTTAATCCAAGAAAGCGCGAAATTTTGACCCCAGATCTTTCCCTTGGTAATGACAAGTTACCAAGAGTAAACAATCACAAGCACTTGGGGTTGATTTTGGACAAAAATCTCACTTTTGACTATCACATTACTGAACTTGTAGCAAGAATAGATAAACTCGTAAATCCGTTAAAAGTCTTCAGTAAGAAAATAAGTGGAAAACACCTTGAAACAATTTTTAAGTCTTTTATTATGCCACTCTTTGATTATTGTGATATTCTTTACGGATGTGCAAATTTGACAAAACTACAACTTTTAGACCGCCTTTACTATAAAGCTGCACTTATTTGTTCAGGTGCCATGCATGGAACATCAACCACAAAAGTGTTGAATACTTTAAATTGGCCCACACTCTCAGATAGACGTCAATATCATAGAGCTACCTTTATGTATAGAGCTCACAACAACTTGCTGCCTTCTTATGTTACTGAGATATTTGAACCACTAAAAAGAAATCAAACACATGTACTAAGACACCAACTTGACTATATTTTACCAGTTAAATCCAAATTTTATGAAAGATCTTGTATCTCAAAAACAATATCAGAATGGAATCTACTGCCATCTGATATAAAGAACTCATCTAGCTTAAGCATATTTAAATCAAGCCTTAAAAGAAATATTTTTAACGAAACTGTCATTAACTCATCTGAACTGTCCATCTCAAGAAACCAAGAAATTATATTTATCAGAGTACGATGTGATTTCATTTTCAAGGCTCACCTTTACTCGCATAACTTTACCAATGTAAATTCCCCCATCTGCTCATGTGGTATTAACAGTGAAACAACCAGCCATGTGATTTTTCGATGTAACTTGAGATTAACATTCTGGACTGAATTAGAAAACCAACTAAAAAATATGAATATACAATACTCCCATAAATATAAGACACAACGTGATAAACTTTCTCTGATCCTCAATGGTGATAAAACATGAAGTAGAGCTGAGAATCTGATTGTTTTAAAGTGCAGTGCCATTTTCTTCGAGCGATGTGTAAATGTCTGAAATCCTCCACAAAACAACTTTTATCTTATTGTATCTCATTTATTTTAATCAAATATTATTGATTGAATACATTGTATATTGTAATTGTAGAACGTGGCTTATAATGCTAAAAGCACAGCCACTTACACTGTATTATTGTATGTATTCTTTGTACAAATGATTAATTTAATAAAAAAAAAAGAAAAAAAAAAGAATCATTTTTAGGTGTAACATGAAGAATACAATGCCACATAATACTTTGAAAAATATCTAAGCGTTTGGACCCACATGGGCTGAGGTTAAGGTCAGCAAGGATGTATTGACTTGACATTGGATGTGGTCAATTGACTTAACATGTGGATATCATCAGATATACATGGGCTGAGGTTAAGGTCAGCAAGGATGTATTGACTTGACATTGGATGTGGTCAATTGACTTAACATGTGGATATCATCAGATATACATGGGCTGAGGTTAAGGTCAGCAAGGATGTATTGACTTGACATTGGATGTGGTCAATTGACTTAACATGTGGATATCATCAGATATACATGGGCTGAGGTTAAGGTCAGCAAGGATGTATTGACTTGACATTGGATGTGGTCAATTGACTTAACATGTGGATATCATCAGATTCCAATGGAGGCCATTGGTTTCTATTGATATTCACAAAAATATCTAAAATGCACTATGACCTGAATCAATTGCAAATTAAATAATTTCACAATATGACACAAATGGTATATCACATCAGATGTGCAAATGTGAAGTTTTTTTCCAACAAAATGGCTATAGAAAAATGATTCAAAAGCAACTTTTACACTTATGAAATGCCATACAACTTTGTAAATTCAAAGATTATACTGTTATGTTTCATTAAGCAATAACATATTTGGATAAGATGTAAGGATGCATAGGATGCAAATGGATTTTGATAGACACAAAAAGACTTCCTTGTTTGGCATCTCTACACCTGTGAACTTTATGATTGAATATTGGCCCTAATAAGTGCTCCATTCATAAATACAGTGCTGAATATAGGTCAACAAGATACTAGTTTACATATAAATGCAATAATAAAAGCAGTATATTCGTTTTGTAAAATCAGATGAATTAATCTTTGTTCATGGGGAGATTATAATGGAGAGCGCACTAGATCCTTTAAATAAACAAATCTTAACATAGAATTGTCTCATTGAGTGAGCATAGCATGCTATTAGAACTTGTTGTTTAGATGAAAATATGTTGCCTTCGTAAATATTTCTTCTACAAAATCTTAGAATTACCTGTTGTTCAAAACATTCCATTGACATCCACAAAATATTACCTGTTGTTCAAAATATTCTTTTGACATTCGTTCTGCTGCTACAAGCCTCTGTAGTTCTCTCATCGTAGCCGCATGGTCTATCTGCTCCTTTTCCCTTTCTCGCTGGTGCTGGATCAACTTGCTCTTAGCCTGAAGAAAATTAGCAATATTAAGCCCAAATATTCTTGTATGCTGCTATACCATATTTACACTACATGTACCTCCTTAATTTGAAACCAATTTTGGCTCTAAGATAGTTAAAAGTTATTAAATCAAAATTGCCATATTGACCTTCTTTCAATTCAAAATGGCCACTCAAACAACTTACTTTAGCATTGAAGGTATAAGAGAAAATGCCAGATGGCATACTTAGGAGACAACATCCATTTAGAGAGAGAATGTGTCATATGGGAAAGTTATGATTCATCAAGAAATTCCAGAATCAACTAAACAGAAATTGAGGTAGACTTTATGATTTTATGTTGTTGGGGCAGCCATTTTTGAATCTAGAACTTAAATGACAGCCCTCAGTGGATTTATTAATATCATTTAATATCAACTATATTTCAAAATTGATGGCTGCAATATATGCAAGAGTTTAACTGCATTAGAAAACTCATAAACAATAGCTGGCTCCATGAATTTCTACTAATTACAATTAGTCACCTCATTTGCCATATCCTGTATCTCCATGTTAACATTGTTCTGTGTTGCCAGTTCATTCTCAAGTCTACTCACTTGCTCCTCGTGAGCTTGCTGAAATATATATAGCAAAACTTGACATTACATGCACACTGCCCAGGCTCTATCAGCCACTATATGATTTTTAGGTTAATTGTTTTAATCATATTAAACAAACATTAATACAGTACATTACTTTACACAAGATAATTTAAATTTGTAGACTTATTACAAACCATTTTTACAGACTATGTCCGTGTATTATTTTATATTTCAAAATGAAATTGTTCAGACTCAGTCACTCAACTCCCTTACAGAAGCATAACTGACATGTGGTGGATCAATTACAATGGACAATATTTGAAGAATTTACAAATTACAATTTTGCAGGAAAGATCACATACCCTCATTGTCTTTTTCTCACTTTGATATTTCTTCTCCATGGTTGACTTCTCCTGCATCAGAGTGGAGAGGGAGTTTGTCAAAGTTGCCAATTTCTCCTTCAGATGTAGCACCTCTGTTGTCATCTGGTCCACATCTCTGGTAGCTCCTTTTGTCTAAAATATATTCATTAGGCATGTTAGGGGTGACAAGCTAAAATTAGAATGGGAATTGATATAAATATGGACTCAAAACTTCCTGTATATGCTGTGCATGTTTCCTAGGCTGAGCAAGATGTTTAAAATGTAGCTACATTTGTTCCATAATTTCTAAATGTTTTCAGTATTACTGTACAGATTTTCTTGCAGTAAAATGTGAACTAAACTTTGATTTATTTAGATTCTTTTTTTCAGAGACATTATTTAGTATATGCATTTACGATATACATAATGACAATGACAAAATGAGTAAATATTTCTTGTGGCTAAAATATTCCATTGCTAACACTGAAATAATACTTCAATAATAAATATGTTGTAAATTATATAAACAAACCAGACTAACGGGACTGAAATAACATTTTGCACCACACAATTTTGAATTCCTATTTTAGCATTAATAATTCCTATACCCCAGGAGCCATAAATTTGATCTTAGATTCAACCTGATCCTAAACCTCCTGGTGTAATCATTACTGAGATCTATTTTCTGACTATAAATTTTTGATCCAAAGATTATTATCTCTCGAGCCAGAAAGCGATGATACGTCTATTGTTAAAGAGGATGCAAATTAATTGAATAATATGAATAAAAATGAATCTGTTAAAAGGAATCAATTCTTTTAAGAAGAATTGTGATCAATACGCATGATTTAGGACCATGTTCAGGACCAGTATCGAATTAAGATCAAATTAATTCCCCAGTGTTGAATCCCTAGACAGTACAATGAAACCCAAGAACAGTATACCCCATTCTCAGACTATTACAAGATGTGAAATCAAGTGTGAAAAGTTCAATAATGTATCTGAATTACATGTACAGACATATGGCTTAAGTTGTTACGGTTACAAAATTAAGCATCAAGAATATGAATATTTCGATTGAAGATCTTTTCACACTTTAGGTCCATTGTAAATAAGTATAAATGTACAGGGTGTTACAAAAAATATTGGAACATTTTCAATTTAAAGTAACCTTTTGGCCCTCCCTGTACACATATATTGTTTCTCTGCTACTACCACTTGGACATTACTGCTAATCCCCTATTATGAAACCCCAACTGTTTCATAGACAGATCTGAGACAGATGATATATTTTAAAAATTATTGTAAGGAGTAAAACATCATACTTTCATTCTACTAGAAACAGGGTTAAATGTGTATCTACATGTTTATACAGAATTCCATTCCAAGGTATTGTTTATATAATGGAACCTATTTGTATGATAGACTACAATGAACTATGTACTTGTTTATAAATGATGTTCACAAGAATAAAATTCAGAGAAAGGATTACAGATGAAACCTATTCCTAATCAGAACCAGCTGTAGATCCATATACATGGGATGTAGATAGGTATGATTCAAGATAATTTAAAACAATACTAGATACCATCTCATCATCTGGCCTTGCGTCTACATCATCCTTCTGCTCCAATTTTGCAGCATCATTTGATTCCTTATATATGAGTACATTAATGACATAAGAAAATCCATAAATTTATGTTGTGTCAGGTGTAGTATTAATATTAAGGTAGGTAGAATGTACTTTCTGATTGTCTACACATGATTTCACTGTGCAAAACCACAATTCACTAATTCTTTTCTGCCTGGCTACCTTAACTACTGACAAAGTGGAGAACATGGACATCAAATTACATAGGTCACCACTCATTTATGCAAATGGTTACAAAAGTGTGACGATTTGTTACAGATGTTGACCACCAAATAACTATAACAATAGTGATCATTTTTGGTGGTGATATAAAAATGTTACCATTGAGCAAGAAACTTACACTGTTATCTTGTAACGGGTGATCCTGATCAGAATCACCACTTGCCTGGTTATCCGGCGAGTCAGCATTCTGTGGTTGAGAACCTGTGGTCGGAGGAGGAGGTTCAGGTTGGCTCACAGTGAGAGCACTCAATGTCTCCTGCAAGGCTTCTTTCTCTTTAAGTGTACCTTTGTAGGCAGCAACCAAATCTAAGACCAAACATGAAGAGATTTATTAACTTGTGGTGACCTTGCAATTTGTCTTTCAGTGAAGGGATTTGGTAACTCACATTTAAGCATCTCCTTCGGTAAGAACAAATGAAGGGATTTTCGTACTTTTACTGAGGTGTCTCCTTCAGGAAAGAGGGAAGGTCGTTGGAGTGAATCAGTAATCTGTGATATAAAATTACATACTCTATGGCCTACGGGAATATTTTTAATGAGAACTTACAAATGATAAATATGAAAGGATACTATGAGATACATAATAATTTACCTCTTAATCTTTTTTCATAGCGTTCAATCTTCTCTCTCTGTTCCTCAATGGTCTTTACCAACTCACTTCTACTGCTTCGATCCATTTCTTACCTAAAACACAATAATATAAGTAACTAGATTGGTAAATTGAACAAAGTTCAATTTAAGACTCCAGATTGATTTCTTGAGTAGGTAGCTGAGTAAGTAACTGAGTAGCAAGCTGAGTAAGTAGATGATTAAGTAATTGAGTGAGTAGCTGAGTAGGTAGCTGAGAAGGAAGCCGAGTAAGCAGCTGAGAAGGTAGCTGAGTAAGTAGCTGAGTAGGTAGCCGAGAAGTAGGTAGCTAAGGAGGTAGCCGAGTAGGTATGTAGGTAGGTAGGAAAGTAGGAATTTTTGACCGAAAGTCGGATTGAAATTTGGTTTGCAGATTCAGATTCCTGGGAAAATTCTACCCTTATTTCATAACTCATACATTAAATTTGGAGATTTTTTTATTTTGACCCACTTTTAGGACGCCATATCTCAAAAATGGGTCAAAATACTTTCTGACATCAAAAGGCTATCACTATCAGCACACTCTTTTCTACCTGTATACAAAATTTTGAAGCAAATCCTAAAAGTGTAGTGCCAGAATCGTAAAAATAAGGAAAAACTATGAATTTGACCTAGATTTTGACCTAGGCATTTTGGTGTCCAAATATTGAAACTAGGTAGCTTTTGAGGTCCCCTTCTTTTATAGGAATTCATTATCTTAAGCTGTACTCAGTCTATATCTCGTATTTTACACTTCTAAAAAATCTTTTTTCCTTGACTTTCTATCAGGATACCATCAGATCGATTTTTCTCGAAATTTCAAAACGCCATAACTTCCGAGCGGGAAGTCGGATCGAAATTTGGTTTGCAGATTCGGATTCCTGAGAAAATTCTATCCTTAATTCATAACTCATACGTTGAGTTTGGAGAAATTTTTATTTTGACCTACTTTTCGGACACCATATCTCAAAAGTGGGTCAAAATACTTTCTGACGGCAAAAGGCTAACACTATAAGCACACTCTTGGCTACATGTATACAAAATTTCGAAGAATATAATTAATCTGTAGTGTCAGAATTTGACCTAGATTTTGACCTAGGCATTTTGGTGTCCAAATTTTTATGAAAAGAAGGTCTTGAGGTCCCTTTCTTTTATGGGCTTCCATTATGTTTAGCTGTGCTTAGTCTATATCTCAAACTTACACTTCAAAAAAATATTTTTTCCCATTGAATTAACATGGGGCACCAAATTTAGCGATTTTTGAATTTTCAAAACGCAATAACTTCTGAACTGGAAGTCAGATCGAAATTTGGTTTTCAGACTCGGAATCCTGAGAAAATTTCCTATAAGACTGATATCCTGGACATTGGATTCGGAGAACTTTTTTTTGGACCTCGTTTTCGGACACTGATATCTCGAAATCGGTTTGAGATACCAAAAAACTAAATGACCCTGGCTTTTCTCTTTTTTTATGAGGAACACAATGAAAAAAACCCGGATCAAAAATATTGAAGGACGACCGAGATAATGGGAAAAAGTGACAAAGTACTGGATTTGACCTAGTTCTTGACCTTTGACCTAGATAAAAATTTGACCTAATTTCCCATAATCCCAGATACATTCCCTAGTTGATCATGTAAGCAGCTTAAAGTAAGTTCTTCTAGTTGGTGAGAAATCTTGTAAGGAGGAAGAATAAGAAAAAAATAATAAGAAGAAGAAAACTGGCAAAAGCAATAGACTCCAGATTTTCAATCTGGAGTCTAATTACAAAATAGAAGGGGAATATGCATCATACATGTACATGTATCAATCATGTGCATCTGCTCTCACACAATTCAATCGTAGGATGAAATTTCCTGGGATTTCATTTCTTAATTAAAGCATTTCGTCCAGTTCTTGGTACTTGGCAAGAGTTTGAAAAATAGTGTCATCATCTCAGTATTTGGTCCCCATCATCGTCATCTCATTCTCTGGTACCCGTCTTCTCAGTTTGAGTGCCGTCATTTTATTTTATGTTACCCCTTAACTTAGTTTTCATATCCTTTTATTCAATTATCCAATCAAATAGTCTACTAATGGCCGCCGAATAGCAGTTTTAATTTGTGCGGCCAATGTTGACGGACGGACCAACGGACGGACGGACCAACGGACAGACGGACCAACCGACAGACGGATGGACCAACGGACAGACGCCTGGTCGATCCCATAGGCTCTGTGTGAGCCAATAAAGCTAAAGCCAATAAAGGTGGTAGAGCCAATGTAAGAATTTATGACATATATGACAGAATCTATTTTTGATAGTGTTGACTGTTGTCATTATTTATGTTCACAACTTTATCTGTGGGTCTGGTACTGGTAGATTATTATTTCAAGATCAGTCACAGGAAGTTGAACTAGATATTCAAAATATTGTTTCATATCTGATACATAAACAATGACTCACGTGTAAAAATTAAGGCAGGACTGTGGTACTCATTTCTATGCCATTATCTCGAGCAAGATCTCGTTTTTTAATATAAATCAAATATTTAGAATATTTCTGTTTTTATTTTCCACATCACAATTTTCTCAAGATATCTAGATTTACAACTCTAAAACGAATTTCAAAATTTCACCACTTTATGTAGAGTTACATAATCAACACTATATATATACAATTTCAAACAGTACGAAATTCTATCGAAAAAATGAAATAATGAATAAGAAGCTCAAAGAACTATACCTGTTTGTAATTTCGATTATCTATCAAATCTCAGTTCTAGTGAAACAGACTTCCGGTTTTCAATTTCCGGTGAGCATGTTTTTATTTTTATAACATGTTTTTACATCATTTACTGTGATTTCTGCAGGTGATTTTATATTTATGGCATTGAATGCATACTTAGAAAAAAACATTCAGTTTAATTACTTAAAAATATGGTGTAAGAGCTTCTATGTTCTTAATTTTTTACAAAACTCAGAATTTTTTTTTGTAAAGTGGGAGACAAAAATAAATCTCAACCCAAAAGTTGTCACAATGAGCTAAATTCTAAGTTTCGTGTCTCAAACTCTCCCAAGCGTTAGAAAAATATTTCCCATTCACTTTAAGTAGCACAATAAATGAATCCAAAGCTTCTAACCTACAAATGATGGATAAATCCCTACCAAATCGAACGAATGTTTTCATGAATCGCAATGTTTGTGATCCAAGGAGGATTGACTCCCAGAATGCAACATCAGGTAACCTTAATTACTCATGACAGATTTCAAATGGCGGAACAGCATTTTGAAAGCTTACACGTGCCTTGTTGCATTCTGGGAGCCAATCCACATTGCGGCGTAATCGGGCTCCGAAATCACCTCAACATTTGAAGAGTCAGCATTAACATGTGAATTCCACTTCAAATTTTTAAGTTCTTATTTGTCATTATGGACACAAATTCCACTATATCTGGACTTACTAGAACGGAGAAAATAGAGCACTGAATACACTGAGGTAAGAATTTATTACATGTGCGACAGCATGTAATTTCCATAGCTTTTGTAATTCTTTATGTCCCCCACTGTACAGCTCTAGCTTTGTCAGAGTAAGTAAAACCTAGTCTACACTTTGAATCTAAAAAAAAGCAATTGAAGGACCATATTGAAACAGAATATGTAAAAATAGAAAGATTTATACTTGTCCTAACTTTTGAAACTTGTGAAAACTTATTTTTTTAAAATATCTAAAATGACTTTAAAATAAATAGTTGATGAATGATAAAAACATATTTTCAAACTTTACATGGAAACTTTAAGTTGAAAATTCATTTGCTAATTTCAGACATAGTTTCAGCAGAACAGACTAGCAAGATGGAAGAACTAAAGAAAGATGAACGCTTTTGTCACATAGCTAAAGATCCTCGCTATTGGAAGATGAAAAAGCAAGAAAGGAAAGTTAAAATTGACAAAAGATTTAATGCTATGTTTGAGGACAAAAGATTCAAGTTAAAGTACAGTGTTGATAAGAGAGGTAGACCAGTCAATACAACTAGTAATGAAAACCTGAAAAAGTTTTATGAACTTTCTGACTCTGATGTTTCCGATGACAATGACGAGGAGACTGAAAATGATGAAATTAAGAAAAGTAAAAATAAAAAGGAGAGTAAAATGGACAAAAATGTGAAAAATAAGTTACAATTGGATAACAAAACTAGTAACGTAAAACAATCAAATAAAGACACCTCAAAGCATAAAGACAACAGAAGCAGTAAAACAAATATAAACACTTTAAAGCTTAAAGAAAATAGAACCACTCATAAACATAATGCAATTAAAGAAACAGAAGATCCAGAATCTGATGAGGATGGTGATGATGAGGAGGATCTGGAGGAAGACATTGATGAATCAGATGTTGAAGAAAATGGTGAGTCAAATTAAGAACAATTTCAAAATTGTTGCATTTGTAGTCTCGCAATATGCTACAATACTGTCTCCCTTCCCTATACTAAAGATGAATTTCCATTATATGCCTACATAACATGTATTAGATGTAAAAGATTAACATCCTGGCATTATTTATTGATGAATAACTTTGATATTGTTGCAGATACAAATAAAAGAAATGAAATATTAAATGGACGCAGTAAGCGCCCTATAAATGTGGATGCTGATCAGGAAGATTCAGATGAAGAGGGTTCAGAGAGTGAGGGTTCAGGTAGTGAGCAGTTGGAGAGTGAGGGTTTAGGCAATGAGGGTTCAGGGAGTGAAGGTTCAGACAGTGAAGAATCAAGCAGTGAGACTGATAATGTGGATCTTGCAAGAGGAGCTGGGAATATTCCAACCAGTGATGAGGAATCAAGTGGAGCTGACTCTGATGAAAATGAAGGTAAGGTGAAGGTCCACACCAACAAATTGAATAATAAATAATAAATTAAAACCCCACATAAAGGTCACACTGCTTCATAGTGCTCAGATCAAAATATTTTTGCTACAATTAAATTGACAGAGATGTGATTTGATTGCAACATGTACACAAACAATTTGATCTTATTGATAATTTATTTGTTGATATATGATTTAAAATCCAACTAAACTATTGTAAAAAGGATGTTTAAGAACCAAATCAGATTTTTTATTTTCTAACTTCACCTAAACGTTACCTTGCCTTAAATGGTTGAAGATATTGTTGAACTGTGGTGCCTACGCATGGTATATGGAGAAATTATCACACTCTAGAGTTTTCATGTCATATAAGTTTGATATTGTTCAAAGCATTACCTCAACTATAAAATGGTTTAATTCGATGAAAACATTGTGAATGCAGCACTTTGCTGAATGCTTTGATGTAAATGTTGCAATATAGTAAGCTTGTAAATGCTGGTTTGATTATTATTAAGTACAGTATTGTTTTTTATTATATACCCAATATGTAAAACTAATCCTGATTGGTCAATACCTAGTCACGTGTTCCGAAATAGATTTACTATTTCCCTTCGAAAGTTATATTCCCTCAAATGTGATGTCTGCGGCTTCAGGAATAGTACATTTTAGAGGATATTCCCTCGGGGAAATAATTTAACACTATTGCCCTCAATGGCAGTCACTATTTGTATACTATTATACTATTTAATCTGGATAATTGTATTTTATACAGGTGTAGATCCCAGGATAGGTGCAGAGAGCAGCTCAGAGGACAGTGAAAGTGACCAAGATGCTAAAGGTAAGTGAACATAGGCATTAGCATGTCAAAATGAATAAAGGACATGTTCTTTTTATATACTACTTGATGAAAAGTCAGTTTATCTGGATTAAAACTAACTGACCTTTGGACTAGCACAAATGTCATATTCTGAAAGGGTCAATATAAGCTAAAGCATTCATTCTTAGGTTCTTTATAGAAAGCTGTCTGAATTGGCACTAACCTACATATTTCTAAATGTATTTTTGATATGGTCTTGGAAAGAAACTATTCTATTGGTTTGAAATTATTCTTTTTATTTATAGGGATTTTTGTCATTTTTTTTCAAATGTTACCCTTGAATGATTCCTTATTGTTATACAGTAATGTTAATTTAAGTATTAATTTAGATATTTTAGTTTTACTCATTATGGCGTAACATTGCCCAATGAAGATTTATCAATATCAATAAATCAAAGGTGTCCAAATGAAATCTTTATAGCAGGTGCTTTATTGCTTCAGATGAAGACTTTGATCACAAATGGGGAGAGTTGGACACTGATGCCCGGGAGGCTGTGGAGATCACTAATCGTTTAGCTGTATGCAACATGGACTGGGATAGGATCAAAGCACAGGATTTACTTGTACTATTTAACTCTTTCAAGTCTGCTGGAGGTGTCATTCTCTCTGTTAAGGTAAAAGCAAGGATCTAAGTAAAAGTTATTTAACATTAAAATATATGATAGTTTAAGTATGAATTATGTATAAAGAAAGCAAATATTTAGCTACATAGTGCAAAAGCCCAAATATTTGCCGACCAAAATTTTTGCATTTAGCACTCAAAACTCAGGACGAGAACTTGAACATTGCAGAAATAAAGGCACCTTGAAAAATTGGGCTTTTACATTATACATTGCCCTTCATATGGGGCAATACGTTGCCATTGTTGCCAAAGTCCTGAAACGTGAAGCCTGCCACTATTGTGTTCTGTAATATTGTAGATATACCCATCAGAGTTTGGTAAGGAACGTATGGCACTAGAAGAGAAGCAAGGACCCACTGAGCTGGTGGAAGAGAAACTGGCCAGTGACGAGGAGGAGACTCCAGAGGGTAAGATGATATATTGTTTTGTCACCATAAGAAGTGGTGCGACATATTGTTATAGTCTCCAACTTTTTGTGGATGGTGTTTGGGGGTTGGTGTTCTGCAGTTGGCATCTGTAACAAATGGCAGGTGACATTTTTCATGGTAATGCCTTGTTTAATGTTGTTCCTAGCCTCCAGTTTCTTTAAACATATAAGTTTTCCTTCTTTTCTATGGCTGTTCCTGCATTATTGTTTAAGATGGTTTTAGTGCATACATTGTTTTGGTGTATACAGTGGAAGGAATGAAAGAGAATAATTGAATTAAGATGTTAAATTGAATTTAAGTAACAAAGCACATTTAATTTTGAAATATGCATCTTGGAATATAGTGTCCAACATTGATACAATTAAATAATCCCAAAATTTATTAGAAGCTTGACATTTGTGTACTCTAGGTGCTGATTACCATCGAGAGAAATTACGTAAATATCAACTCCAGAGATTAAAATACTATTATGCAGTTGTGGAGTGCAACTCCCCAGAGACAGGCAATCAGATTTATACAGAATGTGATGGGATAGAATATGAGGCCAGCGCTACTAAATTAGATCTTAGGTAAGCACTTTGTCTTATTTACAGCTGTGACATAACTACTATTATTTGTTTTGATTACCTTTATACAGAATATACAGTAAAAAACAGAGTTTACAGTATACAATTGTTGACCTCTTCAGAGGTCAACCGGCAAAATTGTATACCGAGACTGTAAACTGAGAAACTACTGTTGACAGAGACCGAAGGTCGAGGTCAACAGTAGTTTCAAGGTTTACAGTCGAGGTATATGATTTTGACGGTTGACCGAATGGAGAGGTCTACAATTGTTTTGTTAGTCAGAAGAAACTAATAATACACATATAGACGACAGTCATCAATCATGGCTTCGTTTTACCTTGGAATAAATAATAAAATAATTTAGTATTCCCAGGTTTTACAATCTTTTCTCCGAACCACGCCAGCAATAATTTTTTAAGAAAATCTGAAGACAGTGGTAGTTAAACTCTCTGTTTTCGACACATCACTGCATAGGCCTGCTCACTAGTAAAATATAGCCTAATGTAAAATTTTACGTTTCTATTTGTATTTTTGCTCTACTTGTCGTCTAGCAAAGTCAAAATATCACTTTCATCAACGTAATGCAAAATGTCCGTCTACCGTGTTTTTTTCTGTAAACATTATGACGTCATATTTCCCATGATTCACAAGTGTAGTACAGTAACATGCGCGGTCAATAATATGATCTCCCGTGATGCACAGGTGGGGTACAGGCAAAAATGTTGACCACTAATTGACCAATCAGATGTGAGTATTTACACTGAGGTACTAACAATAAAAATTTATGACCTTACTATACAGAAATGGAGACGGTGATTCTTACCAAGTTCATACTCATTGTGCATACACAACTACCCTTGTAAAACATGGAAAGATTTTTAAGCACTGTTTGTCTGATCAGATTCCCTTGAATGCATTATAATCCGTCTTACAAATAAGTTTAATGTGGTCATCAATGTTTAAGATCACATTTAGAGGTCAACGGGAAACAATTGTAGCATTTTATTTACAATTTAATAATTGGTCCAAAACACTTTAAATCACTACAAAATTTATACAAAATTTATAAATACTTGTCCTGTGTATTAAGGTTCTAGTCATTTAGTAACTGAGTCTTTTTTCTTTTCTGATTGTTTTAGGTTTATTCCCAATGACATGACTTTTGATGATCCACCCTCAAGTGTAGCTAGTGATATGCCTGACCAGGCAACCTATAAACCTTCAATGTTCTTCACCACTGCACTCAACCAGTCTAAGGTAAGTAGGAAGTCCTTGTTGATCTCAATGCATTAAGTTATTATATTCGATTGAAAGGGGACACATCGTTCTTTCCCATTTATGCCTTTTCCTGTGTTTTTGTATTCCCTATAACATTTCTTTGTAAGAGTTTAATAACACTACTCATTCAGTATGGTGAAATTCAGCACAAGGCCAATTCGTGTACAATTTCACCATATTGAATGGCCTATCATGGTTTATTAATTCAAACATAATAAATGAAAATATTGTCTAGAGAATCGGAGATTGAACTCCATGAAATAACCAAACTTGGTGTTATTTGCGCAATCCCCAGGTGTGATGTCACAATGTGTTACACAATACATAGATAAGCTGCATTCTGATACTCAATTCGAGAACAGTCGTGTTTTAATAGGATTTCAGTCTTCATACATGTATTTACAGGTGGCGCTAACCTGGGATGAAACAGACCCTGATCGCAAGCAGGTGCTCAATAAAAAGTTCACTCCTGATGAACTAGAAGAAATGGATGTGAAAGATTATCTAGCATCTTCTGGATCTGATGATGATAATCAAGGTATGTATAAACTAGGGCTCTCACGGTTTCATAGTTCCTCGGTTCGGTTCGGTTCACGGTTTTTATCTCCTCAGTTTCGGTTCGGTTTTCGGTTCTTATCGCACGTTAATGTAAAAAATCAAATAACTCAAAAAGATGGCGCGATTTCATTATTTATATGAGCAGCCCGGGAGCATGTTTACCTCTGATATAAGTCAGTTTTATTTACAAATTAATCATTAACTTTGTATTGTATTTTATTTATGCGATGAAAAATAGATGGCGCGATTTCATAATAAATAAGCGGCCCGGGAGCATGTATAACTCTGATCTATTCTATTTCTGCAGACAGCAAATTTTAACATTTTTTCACACGTACCTTTCTCATATACCATAACGATTTTGCAAAGCCGGCATACCGTTCTTTCCGGGAGAGAAACACCATCTCTCGTTGGAAATCCAAAATAACCCCAACAGTGGGCCTTGTACGACTTTTAAGCGTTTAGAATGCCGAAATCTTCACCTCTTGTTTCGAGATTCATCTTCCTCTACTTTAACGAACGGCACTTTTTCTGAATTAACAAACCGTTAAAAAATCGAACATCGGAGTTTTTCGAACCGAACGTACCGACTGAGGCCCAAGAACCGCGGAGCACCGCGGTTTCGGTGCACCGTTAGACCCTTAGTATAAACCAGCAATTATAAATAGCACCATATAATCTTAATGAAAAATATATGAAAAAATAGATTTGACTTGATCAATATCCAGGGCAACTATGAAGGTCTTGTAAATTCTATTAATAATGAGAGGTACAGGATATTATGTTTATCTCACATTGCCTATTTTATACCCAATAACCCCATGATATTACATAATACCAGTCCAGCTAATGGTCATTTCACTGCCTTTTCAATAATTAAGAATAACACAATACAGGTGCAAAAATTGCCCCATCCCCCACCCAGTCTGTCTGTCTTAAACTCTAAATAATCCCTCAATGACTACATTACACAGGTGCAGAATATGAAGGTCTTGACAACGACGACTCTGACTCCGAGGATGAGGCTGAGAAGATGTCCAAGTACAAAGCACTCTTAGAGGGACTTGAGAAGAAGGACCCTGTTGAGGATGACACTGATGCTGGCATGGAGATTACATGGGAACCAGGTAGGCATATCATATACATGTATTTAAATTTAAACATAAGTATTTCAATCTCGTCTTTTTTGGTACGATTCAAGATGGCTTACAAGTAAAAGGAGAAATCTGACTTTTTAAATTTGAGCTTGCACATTGCATATATCATGACTAGCTGTAATATATTATTTTGTTGTAGGTTTGAAGGAGACTACAGAAGATCTGGTGAAGAAGAAGTCTAAAGAGAACGAAGGACAGACACCTTGGGAGAAGTACCTTGAGAAAAAGAAAGAAAAGAACATAAAGAAAAGAGAAGCTAAAGCAAAGGGGAAAAAGAATGAGAGTGAAAATGTGGAAACAGTAAGAGGCTTATACAAACTAGAAATGCAGAGATCCAAGACATGCTCTGAATAATTCTTAACTGATGAATTCCTAAATTAATTGTTGTTTTCATGGAAATCATATATCACAGTGAAAGAATAACAAACTTAAAATTCCTTTTGGGAATACCCTGAATTATGAATAATATCAATCTTTTATAACTTTGAGCCTGTCTATGTTAAAATTCCTCAGATCTTTGACAATTTAAAGCGTAAATTAAAGATTAGAATGTGGTAAATGTTTGATAATGCCCATGTACTTATCCCTTGTATCCATACCCCTATTGTTTTAGTGAACAGTTGAATCATTACTTTACATTTTGTTTTACAGACTGTATAGATCATAATCATTTTCCGATATATTTATGTAACTGTAGATTGTGGCCCCTGCTGGGAAGGATGATGCCGCTGCATTCAGCGATGATGAATTACCTGAAGGTGTTGACATGAATGACTCATACTTCACTGAGGCTCTTAATGAAGGCACAGCTGGACAACCAGCTGCAACCAAAGGTAAGGGAATGTCTGGGTTCTTTTATTACGTCACTACCACAATTGGTGACATATTTTTATAGTCTCCTATTTCTTTGTGGCACGGTTGATAGTTGATGTTCAGCATCTGTAACAATTGACAGGTGGTGACATTTGCATGTTAATGCAGTGTTCGAGTACCACTGTTATGAAAAGTCTTTATCCAAATAGTAATAATATATATATATATATAATACTAAACTAAACTTTAGGGTATATAAAAAATGATTTTTGCCCTGTATCCCCTTGTTGGCAAAATGGTGAGCCTCCAAGTTTTGCCATCTTGCCATAGTGGGCTCATACTACTACTATTATAATGTAAGAATCTCATATTGATGCCCTTCAAAACTGCCAATTATAAGCTTCTTAAATGTGTTTATTTTAGATGGTAAGAGAAAGAAGTACAGGAAAGGCAAGAAACCCAAGGATTCAGATCTCAACCCTAAAGATCAACAGGAACAGGTGGGCAACCAAACATGAATAAGCAATCTGGACCATTACTAACACATTTGTTAATACTGTAGCATCTGCTTTCAACAAGTTAATTAATGTACATTAAATTAAATTCACTTAAAAAGAGAGTGGAAAATATTGCAAAAAGTGATATTAGAATAAGAATTAGATTATATAACATTAAAGGATGTTTATGAAACTTATGTTATTGTATGCCTCATACAAATATTAATTCAAGTTGTATCATTTGTGATTTAGGCCGAGATGTCTCTGTTGATGATGGATGAGGATGATGGCAAGCAGCACTTTAACCTAAAGGACATCATGGCTGTTGAGAAGAAAACAAAAAATAAGAAGAAATTGAGAAAATTGAAGGAAAAACTAAAAGCAGCTGAGGAGGATACTTTTGAGGTAATACTTGTTTGCGTGAAAATGAAAGTGTGTGTTGTTCCATCATTTGAGAACTATATAAATTGTTAATAATCATAGATATGACATGCACAGACATGGGGACGATATGAGAAATATGGGGTAACTAATCCTTTAACTGTTAATCCCCACCTTATTCAAATACCATGTCATTTACATATCATTTTGAACTATCTTTAATACCTTTTTCAGTGACACTATTTTTTTTCTTGAAAGATTTAATGTGATCTACCATATTTTCAAAGTTTAATATACCCCAACGTTGTTAAATACATTCGAAGTTCATGAATATTACGCATATATTAAAAATAAGAGCTGATTTAGTGCTAACAAAATGTAACGCATCCATTATGTATCGCTCATCAAGTTTTTCCAATGCCTCCAGAGGATTCAATTCAATTGTTTTTCAATTAAAAATAATTTCTGAAATATTGTCCTCGAGATCTTGTTACTGCATAATTTTTTTTAATTGAAGAATGCTAAAAAATGTAACACTCATCATTTTTGATCTCATAAGGCTACTTGCGCCCTATACTACTCATTGTTTTGTTTCAGTATTTTGACGCCATAATGTGACACTAATTCTCCCCAATTTCTGGCATGTAACAACATATTTTGATTTTGACTTTTGTTAAAGGACAGAAGCCTGCATTTGTTTATAATAAAATTTGATACCTCTCTGTTTATTGATATTCATTGAACATGTTGAATACATTTAATTTCAGTTGTCAGTTGATGACCCACGGTTTTCCGCTGTGTACAATTCCCATTTGTACAACATAGACCCCTCTGCACCAGAGTTCAAGAAAACAAAAGCCATGGACACTATAGTAAAGGAAAAATTCAAACGTAAGGAAGAGGGCAACAATAAAAACACTGAAGAAAAACCTTCAAAAATACCAAAACTCCAAGAAAAACCAGACAATAGTTCAACATTAAGTGCTCTTGTGAAATCTGTCAAGAGTAAGACTGCACAGTTTCAACAAAACAAGAAAAAGAAATAGTATTTAATTATTATGTATATTGGATGACTCTTACAGAACAGCATGAAGAAGAACTTCTGCTATTAAAATAAAATTTATAAAAATTAATAATCAGAAAGTATGGTATATTTTTCTCGACTGATTTATTATGTCCCCTCCAGAAGTGGGGACATATTGTTATAAATCTCCAACTTTTTTGAGCACCGTGTTTGGCAGTAGGTGGTTTGCGTCTGTAACAAATGGTAGATAGTGACATTTTGAACGTTAATGCCTTATATTATTTTTAAATTGGGATATGTTAATCAGATCTTCATACTTGAACCAAGCTATACCATCTGAATCGAGGCATTTATATCCATGCTTATCACCTATGCATGATACAAAATGATGCAAAATTCAAAATGATATAAATTAGAATATTCCAAACCAGGATGTCAGAATCTCCATGAATAGTGTTTTAGTCAATAGACAATACTAATGACAATTAGCTTCCATGAAAACTGAAAATAGATCTTGAGTTTTAACAAAGCATACATATTTATTTGTTATATCTTTCAAAGATTTATTCATTCATCTATATTAAATATCTTTTAAAGATATATTCATACATCTACAATGTTAATTGAATTGTTATATCTTTTAAAGATATATTTATTTATTTAAATATTTAATTTAAGGTCTCAAATAACCACAAGTTTTAATAAAAACAAATTGAGAAGATTCAAGATACATCCAAAATTGTGAAATATGACTAAAATCTTAGTATTAATTTAATGTAACTACACATGTACTCAAATGCCATTATGCAGAACTGTTCATACAAAATATCACTTTTTAAGTGTAATATAAAATACAAGACAGGGAACCGTAATTGAGAAAAGTTTTTAGAAAGTGCGCTTTATGCATATGTTGGTCTCTCATTTTATGAGAAATACATGTATTGATCGCATAAGGTTCTACTCATGAAGACTTTCCATGCATAATTACATGCTGAGATGAGTATTGTTCGCTAAGTTCCCACTCATAGGCACCTCGCATTATTTCTGCAATGCGTTTAGTCCATCCATTGTTGCTATGTTTAAAGAAGTTCCCAGTCACCATCACTTGGTGACCTTTGCCTTGTTGCTATGGAAACTTCTGTATCTTGTTGTTTACCAATGTGAAGATTTGTGTCTCTCTGGTACAACTTTTCATCACTGTCTATACCCCAAAGATTGTTACTAGGTGACACTGGAAGTAAACACATAGAAATTCTTATTAGGCTATATACTATATAGAAAGTCCAATTAACAACATATGATACGGACTGGAGGACATATATTGAAAGATAGGGGACCATTCCAACAAAGTTCCTGATTGATTCAGCCATTGCATGGGGATGTTTGTTAACTTTGTCTGAGATTTAAAGCAGCGTTAAATTCAAAAATAGATTGTGTGCAAGTCTTGGTATTGCTTGATAAAATACCATGCACTGACCAAAATAAGGCGATCCCTGGGATTTCATTTGTGTGGAAATACATTTGGACAATTCAGTAAATCTCTATCTGACATTTAAAGAGAAATTGCTTTTATATATAAAACTATCAAGTCAACGTAGACATACATTGTGAAAGAATCGTTAGAGAATAATTTTATGTACATAATACCTGTAAGTTTGGAAAATCTGCCAGGTATTTTCTTCCAATAATCCCCAGTTTGGTTATAGGGTGAGATACCATATCTGCACAGGATCTCCCCATCATCATTCAGTGCCCATACACTGTCTTTGCTCACACACAATTGTTTGGCAGTTGTACCTATAAGTATATTACCAGTGGATTACTATTGATAATAATTTCCTCTTTGAATTCATTCTTCCTTCCTGATTGTGTCCTCCTTGGGTACATATGGCTTTGATTTGCATTACTATGTGTATATTTCTGAATTCAAAATGAATGGCAATCTAGACCTCTTTGAAAACTGTCAGGTATTCTTATTTGAAAGTCACAGCATGTTGCACATGTATACTTTATTTACTTACTTATATTACATCTAATCTCTTATATGAATAAATATCACAAGGTGTGGAGAACATGTACAGCCCTGAGCCTCTACAGATGAATATGATTAATTTACCTGAAACCAGCATCCATTCTGTCCCGATAGGCATGTGTCCTGTTACATTTAACCTAACATAAACATTGTGTTTCACATCCAATCCCCACACCTACAAACACAACAGTTAACAGATATGGACCAAATCTGACTAGTAACTGATATTGAAGTTATCAGACAATTAACTTCACAAAATATGGAGGCCAATTTGAATTCAGCGGCCATCTTGAAAATTTCTTCTTCAATAGAGGTCATTTGTCCTTAGGTAACTAAATCTTCATTCAGTTGGAAAAACTAATGAAAACAACAGGCAAAATAAATGGTTATTTTAATTTTTTAACAGAAACATTTGAAAAATTGCTCACAACGTCCGGCAATATTGACATGCAAAGGTATTGTTATTTGCTGCTAATGAAACCAATGCATTGTATTATAATACGATAGTCATTACTGCTGTACAATAATGTGTGGAGTATAAGTCCTTTATACTACTATAATATACATATACCTACCATCCAGTCACATGGTCCAGTGACCACTTGAAGAAACTGGATCCCCTGTGTATCTACAGGAAGCCATGCCTGAGGGAGACGTCTGCTAGTGGGGGGCTTTACCCCGATACGCTGATACACCATCCCAGAGTTGTCAACACCCCATACATTCTCAGCCCCGCAACATATGTGGACAAACCAGGCTTCATCTGGAATGAAATGAAAAATTATATTGTATGTATAGCCATTAGGCCCCAATGCATTAATTTTATGTTTAACAATATATCTTAAAAGGACTGGGTCATCAGATTCTTCCTTTTTCATTTCATTTGTCCAAATCATATGAAACTGAAAGGAAAATCCTAATAAAAGCCATGGGAAAAGATTCATCACGGAGATTTTGAGATGACAATGCTGCTAAATAAACATTTGAATTGCATGGGCCTGATCTGTTATCTTTTACAAGGTAGATACTGTACAATTACTCAATGAATAACATTAACCTTTAACTGGTTTGTATCCTAAAATCATGTAAGATTAAAAAATTTCCCTCAACTAAACCCAACTCCAATAATGATTTCTTGAATCTTCAAAGTGAGCCTCACTAACATCTGACCATACATTATGTTTATCACTAAATGTTTGCAAATCATACCTAACTGACTCAAGTCAAGTTTTAACCAGTCTGTTCCAAGTTGACAATGGGGAGCCATGCCAGTTCGGAGGTAGACATCGCCACTTGCTGTGAGACACCAAAGAGCCTCTGGAGTCGCACTCATACACACAAACAGGTGATTGGTGACTGGGAATGCCACAGAAATATAAACACTAGGCGTGGATGAGCAGAAAATATCGCCAGTTGATTGTTGTAACCACATCTGCTCGCTAATGGCCGCCACTGTCACCTGCTGCCATCTAGTAGTAGAGGCCATTCCAGGGGGATTCACAATTTCCCAATGGTGCCCCATTAAGTTGCCTCTGCATACTGTAAGGATATGTTTAAAGCCCAAACAGAGCCACAGGCCATTTGATCCAGAGGCAGTGAGGCCACCATGCTGTTGGAGCACAGCAGAGGCTAAGTTACCTAACTGGGTGGGGCCTATCATACTCTTCAGTGAATCTAAGGGTGATGTTTCCTGCATTAAGTAACCACCTGTTGACACCTAAAATGCAAATGCATATTCCATCAGTGGAACACATCAACATGTCCAAAATGTACAACCAGGTGCATCATAATGAATTTAAATTGATTTAGGTCAAAACCGTTTCACAGGCAGTTGTCATAATATATTCTCCAGTAATCCATACCGGGATTTTAAATATATTATGTACGATATTTGGTGAATCCAAGAAGCAGGATGGATGGTTATCTCTATCCAGCTATCGCTGAGTTTTGTAACATCTATCATGAGCCTACTCCATAAAAGCAAACTTACTTCAGAGGGTATGGGATACATCTGTAATGTACCATCAGTTTGGTTACAGGGTTTATCACTGAGGAAATATTCCATTACATGTTTCCCTCTGGATAAACCCTGTATTGGAAACCTTCCAGGACATAACCCTTATATACATGCTGGAAGTATCATGTCAAAAAAATCCACTTGCTGACATTATCCAATGGACTCATGGTGCATAGCACACAGTGTAACATAATAACATGCCCAGTTCAACTACAAATCTAATCAAGTTCTGTTTACCTGCCAACATTTTCCACTGCCTTGGGGTGTTTCAGAAGTTACCCCTGTTGTGAACCAGAGCTGCCCACTCAGGTCTAGCAGCCATAAGGTGTTCTTATCCCCAAAGGCTACACTACACACTGACATATCTTTACAACTGAAAATAGAAAACGTATGAAAATGGGAAAATTCATGTTTCATATGGACTTGGTGGTATAGGAAAATAACTATCAAAACTAATCTCCATTGATATTTTTTATCTCAGCAAGTGACAGTTCATTATGCACAAGAATTAAAGGTTAAGAATGAGCCTTAAATTGTTTTGGTTGGCTCCACAGGATTTGAATGTCCTTGTGCTCTTCTTTAGTTAAAGTTCCAGGATTTGGTTGCTACATTTTTCTCAATGCATACATGACAAAAGATCACATAAATGTATAAAACATACCATAGGACATCCTTCCAAGATGTTCCCTGAAGGCAACCCTTTCTTAAACCATCTCTATATATGAGTTTGTTGGTCCCAGTTATGGCTAGCACAATTCCATTGTAACATGAAATCTGACTGAGGCCTGCTGGAGCTTCAACTTGATGAGCTCTGTAGCATGGGCGCTCCTTGGATAGGCCTTGCTGCATAAATACAGTGCCATTATTCTTGATATACCTGCAATGTGATCAATATTATGTAGGAGCTTTCTGTAGTTAGTTGCAAGCACAACATGTAATGTAATTGATTCTTTAACTCGTGTCAGATATACCATATACAGTATAATGCAGTACTTGATCAGAGTAATCAAATTTTAGTCAAAGCAATTGAGTTCTTGCTGAGGGGAATGACTCACCATGCAGACCTATCATCCACAGCTATGTACTTGACATCTTTGGCAGCTTCTACCCACTTCATTCCAGCAGGGTTGCGAACAGTGATCTTTGTACCTGTATTAGCGAAATCATGATTAGAATATCTATGTTTGCCATGGCCAGTCCTGTCAAATCCCTCTTAGAATACATTTACAAACATCCACAATGGACATACAGGGTGTTCCAAAGGTTAGGTGCTACCCTTTCCCTAATTTACTGCAATAATCGTGATAAAATTTTCATAGAATGACAATTCAATTTTGTGATTAGGATCAGAATATAAAGAATATATTCAGAATGGTTGCTATGGTAACATTACATCACAGTATCCGAGGCAACAGGTTCAAAATGAAAAATTCATCATAATTAATGCGTAACCATTTACCTGCATAAGCTGACCCCTTATGAAGACGCCACACAATAACCCCTGTAGCTGAGACAGCAATCTGTTTAGCTGCGGCATCAACTTTACGCCACTTCAGACCTGGGTTACTCAACATGCTATAATGTAACCTCTCACTTTTATCTACACACCACACATGTTTGTTAGACAATGTCAAACTCTGGAGGTTGCTAGGGGCAAGGAACTCTGTCCATGTATCTGACAGCACTGGGGTGAACTCCCCACTAGGGGCCTCCTCTGAGCTAGGACTGGAATGTTCGGGGCTGGTGTCTGGAGTTCCCGGTGTACCAGGAGAGAGAGTATATGCAGACCTCGATTTGAACATTGAGTAAAAATCATCATCCTCTTTTCCAGATGATGTTGATTGCACTTTGTTTTGACTAGATTCTACAACTTGTTGCTTCTTGTCCTTATCTTCTTGTGATGTGGAATAAATATCAAATTCATCGGATTCTTCAATTGGATTTGGATTGTTACTTTCTAAAATATCCAGACTGTCATTGTTATCTTGAATGTTGGCTGCTTCAAGTTGCTTATCAATTGGCACATTGTTTGCTGACTGAGTTACTGACGTTGTAACCAAAGGGGTTGAAGTCATAATTGGATCTGACATCACAGTAGAAGTTGATGTTACAGATGAAGTTGATGTTACGGTAGAATTTGATGTTTCTGTTGGAGCTGATATTGCATTTGGGAATGAATTTGTTCGAGCAGAGTCTTTCTGGTTCAAGATGGCTTCCTCTTGTGACATGTCTTTTTGTGACACATCTGGTTGAGCTACATCTTCAAATGATGTTCCAGTATCAACTTCAGATAGTCCCTCTGGCAAGGACTCTTTTTTATCCTCTGGAATTTCATTCTGCTCATCATTTGATTTTACTTCGTCTTTTTCTTTGTCGGATGTTACTTGATTAACTTCATTTTTTAACAGATCCTTATCAACTGTTGTTTCAATACTTTCATCTATTCCATCTGTTATTTCTTTCATCCCTTCAGGAGTTTTTACTTCATCTTTGATTTCATTAGAATCACCATCTTCAGTCTTCTCATTTTGGACATTATCTTCTACTTGGTTTTTCATTGTGTCATCAGAAGTTTTATCCCCTTTATTAGTTTTCTGTTTTTTCTTTTTAACCTTGACATGTTTGTATACAATATCATCCATTGGGGAGATATCTATTGCCTCAGTTGAATCACTACCAGGCACTGCTACTGAGTCACTAGATGTTGTTAACTGGGAATGATTATCACTGGACTGGCTTGTAGGAATCACATCTGGCTGTTGGTGGATAGCAGCAACTGCTTGGAGACTGCTTGCTGTATTCTCTTCTGGAACTTCCCCAGGCAGAAATGGTTCATGGATTTCAATCTGGAGTAAATCATCAGATGCTAGCTTTATAACTGGTGGCAAAGGAGCATCGGGTGATATAATCCCATCAGCACTGTCTATCACCATATTTGCCTCCTTGGCCTTACCAAATCTTGCACTTTGAGTTTGAGGTGGTGCCTCACCAAGGACTGCACTCATAGTTTCTCCCATTGTCTTTGAGAATAACTGCTTCATACTTTGTGTTGCTTTGGGAAGGGACTCCTTTATTCCCTTTGTTTTCATATTACCAAATATATTTGCAGGGGAGAAGTTGGATGAGGATTTTGGGGCAAGTTTAGGGGAGCCCCTTGGGGACACCCTGGGGGACTGTCTGGGTGTATTATCAAGTTGAAGAATTTTGGATGTTGTTGACAAGTCTTCATGGATTTTTTCTGAAACGATAAAATATCATAAGAAGTTGATAAATGTAGCCAAAGCTTACAACATTCAGAAAAGGTATTTATAACAAAAAAATGTACACCTAAACTGGGTACCGTAGTTAATTAGTGGATGTACATGCATTTACATTTCATTACAAATCATGAATATGTACTACATTGATGCATTTCTTTCTACCCTTCAATAATTTCAATAGCCTATACATAAACATGTACTTCTGAACTGCAAATAATAAGTGAAAATTATCCTACCTGGCAAATTTTCTGAATCTGGTGAATGAGAAATCCTTATGACAGTTCTTTCATCCACACCTTTTCTTAGAACAAATATTTCATCATTTATGGTTGCCACGTCAACAATCTCCCCCATATTACCACGGCAACCAATTATTGTTCCTTCCTCTATATCCAACACATATATTGCACTAGAGTTCCAACTCAGTAAATGTTTAGAGTTGAATATCATCAATGGCCCATATTGGCCATCTTTAGGTTGAACATCATTTTGTTGGTCAATATCAGGCCATAGAACCATCCCAGGGCATGTTTCAGATTGTATGAGTTCTTTGAAGACATATGTTGCTTGTACTTGACCCTCTATATTGGCCTTCCAGATTCTGAACCCAGGCCTAGCAGCATAAATGATCGAGTTCTCCATCTTACACAGGTCACAGCTGAACACTGAACCATAGTTACCCAAACTGCAGAAAAAGTAAGAAATCAAGCGCGTGCACTAGTATATTCTTTGGTCGCTAATTTTTGATATTTAAATTGATTTTCTAATACAAGTATTCTCTGGTAAGAAAAGTTTTCTTACAGTAGTAACATTTACATTGGCTCTATAATATTATATTCTCACATTAAGGTAGTTCTGCATTTCCACAAAAAAAGTCTAACACAAAAATTGGAGCAATTCCATTTCAACATTTAATCCCAATATTTTGATTTTGAACGATGCATTCTTCCATAATGTGTAAATATCCAAATGTGAAGAATAACAGTCAGATCTACCTTAAATAATACATGGCAAATTATATACTACACAGTTAAACTTTGTACGTACCCCTTCCTGTCCTTGGTTCCAATCTGTTTAGGCTTCCCAGGTTGCTGTAGGGAGTATACAGCAGCCCTGTGTTTACTAGAGACCACCAAATGCTGGTGTTTATAGCTTAATTCAACCAAGTCGTGGATTTCATGTATAATTGCTTCAGACTTGCTGGTTCTCTGAGAGTAATCAATGTCAGTTGATACAACTGTTCCATCACAGTCCCCACTGAAGAGCTTCATTCCATTGACACTCCATTCAAGACATGTAACTGGTACACTGTGAAGTCCATCTACACGAAATAACTGCAACTATAACACAAGCACATTTGAGACATGATTAGATGATGTTGTATGTGAATGTTTGAAGTGGAAGTGCATTTGACAGTCAACCAAATTTAAAGAGAGGTTTTATTTGAAGAAAATATAAAGTAAGAGCTAAGGCCACCGTACCAACAACCAACAAGTAATATTTGTCATATTCTATACCTCATCCACAAACATGATTAACCAGCAATGCACTATGCGGTTAATAATCAGAGCTACTGAGTGTTCTTTGACCAATTCAATATTTTGAGTTTTGAACAATACAGTTAACTCACCTGCATTGACCTTCCAGGTAAGTTAGATGGTAGCTGGAATATCCTCACTGAGCCCCTAGTTGTTCCCGCTGCCACCAAGTGGTCAAGGCTCAACTGGAGACGCACACATGTTATACTATCATGCTTCACCTGTAATATGAAGAAAATAGTAAAAAGAGAAATATCAAAATTACTAGTTATTAATGAGGGGGAGGGTGAGAGCCGTCATGTTTACTGCTCACAAGTCACTAGCCTTGAATGAACCCCTTTCCCCTCCCACTCTTTATCAATAACCAGTAACAATCTATTGTTAACGTCTATAGAAAACAGTACATTTTCATCCCCCATACATTCTCAAGATATATATAGACAATTTCAAAATACAGTATACATGGCATGGTTTTAAGATGTGCATGACTGGCCTCACAATATGCAGATATGCTAACACATTATGAAAATGTGCATAAGATAATCTCTGGTTAAGAAAGGCATTGTGTTAATACACCCTACACATAGAGCGCACGCAATATTACTACGCTGGCTGCATTTGAAGAGACTATCTGGCTATTTCAAACATGTCTAAAGAGAGGTAAGTTTTCATTCCAACATTTTGATTGTTTTTCAAGCTGTATACCAGCGATTATTGAATTTCTTAAAAGAATGATATTCAAAGTACCTATGTTTGACAGCTTACTATAAAAACGCCGACCTATTGGCATGTGCTGCTGAGATAAAAACAAATTCCAAAAAAACGCCAAATTATTTCCATTTATTTCTTCCTCTCGATCAACTGCTAAGCTATCAATTATCCAGGTAAGCTGACAATTGAATGATGATGACCCCATCCACCATCTATGAATGTAATTAGATCCTATAATTGCCCGAATTTGTTACAGTACAAGTCCTAAGTAGAACTCTGCCGAAAATTTAGGAGAGGACTACGGCGGGTGAGTATTTTATGATTCTAATGCATACTAAAATGTTTTCATTTTATTTCAGACTAGGATTCGAATGTTACCAGGTTACTATTGCAACACAAACAGGAGATGTACAAAATTTACAGATATGCTAGTGCTTTCCTTAACTGGTCATGCAACTGTTGTTAGGCCCATATGAAGGGACTTGATAGAAGTCCCTTTGACCAATGATTATTGCAAGCTTACTCAGTATTTGAGGATTTTAGGAACTTTAATTTAAGTGTTAGAGTCCCCCTGGAAAAGTTTGGGATATAAAGCATGTCAGTTTACATCATTTTTAGCTGTGTGAACGTATTGAATTCTCCATCAGTCCGTCCGTCCAGCTGGAAAGAAGCAGCAGATTATTAAGTGACATCCATCTGTCCGTCCATCCTTCCATCGTCAACAGTTGTGGCACTAAGAGACAAATGCAACATCCATTCATATTTTGTTATGCACACAAGTGACATACCCTATACTGTACATGTATGTATATCCAGGATATCTCTTTGGAAATAAGTCACTTAATAATCCGTTTATGTGTATATAGCATCACTGTCATCTGAAGGTCCAAGGCCATGGCCAAAGTAAAGAGTTACACTTGAAAAAATGTCATTATTGTTTAAAATGTTAATTACCTGTGCAAAGATTGTTTACAGAGTTCGACACTTGTATATATATATTGTATTTTATGCACATAAGTAACTTTCTTTGGATAGACCTACATTGCAACCAAATATTTATTGGTAAAATTGCACGACATATCAAACACTGCTCAAGATCAAATGCTACCCTCCCAGGTCTACCCTTGTATAAAAGTTCGAAATTTTATAACAATTTGATATTATAGTGAGTTATTCCACAGTCTATGTGCTTTTGATACACATGAGCACTGGATCTGTGGTCGATATTTGAGCAGTCTATCGCATCTTTCAAGTTGTAGTGTTAATCCCAAGAGGTTGATATTGACATGCGTAGTCCTCTCATCCAAAAATCTGATCTCGGGATTTCAAATGAAGTTTCCTCAGGAAAAATAATGGTAAAATTCTTCAAAATAACATCAATGATGCAAAATATGTTAGGAATGTATAATATACTACTCTCATAATACTTCAGTTAACGTGATAATATGAGGATATTGAGATTCTTTAGTGAAACTTCGCGGTAACTTCCTGAATTATCAACTTTACATCGTATTTTATTCATTATGAAGGCATACTTTCCTATATTTTTGTCATATTTCTTCAATTAAGTGTATACTATATGGTTTGCCACCCATATAAGATACATTAATATCTTAAATAAGTCAGTAGGTGCTTTCAAAAAGTAAACCATGAGAAAGAAGTTGAGAAATAGCCAGATAGTCTCTTCAAATGCAGCCAGCGTAGTAATTTGCTCGCGCTCTATGTGTAGGGTGTAATATAAAATATGGAATATGGAATATGGGAGTAGAATGATGATTTATATGATCTCAACTTTTTATATGTCTGAACAGTTTGTAAATATTTTTCATTGAATGCTCAAAGTCATCATGCTCTTTGCATTGGTTTTATAGAAACATTAGTCTATATAATAGGTTCAATAATAAAAGACTTTCTTCAGTCAAATCTCATGTTCAAAGAAGTGCTTTCAAATATTAACAATGAAGTGCAATATTTGAGAAATACAAGTAGTTATTACTAACTAAAGATTTACATTTAACTTGTGCATGTAAAGAAAAACTTCATTCAATCTCTTGTGTGAAAACGAAACCGTATCATTCAAGAAGGCGCAACAGATAAATGGTAACTATTTTTCCCATATCACTTTTTCTATTCTATAACCCAAATTTTCAAATGACCATAAATCAGTTTTGGGGAGTAAATGGTGTTAATAATGATGTCAGGTCTTAGACTTGTTTGTTAATAGTCGATTTCTGGTCATATATTTGACGTTATGAATGTTCGTTCATACTGTATGCTTTACATGCATGTAGAGGCCAAGTATAAAGTTAAAGGCAGAATCTGATCTATAGGGGGTGACAAAATTACAAGCAACATGTATAATTGACCTACCAATCTGTTCCTTACAATATCAAATACAATATCTCCCAAAAGATTCACAATATGTTATAAATTGGTGAAGTTATTAATGATTCAAAGTGCAAAAATGAGTGAAAAATGTTTAAATTCTCCCAAATAATAAGAATGGTAACCATTCTTATAGAAAAATAATACATTATTGTAAAAATCTTTAGTTTTCCTGGAATAAAGTATGCACTTTTGTGATTTTTAGAAAATAGGCATGACAAGGTATGACATGAGCCAAAAATATTCTAAAATTGTAACAATTTTTTGTTTAGCCTGCTCGCTATCTCTGATTCTCTCTTTAACCTATTTCCCATTCTGTATTGCACAATTTGGATATGATACTTCTTTATGGATTTATATTCTATGTAATTGTATTTACAGAAAATGGCTACAAAGTATGTAAAAGAAGATGGTCCCCTTACAGATGTGCATAAGCGCACTTTGCAAAAATGTCAGTATGATATAGTTCCAAACCTGGAAGTTAGAGACATCATTGCTGTTTGTCATCGAGATGAGATTTTAACAAGTTCAATGATTGAAGAAGTTGAGGCAAAGGAGACAGGTTCTGGGAGATGTAGAGCCTTTCTACAAAAACTAGAAGCACCTTCTATAAAAGCATTTAATTCCTTTGTTGATGCATTGAAGGAACACTATGACTTTCTGGCAACAATGATTAAAATGCGACTAAGTGAAGAAGCTCTTGTTCAAGCAAGTATTAATCTGGACCTGGCGTATGATATTGCTCCTATTGACATAGAAACACTAGTACCTGAGGAATTTGAGCATACCAGAGCTATATTGAAGAAGATAGGGGTCATGACAAAACACCTTATGGTCAGATACAATGTTGAAAGTGAAGCAATCAATGAAGATAAAGAAGATTTAAATTTGACAAAGATAACCGAAGGCCTCAAAATCAATACAAAATCTCAGGCAAACCAGATGCCACCGCCAAGTATACATCAGATTCAATTCTCGCCAGACCGAGAAGGTGGTGCATCAGCATCTATGGATATGACATTGTTGTTAGGAGCTCCTAAACAATGGATCGAAAGGTTCCCTGTGTCATCTTCTCAAATAATATCATCAGTCAATAGGAGCATCCTAGATGTCCCAAGAATCAGGGAGAAGTCTACAAATAGATCAGCTCTCCCTTACATTAGATCTATAGCAGAATTATCAAATGGTGAACATGTTACTTGTGGGACAGATGCTGGATATAGTCATAAAGCCTTGCTGTATGATGATCAATGGAATGCAGAACAGATACTGGTGGCAGATAAAGCAATGTGTGTTGCACCTAATGCAGATATTGTGACTGCATCATGTCAAACTTCTGGAAGAGTGATGTTGTTTGACATCAAAGGAGTAAATACTAGAGACAAAATAAATAAAACATTACCAACAATAGCTGATCCTGTAGCAATAGCATTCAATCAACAGCAAGAGCTTGTCATTGCAAATGGTGATAAGAAAACAATATCGCATGTTAATATCACTACAGGAAAAGTAGTAGATACAACTCCTTGTGGAATGTTTAAATTATCATACAGCATTGCTGTAACCAACCAGAACAATATCCTAATTGCAGACTGGGGAGATGAATCAGTGAAAACCATCAATAGGCAGGGGGACTTACTAGCCTGCTATAAAGGGGATGGTGACTATACTCTTAAAAGCCCTAGAAGTGTGTGTGTAGACAGTGCTGGAAATATCATCATAGCTGACTATGGAAAACACCACATTCAGCTTCTCTCCCCTGAAGGCAACTTCAAGAAAATCTTAATGAACCAAAGTGATGGATTAGAGAACCCAACTGCAGTAGCTATCAATAGACAGGGGGACATTTTAATTGGTACACTATCCAGGCTACATGAAGTGACATATATGGCCTAAATTGTATACTATGGCTTGATGAGTATAACTACTACCAAGTGCTTAACAATCACTGTCATTATTCCACCACTGTTGTCAGTATTCCACATAAAAGCGATGTAAGTTTCAATGTCCCTATTCAATTCCATTTCATTTGATTTACCCCAATAGGAGGCACTTTAGCCGGGATAATAACAAAGGGATTTTTCTAGATATGCAGGGTTTATCCCAAGGGAATAACTGTATACAAAACTGACCATACATGTACATAACAGATGTTCTATCTTCCATGGTTTCAAAAGGACAAGTCTCGGTTTAGAGAACAGTCTCCTGGGCTAATAATTTTTTATGAAAAATATAGAAATATCACCCGAATTAAATTTTGGATATTCAAAAGAGGACATCTCAATTTAATGAGTTAATGAAAACACAGAATGAAATCCTATGCTAAGGGCTGATGTGAAAAAAAGTCAGTCCATCCCAGTGGCAGGCCATCCAACTGTCCCGCAGTTTGCGTATTTGTCACGCATTTGCTGGCAAATTTGAAGTCACACCAGTTATTTTGATGTGACAGAATATGTCACACAAATACGCATTTTACCTGATTATTGTCAAGCAAAAATATTTCTGTAGAAAAACTTCAAAAAAGTGATTGCTGATATGCTGAAAGCTGGCGTGACTTCAATTTCCTCAGCAAATGCATGACAAATACGCAAATTGCGGCCTGAATCAGTGTATCTTAATTTTACTCCCAAGATAATCTTGAACTGAAATTAACCTACAAATGCGTAACAATTTTTATAAAACCCTAACATTGAATACCGATCACAAAATTAGTAGTTTATAAAAACATATTGCCTCTTATTGGGAGTGGCATAAAAATTATTTTACAAAACAAATAATTCATAGAAGTCTTAACTTACATGTAACATTTAGATGATTTTATTTGTGAGTAGATTGAATTGGTGCAATTACCTGACAATTAAGCCTCTGAAGGGTGATTTTCTTTCTATCATACAGAAATACAATGCCTATATTGCTACCAAGGGCAATATATTCTGCATCAGCATCTATACACAGGAGCTGTATGTCAGTGGTGAACAATCCCTTCTGAGCTTTATGAGGCAAGAGGTGAAGGAGATGACTGAGAGGGCTGAACTCCTGAAGGAGACCCGGCTTGTGGTGACCTGCTTCATGTCTTCTAGGAGCAGCTGAAATAACATTAGATTAAGTTTTGGATCGATGGGTTGTTTACAATGAAGACAATGATATGTGAAACAAGAGCAAACATGCATCAGCTCTGAATTGCTGTTGACTGTATCCAGAAGAGATGCCTTGTTCAAGGTAGAACTTCACTGTTGATCAACTTTTTTTCGACAATTCAGATTTTATTGAAAAGAATTTATGTGAAAGATATACTGATGTGAAAATCAGAAAGATTGACTGTTTGGTTATTTCTAGAAAAAAATGCATAATTGATTCAGATTCTCTTTAAAAAATTGTGATCATTCTATGGGAAACCCAAATTATTTAAAGGGACATTCCTTGCCAGACCATCTCTCTCCTAATTTGGTAGCTATAACCATTATACTTTCCATGTTTAGTAAAACAAGGGAAAATATTTTGATATGGTCAATATTGATCACTTAAAAATGTAGTGCTCAATTCCAGTAGGCTGCCATCTTTTACATTTTGAATGATCAATATTGATCAATATTATTAAAACATTTTCTCATGATTTGCTAAATATGGAAAGCATATGATTATAGGTACCATATCAGAATAGAAATGATCTGGCTAGGAATGTCCCTTAAAAATATTTATGAAAATTCACCATCCGGATCTTGAGAAAAAAAACATTGATATCATGAATCAGTGTGAAATATTATTATTCCATTGTACCTGTATATAATACTCATATTGCGAAAAAATGTCTTGATAAATTAACATGAGCGTGTCATATAAAAAGAAAATGTATTGTGGATGGTTAAAACAGATTCTGCTGGGTTTCGAATCCACTCTCTGGTTTTAAAAATGTTTAACCCCCAGCCTTAAACCCTGCACTTAACCGATTGTGACTCGCAGCTTTCATATCAATCAAAGGACATTTTTTTGAATCAACAAGTATTATTGTTTCCATGTTGTGATACTCGTTCTCTCATTGGTCAATTAGATACCATGTGACTAAAAATATATAGAGGTATTCCATTTCCCCCTGCTTAGAAAACATGTGAGGAGTGTATTCACCAGCAGTGACGTCATTTTAAGTAAATACCACTATATATTCAATTAAATTGACGTCACATCACTTAATTCCTGGGAGTTTAGTAAAAAGTATTTTCATCCAATATGACAGATGGTGAAGTTGTATCAGGAAGTCCTCCCAGGAAAAGGTAACTGTATAACAACTTTGGGATAAAAATTTTACAAATGTGTTCAAAAAGTCAACTAATCAAAGCACGAAGACTATGGACTTTAACATGGAAGATCCAAATCTAATTTTTATCCACGGTGACGGAGATCGTAAATTATAACAGAATATTGGCAAATGTTTGGACTAAACTTCATATCATTAACAATAGTGTACATACTTCTAACTTTATATTGTGTACTACTTTAAGGTACAGCTGGAAAGTAAAATTTTGGTAAAAAATTGCTATACCTGCACATGTTATTTTCTGGTACAAAATAAAGTATGAAGGCATGTGTCAATTTCCTTGCTTTTTTCAGGAAAGTATCATTACATTGTCTTCTTTTAGAATATCTGGTAGGGGTTCAATGGAAACTCCAGGAAATTCTGATATTTCACGCTTTCCATTTTTCCAAATTTTCTTTCAAAATTTCCAGACAACACAGGAGCTACCATTGACCTGTTTCCAGATATTATAAAAGTAAACAGTGTAATGATACTTTCCTGAAAAAAGCAAGGAAATACACACATGACTTCATACTTAATTCTGTACCAGAAAATAACATGTGCAGGTATAGCAATTTTTTACCAAAATGTTACTTTCCAGCTGAACCTTAAGGGGAAATAATAAAATTCATCTCCACAGAATTCAATACATGTAGATCTATTTTTATATTATTGTTTTATTCATTTCATTTTCGTCTTTGGCATTAGAAATGCGTATTGCACAACAGACAGTGAAGTTCTACCTTAGTAAATTTTTATGATGAGGTTTTCTAAAAAGAAACTGAAACTGAATTTTCCTTGAATGAAGAGGAAATAATTATTCCCAAAATCTAAATTGAAGTGACAATTACCCACCTTCTGCCATTTGGAATCACTATAGACTCGACTTCAAATCAATATTGAAGCAGAAAATGTTGATATGTTACGATTTCATTTGCAGTGTTGCCCATATAAAGTTAATAAATCCAAAATAATCCTTTTGATAGAAATGAGGAAATTTGTAGATTTTTAATTTATTTTCGTAAGCTGTAAACAAGCATTAGATTAAAATAAATTTCAGATTTCCTTCAGTTTACGCCATTCAAATAATATAAAGCACAACACATCATAAAAGTGGAGTATTGTGATTCATAATCCTTTATTTTAAGGTCATTTTAAAAATCCGTATAGTTCCAAATTCTTTAAAAATATCTTTATTTCTAAAAAGTGTTTGCCTACACTAATATTGAGAGTAAGAAAACCCGGATGTAAACAAAAATTTGAACAGGTAAATTTCCTCGATTATTTTGCTTTTTAGCTCTAGTTGTTACTAACTAGATGTAATTAAACGTTGGTTAACTGTAGCATAGTGTTCTCAAGAGTATTCTTACATCTAAATGAATAGCCTGATACACACAGGGAAGGGGTCTAACCTGTAATATACACTCTGTTAAGGTACAGCTGGAAAGTAACATTTTGGTGAAAAATTGCTATACCTGCACATGTTATTTTCTGGTACAAAATAAAGTATGAAGGCATGTATCAATTTCCTTGCTTTTTTCAGGAAAGTATCATTACATTGTCTTCTTTTAGAATATCTGGTAGGCGTTCAAAGGGAACTCCAGGGAATTCTGATATTTCACACTTCCTGTTTTTCCAAATTTTCTTTCAAAGTTTCCAGACAACACAGGAGTTAGCATTGACCTGTTTTCAGGTTTACTAAAAGTAGACAGTGTAATGATACTTTCCTGAAAAAAGCAGGGAAATACACACATGCCTTCATACTTAATTATGTACCAGAAAATAACATGTGCAGGTATAGCATTTTTTACCAAAATGTTACTTTCCAGCTGAACCTTAAGCATGATAAAAGGCAAGAGTTATCTCATGAATGGGACCCTTACATGGCTCCTAAAAGGTAGAAGACACTAAATGGTGTGACACTATAAGCTGAATTTTGTCCACATGGAGCATGTGCACAATACTAAAGACATGTAAAATTGAAATCCAAATAATAGAAATTACTCACCAGCTCGCCTCTACCGGAAGTTATGATACGTTATGGTGTAACTACGGTAATTAATTTTAAAATATTGAAAAAATCAACAACATTCAATTTCTAGGGTGAACAACCATTTTCGAGCGAATTTGCCGATATAATAACAATATTTTTGAGTTCCCCTAGGCTATATATAAACTTCATCAATACACAGTATATTCAACATAGGTTTTGCTTCTCGATTTTTAAATATCACTATGCAAAGACAGGGACTCATTTTAGGTAAAATCATTGCTTCACCAATGAAAATTAAAGGGAACGTTAGCTCACAAAATAAATAAATCCATTACAATGTTAAGTATATGATTTGAAAGATTGTCTGGATTATATGTGTGATCGATTGATGCATAAACAAACATATTCATTTCAACTTGCAGACCTCCATTCTGGCTCATGTATAGGCCTAAGACGCCATATTGCCTTATGTATTGTACTGCCCATGCGTGCATACTTAATGCGTGACGTCACATCGACAGAGATCAGCGATCAAGTTTGACTAAAAAATTAAAAGATCCACACTTAACAGCACAAAAATGATATCAATGATCGCCTATTTCATATCAAATATGAAGGATGTAAGGTTTAACATTTTTCATGTTATTTAGTATTTACAGAAGCAGAGCTTGTAAAGAAACCAAGTTTTAAATTCCGGTTTTGACTGTTGACAAAAATAAAGAAAAGAGAGAAAGGGGCGACTTGTTAGAAACAATGACATGAAATTGTGAATAAAAAAGATATTATTGTGGGTTTTATTTTTTGAGAGTTCATCAAATACACTCATGTGTATTAATTTAAATATGTATTGTTATACCTCTCAGTTCTACCAAGGATTATAAAAACTGATCGAAATGGCTTCGTTTTTAAAGTATAAAAAACACTACCCTACCCGGAAGTAGTATAACATGTATATTGAAACCATGTGTAAACTGTAAATCACGTGAATTGGCTGATGCAATCAGGATGTGACTGGTACAAAGTAACTATGATGCAATCAGGATATGACTTGTGCAAAATAATTGGCTTCACCTAGAATTCGCGATCTTTGCTCTTTAGCATAACATGAAGACATGTTTTGTGATTAAGTAGCTAGATTCAAATACAAACTAAATGAATATAACATAAACCAACCATCATTTGTTCCAATCATGGCGAATTTTCAAGGAAATACGTGTAACTGAATGTAAATCAACAGCGGAGCTCTTCAATTATGAGGTGAGAAAAATGTAAAAATAAAAACAAAAAAAAATCTCACAGAATAGAGCTATTTATACGATTCTAAGTACATTTTAAGTACTCCATACATTAATGTAAGTATAAAAGCCATTAACCTCAACTGGGAAGCACTTTCCAACTATTTTTACGGCTTGAATTGTAAGAAAATGGCACTTATCTCAAAAAATGGAATTTGAAAGAATCTCAATTTATTGTGAAGATGAAGTTTATATATATCTGTTTATGGGGGTGCGAATATATAGTCATAGTATGGGCTAATTCGCTTAAAAATGGCGATATACACCTCAGAACTTGTATTTTGTGATTTTTTCAATATTTTAAAATTAATTACCGTAGTTACACCATAACGTATCATAACTTCCGGAAGAGGCGAGCTGGTAAGTATATTTCAGTTCTTTTGACAGTTCAATTTTACATGTCTTTAGTATTGTGCACATGCTCTATGTGGACAAAATTCAGCTTATAGTGCAGAGCTGTCAAGTGTCCCGCGAATGGCGGGATTATCCCGCGAATTCGATCAAAATTAGGCTAATTCGCGTGTCCCGCAATGTCCCGCGAAGTCCCGCAAATGTGGCTTTCGACCTCCGCGAATTTCCGAAATTGTTGCAATCCCCTATATTGTGATTATCTAATCTTATATTTATAAGAAGCTAAGTTTTTGCACTTTTGAGGAGTAAAGTTTACCTAATTTTAAGTACCTAGCATGCTGTTGTTTGGTATCAAAATAAAGAGGAAGGGTTCAACTTTCATTTTAATTACGACAATAGGGATGTAGGTCAAATAGTTCCAACGTTGGCCTTTTTACTATCCGTGTGGCCTTCATCTCAGAACTGAGCAAATGTTAGCAAACGCGAGTTACAATAAATGGACGCTGATATCTAGAAAGGGTTTGTAGAAAAAACCGGGTACCGGGTAGTAAATCCTCCATGCTGGGTTCAAACTTGGTACCCGGTACCCGGTCAAAAAACGGGTAAGCTTACCCAAAAACAAAACGAATATACGAGTATAACATAATTAGATTATCAGAAAACGTGTAAGATTTGTTTTGAATTTACAAAAATGTGTGTAACATCCTTCAAAATTGAGCTAGAAGCTTCAAATAAAAAGCATATTTTAAGGCTCTTTTCTTCCTCTATCGTCATGACCATATTTTCATCGGTTATGGGGGGGGGTGCGATCGCACCATCGCACCCTCTCCCGGCTACGCCTATGACATTGTAAAACATAACAATTTAGTGGACAATTCAGTGGACATTTTGTCGACAGTTGGGATAACTTAAATTATGATTAATAATCAAAATCTTACACATTGCATCATGTAAATTAACACACGTCACCTCTCTGCTAAAGCAACGATAGCAATTTACAGATTTAAATCATAATCAAAACAATTCACGTACCAACATACGAACTATTGAAAATAGAGTAAAATTAATTTGCCTTGTTATTCAAATCGTCTTACAATGTCATTGGCGTAGCCAGGTGAGGGTGTGATGGTGCGATCGCACCCCCCCCCCTCCCCCTTCATTACCAATGGAAATATGACCATGATGATAGAGGAAGAAAAGAGGCTTAAAATGCTTTTTATTTGAAGCTTCTATCTCAATTTTGAAGGAAGTTACATACATTTTTGTAAATTCAAAACAAATCTTACACGTTTTCTAATGATCTAATTATGTTGTATATTCGTATATTTCGTTTTTTGGGTACCCGGTTTTTTCGACCGGGTACCAAGTTTGAACCCAGCATTGAGGATTTACTACCCGGTACCCGGTTTTTTCTACAAACCCTATCTAGAAAAGTAACCTCATTCCCTATAATTTGATGTAGATTAATCGAAACCCTATACCATGGGCTTTCAATTGAAATAATATTTCTATGCGTATTTTGTGAAGTTATGTTGACGTTTATTTAAGTTACAATGTAACCGTGCATTATATTTGATTAATCAGTATCTGAAAGTTTGATTTAAGTACTTCTACATGCTTTTACATTAGTCCCAATCACGCAAATCCCTTGAATGTCCCGGGACATCCTGCAAATTTAGGTGGATGTCCCGCGAAATCCCGCAAATTTAGGGTACTTTGTCTAAAAAATCTGTCCCTCTATGAAGTTTTTGGTGGTACACCTGTTAACTGTCCCGCAATTAGGGTGTTTGTCCCTCGAATGGTCCTGCGAAATCCCGCGAATTTGATAAAAAAAATCTCCTATTAGCGCAATCACGCAAATCCCTTAAATGTCCCGCAAAATCCCGCGAATTTAGTAGATGTCCCGCAAAATCCCGCGAATTTTGGGCACTGGGTCTAAAAAATCTGTCCCGCGAGAAAATCTTTAGGGGTTGACAGTACTGATAGTGTTACATCATTTAGTGTCTTCTACCTTTTAGGAGCTATGTAAGGGTCCCATTCATGAGATAACTCTTTTATTTCTAACTAAACTTCTTGCCTTTTATCATGCTTAACAGAGTGTAGCACCAACTGAAAATAAAATAAAAAATTCCTTGTCATCTCAAAACACAGATATTGGCCAGATCGTTTTGTAGTAGGATCATAGGCTCAAAGAATAATACAGAAGATACGACACTAAATTGGAAAATTTCGAAAAAAAAGTGACCACCTTTCAAAACGTTCCTTATACAAAATGGTACCTGTTTCCCCGTGACAGATTTTGCACTTATTTTGTAGCTGAGATCTTCATCTTTCTATTTCTACTTGTTTGGTTTCGAGTAAATAACCTATGGATGCAGTTATTTGACTTTCAATACGGCGAATATTTTTCACGAAATCCGGACTCTTGTGTGTCCAAATATCATTGTAATGATGACGTCACATTTCTGGAACCACGGGAGCAACATTCAGATTTGGACAGACAAGAGTCCGGCGATAAAATATCACTGTTTTGGCCTCTTATCAACGCAGTATTGCTTGAATAACGGCCATTGGTGATAAAAAAGGTAAAGAATAACAAGACCCTTCGAATGAGGTATGATTTGTCTCATTATCCCAACGAACGAAATTCGGTAGGGATATAGTGAAGCCCTCCGTCCGTCTGTCCGTCCGTCCGTCCGTCCGTCCGTCAGTCCGTCAGTCAGTCAGTCAGTCCGTCCGTCTGTCCGGAAGATAACTCAAATACTAGTAGATGGATTTTCTTCATATTTACTGGAAAGATGTATATTGGTGAATAGTTTTACGCAAAAAAAATCTATATATTTTTTTCAAGATGGCCGCTGCTTTAAAAATGACGGGACTTTTTCGCAAAAATCATAAATTTTTCATTCTAAACCAAAGTAATTAATATTATTGTTTGAAATTTTGGAAGTATATTCACAACATCTATCTATTTCACATATATTCCGTGTTTTTCATCCTGACCCCCAGGGGCCGTGTATGGGGGGACAGGAAAACAGAAATTTTCGCTAATTTCTAGATCTTTCTGAAGTATAGCTTTATTATACTCAAATGAAAGGCAATTAAGAGTAGATTGCAAATATTGTATCTTTTTTCTGATTCGAGCCTCGTAAAATTCAAAATGGCCGTCTAATGTACGATTTCGCAATAATTTTTTGATCCCTTCAAAGTATGGCTATATTATACTCAAATTGAAGGAATTTTGAAGTAGATCACAATTATGGTATTATTTTTCAGATCTGTATCTTCGAAAATTCAAAATGGCTGCTTTGCAGGAATTCGCAATTCTAAAATCTAATTTTTTCAATTTTAACCAAAGTAATGAGTATAATTGATTGGAATTCGGTAATTGATATTTTGTTCGTTGGGATTTGCTACTCCGCGGAGTTGCCGTTATCTAGTATTTTTCAGAAATGGCTCCAGAATCGTCATTTTAAAATTTGAAATTTTCTGAGGTGTCTCATCTTGAGGAAATATTATTGAGCTACTGATCCTACTACAAAAGAATCTGGCCGGGATCTATGTCTCAAAACAACAAACAATGAAGTACATCATTTGATAGATAATTGGTACAGCAATATAAAATATACATGCCGATGCGATTAGAGTCATACAAGTCGAGAGTTCTAGAACTTAGGATATTTTTCTTGTTATCTTGACATTTTATGATGTTTACTTACCTATTTTTATGAAGCTTATGAAATTTTTTTCAATATCCAGCCCCCGACATGTTGGAAATAGGCACGACTCAGGCCTGTCAACTGTCCCGCAATTTGCGTATTTGTCACGCATTTGCTGAAGAATTTGAAGTCATGCCAGTTATTTTTGCGTGACAGAAAATGTCACGCAAATACGCATTTTACCTGGTAATTGTCAAGCAAAAATATTTCTGTAGAAAAATTTCTAAAAAAGATCGTCTACACAGCAAAAATACGAACGCCGGAAAAAAACGTACGCATTTCGTTCGGATTTTTCACGCGAATTACGTATATGTCACGCATTCCGTTCGAAATTTTTCGTACCTACCACCTACCACATTTCCAAGTCACTCATGTTAGGTGTTCCCAAGTTGACAGGCCTGCGACTGCACTGAACGAAAATTGTTGTAAGGCATTGCAGTGTCTTGGTATAAACACTGCGGCAAGTAGAATTTATAATCTAAAATTGTTGAAGGTGCCATGATACTAAACAGGAAATGACAAAACAGGAAGTGACAAAAAATTTTGCATTTTTAGACATTTTTTGAACAAAGATAACAGAGTTCTGTTTTGACCTCCAGTCAATCCAACTAGTTCCACATACCATTTACAGGTCCAGGATCACAATGTTCATAGTCAGAATGACCCAAGACTATATCCTCTAGTCTGAAATTTTTTTGAAATTTGGAATGAAAATATTCAGACTATAGCCCACATATGTTAAAACTTGTGATTAAAAATATTTGTTTACATAGGAAGTGCCATTCAAAATGGCCGACTGGGTAAATTAATTTGCATACTTGTTACTTCCCCTAGCTTTATTTCCATTTGACAATATGCTGTGTTACTTTTCATAGCATTTAATTGTACCTTACTACTTAATTGAATTGTTATAATGCTTGTTTTTGGGAAGGGAAGTTTCCTAAAATTGATAATTGTGTGCCTGAAATTTCCTGTTTTTTCCCACAGGAGGGACATAATGATCAATAGACTGAATTCTCAGGTAATTCAGTCTATTGGATATAGACTAAGAATGACCCTAAACATGATGAAATAACCTTTTCAGCCCTCTGAAAAATAGCTAAAAGTACGAGGTAGGAAAGGTCACTTAACAGAATGCTTTGAATTTTTCAGAAAATATGCCCAATATATTGCTCTAAATGATACAATCTTTGAAAATTTGATATCATTCATTTTGTTTCAGAAAATTTCCTAAAATTTCAAAGATTGTATCGGTTAGAGCATTATATATTGGGCACATTTTCTGCAAAATTCAAAAGATTCTGTTCAGTGACCTTCCCTAAAATTACTGATTGTCCGGGAGAAAAATCCGGACGAACTGTTCCCTTTAAAGTTTGCGAGATTTTCAAAAATTTTAAAAACAAAAATTTTAAAAAAATTTTAAAAATGTGAAAAAGATTTTTAAAAAAATCTGAAAAAAATTTTTAAAAAAGGAGCGGGACCGGGTCTGGATACAGCGTGTATCCATCCCTGTCCCGGGCCTTGGAGATAGCTCCCTAGATACATTATATATTCCTGCTCGTGACGTACCTGGAACCTCAGTAGGTATGAAATACATAGGGGTTATGCAATGGGAGGTTTTGGATACAGGGAATATCCCAAGGGATATTCCATGTATCCAAACCGACCATGCATAACTGTTGTATTCCATACCTGATGAGGTTGATTTAATTCAGTTTCTGTCAGATAAAAAAACTTGACAAATATTTATTCAATTCTTCTGGTTCTATGGTTTCGCATGGCCGAAGCTCACCCTTAGTAGCCAAGTAATCATGGAGTACTCCGACATCTAAACACGTTTTCTTCGTTGTGTGTTCATTTGCAGTGTTTTCTAAGAAACTATCAACATCATTTGTTTCAAATCTTACATTTTGTTCCGTTCTTTCGTCTGCCATCTTTGTCTTTTGTTTAGTTCAGTGCGCTGAAATATTTATGACGTAAATTCCCGGGGCGAGACATACACCTATCGTATGTCCCGGAGGACGGCTTGTGGGGGACATACAATTTATATGTCCCGGAGCTCCAATGGAGCGGGACATACAAAAAATATTTGCCCTGATATGGAATATATTCTCGGTTGATATGTCCCTGAAACCTCATCAGGTATGGAATACATGTAGTTATAAACTACACTCTGCCTAGTATGGACTATATTACAGTTAAGTAGCCCCACCCCCACAACCTATGCCTGTGGCAGCCTGGGTCATAAATCATTTAAATCCTACCACGCTGATCTTTTTTCAAGCAATCAGCAAGCTGGAAGGAAAACATGCTAAACATGTGCTCATTAACTTTGTGATGACGTCTTAGGAAATAACCATATATAGAAAGTCATCCGTATTTTGACATTGAGCTTTGAATGGCTAAGCGAGTTCAGGAATTTATTGTAAACTGAAAAGGTTAAGACGAAGTTCTCTTTCAAGAAGCAAAGTCGAATGAATGCTGCAAGGATAATTTACATACACAGTAGCTGTTAGATCTTGTTTCACAATGTTCATTCTAGCCATTTAAATTTTTAAGTCCAAGTACAGAAAAACACTTAGCTTCTTTCTCTGTCAAAGTTAAATCATTAAATATTACAGATTCTTTTTATCATCAAAATCTTCTGTGTTGAATTTAATACTAGTAAAGCATGGCGAGTCATTGCATAACATCAGTCATTTGTTCACCTTAAGTTTTACAAGTCTAAGATATTGAATAAAATTGTAAGATGTACGGGCGTACCCAGGGTTTTCCTAAGGGGGATGCATGTCTTCATCTAAAAAAACAATCTCCGTCATTATTAATGTACTTGTACTTGTATGGCCTCATTCCAGTCATATTTGAAGTTGAAGTATTGAAAATCTTCTCTATTTCCCATTTCAAAAGTTTTGTTTAGCAGGCATAGAAGAGGTCATGGAAGAGGTCTCTTCCAGACTCTGGGCTGTAGTGATTGAAAAACTCAAGCCACTTGAGGAAATCTTTTATACCCAAGTAGTGCTGACTGCTCATTTCTTTCCAAATAGATGTGTGCACCAACTTCTATCATTACTGCATCTACATCAAAACAAACATATTTTCTGAATTTTTTTAAAATGAAAGTTTGAAGTGTGCATGCAACTGTGTGTGTGTAACTCTACTGATCTGAATCTCATTGAAAGTTGTAAAATCAGAACAATCAAGGACTTTTGTATACTTTCTTTTGTATCTACTAATTGATGAGATAATGTTTGCATGCAAGATAGGTTTAATACCTATCATGTATCACTAATCTCACAAAATAAAATATGATATAATCTCAATACGTAGTTACACACACATTAATAAATCTCTGCATACAAATAACAACTGTTTTCATAGATGAATTGGAGTCAAGATGTCTGAACCTGGACCTACCCCAGACAACAAGAAACAGTCAAAGACTGAAGACAATGAAGAAAAGATTGAATTTGATATTGAGTCCAGTCCTGATAAGCTAGAGAACACAAAAAAATCTCTTGAGGAAGACAACCCTGTTGAAGATTTAGCAAAGAAAGATGATGATGATGAGGAGGAGGAAGAAAGTGAGTACTTTTTTCCTGAGAATATTAGCTTTTATAATCTAGTATTGTTCTCTGGCATTTTAGGATTGTTAATTTTTGCCAATATCTTGAATCCTTGATGTATTCCAAAAATTCTAACTGTATATAAAAAGTGTGTTGGTCTCTTACACTGACCTAAAGAAAGATCCTACCCCCAGTTTACACATTATACACAATAAAAATCATGAAAGAAGTTTGATTTTCTGATTATGACATATATTGGCCCTGTGCTAACTTTATTTAAAATGCAAGACACGTCTTTAATTATGCAGTTCAAATCATGAAAAAATTTAGGTATGACCCATAAATGTGAAGTCAATTACAAGCTTTGGCAACAATTAAGGAATATCCAATTACCATTCTCACAATAACATGAAATCAATTACATTTCAGTGGAGTGTAAAATTAATTAACATTTTGATTTTGTTAATTTCAGCTTACATCTGGATACAATGCCCTGGTTAATTAATTCACATTGTTAAAATGAGTTGAGTCAATGAATTCAAAATTAATTACATTTAAGGAATATTAAGAAAGCTTAACCACCTAGTGATTAACTAATAGCTGACTGCTTTCTCATATTTTTGTGACATCATGATACTGTGGGGTAGAATAAACTAAACCACAATATACTAGCCTGATGCACAAAATGTAATCCTTAGCCAGGATGATAAAATGAAAGTAAATTGCAATGGAACTAGAGAACTATATCTTTCTATTGTTCTAGGCCTTGGGTTTAGCATGAAAGATGTCTACTATATGGAGACTTCAGGCAGGGTGAGCCTTTATGAGAGAGGTTGCGAGTATCTAGTGAAGAAAAAGAGGAAACTTGCCCTCAGGTGTTTCTTGGGTTGTCTGACAGGGCTTAAAGAGAATAGTGGCTTTCCATACCTTCCACAGTGCCTGCATAAGGTAAGGCGGCATCTTGCTTCATTTTGTAATTGTAGATTTTTCATAACTAATTTTTTAGTGGGTGGGTGGTACAACTTTTTTGTGATGGTTGTTCGTGTTTTGCTGTCGGTGTCTGTAACAAATTCACAACTTCCAACAACTTTACAAATACTGATTAGACTGGCTTCAATTTTTTCAAAATCATCTACTAGTTCTCAGACGTTCAAATCTAATTTGAGATTTGACCTTCAATGACCTTCTCAAGGTCAAAAAGTCAGAAAGGTATTTTTCAACTTGCTTCAAATTGACTATTGCCTTGTTGCTTTGTTGTTTAAGCAATTAATTTGGAGCACTTTTAAAGAGCCATTTGTGCCTTTCATTCCAAGGTCTCAGTTTTTCAATTGTCTTTGGTCATATTACCTATATGTGTTTAATTATGATTAGTTAACTTACAAATCCATTGTCACAATAATACACATCTTCGCACACCTGGTCTTTACTGCGACCAAGGGGAGTCGAGTGAACAAAGATGAATAATACAAGCATCAGCCTTAAACATACAAAATTTAGTTATTGACTTTTGAGGTGGTAATGACTTTTCATTGTTATCCTAACCTAACTCAGTGAGACTGATTTATTAATAGAAGGTCAAGGTCAATAGGTCAAGGTTTTTCAAGAACATGCTCCAGTAGCCACTATTGCGCTGTAAGCAAATCTGCACATGGCGTCCAAAATGTCCCTACCTGACTTTTACCTGTGAGTATTAGGCAAACATAGAGTGTATGAGAATGACCTCAAGACAATTACAGACCTAAAAAGTGAAATCATATGTGTCATTCAGGCTAATACCTGCTGAGGAATGCATTCGGATTATTGACAACTGTGCTGGTTTGTCTACCAGGCGATGATGGCCAAACCTGAAGCATGTTGTTCAAACTGCGGTAACATTGTGTCTATCAGTCTGATGGTCATGGAATAGGGTAGGGTGGTAGGAAAGTGAATGATGTACAAATGTGTGAACTATCAGGGAGTAAGTTTTTAGAATGACAAAGAATGAGGAAAATGCAGGGTTTCCATTTTTAACCACCCTGTACTAAACAATTGCACCATTTAATAGATTGTATTTGCTATTTTCTAGGTTGCAGACATCTACTTTGAGCAAGAAGAATGTATCCTTTTGAATGACATGATATAATTGACCATGCTTGATATATTCAACATAAAGTTTGGTAGGGTTGGTGGTAACCTAAATGATCATAGGCCACTCATCGCAATGAACAAGTTTGTAATGGATATACTGGAGCCATCCCTCCGCCTATCTGTCCTTTATCCTTTTGTCTATTCATGAATATTTCTGTCTCTACTTTGGAATAACTCTGCTTTGAAATGGAGTAACTCTAACAGTAACTCTACATCATCTAAGAAGTACACGATTTTGTCTTAACTTATACCAGATCAAAAGGCAATTCAGTTTATCCAAGCTGAGAAGATGTATTATGAATCAGCCTTGATTGACACTTCTGAATTACAGCAAAAACTAGGTAAATTGATGCATTTGTAATTCTTTAATATGGCAGCTATATTTTATTGTAATATCACCATAATGATTTTTGTTGAAGTGACATAAATGTTTTTGAAGCAGACCATACCTTTGCACCTATGTAGTAATTCTGTTGATACTTAGTATTTTACAATTTGTTTGCTACTAAGGGTTGTCCCAATGAAAATTCTTGAATTAATTTTTATAGGTTAATTGTTATGCCAGTTGAATTCATGTGCAAACAATACATTGAATTGTGTTGGGGGCTAGGCTGATAGCATTATTGCCGTCCCCCTTTGAACTATTTGCTGTGGCTCTCTTGGATGTTATTCAAATACTTAGACTTAGGATTACCCTCATATTCTCGTTGTATTTTGTCAAGTTGTCTGAGGAAGTGTGAATATTGTGAAAAATGAAAACAGTACAGTGAGAGTGAAAACAGCCATTTGTTTATTGTAGAAGAACGTCGACAACAGAAGCAAAATGATTCCCCAAATGATGATGACCCCCATGCTAATAAGATTGAAGTCCTCAGAGCAGATGAGTATGAGAACCTTGCCAGAGTATGTATGGAAAAACAGCAGTAAGTTTTATAAATTCAATTTAATTGTTTGGGAATAAGAAAATATAAAAAACAAAAAAACTTGGACATTTCTCATATTAATTGGTAAATAAGAGTTGTTGTTTTTTCAAATAAATACTAATCACCAAAATTTCGAAATTCAATACAATATGATATGTATTTTAGAACACATTGAAATTCGACTTTCAATTAATCTTGACCTTAACATAACTGAACAGAACCTTCTAGACCTAGAATTGACAATATTGGTGTTTTCTAGAGCCCAGTTGGCCTTAGAATATCAGGGCAAAGCCACTAAGCTAAGGCAGCAAGTGTATGGAGACGATCACCCAAAGACTAACAAGAGCCTTGACTTTTTCACTGTGCTTTATGGAGAGGTTGGGAAGAGACAATACACAGGTAATTCCATGAACTGAACAATAAATTTAAAAATCAAAAATGAATGTCAAGAAATGTCCACCCTTATGAATGAGGCTCAGTTACAAGTATATTTTAGGGCCTTGTTCTGAAAGAGTGATATTAAAACAATGGAGTGTATGGAATGTGGAATCCTCTTCAAAACAAGGCTCACTTACCAAATGGAAATATATCACAAGATATTATATTGTTATGGTATGTACAAGGGCCGAGCAATATATTCGCTACTTTTTGCTTTATTTTCGTTTATATTTGTTTATTTCCATTGACATTTGGTACAGACATAGAGTGTAGAGTTCCGCATCTTTTGATTCCATTTTCAAACCCATTGCCAAATATGGCAAAAAATTATGGTTGTCATAGCAACGGGAGGAATGAGCCACCGGAGCTGCCCATAATTTTACTGCAATTGCACATGCAACAATATCTTTATATGCCCATTTCTCATAACAAAAACATTAAGTTTGGGTAATTTTTATAAACATTGTTTACTGGACATTGATCCAATATTCAGAACAATGGTTGTGATGTCATAGATGTTCTTTTCAAACAATAAAGAGGTCACAATTGATCCGCATATGCATCACAAAAGGGAGACTCTGCTTCCTGAGTTGCATCAAGAAGCAAGCATGGTAAATGCTAATCTAAAAGAACAGAGACTTTGTATAAAAATATCAGTGAAAAAGGGACACACATTAAAAAAAGCTGTGGAGGAATGTAGAACTACATATGGGGAAGCTTGTGGGAGCTTTTACTTTATTAGACATTGTGCGACTTTGAAATTTTCGGCAAACTGAAGAATAAGCTACGCGGGCAGAGGTTTGGTGACCGTGAAGAAGTGGTTGAGGCCGTCCATAAGGCCCTAAAAGACCTATATGGAAATGGAAACGGACTGCAACAGGCCTATCAAGACTGGCTTTCCCGATGTAGAAAATGCATAGCTGCAGATGGACACTATTTTGAGAATGAGGCATGGAATGAGGAGTAACTGTCTTAATTAACAAAAAGGACATTCTGTATGAAAGTTGTTTTCTGAAACATTGTCACAAATGTCAGCTCCGGTGGTCACTATCAACCAATATTCAATGCCATGTAAAATATTACGGATGTAACCAAATAAATGCACATTTGGTGATATTACAGAAAAATGTTTTTTCTATTATTTAGGAAAATTTCAGGTAAGATACTGTATTATTAAATATTTGAGAGCAAAAAGTAGCGAATATATTGCTCGGCCCTTGTATATTCAATCAATCACAGAATGAGAAATATGACTGTGAGATAATAATGTTGATTTTACTTTTGCTTTCTTAGTTTGAATGTTCAATAAAAAGTACTTAGTACATGTCTAAATTTGCTTTCAGATTCTATGAAGAAATTCACAGATATGCCTGTACCTCCTGGTGCTGAGACACTTGGGGCTGGGAGTCCAGGCCTACGTAACAGAAAGACAGGGGAAGGGGCAGATTCCACCACAGAAACAACACAAGCCACTTCAACACAATCTGTCCAATATGAAGAGCCAGAAGTTAGGGAACAGGGTAATTTTTTATTATTTATCTTTTTGAATTCAAATAGTAGGTTTGGTGGAATGTTCATACAAGACCTTTGTTAAATTGACAAGACCTTTGTCTAATCTGTATGTAAAATCCTAGTACCAATTAAAAAAGGGAATCTTTCTGATTGACAGATTTTATATGTTAGGTCTAAAATATGGTTCAATTATAAATTTTGTTATTTCAGAGGAATGGATCTCACAAAGCCTGTTGTTGATACTACTCCTCGTCTGCAGCTTGGTGCTGGGTGCAATGTTGGCATTTGTCTACTGCCAGTTAACGCCAATGTCAACAACTTGTGCTACCATTAAAAATGAAACAAACTATTATTTCTTAAGACTGAAGTATTATTACTATTACTATACAAAGAAATCAAGTGGATAGTACATCCACATGTGTTAAAACACATATTTATGAATTATGAAGAATCATGGACTTGAAGAGATCTTTAAGTCTCTGTAATTATGTGTCATTTCTATGATTATGTGTCATCTCTGTAATTATGTGTCATCTCCATGATTCTGTCAAATAGAGTAAGAAGTTTTCCATCTTCAGTTTTTCACTTTTGTAAATGTGAATTTTCTAAAAGTTTTCCAAAAGGAAATTGCTCCATGAATTATTCTGATGAAGTTATTCCATTTGGAAAAAATATTGAGCCTTTGAAGAACATAAGGTGAAATTCATGAAAATGCAATGATTGATCATTTCTACCTTAGTTTCGTTTTATTACTAATGGATGAAATGTCCCTGTCAACATGTAGTTTACCATCTTTAGGATAGTACATAGTATTTAATTAGTAGCTACTCAATGATACATGTGAGGGTATAGAAGATTAAAACTCAAGTGACATTTTTCTATTTTAAAAGATCCGTCCAATAATTTTTGTATTATGTGTAGTGTCATGTCTTCAAGTATAAGTACATTTTATAGTGGGAAAGTTGTAATAGACATCTAGCATTAGATAGACAAAATTCCATATTATTGTTACAATGTTGAAATAAGGCAGCTGGTCTGTCAGTAACTAAAAATATAATAGAACCATTCTTTGTATATAAAATAAAATCTGGGTTTCTTTGTTATATTATAGTATGAAAAAAAATTGAGACTTTGGCCAACAAGCATGCTATTCACCAAAATGTACAGCCTCTTCGAGAAATATCAGTGAGGGAGAACTTTCATAAATTACTGAACCAAATATTTTGTTATTACATGTTTGAAGGACATGTGTTAAGATAAAATGAAATTTCATATCACTGTCCGAAAAAAAAATTTAAAAATCTAAAAAATCACTTCATATGGGACTATGGCATCACACAGCTGTCTGTCTGGACATGGATTAAAACATCTCAAACTACCTCAAGCAAAGACAAGATCAACTCAAAAATGCAATTGTTTTATTACTGATCCTTTCGAACAAACAACTTTTTAAATGTTTAAATACAGTAACACTGGTCGGGAGGACAGTTGCCAATAGCACAGTTATCTATGCACCACTGGTCCATCCCTGGCATTGTCTCCCACTCTGGGGTAGGGTAGCAGCTCCCCCCAGTTGGAGGGGTAGTGGTTGCAGTGGTAGTGGTAGTCACTATGGTAGCAGTAGTGGGTTCTGTAGTAGTTTGTGTCACAATAATCCCAGCTGTAGTTGTTGGTGCAGCTGTAGTGGTGTCTCCAGCAGCTGTAGTGGTGTCTCCAGCAGCTGTAGTTGGAGATGGAGTGTAGTCACCAATACTTATATCTGCACAACTGTAGAATTGTTCCTGTTCGCCACATCCCAGACATTCTGTGCCATCTGGGTCTACTCCCCAACTGTTACCTTGATTGGAGAAATACCATTTAATTAAATATGTGCAAAATGTTGGCTCCTAAGATTGTGGAAAAGATGCTATTCGTACTCCCAACTGTGGAATACATAAGGGCATTCAAAGTTAAATATATGTATAATCATACCTGCATTGAACAGGTTAATAAGTGAAACACAGCTGCATGGAACAATTTCAGAGAAACTTTTCGCATTGAACAGATTCAGTGAATTACACCTGGATTATATAGGCGCTGAGTAGTAAACCTGCATTGAATAGACTGAGTGAAACATACCTGCACTGAACAGATTTGGCGAAATATGCCTGGGTTCAGCAGATTCAGTTAAACATTCCTGCATTGAACAGATTTGGTAAAACATACTGAACAGGTTCAATGACATACCTGCATTGAATAGATTCACTGAAACACACCTGCATTGAACAGATTTGGTAAAACATACCTGCACTGAACAGGTTCAATGACATACCTGCATTGAATAGATTCACAGAAACACACCTGCATTGAACAGATTTGGTAAAACATACCTGCACTGAACAGGTTCGGTCGGTGACATACCTGCATTGAATAGAATCACATAAACATACCTGCATTGAACAGATTCAGAGAAACATTCACGCATTGAACAGGTTTATTGACATACCTGCATTATACTTCCATTGTAAGACACATTGGGAGCAGGACAGACCAGCTGGCAACTGTACAGACACAGTGAAGTTTCTTCTACTGTCATCTGGGAGAGGGTACCTTGAATGAATCAATCATCATTTATTTATATTAGTTTTCTCATTCACAATCCACTCATCTTAGGATTTCTGATCTGCAGCATTATCATTTACATTTATATATGGAGGAAAGGATTTTTGATATCACCTTGTGCCATGTACTGCTTCAGCTCCACCCAGAGAAAGGAGATTCTGGTTGAGACAATCATGTGTTATCGTTTTTGTGTAGTCATTGTTTGGACAAAGACGATACTCAAACCAGCCTTTGTGGTTGGCAATCAGATCAACGGTTACAGGTATGGCTGCCCCAACCTATAATTGGATAATTTAGGGAACTGTCACCTAGAAGTTGTGGATACTGCAATAACTTTTTCACTGGGATTGTGGCAAGTATCCATTAAAAAATAATACTATAGTATATTGTTCAGCGCAAGTTGTTGGATACTGGATTTGTAATGTAAATCAAGGGACTTATTTTGTATAGGTTATACCATTTTTTACTGGTATATGATACCTCATATGTAGCTCCAATAATCCCATTAGCGTATATTCCTCCTGCTTCATTGCGTCGTTCTCCATCATAGGGATCTCCACATACTCCACATTTTCCATCATTCACATTCCAAAGATGCTTCAAGCATTAAAATTGCATTCATTGTGTGTTTTCAATTGAGCTAGGCCATCAGTTTGGAATACACTGACAAAAGATCATGAGATATATTAGGCGTGTGTTGTTCTTTACCCTTTACATTTTCATTTCTTCACCCTTTATTAGTTCTAAGAAAGAATTTAAGGTAGGTAAAATGGAATGAGTAACTAAGTCTTCTTCTTCTGCCTACCTTAATTTGCAGCTTTATATCAAAGGTGAGGCCAGGGCAACCCCCTCGACCAAAAGCTCTTTCAAAATTATGTAGTTATCAATGTTCTGAGCAATTTCAAGCAATTTTTTGGGCTGAAGTTGTCAAATGGGATAAACACTGCTCTAAGAGATGAGTTATCAGGCCTGGGTGCCTTTACCACTGTTACTTACTGATGCTCCACCACAGTATAACTCAGCATCATCTACATTCACTGGGTTGTCAAACCCCCAGCGCCAAAGGCTGGAACGCCCAGGTGGCCAGATCAATCTAAAGTCATTGGGTGTCTTAGGTTATTACTGTTCATGTATATACAGTAGGCTAATTCAATAGAAATATCAATCATCTAACCTTTTGAAAAATGACATACGGTAAGTTAGTTTTCAGTTAAAAGCTATTTTAGGTGGCTACTTTGCTTGATCTACTTCAAATAGTGAACATTGGTTTGATTTTCAATAAACAATTGATAGTAATCCCAACTGGAAGTTGAACCCAGTCAAATACACAGCTCCAAAATAACAAGGAGATTGGGTGACTGAGCAATGTAAATGTAGGTGTAAAGTTACAATTTTCTTGGATCTGTACATCTGACTGTAGTGCGTACCTTCCATGTCCATCAACACTTAACACCACTGCTAAAACAATACACAATGATCTCAACATCTTCTATAGTTCCCTATGTCACTCCTATATCTTGGGCTGCTCAGAGGGTCTCTGGCTCTCAAATGTATGTTCCAATGAGTTGGGAATGAAATGCTTCATTGTGTTTAAACTAAAGGTGTTAATGAAAGTTAAAGGTTATTTATGATATTAGAGATTATGCTATCATATGTCACCATACACTGTACACTCATGAGCACCAGACATAAACATTATGACGTCATATTCCCATAATTCACAAGTATTAAGTACAGTAACATACTCAGTCAATAATATGATATCCCATGATGCACAGGCGGGGTACAGGCAAAAATGTTGACCGCTTATTGACGAATCAGATGTGAGTATTTACACTGAGGTTCTAACAATAGTCCCAGGCAAGGTGTGTGCAATAACTCAGGATGTACGTTATCTGGTAGGTTAATGATAAATAAATATACTGTGTCAAGGTTTTACAGGCCCAGTATTACTGAGGCTGTCAGGGTTCTAATTCTCCAATCATTTCTAACCAGAGGTTCCTTGTTGCTTTTTGTTACCATAGTAATCATGATGAAAACAAACTTAGAAGATATGCCGACAAAATAAATCATACAGTGAAAAAGCAGCACTAAGAAAACGTTTATAGGTATTAATACTATACTATAATGTTTTAAATTCTCCCAGAAATAGTCCAACAGAAATGTATGTGAACAACCACATTGTTTATCTATACATCACATAATTTATTCATTTGAGGTCAACTGGTCCCATAAAGCAACATGAATATAATATATATTTTAAAAGATTGATATATACAATTATTGACCTATTAGTTGACTATTAAAAAAACAACAGACCTAAGTCTGAAACTCTAAATTCAAATTGATATTATGGGTTGATGCCTGATGGGCAACCAAATCGAGTGGTCTTTAATTTTTTTTTTCATCCAAAATATAAAATTCATATTTCATCAAGTTTTCCCTCTGATTAATTATTCTGATGTCACCCAAATAGTTTAACTGTCAATGCATTGCAAAGACAATATTTAAAACTGTTGATTTCATTATTGTCACAGGTTTTCCTTTAAACTGCATATTCCCTTAACTTAAAATAACACATCATTAATTATACAATTGAAAACAAAACCATGTCATATCATAGAATCATATAACTAGTACTATCAATTTTAATTTTTTCAAATCATCATATCTTTCTAATTTGAGAAAACCAAAGTAACCCTTTAAGAACAATTAGCGAATATGCCAGGTGTAAAGAGTTCACAGTAGGTAACCTTCAAAATTACTTTTATTTTAATCATGAGGTGGTTAATTTACGATTCTGTCATATCTGAACCACAATATTTTTCTACTTGTACATAATCACTATACATATTTAATGTGAGGTCCATTGTAAAAAGCATTATTACGATACACATGCTCATAAATGTTACAATTGTTCAGAAATAAGAAAATGAAAATCTCTTTTCTCTTTAGATGTTCTCCACATTCCTCATTGGATAATAGTTCAGCGGATATGCTTCCAACACATACAAATCTCACTGTATAAAGTTAGCAAAGATTCATTCACCTCCCAATCTTCACCTACGAGCTACATATCAAAGTTTTACTAATAACATGTTTAAGAGCTCATATATCGTACAAGTCAAAGTTAGTTGGAGGCATGAGTCCTTGTGCAATATCATTCCTAACTTGCCACCTAAGAGCCTTTCTCTTCTTCTCTGTGGGGACCATGTATGTATTTGGAGCAAACACTCGCTGTGTCTTCTGAAATCACAAATAAGGAGACGAGGTATTAACAAAAATGTCACCACCTGCCATTTGATATAGATGCCAAACTCTGAACATCATCTACAAAAAAGTTGGAGACTTTAAAATAGTCCAGATCTCTAATGTTGTAATTATTTAATATCACAACTCTTTAGTATTTTACTAAGTCTTTACTTACTATTTGTATGTCACAGTAGAATTATACTGCAAGAAGTGTAACTAAATTATGGTATACATGTGATTGAGATTAATACATGTAATTGAGAATAAACTCATCACCCTGGGTTGAACATACTCCTTGAATTAATGTTCTTAATCCCTTATGGGCTGTCAAAGTAACAGATATCGCCAAAACTCTAAATAAAATTCAATCTCAAGTCAATCTGAACATTATTTAGAAGCCATTGTAAATAGTACAGTAAAACCTGTCAAGTGGAACACCTCTGTAAGTGGAACACTTTTAAGAGTCTCAAGACTAATTGTCTAAATGTCAAATGAACTTCTGTAAGTGGAACACCTCCCATGTGGAACATTTTAGAGGTACCAAAGAAGTTCCATTTACACAGGTTTTACTGTATTGACAAGAGTTAACAATACCTTAGGTAGTTCATCCTGGTATAACATCTGTTCCCTGACAGTCCACCTGAGTCCTTTATGTTGTTTCTCTCCTGGAGCTTTCTGACTGACCCATGCCTGTTTGTATTCCTGATACTTTCTTACAGGGTCATTTTTCTTGATGTTTTTCTTATGTGGGTGCTCAGTGAGAGGTTTTATGAGTGATGTGGGTCCCTCATGGTCAGCATCAAGTCTGTATGGAGGCTAGAATAATAGATGGAATATAATGAGCCAAACTATTCTACTATGTCTAAATGACATGTTAAACCCTCATATTTAGAATCCTAAACAAGGCATTAACATGCAAAATATCACCACCTACCATTTGTTACAGATGCTGAATGCCTAACACCACTTGTGGTTGTGACATAGAAAATGAAAAAAGGTTTGGCCAGGGAGGGTTTTAGATAACCGAGTCGGCACTGTTAAACAAAGTCATTTGTATTGATCTCGATAGTATTTTCTACTTACCTCTTCCCTAGCAGACTGGGGCCTCCTGGGGTAATATGCAGCTCTATTATGTCTATCTGGTATTTGTTCATCACCATGTAGTGGGAGCCTAGATAGCTTCTCATTCAAGTAACGCATGTCAGCACTTATATCTGAAATAACAACAATGGAGGTTAAAGGTGTAATTCTTGAAATAATTAATAAGTACATTACATGTCGTCCAAGTATGCTTTCTATGATATGTCATGTCATGTTATATAGAATTCCAAATAAACTTTATTCAATATAACAATTCACATTTTGACTTTTTAAAACATTTTGTATCTGATATGAATCGAATTGGACATATGATAAATTCTTTTTACAGCAATTTTGATATTTCTGACATTTCAAAATTAAGGAAATTGATCTAGTTTTTCTCTGACTGTAGGTAGTACTGTATAAAATACACATATACATTGACTTCTATATACCTGGTTCACTCTCTGTTATAGATTCATCTACTATTTTAGCACCATCTTTCCTCCTGAAATATGAAAAAGCAAGGATTCAAAAATAATTCATCAACATGCAAGACATAACACAACATCCTGAACTAAATGATAACATTTCATCTTTAGATGTACATGTATTTTCCTTCAATCAAGCTTTGATGTTGCAACAGTTATTCCTAAAGGGTCAAGACTGCTTTGTGACTGGATATTTATTATAAGTTATGGCTTTTTAACAACATACATACATTTCAGATATTTTATTTTTGGCTAAGGTATTGGTACTGATTCTACTAACCGTAATATTTTTCGTTTTATCTGCTTCCTCCCATGTGATATTGAGCTATCTGTGGTTTCATCTAAAACTTTTGGAACACTTATCATTCTGTCATATTTGTTCAGAACATCACTATAGTAGTCCCTGTCTAAATTGTCACTTGATAGTTCCTGATCATTTTGCGTGTCATTCTCACTGTCATTCCAAGAGTCTGTAGAAAATGTAGAAAAGTCCCTATTTCCAGTTGGTTTGAAAACTTCCTTATGCAACCCTGAGGTGATGTTATACGTCTTAGATCTTGGATTCATAGACAGTTTTGGATCATTGGATCTATATGTGTGAGATTGTGGAAGTCTGTATGTGTCCAAGTTTGGATAGTTTGGTTCTCTTGGCTTGGACTGCGAAGAGCCAGCATATAAGTTCTCTTTATCATATCTAGCATCAGATGTCTGGAATCAAATACAAATGAAAAAAAGGTTAATTTCTTGAAAACATAGGAAATCATGATTTATGACCTCTTACATTAGCCAGCGTTGCCAGCAACTGTAAAGGAGGATGTGATTTTTTGGGTTTGCATCACTGCGAGTGAAGCAAGCCCCAAAAAGGGTGTTACAGGGGTTTACCCTGAGAAATTTTTTTAAATCTCCATTGTATACGGTGCAATCTAAGCATTTCAAACTATAATTTGTTAATTATACAAAATTGCTTTTTAGCGGGGGTGTGGGTGGTCCCACCAATCGCATCCCCCTGGTTATGCCCTCCTTTCATGATACAAGGAAAAATTTTCTTAAATAATCTATGGAAATTATGTAGCTTCTCTAATACTGTAGATTGGGTTATTTTGGCGTCCGCTTTAATTTGGCAAATTTGGCGAAATTGAAAAATTTGCCAATATAAATCTTCGCCAAAATTTAGAATGAATCCCCGGGAATTATCTAGGGTATTTCGTCCAGTGTATTTAGCTCACTTCCGGTTTAGTTTTTTTCCAAAAATATGAAACAAGTCTCTCATAAATTGGCTCAGAACTGGTCAGTCACTCATTAGTACTCAGGGAAAAACTAGAAAGGAAAAGCGTGGTATAGTAGCAGCATCAATCGAGGTGCAAAATGTAAAGGATGATCTCACAAAAATGAACAAACATGGTGAATATCGCCAGTGGTCCTAAAAAGAAAAAAATCTTCAACTGATGAAACATCGTGAGGATGATGAAATATCCGATGTCAGTTTTACGAAAAAACAAAGTGGTCAGTTTTTTTGCATATCCGCCAAATTAAATAGCCGCCAATATGCCAAAAATGGCAAAATCACCTAATTAAGTAGCGCCAAATTAACCCAATCTACAGTAATGATCTCAAACAAATTAAGCTTTTCAAGGTCTAAAGCTTTTGGTGATTTGATGCAATTTGATCCAATTCATGAAGTATGTTACTTAGTACATCCATAAATGTAGAATGTACTTACATCACGTTGTATATATTGCTTCACATCAGTCTCATCTCTATATTGTTGTCTCTCATACCCCATTGTAGCACGATTGGCTTTGCTGTAACCCCTATCATATTCTAGAGAAAAAATTCAAGACTTTTGAATTACATATATAAATAATATACAGTAATACCAGTCTAAGTGGATCACATTTGGTACCTCTAAAAAGTGTTCTACTTGTGAGGCGCTTGACTTATAAGAGTTTATTTAGCACTAAGTCAATAGGTCTTGGGACTCTGAAAAGAGTTCCACTTACAGAAAGGTGTTTCACTTCACAGGTTTCACTACATGTAAAATTATGTCCCCTTACCATGTTGGCTGGCAGTGTCAGTGTATGTAGAGAGGTTGCTTGTATCATAACTCCTAGAACTATTCTTGCTCCTTTCGTGCTGTATCAGGACATCAAGATCTACAAACGCAAAGTAAGAGTAAGATGCATGTAAAATAAACCTGTTTATCTGGTAGTAATACTGGAAAGAAGTGTTAAATCAGTCTCTCAACAAAAAATTCAAAATAGATGCAATATGTAATGATCATATGTCAAAAGGCATAGTCTTAAGAACTTTCAAAATTGATAGGTAAAGTCACATGGTATATTTACATACAATTCAGAAAAGATTAAAACATTATATTGAAATACAGCTAGAAAAAATTAATATGCATATGCCAAACAATGATTTAACATAAGTTAAACAGGGTTTATCGAATTATCTAGCCTGAGTGATATTAACAGGAGAAGGTCCATTGTTCTCTTACATGACATCTTTAATATAAAGTTTCAACAATCGTTGATACTCTCTGCCACCCCCTTTATGATAATTAAACTGATTTGCATAATAATTCCAGGTGAAAGCATGTGAATGTTCTGTAATACACGTACCTTTCTTGAATTCTCGAAGTCTGTGTTGGGGTATGTTTGTGTATCCAAGTTGAGTAAGCTGTTCTCGGATTTCATCCTCTGTATAACTCTCACTGTTCTCATACATAGTGAATCTGTGAACAAGAAAACAACATAATGGTAAATGACTTTTTACAGCTTTGTAAAAAATCTTTGTTGTGAATTTTACTGTGATAATAATAAAAAAAACATTCACTTGATGTACAATCGCAGGACCACAGTGCAATATTATATGAAAAATACATTGACATTGCATGTTCTCAACACTTGCATATTTCTCTTGTAATTTAGGGAGTTTCAGCCATGATAGTGAATCATTTTAGTGAATGACAATGTCAGAAAAGCATCAAAATACAAAAGGCCATACATTTTAGCCAAAACACGAGTAATCCAAGATAATAGATGTACAAATGTTTTGTATCTAAATATTTATTTTTTCTATATCATCATTGTGCTGTGGTTGGACTGGAGAAAGCTGGTAAGGAACAACCAGATTTGCCTCAACCGAACTTTCTTTGTGTTTTTGAATTCACAGGCGCAAGTTAGATTTTAGATATAAGGGGCTAGACACAAATGCCTGGCAGATCATTTTGTAGAGGGTCAAAGACTCAATAATCTGTCAATATATATATACCTGAAGACATGGAATATGAATCACAGAATTAGAAATACTAAGTATTCAAAAAAGTCTTCAAAATGATCCTTAAACAAAGTGGTACCTGCTTCCCTAGACTATATCCTATTTATTAGTCTGTTGTATTTACTACCTGCTTCCCTGTAACAGATCTCAAATCATGTTTCTATTTCTGCTTGTTTGGATCTGCAGTGAATCATATAATTCAATATGGGAGGCTCAAGCTGTTTGTCCAAATTTCCCATTATTCTTTGCAACGGCCTTCCAACAATTAACTTGAAAGCCCATGTATGATATAAGAGAAAAAAGTACAAAAACCCATACTTCGTTACAAATCATATTTTGGCCTCTTATCAACACAGAATTGCTTGTATAGACTAGACTAGAGATCTACTGCAAAATCGTCATTTTTTACGCTATAGACCCTACATGAATAGGTTTGAATTTTTTGTGTATCATAGTCATACAGTAGAGGTACATCTATCTAGCTTCCGCTATCACTACTACATAAGAATCGTGTTGGTATCTATGATTCTGAAAGACTAAACTTTGATCGTCAATTAACGATTGAATCAGAAAGAAATGAAATCGATCCACTAACTGACACAGAGACATGTCTGTGATCTCCCCAGCATTAAAGCAAGTGGGTGCAGCACCCACCTGAGATTTTGAAAATAGGCTTGCACTCACCTGAGAATCCATTTGCACCTATTTCAAAATGAGAAAAATCATGAAAAATAGGCATATTTTGAACAAATTTGGTCTAAATTGTGAAATCAAGATTTTGCACTCACTTGAGAAAAATTCCTGGGGAGAACACTGCATGTAGCACTATGATATGAGATGAGCACTATGATAGGCCCTGTAGTATAAGAAGTAATATAAAGCCACATATCAGGCAGCCCCATATCAGTCATCATAAACGTGCTACAACTCATAGGCTAAGGGTTAAGTAATAGTAAGCTGTATATATAAGAGACAGGTGAACAACTCTGACTTAGACCACTTGTTAAGATGGAGATTTCAACAATATTTAGTGTATTATTTTCAAAAAGCCATGGGGAGTTGATATAAAATTGATAGTTTGTAGCTCTTACCTAAGATTGAAACTCAGTCAGATGATATAGAGTGAATAATGCTGTCTAAAAGAGAGAATTTCTGAAAACCTACAATTGCCTGGCAAGTTCATTAGTAAACAAGTGATCTGATTGGTCACTGCTGACCTCCCTGACCTCCACCAGTGACAATCAGTTTCAGCTTGCCAGGCAATTGTAGGTTTCCATAGTTGTTGTTTTATATGCAGTATAATATGCAGTTTTTAGATAAAGATTTGAAAAAAACAATGATATAAGTTTGAAAAACACTTTGAAGAAGATTTTGGAGAAATTTTGGAATAAAATTTGATACCAGTAAGGAGAACTAGTGCCAAGACTAAAAAAATTTGAATAATTTTCAATCTTACTTGTGGACCTGTCTCTTATATATACAGCTTACTATTACTTAACCCTTAGCCTATGCTACAACTTGTACAAGATCCTGTGCTAACTGATTCAGATAGTCGATAAAAATATGACATAAATGCATAATTGAACTGTATCTTACCCTTTAACTTATTAGAGCCAGTAGTATTATCATTGTTTATTATGCCTAGGCTCAGTATTTGTTGAGATTTTTCAGTTTTTGTAAGCGAAATTCGTTTTTCTAAATTTTCAAACTTCCGCCATTTGTAAACTGAAGCTAGACTAGCGACATCAGGTGGTTGTCTCTGGAACTGCACGTTGTTCGTTTAGTGTAATTTTAAAATATATCCCGGGTGGCCGATCGAACACCTGGATCGAACAGAAGCACAGGCTCAAGAATCCCCTCCCACTCACTGTGTACCATATGAAATATGTTCACGATATAAAATATGTTCCATAAAATTTTGTTTAGGGAGACATCCCATTCATAGGTCAATGGCATGTACAATGGTAAATGTTAACATTATGTATGAAATTAATGAATAGAATACTCTGGCTCTATAATTCACATTCACCCCCATGATATTGAAGATGATGTGGATGACAGACAACATATTCAACCTTGTCATTCTTATCTGCCTTTGATAGGTAAACAATGAGGAAGCAACGCAAAATCTAGTCTTGCTTCAAGACTATTCCCCCCCCAACTATATGTTCTTCGTCCTCATCAACAAAACACAACAAAAGTGAAGAATATAAGGGGGATTGGGTGTTGAAACAAGACTATAGTTTGAAATATCAGTCATATTAAAAGTTCAAGGTCATACTCAATTGAACAATTTTTACTGGTGGAGTGGTGGTCATCTTTGGTCTCTGGTGGCCAAGACAAAAAGTCAGCACTTTTAATGGTAACATAATAATAAACATAATTTGAAATGGAATAGCATTATTTATTCTTATGATAGATAACACATATATATATACAATACACATGTATTTATAGTTTATTTCATGATATTACATATTGGACAATACACTGGATTTGCACATGACATCCTCAGTAAGTGGATATTTCAGTGTATACCTGTATATCAAAAATATTTTACATACATCAGTACATGTACTGAAAAGTTGATGGTTCTTTCACCCAATGATACATGGAGAGTTTAGTTTAGTTTTTAAAGTGTAACAGGCCTATTATCTTACATTATTATACAATTATTCAAAAGACCCAAGGCAACAATGAGACACTGTATATATACATAGATATATACTATGTTGAATTTTCAAGCTGTATCATACATGTCATATGAATGTCAACAAATTAAACCAAATATATAACAAGGTATTAACATACAAAATGTCACCACCTGCCATTTTTAACAGATGTCGGCTGCTGAACACAATAACAATATGTCAACAATTCTGGTGGTGACATAATAAAAAAAATTGCACAGGTGATAAAAAACATATTTATCTGTTGAATAAAGATATAATACTCAGGTAAAACAAAAATGTCTGCAAATTTCTAAATTTAAAATAGCCTAGCAACCAATTAAACTAAAAATGTATCTAAAAATTAAATTATCAAAAAGAAAAATACTGTAATGTAGACTACTGTATATAATTCACTAATTGACTGAGTCTTTGCTTATAACTTACCCTAATAAAAACATAAGTAAGATTTATGATACAAGGAATGGTTTCTATCCCCCTCCCCTGTATCTTCATTTTCCTAGGTCTATGTCCGTTCGATATAAAATACCTTTCCAAGAAATAGGCCATTACTTTCCAAATGAATTACCATTTTCTTCAAAGTTGTTTGACAAGTTGTTTAAATGCAGAAAGGGATGACCCATTTCACCAGGATGGGGATAATGTGGAATTGGTGCTCGTATGAAGGTTTCAGATATTACTGGGTTTGAATACAAGCTCCTTGAATCTATCATACCATTATGTTCTACTAATGAAGGGTGGTTATTTATCAAGGGTGCAGAACTTTGAACTGAATTCACAGAGGAGCCAGCATTCAGGATTGAATTCATAGGTCTAGTATTCAGGATTGAATTCATAAGGGGGTCAGTATTTGCAACTGAATCCATAAGGGGGCCAGTATTTGTGACTGAATTCACAAGAGGGGTAGTATTCACAACTGAATCCTTAAGGGGGCCAGTACTTGTGACTGAATTCATAAGGAAGCCAGCATTTGCATCTGAATTCACAAGGGGGACAGTATTTGTGACTGAATTCATAAGGGGGCCAGTATTTGTGACTGAATTCATAAGGGGGGCATTTTTTGTGACTGAATTCATAAGGGGGTCAGTATTTGTGACTGGTTCCATCAAGGGACCATTCTCTGTGAGTGAATCCATGAAGGAACCAGTATTTATGAGGGGAGCAGTACTTGGGACAATAGAATCCTTGTTAGAAATTTGACTTGATACTAAGTTCATCGCTGCCAAAGATTCTTCACTTTGATCAGAGGAAACAGTGTTTGAGGTTGAACAATTGATAATATTACTCTTATTCTTAGTCAATTTTGCTTTTGGGGGTTTCTTGGACTTGGCAGTATTATCTTCAGGATCTTGGTTTAGGAGAGATTCAAGATTGGGTTCAATTGCTGCAACATGGGGATTGGAAAGGTCATATGGAGTCTGCAATTCCTGTCTTTCATGATAGTCTTTATGGCTTGTTTGTTTAACAAGGATAAAAGGTTTAACTTTTAACTCACTTAAGTCATCAGGATTATCCAATTTCCTTATTTTATGCCTGTGAACCCAATGTTTCTGTCTGTACCAGGAATTTTCGATGACAAGTCCACATAATCTACAGACAACTGGTTTCTTTCCCTTATGGACAAGCGTTCTATGGACACCAAGGGCATTTGTTGAGGGATAATACAACTGGCATGATTTGCACTGTATAAGTGAAAATATATTATGTTTATCTCGTTTATGCTTCTTCAGACCCCTTAAATTTGGAAATGTGTGTTCACATTTATCACAGTCAAATAACTGTTTCAACTCGTGCACTGATGCTACATGTTTTATTTGTGCCAATTTGCTAGGGAATTCCTCATTACACTGACCACAAAGGAATTTGTAGTCAACTCCATGTTGTTTTTTCAGGTGTTCGATTAGATAACTTAAACTTTTAAAAGCTTTATTGCATCCAGTAGTTATTTCACATTTATGTGGCTTCCTATGCCATCTTAAATGTACAACTAGATTTTCCTTTTTTCTGAAGCACTTTTCACATTCAGGACACTCATGTTTAAATTTCGGAATACGATTTCGTCTTTTTGGCGGCATTTTTATCCCCAAGTGAACTTTGTTTATGTGATTTGTAAGGCGACTGTTATTTGGAAAAGCAAACCCACACTGATCACAAGTGAACAATTTGGCCTCATGAGAATTTATAACATGGTATCTTAACTTTTTCTTAGATGTAAATTTTTTTTCACATTGGTCACATTCAAAATCATAACTGTCTGCGTGAACCTCCATATGACTGGTGTATTGTTTTTTCAAAGCAAAATACTTTCCACAAGTTTGACACACAAATTTTTTTCTATCCTCCTCATTCCCATGTTGTGTTTTTTTATGAAACCTATAAGAATAATTGTTTTTCAGCTCCATAGCACATATTTCACAAATAATTTTCTCCAGAGGATGAACCACCCTTATGTGTTCTTTCAATTTGTCCATTACACTAAACTGTTTAGGACATTGTCTACATTTCAAGTTCTTCTCAGTATGTACAGACTTGATGTGGTAATTGAGGTTACTGTAAGTTTCATCACACAAGGGGCAGTACTGTGCAGCGAGAAGGGCCTCTGGTGTACAGACTAACTTGTGCTGGAGGTATTTTATTTTCTTTCTAAATTTACTGCGGCATGTGTCACATTTCATGTTGTCTGAAAAAGATGTACCATTAATTGATTACTATGATCAACGTTTCTATATTGTTTCAATTAAACTCCTTAATTTCTGAATCACTATAAATTATTGCCATGGAACCAAGACACCCGTTGTTAATGTTAAGTCATTCTACAATTCATTTGAATTCTGGGTTTTAATCATTTAATCATGAACATACTTGATAAAATACAGGGTGACACAAAAAATGACACCCACCTTACGTTGCTTGTTTGTCCATTACCATCTGACTTGTCCTTTGGCACATTTAAAGTAGACAGATCTGAGATTGAGTGGGTACCCCATTCCCCTGATATTAGCCCACCAGATTTTTACATCTGGGGGTATTTAAAGGACCATGTGTATGAGACAAAAATCCCAAAACCATAGCTGACTTAAAGAGAGAAATTACAAGAAAGATCAGGGCCATATTTCAATGTGTTAGGGTAATCAACAACTTTGCCTGTAGAATTCAAGTTTGCCTGCAAAGGATGGGACGTCATAATGAACTTATAAATAATGCTCATAAAATTTGACCCACTTAAAGCTACACATCTGAAATTTCTTGAAGTGCTTTCGCATTATGTCTGATTTAAATGTGCCAAAGGACAAGTAAATATGTTTATAGACATACAAGTTATGAAACCTAAGATGGGTGTCATATTTTGTGTCACCCTGTATCTAAAATTAGATTGCCTACTAGTATCCCCTTAAGGGGCATGTACACGTCTCTTATAACTCCTCTCTATATAGCTTGGACATTTATTTAATATAATGCAACTATTAAATGGTGGAGCAACTGCATGCATGTTCAACTCACCTTTGTTCAGTGTTGTTATTTCACTTTCAGGGTGAACTTCAGCAATATGGTTAAACCTCTCTTCACCATTCTCAAACTTTTCGGGACAATACACACAGACCATTGCATCGCCTGCTTCTGAAAATAATAGTGCGCTGATTAATACTGAACTTTTCAGGATAAACATATTGCTCTTTCCATAGCTCTCACTTCAAGTTCAAAATATAAACATCATCAAATGTTTTTTAATCAGTACTTTTACTGTAGCTATGGATCTGAGAGTAGCTGGTAAAAATGGCGATAGATGTAATACTATCGAGTAAGAAAGAAAAATGTTTGCTGTATTAGCAATCAGTGAACTAATGCCCAACTTAAGTTAATTTTCATTTGTTTTTGTAATTTTTAGTGTTTCTGTCAAGAGATACTCCATAGTATAATTGCATGCATAACCAATGTAGGAGAAAATCTAAAAAACAATTTCATGATTTTAGCAAATCAATATCTCAAATATTATTTCTTAACAACAAATGAAAGACTGCTATAATTTCATTACCTTTCATCAAGTATTTCATTTCTATCGCTAGCCCCAATGGTTTCTCAGTAGCAATTTCATCTGGATCAATCTCACTGTCACTATCACTGTACAGTTCCTCTAGTATTTCCTCTTCTTCTCCATCGACCTCATCATCAGCAACTTCAAAGTCATCAATATTGCCATTTTCTTGATTCTCCATTTCTTTCTTCTTAGCTTGATTTTTGCGAAGTTTTTCAAGGGCCCTTTCCTTTTGTTTTTTCCGTTTGGCCTTTATCACTGATTTAGGCACCCATTCATAATCTTTCTTTTTTTCTGTAAATTAAAATCAGTATTTCACTAAATGGATTCATTTGGGTAATTTATTTTATTCAAAACATGACATGACATGAAAGTGAGAACATTTAATTTTGAGTCATGCTGTGATGGTATAAATGTTGCATTTTGAACAACACCACCATGTTATTTAACCTCTCGAAACCACTCTTTGTTGAAACCAATATTTGTTTATTCTCAAATTACATGATTTAAAGGCCCCTGATACACAGTGTACATACATATTTATAAAGTTAAAACCACTTTTATTATATAATTTATACATGTATTTTGCTTATATTGTAGTCTAACCCAATGCTATCAAAATGTAATATGTGAAACTTTGTTTTTAAATTTCAAAAATAAAAAATAAAAATCTCTAAAATAACTTTTAAAATCTTGAAAAATAATATATGAGTGATAAAAACATATTTTCAAACATTAGAGGGGGCCTTTAAGGATAATTTAGGACAACTCATGACTCACGTTTCATGATTTTTTTATATAATAAAGCCCTCTTTTTCTGTTCTGGAGTCTCCTGAGGTCTTCCTTTATTTTTACTATAATATGAAGGAGGTAGTGGTGTTACTATCCCAGGAAGCAGCTCTTGTGTGTTACTTTTTCTTGTTGCATATCTATGTATTGAAAAATATTCATAATTATACAACTGGTGGCGAACTCCAATGCAGTGTCTCGGTATAGACACTGCGGCGGGCAGATTATGGAATCCCCAAAATTTGGGGAAGATAGTCCCCCTTTTTGTCACAGATGTACTTGATTTTCATACAACTTATAAAATATATGTTCTTTTATGTTCACCAATCATTATTTTGTCAAAACATTCCAAAATTATTGAAATATGAGAAGAAATCACCGCGGAAGGAATTCTGAGTAAAAGTTTTGTTGATAATAGTTTACCGCACGTGTTGTTTATTTGTTAATACACGCAATTCAACCAATGAAATTGTCTAAATTTTACAATCACGCGACCTGAGCATGGGACTAGAACCAATCACGTCAGTTGTTTATTACGAAGTTACCATGCTTACGATGAGATACCTGCCCGCCGCAGTGATATTATCACTGCACGGGAGTTCGAACTGGTGGTCCAAACATGGATTATATGAATAATATCACTGGCGGATCCTGGAGCTAATAAGGGGGACCCATATTTCAAATTCTACAAAATTTTGGGCCCCAAGATTCTAGAACCAAAAAATTGGGCCCATTTTTTGAGGCCCAACGAAATTTTCTGGGACAAAGATTTTTGAGGTCCCTTAAAAAATTCTTGGCCCACCCAAGGCCCCGCCCCCTGGATCCGCCAGTGAATGCATTGTTATCAAGTGAACAGATAGGGCCCAACACCATTATTCCTACTATTTATGTGGTAATAATAGGCTCCATTCTATTGTGAATCCTTTAGCTTTCACCAGTAATTATAAACAGCGAGAAAGCCTTATATTAATATTTTTTAGCAAGTATTTCCCCCAAGAATTATTCCTAATATAATAACTGTAGAATGGGTTAATTTGGAGATTTTGCCATTTTTGCCATATTGGCAGCTACTTAATTTGGCAAACTCTTTAGGTTTGGACATTGCTCTGATGCCACATCCATATACACTGGAACAAATTACAAATTGTTACACCTATTCCTTCAATTCAACTACTATATCTAGTAATTTATTTATGAAGCAACTCTCCTGACCCAATTTGGAAGTGTAAAGATGTAAATTGGCAATTTTTTCAATTTCGCCAAATTTAAGCAAATTAACCCAATCTACAGTATATTATGTTGTTTTAAGGCAACAATAGGCCAAGTTCGCTCTTGAATGTAGAGGGTAATGGCTTCACAATCTATTTCATACCTGGTCTGTTTAGGTTGTTCGCTACGTTCAGCGTTAATACAAGTAATAATCATTGGATTTTGAGTTGATTCAGGTTTTGTGTCATCTTGAACTCCTGACAATTTTTCTGAAACATACAATATGTAAAACTGTGATACTAATAGCATGAACTCAAAACATAGAGTATGTTATATGAAGAACCACATTACTAATACTATAAATTATGTACTAATGCCTGGGTCACATTTGCTCCGATCCATCGGCCGGCGCCTGGCCGATTGAGGGTTTTGTTCAAAATTGTATTCAGTTTGGTAGTCTTGCTCAAAGACTGTATCCCCCCATTACCTAGAGAAGGATAAAGGGGGGGAGTACAGGGTCTTTAAAGCAAGACTATCAGTTTGGAACCAAATACTCAATCGCCCGGGCGCCGGCTGATGAATCGCAGCAAATGTGACCAAGGTATAAAGGAGCAACAATCACAATCAATATAAATGCATCTAAACCCATGTTGATTTCAATGTTGATCCTTTCAAAAAAGTTCAAAAGTTTTATAAAGTAAATGCTTAGATTTTCAGGTTATTTGACAAAAAATGAAAGAGAGGAGATCTATACCCATTTTTCAAATATATTGAATTTGGACATTTTCATTACTTTCCATATACACTTCAGCAATTTCAGCAAATGAACATGTTAAGACAGGTTTCAACTGACCTTGATCAGGTTTCAATTCATCTTTCTGCACTTCTTCATCCATAATGGGTGACATTGTCATTTCATCATCATTGTAATCAATCTCAGATTCATCATCGTAACCTGCAGTTTCTTCAGGAATAAGAATTACGGACTGGTTCCTAATTAGCTCAGGGTATCTGTCAGTTATGTCTTCAAGTATTATAACAGCTTTCATATTATTCTCATATTTCATCACCTTGGAACTTGGAATCAATAATTCTGGTAGTAATCCATTATCAGAAGAGTTTATCCTTTGTGGTGTGAATCCGATTTGATTACAATGCCGTTTTCTTGTATTATCATGCTTACTCAAAATATCATCTTCCTTGGTTTTACAACTAGATTTGATATCAGACTCAGATTTGATCACCTTATCGGCCAAAACAATTGTATCTGCTGGTCTATTCTCAATAATTTTGATCCCACTATTTTCGGGCTGAGGCTCCGTGAAGTCAGAAACATCATTGAATATTGTGGAATGAAATATTGGATTATGTAGTTTTTGTTTCACTGTTATAGTTTTTTCTTCAACATCTGGGGTCTCATCTTTGATAGGAATTGCATTGCCTTCTATCAGTGGCGCCATTACTGCTTTCAAGTCCTCAATTTCTAGGTATTGTGCCAGTAAATAAATTGCACCTATACACTGATTCTCTACTACAATCATCTGCCCATAGATGAAGTTCATAACATGCCGTAAGACAGCAGGTGTGATCTGTGGCATCTGTATTGCAACAATATTATCCTTGTTACATAACATTTCTGCTGTCTTACAAAACGAATACACGATAGCCTTATGGGCAGTCAGTTTTGAGTTGTCTGGTAACTGAAATGTGATGTCACAGAACTTCTCGTCATACTGCAGATCAATAATGCGTGACCTGAAGTCGTGGTTCGTAAGGCTATGAAGCTTGGCTCTACTGTTCATCATCATCTTTGCATTGAGAATGCAGTTTTTCTGAAAATTATAGACAAAGAATCTGTTACAGCAACACACTTCTGACTGCAAATTCAATTCATAATTGATTTTTCCTTGGTACACAGATTGTGGGAGTTGTCCGATTCTTGGACTATAGTCCTGAGAACATTCCTATATGTTGTCTGTATGATTACAATATTGGGAAATTTGGCACTTATAACTGACAAACCTCATATTCCTGAGTATTTTATAATTCTTTTTACAAAAACCTGTAATGATTTCAAGAAGAGGAGGGAAAACCCCAGAGTTTTGGAGATGACAGACATAATTATGTCTCTTGCTTACCACTTCATTTGACAGAATTTTCACTGGCTAGTTTGCATGTTTTAATAGTTAGCGTACACCTTTCTTTATATCAGGCCTGTCAACTTGGGGACACCTTAAATGAGTGACTTACAAATGTTGAACCAATATAGGGACAAATGCGTAACATATATGCAATTCGCATTTCAGCATTCGTTATTTTGGATGTATCAGCGTTCATTTTTTGATGTCCTTCTCTGGAAATATTTTTGCTTGACAACAATCAGAAAAAAAAAAATGTGCATTTGCATGACATATTCTGTCTAGCAAAAAAACTGGCGTGACTTCAATTTCTTCAGTAAATGTGTGACAATTATACGCGGTTGACAGGCCTGTTATCTCGATGTGAAATGACAATGTACTTATTTAAAATTAATTAACATGCTAGAAATTATTCAAATTAACTTGTTATCATTTGAAGCGTGTTTATAAAATTTTCAAATCTTAGTTGAATGGTGTAGTTTGTCTGTCGATTTGACCTATCAGCGACAATGTCTTCTCCGTTCACATTATGTCTTCTTTGAACCCTTGGGTTTCCCTAATCGGTATCCAAAAATTTCAGACTAGAGCAGCCCTGTCAACCCTCACGCATTAGGCGTGATTGTCACGCATTAGGCGTGATTGTCACATATTAGGCGTGATTGTCACGCATTTGCTGGAAAAATAGAAATCACAAATCAATTTAGCCTGTATTTATCCCGTGCCAGGACTATAGTCCTGCGAACGTCTTATTCTTTTGCCTGTACGATCACAACTTGGGAGAATTATCTACGCCCCTTACACTTAAGATACCTACTTCAATAGATTCCTGGGTATTTTAGCATTCTTTTCGTGTAGTTGAATCCACAATTGTTTGGGTATATCGGCAGAATTGGAACATTTTTCTTTTTCATCGAGAGATATTCCATCACTTTCCAAGATGGCGGTTGGATTTAAAAGGGGATTCCCCGTTTGACTGACCCGGAAGTGGGCCGGATAACCAATAAATGGAGGAATTTGCCGGTTGAAATAAGTTAAATATTACACGCAAATTTTACGATCAAAAACGAAAATTTCTTGGTTCTGCCGATAAACCCACACAATTGTGGATTCAACTACAGGAAAAGAATGCTAAAATACCAAGGAATCTATTGAAATAGGTATCTTAAGTGTAAGAAGCGTAGAAAATTCTCCCATGTTGTAATCGTACAGGCAAAAGAATAAGACGTTCGCAAGACTAGAACGTAGAGATAGTCTTGGAACGAGATAAAGCCTGTATATGATCAAATATCACGCAAATCACGCATTTTATCGTTTTTTATAAAATGCTGATATGGTAGAATTCCGAGCGGTGAAAAAAAGCGAAGGCATTCCATTCGGTCTTTGCACGCGATTGCTGTTTATGTCACGCATTTGGTCCAAAATATGTTTATGTATCACGCATTTCGAAAATTTTTGCGTCTGGTTTTAGGGGCCCACAAAATTATTTTCTGCGCAAGCACGGAAAATATTTAATGACTCAAATTTGGGGCCCCCTTGTTAGCTTTTGGATCGCTGTTGTTTTTTATTTTTGGGACAGTTCATCTTGAGTAGCACTGCCACCGGGAGATCGTATAAACCGATGAATATACTCACACATTACACCATGATATTTGCAATCATTCATGAACCGTCTTCTCTCCATCGTATAGCAGTAAACTGACGTCGCAAATAGGCCTAAATAAAATTTCTGCAAAAAACTGAAGAGGAGCACTACGATAAAAATACGATCGCTCGTAATGTTGAGCATTATGACTTATTTAAGTGAAAGCTAATTAAAACATGTTTTTGAACTTTACCGTAGCATCAGTTAACAATTTATCCCAAATGGACTATGATCAAAAAATCTGCTTATTATGTATGAGTTATATGAAAAATAAACTTGAAATACACGAAATACTAAATATATGATAGCGAACACGTGCAAAACCACTCGTTCGGTTTTTATGTGCAAAATGTAGAACATGCTTCCGGTGGAAAAGTTTTACCCATCCGAAGTCTAATAGACTTTTACACGTCAAATCGAACTACTATCGAGATTCTACAGTTGTGAAGTAAGTATTGTGTTATTTTCCTAAATTTTGCAATATTTTTACCCTCTAGTTCGAGCCGTACGAAGCTTATCTCAATTGAGATATCTTTGGAATTTTTTGGGTCGGCAACCATTTTGGCATTTTGTTTCTTTTTCAATCCATGTATTTCATTTCAGGTAATTTGGTCTAGACCGCATTCGAAAACTAGAGCGTGTTGATTAGCAATGACTACCTTATGGTTTGCAAGCAAAACTAACATAACCATTTGCAATGTTTTGCCGTCTTCATCTATCAACATACTGAGTCAAAAAAACCTACAGAGCAGGGTTACCAAAAATTGCCCCCATAAATGTGGGGTTATTTTGAGGTTTTTTGATATTTCGGACATTTGTTTCTCAAAATAACCCCACAAATTTAAGGCTTTGATTCTTTGCGGTTTTTTCACATGATTTGAAGATTCAAGTTCTGACAATATCGGCATTTTCCTTACCTTTTTTCTTGTCTTCTGTGAAGAATATTCTTTTTCCAATGTAATCAGCGATCGATCAGTCGAAACAATGCTTTATAACTGGAACAATTTGCTGTAATATTTGACTCTCGAAATCTATTCAAATTTTGGCCATTTTCGCGCGTTGCATTTTGGGAGGAATTATGTGGTAGATGGGAAACTTAACAGTGCCAAACGAAATTACCTGTCAAATTAATAACAAAATCATTGCTTATGCCTAAGTTCAGGAAAACAAAGGCTGTAGACGTTACAGCGGCCAAACTTGAGATTGACAGTACTTTTTATACACCCCAGAAGGTGAAAATCATTTTTCAAAATTTCTCTCCATTTTTACTTTTGGATTTCGTATTCACGCGAAATTTGTTATTTAGATAAAAAATATCGACTGCACATGAAATTTGAAAAACTTTTTTAGAAATATCTGTTATCCGTATTAAATCGTCATTACAAGAATGAATACAACACTTAGAGGGCTATATTTGGTAGCATGTTGAAGATTAATGTCTTGTCGATATGAAAAACATAAAAAGGTGAGTAAATTCTAATAATATTAGTACAAATTCTATGTGTATGCTATTGTTTAGCAAATCCCCAAAGAATCAAAGCTTTTAACTTTGTGGGGTTATTTTGAGTAACAAATGTCCTAAATATTAAAAATCCTCAAAATAACCCCACATTTATGGGGGTACCAAAAATGGGAGCAATCCATCCACTATATTTAGTTGCTGAGAAATTTGAAGAATTTGTGAAACAGGGCTTCCAGTAACGTATCCTCCCGGAATTTGATGAAGGGACTCATAAATAAATTTTAATGATCCATCCCTTGGACCAATAAATGGAACCTCACAGAGATTGCCCCTAGTGAAATTTTCATAAAAAATATATGCATTGATAACTCAAATACCAGTGGACAGATTTGGTTCAAATTTTATATTCTTACAGGCTAATGCCTCGAGATAAAGGAGCTCTGCTCAAAAAATTCAAGAAGATAGCTAGAGTCCATTCACTGTTTAATTGTGTCAGTAAAACCTAAAATAAGAAATCAAAATATCATTATTCAATAATATATCGAAAAATATATTCCTATTGTACATGAATGACACTTGTATATCTTGGATTGCTTCTAGTTTGGCTTATAAAGTGTGTGGCCTCTTATATTTGGATGCGTCTCTCCCATGTTATTTTCAATAAGATTAACATGGCTGAAATTCTTCAAATTACAAGAGGGCACAGGCTTATATAGCACAAAAAACTAAAAAATCTGAAATAAACAAATGTCATTCATGTACAATATGAACATACTTTTCCATATATTATTGCACAATGGTCTTCCAATTTCTTATTTTTGGGGTTCTACTGACGCAATAAAACAGTGAAATGGACTCTACTATTACATACCTGCCAACCTCTCAGAGTCCTGTCTTTTTTTAAAAAAACAGGACAATCCAGGAGATATTTTGCAAAAAACAGGAGAAAAATAGGAGACTTTTACTGAAAAAAAAACAGGAGAAAACAGGAGACTTCTTTTAAAAAACAGGAGAAAACAAGAGACTTTCAGTCTAAACAGGAGATTTTCTTTAAAAAACAGGAGAAAACAGGAGACTTCTTTTATAAAACAGGAGAAAACAGGAGGTTTCTTTTAGAAAACAAGTTACCACCTAAAAAACAGGAGAAAACAGGAGATTTTCAGTCTAAACAGGAGATTTTCTTTAAATACAGGAGAAAACAATTTATTTTAAAAGCATGAGAAAACAGAATGAGATTATCTTTAAAAACAGGAGAAAACAGGGTATTTTCTTTTAAAACAGGAGAAAACAGGATATTTTCCTTAAAAACAAGAGAAAACAGGATATTTTCTATAAAAACAGGAGACTTCTTTATAAAACAGTTTAAAACATAGGGAGTATCGGTATCGATGTTGCATCCTGGGAGCCAATCCTCCTTGGTCCAGGATGGAAAAACCAAAAAGCTTAGTGAAATGTGACTGATAAATCTCAATCTTTGACAAACTTCAATGGTAAAATAATTCAAACTTATTTAACATGATTTCTCTTAATGTATATACAGTAGAACCTGCTAAGTGGAACACCTCTATTAGTGGAACACCTCGCAAGTAGAACGCTTTTTCAAAGTCCCGTTTTAAAAACCCATTGACTTAATGTTAATTGAACCTCTGTAAGTGGAACACCTCCAAACTTGAACAGTGAACACCCAATATTGAAAAATTAACCTGCTAAGTGGAACAGTCAATTTCTCATAAATTTCAATATTTCAAAAGAATTAACCTTCTACAGTGCTATCTGGGTATGAAAACAGGTATATAATTGCCAAATTAGGATCACCATATAGCAAATTGGATTAACCTCCTCTGTAGAGATCAACATGTCATGGAATCACTAATTAATTTGATAATTAGCAAATTAGGATTTCCTAAGATTATCATTCATCAAATTGGATTAATCTCCTGTAGAGATGGATGTTATGCTACCTCTAATTAATACCCCTTGCTGTTTGTTTCAAATAAGTAAGATTAAGAATGTCAGTTAAAAACGAATGAATTATTAGCAGTAGGAACAAGTCTTTAAAACTTAATTGCCAAATCTTTGTGCCTGAGACTGGCAGAATGAGGAGGATTAAGAATGTCAGAAAACAATTTTGGCAGAATGAGGAGAATGACGAATGCCAGATACCTTTTTGAGTAAAACACCTCCTAAGTCGAACGCTTTTTGGCAGAACGGAGGGTGTTCCACTTACACAGGTTCTACTGTACATGCTTAATCTTGGTAGGCTTACGCAATCGTGCATAAATAGACAAAATTATTCTTACCCCGTTTCACGGACATACTTGCGCAGATTCTTATCGCCTCCACTCGGGAGATTATCTACGTAGTACGCATGCGCTAGGATCGTAATAAAGGATGGATTTGCTCTTACTGATTAAAATTGTTGCGCGTGCGCTAATTTCCTTGTTGTTGATTGGACATTTGTATTAGATTACTTTGTTTTTCATGATTAGATGTCGCTGGAGTTAATTGACTTATATGTAAGATACTGGAGACGATCGATGAGTACTCGGATTTAAGTTAAAAATCGGGAGGTAGGAGGAAAAAACGGGAGGACACAGACAAAATCGGGGGATTTTTACCTAAAACATGCGACGTTTTTTGCAGAAATCGGGAGAAAAAATCGGGAGATGATGAAAAATTACAAAATTAGAAAATCGGAAGATGGCAAAATTGCGCAGGAGATGGGTTAAAAAAACAGGAATCTCCCGATTTAAATCGGGAGTTGGCAACTGTGCTATTATCAAAACATTTTTTGTTCGGAGGGATTTGATACTCCGTGGAATTGCTGTTTTCTAGTTAGACATTGTGGATGTGAAGAGAGCATCAATCTTCTTTGAGGGAGATCAACAGAAAAAGTTTTAAAGGAATTCCATTTTTTGAAGATTCCTGATCCAATCCACCTTTTACATGAACCCAATCTGCCTTTTAATCTTTTACCGTAATTCCTCACTTTTGTTATGGAAATGGAACTTCCAAAATGGTTAAGATCTGCAATTTTAACATGTTCCGTTATGTGAAAATAGAAAGGTATATTAAAACATATGATACTAACACACGTCTTTAATAAATTATCAATATTTTTATATTAAGACGTGATGTAACACAGAAAATGTGAAAGCCCCTTCCTTAACTTGTTTGTACCAGTTTCATAAAATGACTACATTTCAATACACAATGTAGAAAATTAATGACCTCAATTGAAATTGATGTATCCAATATTTAGTGCTGTAAGAATCTGTAGAATTCTGACAAAATTAAAAAGGATGTTCAATCATGCATGATCTTGCAACAGCTAACAATTTCCAGTATCCATGCATCCTTATCAATGCAGTCAAATATTGTAGACTAGCTAGGTCCCCTTTCATCAATATATCAGATGGTTTAGCCATTACATTACAATGTTGATGGAACCTCAAATGCAAACAGAAATACAATACACTTTCTTAGAGTATCCCATGCTTAAAACTTATTATGATCATGATAAATTCACTCAATTTCTATCTTAAATTGGTAAAAATGGTCTGATTTCTAATGTTTCTTAGTACTTTGAAATATTGACTACGTATTTGTTTGCTTTATTGTTCACTACTCAGCTCAATTTTGAGTTGAAGAACGCTTCCAACATGGCATTTTAGATCTAAGTAAGGCTTATCCCAACATCTGTTTCTATCTGAAATCATTCATCTGCTGCCAGCAGTTAGCTGTGGAGGTGAATTTGACCTCATATCTTCAGTTTCTAGGTTACATTTATGGTAACAGCCGATACTGAGTACAATGTACTGCATACAAGATGGCTAATCTTAATAAATGTTTAGTAAATGTTAGTGTTGTCTTAAAATACCTCCCCTCCTGTTTTATTGCTCAGGTAAATTGATAGTTAGGGGGATGAGTTCTTTGGCTTTTACATGAGTTAGAATAATCTCAGTCCTATGAATTATGATGTTCAAAAATTTTATTTTTAGAAATAACTAGAGGTTCTGCTGACTTGACACAGCAGCCATGGCATCCCGGTTCCACCAGGTGAGTATTAATAACTTCTCATATTATATGTTTCTAATACAGGAGAGGTGCCTTTTTTAAACCTTGGAACATTTGTCTGTTAATTTGTACAATATATCTAGCAGTTCTGTATTATGGGATTAGGAGTTATACAATATTGATTTTGGAAACTCAATAGATGCTCAGATGCCCCCATCCCCGCCTTATCTTCATGAAACATTGAACTTTTATTATAACCCTTCCCCCATCTTTTGGCAATTGTGGTTACATATATCCAATGTTTTCAGTAGGATCAAACATGACCTTTTACCACCAACATACTGATTAGTTTCATAAAATAATGACACATAACTATTTGACCTACCCCTTTAGTTGCAAAACTGTATGTTATTGCTGAACATGATATCATTTCCAAACCTGTTATGAGTAAGAGCATTGGGAATGTTACCACATGGATTTAATGTAAGACTAGCACTACAATATTATATCTGATTCAGGATGCATCTGCTCCCAGCAAAGAGCTGTTCCTGGATATCTTAACTAAAGAAGAGAGAGAAGCCATGTTAACCCAAAAGATGGAACAAATTAGAAAGAAAAATGATCAACTTAGAAAGAGACATAAGGTAAGGAATTTATTTTTTATTAAAGGATGTAACTATCAAGGGCTTAAAAAACAGTGAGATGAGTTTTGGAAGAATATCATCAATTAGATTCCTTTTCATCGATTAAATGCAATAAATACGCTTTCACTTTCTAATCAAATGTGAAAATGCTCTAATAACGAAAGTAGAAGTGTTTGGCCGTTGTTAGGAATTCCCCAAAACAAATGTCACCATGAATGTCTTCATACCATTCAACGCATATTGATGACATAATACTTGAAGTCCACTCTTGTTGAAATCCATGTAATGTGACATCATTTCCCTAACAATGATAGCTATGGAGAAACCCCCAAACTGTGAGCGGATTCCCCAAATTATTTCACATTTATTTACTTGGGTATAATAGCGTATAATGCTTTCAAGAAATAAGCCCAAAAACGGCAATGTTTTTGCATTTAGAATTAAGCGGTCCCTCATAAGTAGCACTGGATGAAATTTTTCTATTACCAACTCCCAAACTCCCAATGGCTAAATCATTTTTTCAACGCTAATAGATACTGTCCCCTTTTGGTGAATCAAAGAAACTAGGATATATTGACTAGATTTACTGTCTGTCATACTCATTATACCCCTACGTAACAATATGCAATAATTAACAAGATGATGACAGACATATTGTCATGTTATTGTCTTTAATAGTATTATTATCAATACCTGTACTCTGGTGTTACAGGAGGTCCAGGCTGATAAAAAACATGCTGAGCAGAGTGGTACAGCTGTAAGTCCTGGCCAGTCAGTGACTGAGACTTTGTCACATAGAGAACCCAAATCCCCAAGTGAACATATGAGGGTAAGCTACTATATCAATGTTGAACACTGGTAATAATCCTTTAGATCAGGCTAATATGGTGAACTGGAAATTGCTGTTTAAAGTGAAGGAAACTCTGGTTGCAACACAAGGGTTACAGCATAAATGTTTTATATGATACAGGGTGTCACATTTGAAGATCCGAAGCCGAGGCAAGCTACAGGACGGGGCAAACAACTAGCTAAGATGAAAAAGGAAAAACTAAAGGCTCATGTGAGTGTCATTTAAAACCTGAATCATGCATGAGAATGTTAAATCAAGTATTTGATACCAGTTTTCATTGATGCTTTTTGTATTTACCTGTATTAGATGTGGTTTTAATGCATGACATTTCTGTGTAATTCCTTACCCTTATTCCTTGGAATTCAAACACATTTTGCAATTTGTAACATTTTAGAGTGAGGAGTTATGAAACATTACCTTAATTTGCATGAAACAAATTCTGTCTTGAAATAACTGTGGGAAGGAATACATATGACATATAGTACTCATAGCTGACTAATGTATCCCTAATCTTAGGAGTATGAAAAAACTAGGCAACAACAGAGGGAGCCACTGAATGAGCCACCACAAGAACATTTTGAACCTAGGCGACACTCAGGAGGGAGTGGTCGTTTCACAGAACACCACCCCAACCCCTATGAGGATCACGTTGGTGAGATCAGGGGGACTCCACCCAGGCGGAAATATGTAAATGCTTTATTGCCTAAAGTAGATTAGCCATTCTGGCTCACTGTTCGCCACTATTTGACTAATTTCCGGCATTCATTTTTGAATTAATTAATGAACTTTTGTATTTGATGTGATGGAGGATATCTTGCTATTTGTTTTGCCCACCTTTTATCCATTCCATGCCCTACTGTCTGCCACTAAGTATTCACACAGTGGTGAATGGTGAGCCCACATGGCGTAAGTGTGACGGCTTCATTATCAAGAGTATGTTTTGGAGAATGAAAATAATTGCTGTCATGTTAGATTGGATTGGTTTTGCTTTGTGTATTGGTTTTGGAAAATCATCTTTATAAATGTAAAATAGGAAAACTAAACCCCCTCTCTCTTTCTTTTAATGTGTCTAATGTTAAATATAAGGTTTACTCATTATATTTTAAATATGTTGTTATAGCCTTCATTTCTTTAAAACCATTGGCATATGCTATATCTGTATCTGTAACAAATTGTCACACTTTTGTAACCATTGAGCTGCAACAAGTTGCCAGGTTACTGACATGTTATTCTAAAGCCTTGCTATATCTCTTATTGATAGTGTCAAGTAAAACAATACATTTATATAACTTTATGTAATATTAAATATTACTACTGTATTTTAAAGGAGATGAGTGAACAAAGAACACCAGACTCTAGTGAAAGAACACGTGGAGGATTTAGTGCAAGGAAAATGGAGGCTAACAAACGGAGGGGCGAAAACAGGGGCCCGAGACCTCTCAGTGACTCATATGATGAAATACGTAAGAAGAATGCACAGATGTATGAGGAGGAAATGAAAAATGAGGTATGAGAAGTATCACAAGTTATTGTTATGATATGGAAGGGAGTGAAAACCAGTTTAATTTGCAAGAAATTATTGTACTTTATAGTTGTCTTGAAATAAATTTAAAAGTTTATATTTGGGTTCAAATTCAACAACATTCATATTTCATTATTAACTTTCTGATATTGTTTATTCTTATAATATAAGTTTATTCTTTTATGAATCCTGGTTTGGACCACCTAACATGCTCATTTGAGATGTGTTCACTTCATTGGGAAACTCATCTCCTCCACAATTGCACTTATTTTGGTGGCACGCCAAAAATTGTTATATTATCATAAGAACAATCACATTTCACTCATTTGATTGGCCTAATATAATCGTTACTAAGGTAACACAACATGTTGCAAATATATATTTTCCAGGGTGGGCCACCTTCAGTGTCTATGGGGTTCTTGAATGACCCAAGCAGGGAAGGTCCCCTGGGGGAGCATAGTAAGGGAGATAGAGGGAGGCGGCATCCTCGTAACTTTGGCGGAAATGATCCTAGCGGTGTGAAAGAAAGGATGAAACAAGAGCGGGAATACAGGGTGAGAAAAAAAACTGAAAGTTATGTTATAAACTATTTGTACAAGTTGGTTTTGCAGTTAAAAACCAAGCTTAACTTGGAAAATCAGATTCATAAAATCTAATACTAAACAATGTTTGAAATGTAAAGCAATATGGATATTTCTATCTATATTTTAAGAAAGTGGTCAAAAATCAAACTAATGTCAATAAAAAATCAATGTATTGTAGATTTTTACTTAAGCTTACAATCATAATGCAATATACAATATAATCTCTAAAGCAACTTTTTTTGAAAGTGAAGTTATTCTGTAGGATTCACGTGGAGGGGGTCCCCCGAGAAACAAAATGGAGATGAGTCTACAAATGACAGGCAAGGAGAGGAGAGAGTATGAGACATGGAAGGCTGAAAGGGACAGGGTAGACCAGGATAGAATAAACAGACAACAGAGGGGGGAAGGAACCTGGCGACGAGAGTGGGATAATGAGAAAAAAGAAGAAGAGTAAGTACATGTAGAATGAACACAAATTGATGGACTTGAAATCTTTGATTATTTCAGAGGTCCTCCTCAGTGAGGTATCTAGTCCTAATGAGAGAATATACAGTGATTAACCAATTGGGGAGATGTTATGGTTTTCCTTTGATTTCACTGATGTTTAAGAAAGATACAATTTCTTGGATATCAAGTTTTCAAAAGATGCTTTCAATGGTCTAAACAATTGGTACTTCAGTAAGTTTTCCATTATCGTTCTTTGTGGATATAATGTATATATATTGTACTTTATGGATGATGCTTCATATTCATACTTTGAATGACATTTTAGTCTATTCCATTGTGTATTTTATAGTTACAACTTTGATAGTTCTGTGGAGCCAGTGAGGAGACCAGGTAAACATTTACTTTTACACCGCTTATCTGAGCAGCATTGTACAGACTCTGAGACTTCTTCTAGTGATAGCTTTTATAGCTGTAGAGATGAGCCATAAGACTTTTGAAGAGAACTGGATGAATAAATCGTTACATTGGTCATGTTTACAATCTCAAATAGATAAAATAAAATGCATATAAGAGAAATGCATAGAATAATGGGCATTGTTAGTATAATGGTGAATGTCCACAGACTTGGTGAGATTATTTCTGATTAAATAAGACCTTTGTGTCTTGTACGCCGTTACCTCACCCAATTAAATATTTTGGAAGGATGGAAGGGTAAGTCTGACTGTAATTAAACATGATTTTGGACAACATCAAAATTTTGACTTAAGTCCTTACCAAGGAATGAATTAAAGAGGCATGACATTGAGAAATATTCTTCTGAAATTCCCAATTGAGTATTTTAGTTAATTTTGGGAGAAATTGTTGAGAATAAACATGACCATAGTGATGCTTTGACTTCAGAAAAGATATTCTCTGTATTAAAGTGTAGATATTTAAAAAATCTTGAAAAGATCTATTTTCCTATGAGAGTTATTTAAAAAGTTAATGTGCCATCATACTGTTAATTTTTTAATACAACTGTTATCATACAATGTGTTTTGAAATAATTAGATGGCATGGTTTGCAGTACTTTTTGCTATTGGTGTGCTTTGCTTGAAACATTCATCACTTGCCTTATGATAACTATGCATTGTCTTAGTCTTGCAAGATTTCTCAACTTCCTCTTCCCCTCTATCTATTTCCCCACTGAGGGTGTCGGTGAAAAGAGGGCACAGTAGCATCACATTTAAGCTCTCAATCCTACGTAGATTATTCATATTGTAATGCTTAGGAGGAATACTGAGTATTTCAGTGGATATCCAATGTGGAGTCTCAAGTAAATGTAAAGTACTCTAAAACACCTTTCTAACACATTTGATCCAGTACAGCAGAGTGTTCAGGATACAATGTGTTTGACTTGAGGTGCTTTACAGTGCATTAAAGGTGTCATATCTTGAAGTTGAAAGCAGAGTGAAATATCTTTGTATATCTGCCACATAAGACATGATATATTGGTGAAAGAGAGCTCGCTGTATCCTTCTACTTGTGCAAGGTCATTCAAAAATAAGGTGATTTTATTTCATGTAAATTTATTTTTGAAATAATAAACAATGGATGTTATTGAATATTCACCATATTTTTGTTTTACCCATTGTCAACTTCTCTCTTGTGTGATTGTATTCTCAGACTGTTGCTTATATATTTCATCAACTATAAGACTGCATTTTAGGAAAATCATGTGTATTAGATCTTTCTAAATACTTTTTTCATGATAAACTGCCCGGTTTTCTGTTTTGGTACAGTTTTCTATAAATCAGAGTTCCAAAGAATGCAGTCTTGTGTTTGATTAATGTGTGGTGGCTGATATTTTGTTACACATCAGTATCATGTATCCCATTGTATCCCTAAAGAGAAACCACCCGTCCACTAGAGTCACGCCTTCCCTAGACTTCCCAATCTTTCCAGTGTTTACATTTCAGCAATACAAAACCACTTGTCAAACAACAGGAAAGCTTCAGAGTAGGGCTGGCACGGAACGGAATTATTGTCCGAACCGTCCGATTTTACCTTCGGAAACGGACTTTCGGACCTACCTTCTCATATTCCGATAATTTTCGGAATTTTTATTTTCCTTTAAGAACATTCACTTTTCGTTATAGCGACACGCTAACTCGCTATAGCGAACTAGTACTATGAAACGAACTCAATAAATATATATAATTATTAAACATTTTCACTCAGTAAAGTTGATTTATATGTAATGAATAATAGAAATAGATAAAGTATGATTGTTTTATATATATTCAGTGCCTATAAGAAAATACAATTATTGTAAGAAAGACAATATACAGTAACAGTTGTATGCCAAGGTGCCAAGAAGGCAAGGACATTAACATTTTGCCATTAGTTTTGAACATTTATGCCACTTGTTCTGGCAGTTAGATAGTCCTAGTGTTTGTATTTAATAAACATGATACAACTTATATATAGTACTATATATAGTTGTAAACTGCTGTTCCAATGGTAACATAAATGAGAACTTAAGGGGAGAAGTGGGAACTATTTTAAATAAGGTCCGAAATTCCGAAAGTTCCGAATTCCAAAGCCAAGTTCCGAATTCTGTTCCGTTCCGATTCCGTTCAGTTCCGTGCCATGCCAGCCCTACTTCAGAGTGCTCTAGAATAATTAGTGTGACAGTATTTACCGCTATCACTCCCCCTCCCTACCATACACTGGAAATGTATGTTTTGGTAGATCAGTCGTTAAGTGCCAATTTCAAATATGCTTCGGTTATATATTAGACCTACTTTATTACACTTAAGAGGTTACATCATATAGGCTTCCAATTGTGTTACCTTTGGTTGAATCTACCTTTTGAGTACTAGTGTTTTCTGTTTCTGCTTTGTTATTAAAGTAGTTAATCAGAATGGTTAATTTTTGAATGCATATGAAAATGTTTGTGTCTTTTGTATTTATCTATTATTTTGTTTGAACATTACTAAAATCTCTATCACAAAGTATTCCAAAAGAACAAAGTAGTCCAAAAGAAAAGCACAACTCCTCAAATAATTACACAAGTTTTTCTTAAACCACTCATTAGCCCTGTGAAATTATAAATATAGTACCGGAATATACTTTTGAAACCAAAGACTTTCGAAATCCTATTGAAAATTTTACAAAAACATTGCATTTAGGAGGAATATGAAAAACCTTATCAATAGTAGACCTGAGTGATAAAGCCAATCATCGAAATCAGCTTTTTTTGTGTTACCGCATGGATCAGTTGAACGCATGGTGTCGGGACTGGTTTGAGGCATGCATCTGACATTAACAAAAAAAGAATTCACAATTGTGAAAATTCACCATCTGTCTGTATGTCTCAGCTGGGCGTATTGGTAGTGGGAGATTTGATCGCAGCTTACGTGATGAACGTGCTAGAAGTGATCCAAACCCTTTCAAAGACTTTAAAGGTATTCTCTTACTCTATGATCTTAGAGGATAAGATTGGTAGTATAATATGTGTAGTATTTAATATATTGTTAGTACATGCATTTGTGAATGGAAGTACATGTAATTTACCAATAGTTTAGAGCATTTAAGATTTATAGACTATGGATACATGTTTCTAAGCTATGTGGTTCATGAATATGAAATGAAATGTTTAAAACTGAATGTCTATGGGCCAAGGTATACATATCAGTTAACTGTTGAATGTGGAATACAATGTACATCATATTAAATGCCATACATAATGGCTGTTTTTTATCTTCTATTTGCCTGCGTAGTAGTAGTCTAGATGAAGGTAAATAAATGATATGTTTAGCATACTGCCTCAAATCTACATACATTGTATACAGAATGATGTAATAAATTAGGTTCAAGGTTCATGTGGGAACATTTTTTCATTTCATTTTTTTTTTTGATAGAAGTATGAGTTTTATTCTAGATAATATGCCAAATCTTGAAATATGAGAAAAAACTCAACACTTCGCATACAAGAACAAAACAATGCTAAACATAATTTATTTACTTTACCCTAAGTGTCTAATTAACCTCCACCTATAGATCTGAAGCACCTTCTGCACTTCTTGATCAAATGTCACTTGGTTAATAATTTTATGCATAAGCATATAGACATTTTCTAAATTACGCCATTGCAGCCACTTCATTCCCATTGAAACAAATGATCTGAGTGACATTTGAAGCAAAATAATTTCCTACCTTATTCTATGTAAAATCTTTTTACCACCCTATCATAAACCTGCAAAATCCATGCCTTATTGCTAAGCTATCAATTGTATGATAAATATTCTAATAAAAATGTTCAAAAAATAATAGGAAGATATTTTGTAGGTTTTGGTGGTAAATTTGGAGACTTTATGCCTGGAGATGACAGCCATAGAGGTCAAGGACGCAGTGACGGATCTCGAGGACGTGGTGATAGTTTGAGGCCCACTCATGGAGATTCTCCTAGAAATCGTGGTGAACCTTCTAGAAATTATGACGGCCATAGAAACAGGGGGGATGCCTACCATGATCATAGAGGAGATGAGAGAAGTCCAAGAAGTTTTGGAGATGGTCCTAGAGGTAGAGGAGAAGGTTCAAGGGGTCGAGGAGATAGCTCAAGGGGTCGAGGTGATGGTTCAAGAGGACGTGGTTTAATAAGAGGTGCTAGAGGTGCTAGTGCTCGTGGTATGAGAGGGGGTAGATTGAGGCCTCGTGGCGGTACAGCTGGAACAGGCAGAACCAGGGCCCATAGTGGTGGTAGTACAGGAAGTGACGAAGCACGTCACATACAAGATGATGAAAATACACTTGTTATCAGAATAGATAATGAGGCAGGATCAGCTAGGAGGAAAACAAATGAGAGAGGCAAACCTAGAAGTCCTAGGTCTCCCACATCAAAGCAGGGGAAACCTCGTGGGAAAGAAGGAAAGGATAAAAAGCTAAGAGAATCAAGACCGTTGAGATCATCAACCCCTACTAAGGAAAAACACTCTGAAGTCACTGAGGGTGATTCTAAACCAACAAATCCAGATAATGTTGAAGAAGAGAATGCAATCAAGATTGACTCAGATATTCAAATTAGTATTAATAGAGCAAGTGGAGAAAGAGAGATTAGGAGCACTAGCAAGGACAAAGAAGATGTTGAGGAGCCAAGAGCTGGTAGTAGTGATTCTCAGTCAAGAGGCAGTAGTAGTGAAAAAGATTTGAGAGAAGGATCAAATGAAATACGAGCAAGCAATAGTGGGAAAGAATCAAGAGGTGGAAGTAGTGAGAAAGAGAATTCTGATTATGGTGACCAATATGAAGAATATGAAGAGGAGCACCAAGATGAATGGGAAGATTGTGATGATGATTTCTATGAGGAAGAAGTTGAGAGTTTGGAAGAGGAGCCACGCCAAGTCCTCCAACTTGATGTACATACTGAAGATGATAGTAGTATGCTGCCTCCAACTACACCAGTCATGAAGACCCCAACTGGCGTGGTCCATATCCTGGACTGGGCCCAGGCAGTGGAGGACAACAGCTTTGATGCTTCTGGAAGTAGTGTAGAAGCCTCACCTAGAGAACAGAGAACTCCAGGTGACAGCCCAAGAAACATCAACAAAACTGAGGAAATCCCACTCGAAATTAAAAATGAAACTCCGATTGAATCTCCCAAAGAACAAACTAGTCAAAATGCTGGTGCTAACGAATCTAAAGTTAAAATTGAAGAAAACGGCAAACAAAATGAAGTCAGTGAGCAAAATGAACAAAACAAAGGTAAAGTAGAGGATTTGATAGCTAAGAATGACATTTCTTCCATAGTCAGTGATAAGTCTCCTAAAATAGATTCTTCTGAAACTACTTCTGATAACATTGACAGTTCTGTAGTCTTAACTAATACTGATATTTCTGAATCTGCTAACATAGATACACCACCTATAGTTCAAAACACAAACCTTGCTAGTTGTGATTTAGATAAAAAAATTGATATTTGTGAAACATCTGATGGTGCGAGTCAACCAATTGATGATAAAATTGAAATCTCGGAAAAAGTTGTATTGAATGATGCTACACTTGAAAGATTGAGTAAGCCTAAAGAAAATGCTTTAGATACCTTAGTGAAACCTGTGGAGTTAATTCCAGAGACTGCACTCACTAATGATATTTCTCCAGCTGCTGAAATTGAAACAAATGATGATTCTTCCAAACCTAAAGATCAGAGCTCGGAGGTAGAATCTGAAAGTCAATCTTGTAATGTACCCAACAGTAATACACTTAAACAAGTCCCTGAACCCTCTAGTGAAGTCAACTCTGAATCCCCTACTACAGCATCTGAAAGTGAAATTGACAATAACAAGTCAGAGACATCCAATGTTAAAGTTGAATCAGTGGATACCAAAGATGAATTAAATGAAAGTGAAGTTAATTCAGCAGAAATGAAAATTGAACCTGTCCCTTCAGTTATTCAAGTGATTCCGCCTGTTGATGAAGGAAAAGTTAGTGACTCTTGCGATAAGGCAATAGATAAAACTGATACTGCTACAATTCCTGATTGTGCACCTTCGAGTGATGTTAACATACACCTTAATGATGATATTGATAAACTTAAGGATATTGACTCTTGTAATGTGACATTGGATAAATTTGATAACATTAGTGACTCTGCTGCACCTGACTGTACATCTGCTAATGATGTGAATGCCACACCTAACACAGACATTAGTATAGATATGTGTGATGATCAATCTGTACCTAACATTGATGTTGTAAATATCTCTCCTGTTGTTTCCACTGAAACAAACATTAGTATAGATACGTGTGATGATCAGTCTGTACCTAACATTGATACTCCTGTTGTGACTGCTGACTCTTCTGAAAAGGCTAAACCCACAATTGCTGTAGTTAATGAAGGTAAGATACAATTAGGCTAATTGTATGGTTCTCTAATGAACACAATAAGAACATACTATTTGAAAATTCAAAAAGTCAATATTGTTAACAGAGAGTTAAGAAATGTTAATGATCATATAATAAATCTGTTTGCAATACTGTACTCCTGGTTAATCATGCAAGTTTTAATTTTGCTAATTTTGAGAAAACACGATTCCGCGGCTATTAAATTTCGCGAGTTTCACAAGTTAAAATCTTATTATTCTCTAAATCCTCAAGCTCTGTAATAAAGCAACCTCATGTATAGTAAGTACACCTTCCTAATGTCATCTTTCTCAATTGCACGCTGCACCTTAGTCTCTATTACATGTCATTTTTAGGTTTATTTATCTAATAAGCCACTGTAACAGACTATGCAAATGAGTCCCAAGTAATAAAAAAATTGGAAACCCCAAGGATTTTGTTGACAATTTCGCGAAGATTGATATTCGTGATTTTGCCACAATTGCTAAAAGCGTGAAACCAAATCGCACTTGAAAAATTACAGTATAACAAATCAAGTGCATTAAAGAATATATTGAATATATTATATCATCTTTCAGATCACCACATTCTGTAATCCATAAGTATAACTAAGAAACTCTTGTTTCCTTCTTGGGGATTTGCTACTACTTTGAATCACTATTTTTTCCCCTGTTTAATATATTTCAATAACTTCACATGTTTTATAATATAGTATTTTGTATTTAGATCCTACAGACAACACCGAAACAACAGAAAACACCAGTTCATAGGGGTCAAATCTTGGGTATGTACTACTGGAAATTTCTAAATCAAATCTTCTGAATATCCAATTACCATTGTTGATCACACAGTGTAGTGTTTCCTTTACATGATTGTACACAGGAATGAGGATTTTTTATGTAGACCTCTAATCCTATATTGTTATCTATATTTAGTGCCACGCCCAATCATATGAGAACACCATTTTGGCAATGGAAAGTGGTAGCTTAGCTTCACAAAAGACTGCAGTCATCAATTTAGATAGAGATTTTAATAACATGAAACTTTTTCTTTGCAGGAAGGACCTACATCATAAAGTACAATGCAGTATGCCATTAAATATACAATGTTTATACAAAACACTGGTATATGGATGAGGCGATCTCTTATCATTCTGAATTAGAAATCCGACAAGAATGTAGACTGTTGTCATAATCAGTATGTTGAAACCATAGAATCAAAACAAATTGCTACCTTAGTGGAAGAATAGGAAAAGGCCTAACTAGAATTGGTGCCAATGAAGTGTTCAGACTGAATAAACTGTACATTATATACAGCTTCAACTAAGCATGTAAATTAGATATGCAAATGTACAGATTATATGACAGTGTGTACTACACGGTATGTTGTGCATATGTTACATGATTATGCCTTTTGTAATACTAAAATCAGCTCAATTTTTAAAGGAATATTTGTGCAATCTTATTTTATAATTGGATTGCCATGTGATGTGAAATCTGGTGTTATTAAGTGATTTATTTTATGGGAAGGAAGCTATGCAATGAAAAATTGTTATCATTACTTTAATTTGTTGCATAATACTTTGGTATTGTTTTAGTGAATTTGTGGACATGTCCCCTTTTCAATGTTATTTATTTGAAATTTTACTTACTTTGAATATGATATTAATTGTTGCTATCATGTAATTATAATGGTAATTTGTACATAGTCTTTTAAAATGGAATGTTGATTATACATGTATTCATAAATTATGTACAGAGTTAACAAAGGGCAACATTTGACTCATTGTATAAGGATATAATATGGCGGTAGCTGGAATTTTTTCACCATTTTTATAATTTGACCATAGGTACTAATTTAAGAGAATATTTTCCAATATTAATTGAAAAAGTGTCAAAATGAACTGAAGTAACATATTTCTGAAGGTATCTAATCATACTCATGGAACCATTTAATTGTAATAATTTAATTGCTGTACTGGCCTTGGATATAATGTAGGAATAATATTGATATTGAAATTGCAACTTAATTAAATAATTATTTATTACATCTTTTATTGCAAAATGTTTGTAAGGTAATTTTATGGATTTTAAATTATTTTAAAGCATATTTATTAATGAAGGAGAATACTAGGCTAGTGAAATTGATTGAAATTGAATTTTGTATAAAATGTGTTTGTAGAGTTTTATAAATAGAAATATATATGTTTGCATTGAATGCAATATAAATGAATTTATCAATTAATTCATTGTTTTAACTCACATAAATGAGCTATTGTGACCTCCAACTTGATTATCTGTTGCTCTGTCCATGTCAACATTGATGGCACATTAGTTTAAGGATTTCAACACTGAATGCTTTGTTTGTAAAATACAGTACATGTATATCACAAGTAGATTGTTGCTTCCTTCAGTCCTTAAACCAAGACCAAAGGTCAGGGTCTAAGCCTAGCATACAATCCACAATAGTGATATATAGCACAACACAAAGCATTGTGTCTTGTGCTTAAATCTTTTTCACACATGGCAAATAGCTTTATCAAACGAAATAAAATTCAACTACAGTCAAGCAGATCATTTTGACATTCATTCAGTTTCAAGATGGCTGTTCTAAAATTTCTGTCTCCTTCTAAATCTACTTTTAATGCCCAGGAACACATATTTGTAATGTTCATAGTAATGAATGTTTGTAAGTCCATTGTTTAATTTGTGAATTTCATAAAGTTGCATTTTTGTAAGTTTCGTAAAGTTACGAATGATTCTTCATCAAATTACGAAAATATTGATATCATGCCTGCCGGCCTTGCGTTGGTAGATTTAATAGCACATCTAACCCTTTCCTAACTTTTTATTTATTCATTTATGTTGTGATTTGGGATGTTTTGTCATCAGAAAATGCAAAGGGTGACACTGTGATGAACTTATTATCAGCCTATTTCTGTATCCATTTTAGTGTTTTTCATGGAATCCTTATTTTTATACAGTTCTTATTGTATGAATTTGATTTTAAATGCGTAAATCTAGCTCAAAACAATTGAAAAAGTTCAAATGTGTGGTCCATTTGCAACTTTACAAAGGAGTGGTATCGATATGGAGAACTGAAATGGACAATGTTTTTCTATTAAACCAATCATTGAAAACATTCTGTAAAAAACACGGTATTTTATGTAATGTTGACTGATTGAATGAAAATTATTTTGAAATATTTTATATAAATGTTTTTGTTAACATTTTTATTTGTTTTTTAGTGCAATTGTTTTTGCTCCTCTCTACCAATTCTTGAGAATGAAATAAAATGTCTTTCCGAACCTTGTTGGAACAAAATAGCATATACAACATGTTTTTAGACCTCTCAATATTATAGTTATACAAAGGAATTTTGGGTTGATTTTAAAAAATTATTCAAAAAATCCCCCCAAAATAGATAAAAAAAATCAAGATAAAGCTTTTATTTCATTAACAAGATACTTTATTAAAATCAACCAAAATTTCCTTTGTATACAATTACAATATTGAGAGACCTAAACACGTTGTGTTTATGTCGTTTTGTTCCAATGAGGTTCGGAAAGATGTTTCATTTCACTCTAGAAACACGATACCAAGAACAAAACAAGTGTTTGATGTGTTTTCTAAAACAATATAGATAAAAGTATATATATATATTTTTCAAATTATATTGTTACCATTCAAAAGATGACCATTGAATTGACGATGTGTTAAATTTTTAGATTTTTTTTATGACTGGTTTAAGAGAAACGTGTGTTCAAAAAGTTCTCCATATCGATACCACTCATTTGTAACTCATTAGTAATATTTTACAAATGAGAACATTCGTTAATTCAAACAGTACAAAAGTGGATCCCATGTATTCTATTTTTAAAAAGAAAATAATAGTTTTATGCTAGCAGGGAAAGTGACCAGAACATCTAACTTGAAATTATGAAATTGATGGGGTTAATCAAATTCACTGAAGGTAAAAATAGCTGTTTGAAATATAGAATGCAAATTATATTAAATACTGGGTTTGATTGGCTGGAAATAGCTACATTAGCTACATATGTGAATTGACTATCATGAATAAAATTTAAGGTTCTCCAATCGTTCATTACTGTAATCAACCTGTAGTCCTTGTTAAATGATATTTTAATACTATCAAATGCAATAATAGATCTTACAATGATATCTTTGCTTTTAATTCTTTTTACTATTTGACCATATACTTGGGAGCAGGATTTTTCAATGGAAAATTTTATTAACCATGGAATGCAATAGTGTCTTAATAATAATGATTTATTGCAATTCATGGTAATAGACCATTGCATACATCTTTTTCAAGAATGCCCAAAATAATTTAATGTCTAATAATTACTGTTTCCTGCTCCAACCTATATGAGGAGATTTACTATTCTAAAAGCCACCTATCAATGTATACAAATGTTTGCCTTCATTCATAACCTACTGACAAAGAATCAATGAAAGGGTCCCCAATAATGTTGCAAGACACATAAAAAATTGTTTGGGATTCGCAATGCTATTGAGCTGCTGTTCCGTTGTGAGAACTCAGACATCACATGGTTGGGTCATGTTAACTTAGTAAATCATCCCTATTGAATGAGTATGTCATGTGATGTTTACACCGTGATGAAGTTTCAATTTATACAACTTTATTGCATTCTCTTCCACACCTAGACACTGATTCCTGAGTACACGACCTGGTTTAACACAATCTTTAGGTAAGAATTAGGTAAGTATACTGTTTTTACTTATCATAGAAGTATTGGTTTGAATATTGAAAATAAGCATGATACAATCTGTGAACAAAGAAGGTCTTTGGATTAGATATATGCATAGCGTTTGAGCTTAAGTTAAAATAAAATAGATAAAGCAATACAATTATATATAATTTTTGTTAAATTTCTCTAATACTCATTATTGAATTCAAAATGATTTTTGGCTCACACAGTGAGCCTATGGGATTGACTAGTCAAATTTTCTTTAAATATCAGACACTATGTTAAAGAACCTTCAAATAAGCGGTAGTAGCTGATGTATTTGAAACATTTCCTCTGAAGATTTCAAAGGTCTTTGAATTACGGTTTTCAGTATTTACTCTATAACATTTGACAAAAAGTAGGACTTGGTCATTTCAGGGAACTTTCTCATGTATAAAGTCAGTAGCAGGTTTTGTGATTGACAAATTTCTCAAAGTTTGTCTTTATACTTCATTACAAGTAGTTGCTCAGTATATGTCAGCTTAAATTTTTACCGTTTTTGAGATATTTGATATTAAAAAACAGTATAAATAGGTTGTTTTTCATCTTGCTTCAGTTTGACCAAATCTTTTTTAAATCATCTACAAGTTCTCAGGAGTTCAAATCTGACCTTAGATTTAAGGTTTGACCTTTGTTGAACTTTGAAAGGTCATAAAAGTTAATTTTTCAAATTGATTTTTTGGATTCAAATTTTCCCCAGCTTTATCACATCAGAAGTATAAGAACCACCAAAATTTTCAAGGTCTAAGCTCAAGGTCATTAAACTTGGTCTTCTATCTGAATTTCTCAAAATTTGAGACTACAAATCAATATTTTTGGTTGAAAGTCAAAGGGACTTGGGTCCTTCATTTAAATATGTAAGCACAATTGCCCTAATGCAGTTAGAAAACAACAGTCATAAGAAAACATCATCCTATACAGTCAATGATCATAGACAAAAAACATTGTCAAATGCTCACTGTCCTAACCCAGTAGTCAGGAACCATCATTCTAAACAGCTAGATCATTGAAACTACCCATATACAATGGAATTCAGCAAATGTTTCTCTCTATGATTGACATTGTGGATTGATAAACTTTTTTGAATTTAATTTCAGTTTTTGATTGTTCTTGAATGTTATTTGTAATTTTTGACTGTTTGGTAATTGCTCAACATCATATTTGAAAAGAGCTTGCCTAGTGCAACCAGGAAGTTATATTATTTTGACAAAAACCTCTTAACATTTTAAAACTCAACTTATACATGCATATTTGAATGGACTCGATAAGCATAAAGTATTTTGGGTCATCATGCCTGATACAACCAGGAAGTTTTATTATTTTGCTGAAGCTATGGGGATTATGTTATTGGTTGCTCATACATGTACATTCCATTTTTATGATCCTTGCAGTTTATATGCAATCTAGATGAAATAGAGTAGGTGATTAATTCAATAGACCCACAAGGCCCATCTAGATCTGTCAGTCGCTACAGAAAAGTGTGCTGTGAATAATGTTTTATATGTTGTCCTTCATAGAAATAGAAGCTGATATAGGAATAAAGTAGAAATGAATATGTGTTTCCATTTACCTAATAACCAGTGTAAGTATTTTGTGCACCTTTGTAGACTAGAGATGCTGCTGTATCACTCGATGCTGCTGGTGCTGCTTGCAGTAACACTACCAGGACATAATGATGCTTCAACGGTAGGACCCACCACAGCTAAGGCAACTACATTGAAGCCAACAACAATGAATCCAACTCCAGTTAAACCTACTACCGGGGGACCAACAACAACCTCAATTATTGATATTTGTCCAAAAGGATGTAGGTGCCCTCCTATGGGTATTGATAAAGTGGTCAACTGTTCTGGGGCAATGTTACAGGATGTGCCAATTGGTATACCTAATGACACTACCATACTTGATTTAAGTTTCAATAACATAACAAAATTGATTGGAAAGAATTCTGCTCTTGCAAATCTAAGCGAGATGAGGTTGCTGTATATAAAGAACAATGCTTTGAACACTATTGAAGCAGGTGCTTTTGAAGGTTGTAGAAATCTGAGTGAAATTCACTTTAACAACAACATTTTGAGTAACAATGGAATCCAACCAGGTGTTTTTAATGACACTGCTGATGAAATGGGAAATTTGTATTTTGAGGGAAATGAAATGAATGAAAATATAAGCGCTGAAATGTTCAAAGGTATAAAATCAATTGTTGGACTGTTTTTTTCAAACAACAGTTTTACAGTGTTGAAAAGGGGCATGTTCAAATATACCAATTCGCTAAAGGTTGTTACTTTTGTGGGGAATCAGATAAAGACCATTGAAGATGGTGTGTGGAATGACATTACAAGTCTAACATCTTTGGACCTGAGTTTAAATGATTTTAGCAGTCTCTCCTCTTCAATGTTCAAAGGCCTGATAAATTTGGATCAGTTGTCTATTCAGTCATGCTCCCTTGTGAATGGTATCGAAGATGGTGCTTTCGAAGATATAGTGAACCTCAGCTACCTTATTCTAGAAAATAATGGCTTGAGCAAACTCTCTCCTAATTTATTTATAGGTCTTGCTCAATTGACAGAGCTTTGGTTGTCTGGCAATGCTATAGAAGCCATTGATGGTATGGTGTTTCAATATTCCCCATCACTCGAAACAGTTCTTGTCAATGGTAATTCTATATCTCAAGTCACTGGCTCCATTCAAAATCTGACCAAACTGAAACTGTTTGATCTTAAAAGTAACAACATTAAAACCTTGAGAGATGGTTTCTTCCCCAATAATGTCACCACTAATCTGACCATAGATCTAACTATGAACCCTCTTCATTGTAATTGCTTCCTTAACTGGATTGGTAAAATGCCAAATGATGTGACTGTCCAAGGTATATGTGAAACTCCTCATAAAGTTAGTGGTAGGGATATATCTAAAGTGGGTAAATCTGAGTTTGTTTGCTATAAGCCAACTATCACTTCTATGACTGATAACCTTACAGTCAGTGCTGGTAGTAATGTAACAGTGTCATGTTCAGCAGAAGGGGACCCTCTTCCCACTATTATTTGGCAAGCAAGTAAAATTGGTGTACGTAAAGTAATTGGGCCACCATCGGACGACTCTTTGTTGTCTAATGACGGCAGCCTTACCATCACAAACTTTAGCCAAGCCTATGAAGGGAATTATACATGTTCTGCCATTAGCTCTCTCACCAGCAATTCTTCTGTTAGAACACTTACAATAAGAATTGGTTCCCATCCCTCCTCCAGTACATGGAATTTGACATATGGTCAGTTTGTTGGCAGTGTTATTGGTGCAGTTCTTGGTACATTTGTCCTAACTGTTGTTGTCTTTCTCATAATACAGTACTTCAGGTCTAAGAGGAGAGCGGGTTATGAACAGTCAATATAACTCAAGCCATGAAAACATTTTGATAAATGTTATCTAAGAAATACACAAATGTGTTCCCATTAATAGAAGTGCGACATCAAAAATACAACACAATACTTGGTTGTATACACCTGATTGATAGTAGTACTAGGATGTGTAGCACATATCTCGCAAATTGAATTGTGGTTGTTATATTACTTGTATATATTTTCATATACATGATGAATTATCAGCAAATCCATAGTAACTGTAATAATCAAAGAATATGTAGATGTTGTCTGATAAATTCATTTTGAGTTCAGTTTTGTATCACATACCATGTACCATTATACTATTAAATACCGGTATATGTATTTTTTATTTTACTTCCATCAGTAAATGTATTAACATAATGGCTTTTATGAGATTCATATTGACAGCAGTCCTACTATTCAACCTTTACCGTATTACAATTAAAAGTACACGTGTCAACAAAGATCTGATTGCTTAAATGTTGTACAATTTATATGAAACATAATTGAAATTTTAGCGATTATCTGTGCATACCTTGGAGCAAGAATAGTATTCAGATTATCATGTATATAAGTATATCCATCAGTTTGTTGCTTTTGCTGTACATATTGCATTTTGATAAACCAGAACAATAATCTGCCATGGGATGCAATGGTACTGTAAGTTGGATTTGGTGATTCTTGAATATCTAGATTTGAGGTATGTTGAGATGTTTTATCTCATGGATCAAAAAGCTTGTGGGGATCACAATAAAATGATAACCATCACTTTTAATGACTGTTTGAACTCTTCCATCAAAGAATATGTCTTATAAAATCAGAGCATGTTGAAAGTATATATTGATTAATTTTACAGTATCATGTACAGATATGGAATATGTAAGTGTAAAATATGTTTTCCTATTTGACAATTGTGTTTACATACTATCTAATATTCAGTAATTGTTTTTATCGTATGATCTGTAAATTAAGCCCTTGGTCAGTTCTTGTGCTGTACCAATCTGTATTGCTACTGAGATTGTCCCCATTGATAATCTCTGTAGCAACACAGAACATATTGGTACGGAGGGGACAATCTTAGTAGCAATACAGAGAATACAGAATATTTCCTAGGGATTATATCCAAAGTAAAATGTATTAAGATCACATGATAAAAACGTTATAGAATGATTTTAAGTGTAATACAGGATATATTCTGCTCTCGATCGTTCCAATACAGGGTTTCTCGGGAAGAATATATTCTGTATTGCACTTCAAATCATTCTATAACTAACTATAAATTGTAAAATAAACTATAGCAATTAAAAAAAGTACATGTATTTGTAATACACTCTTATAGATTTAGAATATATTATAGATGTATCAATGAAATATAGTGTACTACTGTAGGTAGGGAAATCAACATATTCCCATTTGCCTGTATAATAAGCAAAAGCAAAGTTTGAACTCTCTCTCTTCTGCAATTTTAAGTAGATTATCTAGAATATATTTTAAATATATTTAACTCAATGTGTTTCTCTTGTCTTTCAAAACATATTGGTGTCATGGTAACATTACCTGAGAAAAGGTTACATTGATACTAGACCTTTCCAGTAAACCCTGCCACATTTTGCTATATCAACGAATCTAGGATGTATTGGCGAGATTGAAGATGTCATAGCCTGTAACTTATTGCTAATTTTGAAAACTCCTTAGTATGTCTATTGTTCAGGGTGTCCAACAACATGTATCCAAAAGAAGGGAATAACTCTTCTTTCCCTCACAGAAAAAGCTGAATACCTTTCACATAATGAAAAAGATTCCTAGAAATATGTAAATTACTTCTTGAGAAATTTGACAATTTAGATGACATGCCTTAAATTACCAGAATCATGGTCAATCAAGAACTGAATGCAATTCCAAAAATGGGTGATGGTGTTAAAATGAATTATTCTCTAAAACTAAAAAGAGTAACAGTACCTGGTTTTGATGTTACTTTCAGGTAATTTGATGATGAAATTTCTTTTAGATTACTGAATTTCAAGAACATGAGTATGGGTGATGTGGTACTAAAACAAACTTTTCTCTGAAATTAAATAGAGTTTAATGAAACTCTCAGATGCTTAAGATAATTCAATTGTCTGTCAGCTTTCTAAACTTCAAAAATATTCCTTCATCACCCACTCCCTGTTTATCTCTTTACAATTTTTGGGACACCCTGTACCTAACTATGTATAACAAACTATGGCATAATCATACTTGTTTATATATACTAGCTTCTTTGATATACTAGATATAGTATTAAAGTGTTCTTTGGAGGCTCTGTTGGGGAATTTTAGTAGTTTAATTTTCATATCACCCTTATGTATCTCTCAGATTATGTAACTCTCAGATGCTTAAGATAATTCTATTGTCTGTCAGCTTTCTAAACTTCAAAAATATTCCTTCATCACCCACTCCCTGTTTATCTCTTTACAATTTTTGGGACACCCTGTACCTAACTATGTATAACAAACTATGGCATAATCATACTTGTTTATATATACTAACTTACAAGATAAGATATTTCACTTTTTGTGATTGTATAACATGGGGTCTATGGGGAATCTTCCCGAACTAGAAATCATGTTTTAAAAAAATGTGAATTTTTAAAGTTGATAAACAATTTTTCAAAACCATATTTCTTGGTGTACTTTTACATGTAGATTTCAAAAATGACAATTAAGACTAAAGGATAGGTATCGATATGGTGAACTGAATTCAACAATCTTTTTCAATTAAACCAATTGTTGAAAACATTCTGTAAAGAAACAAGGTCCTTTGTGTAATGTTGACTGATTGGCAATAGTTTAATGCGAAAGTTATTTATATATATTTTATATAACTGTTTTTGTTAACATTTTTCGTTTTTTAGTGCAATTGTTTTTTTGTTCCTTTCTACCAATTCTTGAGAATGAAATAAAATCTCTTTCCGAATCTTGTTGGAATAAAATAGCATATAGAACATTTTCTTAGACCTCTCAATATTATAGTTATACAAAGGAAATCTTGGTTGATTTAACAAAAAGTATTCAAAACAATTAAAACAAAACCCCTCAAAATAGATAAAAATTAAGAAAAACCTTTTATTCCATTCTCAAGATACTTTTTTAAAATCAACCAAAATTTCCTTTGTACAATTACAATATTGAGAAACCTAAACATGTTGTGTTTATGTTGTTTTGTTCCAATGAGGTTCGGAAAGATGTTTCATTTCATTCCGAACATATGATACCAAGAACAAAAGAAGTGTCTGATGTGTTTTCTAAAACAATATAGAGAAAAGTATATACATTTATTTCAAATTATATTGTTACCATTCAAAAGATGACCATTAAATTGATGATGTGTAAACTTTTCAGAATTTTTTGATAACTGGTCTAAGAGAAACGTGTGTTCAAAAAGTTCACCATATCGATACCAATCCTTTGGAATATATAATGACGTAAATCAAGGTTACTTCTACTCGCATCTAGTCTATTGATGGATTTGGTCAGAGGACTCGTGCTCAAAAAGGGATTTCCTCTATTGCAGCTGAATTCAGAAGGCTGCCATTTGGGTTATCAGGAGTCTTTTAGTGCAATGTTCATCAATTGATCAACTTTGAAACTAGCAGATATCTGCAGTGTTAATTCAGTTGAGCAAAACATGAAAATTTGGGCATGCCTTTTGCACTGGTATTGAAACTGCATGCTTTTCAAATTTCATTATTCAAAGGGGACTTAAAAGAGAGGGAGACTTTTGGAATTTACAGGTATGCCTAATATGTGTTTAGAATTCTTTATCAAATATAGAGACGATGTCTCTCTAAAGAACTGGTCACTCTATGACAAATATTCCACACTGCATTATACACCAGGTGTCACAAGATATATGTGTATTTATATTATACTTCATATATAGACTATACATATTTTTACAGTAAGATTTGGAAATTATAGACCAATTTCCTTATTAAGTATGTTGTCCAAACTTATGCAATGTTGAAAGACCTCTTGAAAAAGATGAATGAAATATTACATAAGATCACATTTTTTACATTGGTTATAAAGACTAACAAAGTTCTGTATTGCATCTAGACATGCTAGATAACATGTTATTGTAAATTGTGTACACTTTAGTTGCTCTGCAACACAATTTGATATGGACACTGATATGACCACTTTGTAAGGGTGTAGAGTGCAAATGTTTTGTATGTTCTGATATGTTATATTATGAAATAAATGTATATGTATGAGATAAGCCAACCAATGTGTTTGTAGTGTTAACTATATATCCTATGTTTATATTAAACTGCATCTGTTTTACAGAATATAGACTTCTCTGGATATAGCTGCATGTGTGTGTATCCAGCATGTATATTTTGATGTATATACTAGTATATGTTTCAGTTATTTTGATAATTGGAGTGTGTAGTGATGGATTCGATAACCACAGACACGGTAAATATATATACTTTTGTGTACACAAATAACCAAAAAAGGCTACCTCAGTACCTTACAATGATGTAGCTAGCAAGATAAAAGTGACGAGGCAAAAAATATTAGGAAGAAAAAAACGATGAGATCCAAAATGATGGCTATGTAAATCAGTCAGAAATTTGAACATTTTTTCGTTGGAAATATGAAGGTAAAGTAATAAGTAAAACACCATAAGACACGATCTTGGTTCGATGATGGCAATAGAACACGATGATAACCCTTACATGATGAGATTGTGCACTATGGATCAAAAATTGATGACTCAAAACTTCATTAATTTCGGAATATTAAGATCTTCAAAAAGCTTGTCTCGTCTGCCTCATCCTGGCTATGCTAGAGCCTTATTATGAAATATCTATTAAAACAAGAGTAACATTTTCTATATCAATTGATTTAAATGAAAGAAACCCTAAACAGTGAAGTTATGCACATGATGTCTTATGAAATGTAATTTCAGTGAGACACCCAGCTTCAAACTCTCTTAGTCCAAGTGATGTCATATTGGAACTTGGCCAACACAGCATCCAGTCTGAGCAATGGAATTACCTAAGATTGGCAAGATATTGGCCTCAGAGCTTTTGTTTGCAAGCAAGGGTAAACAAAGAGAAAATAAAATGTTTTCCTTTTTATTATTCGCGTTATGTTTTAAAGCACAAAGAGCAATATTTGAACTACACATAAAACAGGGCTAAATTTAAAGACAAATAAAAAATAATTTCTAAATTGAATCTACGAATAACTGTATAACATTAATTAGAAAAAGAAAATCCAAACAAAAAATGATGAGAAACAAAAGGCAGCATTGGCATAACACAAATTACAAAGATACTTCTCATTAATTAATTAATTAATTAAGTTACCAATAATTGTAAATGAACTATTTTCTGTAATAGATGCATGTTCCTACTATATCCTGCACTGTACCTGATTTTGTACATGATTTCACCGTGCATGGATTATGGTAAGGCATTGTCTTATTATTAAGTGATTGGGATCATTCTAATGATTTTCAATTTACAATTTTACAATTTATTTTAATTTGAAGTTCTGATTCTCATAAGTATTTTAATTTATTTTGATAATTCAATTTCAAGATATAATCAGAATCTATTCATGAAATGATGAATAATTTCTATTAACATATATAATATTGTACTGGTATATGGACACATTCTATGCAAATAATCTATATTCTACAGGCCTACATTAAATACTACATTTGGTGGACTTTCTTTCTGCAATAACTCATGGCCATTCAACACATCAACTTTACAGGTAGTACTATTGTGTTACTTTTGCGTTGCTCTATGATATAAGTTAGTGTTCTCAAGATGTTTAAAGTAAATGTTGTAGGTACACCTCAAAAGGTATTATGGAATCATGGATCGTGGTATATTTACCCAAAATTCACATCCAAGCTCTGGGGCACTACATGTGACCACTATGGTCAAGTACTTACTATATTTAATAACTAAATGTGCTTTTAAAGAAATAAAGGATGTTAGACTTTGCTTTTGTATTTGTTCAGTCATACTTTTGGATATTATGGTTTGTTTTCATCTTGACTGGTATTTGGTATTTCCCCCTTTGACTATTGTAATTACACATTTAATATTCTAATGTTGTCTGCCTTACAGAGCCTAGTGCCCCTGATGACAAAACTGTGGCCCCCACTCTGGAATAATTACTCATTGTGGTAAGGAATTGTCTTTAGTTCATTTATGATGACCAGAATATGTATTTATGAAATGAAGTAATGTTACTAGTTCAGGATATCATCATTAATATAGACTATGTAGTATTATATAAAAGAAGTGTTTCTTGCTGCAATCCAATCCTAATCTGCAATCTGGGTTGCAATCCAAGGCCTGCACAATGTGTTTCAGGGGTCATGAATGGTCCAAACATGGTACATGTGCACTAGATCTCCCAGCCCTACATGGAGAGTATAGGTTTTTTGCTCACACTCTGGGGTTACATTTAAGATACAATATTACCAGGTAATGGATGTGTACTTGTAAACAATATATGAAATAGGACACCTTTAGTTTTGAAGTTTGGATTTTTGTTTTCCATGTCTACTTATAGTTCTGACATTGTCTTGTATTACAGATACCTCAGCCAATCCAACATTCGTCCATCAGAAACGCAGATGTTTTCAGTAAGTAATGATATTTTTTGAAAATGTACATATTTCATAGGGGGGGCCCCCTTCATACATATACATATTGAAAAACATAATATAAATATGTAAATTGTTTTTTTTAAGAATAAAATAACTAGTAAAGTAATGACACTGTTGTTTTTAGTATTCCTCTCTGGTTGGAGCCATATGGAACAGAATCTATTTCATTCCATGGGTGCAATGTATACCAAGTAAGGTATGTGTAACCAAATATCTAAGGTGAAAGGTCAAAGTTCAAGGCCAGAGGTCATGAAGGTCACATTTAAAGATAAAGGTCTACAGTACTCGTAGACAAAAAACTATAAATATGTAGGGACAAGAGCAACATACTGACAGATTCCATCTGCTCGTCTGTCTGTACGAAATTGTATTATTCACAATAGCTCATTTACTACAGGCCTACTGATTATCATTGTTGAAAAAATATTTTTTTAATTTATCATTTATTAGTGAATTGGTAATATTATATTGGTAACAATTTTGCAAGCCTTAAAATGGGCCTTTTTGGGCATAATTTGGCCCTTTTAAAGCCTTTTTTGGCCAATTCATCAAAAATGGGTCTTAATTTTTCAAACTTTGGGCCCAATTTTTTGTTTTAGGGCAGATCTCTTTTTTATTACAGAATCAAAGTTTGTCCCCCCCCCCCTTGTTGATTTCTGGATCCGCCACTGTCTTGTGACACAAAAATAACACATTTTAACATTTTCTCTTGTAGAGTCCAAGATACCAGTTATTGTTCCAAGTTGTGCTGTGCTTTGATAAGCAGTTACAACTAATAGATTGTGAGTCTGTGACATACTTCATATGTGACCCTGATCAACCTATACAAATTCCACCTATAAATCATCCTGGTAAATAAAATTTATTTTTCAACATTTACTTGTAGGCAAGTAAATAAGGTCAAAACTCAAAATAACTAAAATGTGGTTTGCATGCTTCAGACATGCTCTTAAATATCACTGAATACATGTTGATTAAATGTAATTTGGTTTGATATATATACGAGTAATATTGTTGGTTTATTTGGTGATATTTTTCAGTTTTATTTATTTATCTATGTTGCCATTACAGTTTGTAGATAACTATATCAATATTGAGCTGCAACATTACTGCAAATATTTTGTGTTTGAATTTCCTCGAAGAAGTTCATTATCTTAATTCTAAGAAGTTCATTATCTTACAAAAATCCCATCAGACAGAACAGTTTGGAGGATATATTGAATCCATCCATCATTCATTCTATCCACTTCTTGTAGTGAACAATTTTCCCTCAATGCCCATCAAACAAGCTCCCCCTAGATGGATCTTTATTCTTTTTGGGAAAATGTGTTTCAATTCTTAAAATAGTTGCTGTACTTTGTACATTTGCATATTTTGCAATACCATTAAATATAGAACTGATTTATGGCAATAGCAACACTGTTACTTCTGGGAAGTTAAAAAGTAAGTGTCAGAATGGAAATTACATATTTTCTCACTTGTATATACTTTGTAAATAAAATATTTAGTTACATTGCACTAAATCTATCAAAAACAGATAAAGACACAGTAATATATAGGTCTTTGTCTTTTACTTAACAAATTAACCAGTCCATACACATTTCATAATTGTACAACTAGTTTCTTTTCCCAAAGCTGTCCTTACTCATTTTGTAACTCCTACACATCACGTGGGCAGTCATATTGAAATGAATTATTTCTATATTTAACCAATGCTGATTTATTATGCCAAGACTGAAAAGCAGGAGTATTTTTTTGATTGGCTTTCCTGTAAAAGATTGAATAGGAACTTAAACATCTCTATATAATGAGATTCAAAAAGTTGTGATATGTGAAGTTTCAGAAAAATTCAATGTGATGTTATGATGTGATTTCTCAAATATTTTAGATATAAGTTTACCAACAATAAGAATAATTATCATGAGTGTATGAGTAATGTGGAATATTCCAATGTGTCATGTTCATCTTGGAAATAGTTGGGTTTTTGTCGTGTAAAGTCTGACTTCTAAAACTTGAATTCACATGGTAGGTCATGTTAACTTGAATCATTTTAATTAAAAACTTCTGCAGTTTAGTCATGTGATAGCCCTATATTAACAAGAAAATATAATCTGACTTCATCCAAAGACTTTTTATCTTTGCACTTGGACACTAATAAGCGATTTCAGCAACTGGTTCAACACAATTATAACTGGTAAGATCACAACACTTATATTTCTTTAATTTTGATTTTATTTATGAGTTTGATTGGTGTTAATGATGTTTTTATGTCTCAATATTATACTATTTTTGTCTAAGATCCTTTCAAAATTGTGTAGGAAAATTAACCCGTATTTTTACAAAGTATTTTTTATCAATCTTCCTTAATATTAAGGAAATTACATATTTATATTGTAGTATATTGATTATCATGATCAAGAGAAGGAACTTATGAAATTAAATAGCCAAGGAGTTTCCTCATAAAACATTAAAGAGCAAATAAAAAGAGCACCGAGTGTACTTATGAAACTCTATACCCAAATGTATCTTTGTTCGGATATTTGAATGCAGTTTTCTGACTTGTTATTGTTAAAATTACCAAAATAAAAAGAAATAAAGAAGGCACAAGATGTTCTCATAATCAACAACAGAGTACTGTAGACCTTTTAAAAATATTGTCATACTGAACATGCTTTGCAAGGATCGCATGTAAAGAGTATTGGTTTGGAGAAACGAAAGCAGTGTCTTTATCATTTATAGTAGTTTTATGGTATACTGTGCATGTTATGTTTCTTTGCATTGTCATCCATTTGTGACTGTTCTACTGTAAAATAGGATAATCTGGCTAGTTTCCACTCTGTCACATGAGGCATGTGACCATGTCGTTTTAACTAACATTTTAAAAATGTGACATTACTTTTTTAAGAAAAGATTATCTGAAAACCTATGATGAACAAATAACAAATAATGTAAACTATGTCAACATTCTACAAACATGAGACACCAGCATTGTTCCTCTTTTCCTGGTTTGTATGTTTTTATTGACATTGGATGTCATACTTGTATTTTTCCATCCGCTCAGTCATTTATTGTATTCTCTGTATATTTGTAGACTAGAGATGTTGCGGTATATGTCTATCACGATTGTGTTGCTAGCACTTATGCTACCTGGACATGATCTGAATGTGATAATAACTTGCCAAAACTGTCCCCCACCTACAACTACAGTTAAACCAACCTCAACCGAATCAACTACAACAAATCCTATGACTACTAAAGCATGGACATCAACATCAATACCAACAACAGCAACTGTTACATCAACTACAAGAGAACCAACTACTGCTAAAACAACTACTGTGAAATCTACAACTAGCGAACCGTCTACGCCATCACCAACCACTGTTAAAACAACTACAGTGAAACCTACAACTAGCGAACCGTCTACGCCATCACCAACCACTGCCAAAACAACTACAGTGAAACCTACAACTAGCGAACCGTCTACACCATCACCAACCACTGTTAAAACAACTACAGTGAAACCTACAACTAGCGAACCGTCTACGCCATCACCAACCACTGCTAAAACAACTACAGTGAAACCTACAACTAGCGAACCGTCTACGACATCACCAACCACTGTTAAAACAACTACAGTGAAACCTACAACTAGCGAACCGTCTACGCCATCACAAACCACTGTTTTGTCAACTACAGCAAAATCTACAACTGTTAAAACAAGTACAGCTACTACAACCATGGCTCCTACTACTGAAGGATCAACAACACCAATTGGTGATGTATGTCCAAAAGTATGTAAGTGCTCAACTAAGCATCGTGAGAAAATTGTAGATTGTTCTAATGCAATGTTGCAGGATGTCCCAAGGGGAATACCTAAAGATACCAACATACTTGATTTAAGTTCAAATAGCATAACAGTATTGAATGGAACTAATTCTGCGCTTAAAAATCTACCTGAGCTAAGATTGCTGTATATAATGAGCAATACTTTGACCATTGTTGAAACTGGTGCCTTTGAAGGTTGTGGAAAACTGAGTGAGATTCATTTCAGCAACAACTCTTTGGGTAACAATGGAATACAGCCAGGTGTTTTCAATGACACTGCAAATCATATGTATTATTTGTATTTTGAGAGAAATGGTATGAATGAAAATATCAGTGCTGATATGTTCAAAGGTATGAAATCGATTGAAGGAATTTATTTTTCGTATAACAATTTTACAATGTTGAAAAGGGGCATGTTCAAATACACCAATTCACTCGGCGATGTTCGATTTGAGTACAATCATTTGAAAACCATTGAAGATGGTGTCTGGAATGATGTCACAAGCTTAAGAACTATGGACCTCAGGTTTAATGATTTCAACAGTCTTAACTATCAAATGTTCAAAGGCCTGATCAATATGGATCAGTTGTATATACTAAGATGCCCTCTTGTTAATGGTATTGAAGATGGCACTTTTCAAGATATGAGAAAGCTCACTTTCCTAACGCTAGAGGGCAATGGGTTGATCACACTTTCTCCTAAATTACTCCAAGGTCTTGCTCAGTTGAGCACTCTTTGGTTGTATGGCAATGCTATAGAAGCTATTGATGGTTCAGTGTTCCAATATTCCCCATTGCTCGAAACAGTCCTCCTCTGGGATAATGTTATTTCTCAAATTACTGGCTCCATTCAGAATCTGAGAAACTTAAAAGAATTTGATCTTAGTGCCAATGCAATCAAAACTCTAAAAAATGGCTTCTTTCCCAATAATGTCAAATCAGATCTCACCATTGATTTAAGAAGGAATCCTCTCCATTGCAATTGCTTTTTCAACTGGACTGCTATCCCTAGCAGATCCAAAAACATAACCGTCAAGGGTATCTGTGTGACACCAAGTAAACTCAGTGGTAGGGATATAGCTAAAATTAGCAAATCTGAGTTTGTTTGTCATGCGCCATTTATCACATCTGTGACTGATAACATCACAGCCAGTGTCGGGAGTAATGTGACTGTCTCCTGTACAGCAGAAGGTGACCCTCTTCCCACTATTGTTTGGGAAGGAAGCAGCATTGGTGTACGTAAAGTAATTGGGCCACCATCAGATGACTCTTTATTGTTTAATGATGGCACCCTCACTCTCACAAACTTCAGCCAAGCTTATGAAGGGAATTATACATGTTCTGCACAGAATGATCTTGCCACTTCTATGAAAACAATTACTGTAAGAATTGGTCCAAATCATTCATCCAGTAGATGGAAAATTACATTTTGGCAATTTGTTGGTTGCATCATCGGTGCCATTCTCATTACGTTTGTTTGCACTTCTATTGTGTTCCTCATCATTTGGTACTTCAAGGATAAGAAGACTGCTGGTTATCAATTAGCAAACTAAATCAACTGAAGTAAATGTTAAGATCACCTTGCCATTCTCATTACATTTGTTTGCACTTCTGTTGTGTTCTTTATCATTTGGTACTTCAAGGATAAGAAGACTGCAGGTTATCAATTGGCAAATTAAATCAACTGAAGTAAATGTTGTGATCACCTTATCAAAAAAACTAAAATATGTTCTTATATTAAAGCAGCAACTGCTAATTCTGATTCAGAGGTCGATCTTGCTGTTAAGCTTGTGGCATTAGGTTCACGATTGAAATAAAAATATGGAACATGAATTTATTATTTAGCTTAGAAACGGAAAATCAAATATGTTACAGTATGGTTATAATTTTGAAAATATAGATGTGGTTTTGCACAAATTACATTAAAAGCGATGGTATAAAAATGTAAGTAGATTTATATGATTGTAAATGTAAGTCAAAATTAATTGGACTTACAGAATGATGGTATTATCTGATTCTGCTTTTTAAGTATTGTACAGAAGACATTTAATGCAATTTCAAAATTGCAAGCAGGTTGTGTAAATCAAAATTTTAAAAAAATAGTATAATTGTGCAATGTATATACTTTATGCTGCGTACAGTCATACGCTATTTTTGTTATATCTTTGTTGTGCTACCTATTATTTATAAAATAAACTGAAGCTGTATCAGCTAAACGAAAAACAGATTTTCAGGTGAAGATTTGGTTATGAACAGTACGTGTATGGTGATTTCAGTCATACAGTACAAATGTTTATTAGAATTAGACTAGATTGTATATGCAGTGAAAATTGTCAAGCGGAACACCCAAGAACACATTTGACTCCCTAAATTGAACACTTTTGTGTGGTTCGAATGGTGTTCCACTTGCACATGTCCTTCTGCATATGGTATTCAGAATATGCTTATACTATATGAATTCTTAGAAATGGATGTGTTGACATTCTGAGACTTATTGATAGCCCCACTTTTATATGAAGCCTGATTGGTTGAGAAAAGTTGGAGGTATATCTAGTACATATTTTAGACATATACTGTCAAGCCTGTAAATGTCAAGATATAGAATCTGAGCTACATTTCATGCTAAAATGCGAAACATATAATAATGAAAGACTTTTTACCAAAGTTAAACACCATATCCCTGATTTTGATTTTACAGACACTAGTATTAACAATTTGAAGATAATCCTTAATAATCCGAAAATTGCATCAATTACATCGAACTACATATCAAATATTTTCCACATTAGAAATGATTGTGTATAATGATTATCTAAAGTGTCCCATAAGCCTTTGAAGGCTGGGTGCACGCTCGTTTGTATTGATTATATATGTATGTGAAATTGTGCACGAGACACTGAAATAAACAAATACTTACTTACTTATTTAAAAATGATCATTTTTTCTTTGCTGTACATAAATCTTATTCACTATTGTCAGTATTATGAATATATTTGATTTGTTTTGGGATAGAAATTGGAATACTCAGACTAATGCTGTTCGTTATCTAATTTTGCCCTTGTAAACTCTCATTACTAATCTGGTGAATAAGTGACATCTATCAAGAAGTACGTAAAATTATGCGAGTCTTTGAATGAGTCGAGCATAAGTCTTTGTATTGGTCATGATATCAACAAAATTGTATTTAACCTTATACTGACCTATTATATTTTGAAATATATATTATATTAATAACTGTACATATATCTCGTGTTTATCAGATTATTTGCCTAATAAGATCAATACGTTTCCCATATCAAATATTACAATATTTTCAGACGATTGGAATTGATACATATTTGAATCTGCAAGCATTTCAAAAGTGCTTTTTGTATCAGTAATTATTCTTGATTAAGTCGTCTCAATACCACCAGCTAAGATGTTTTTATCATAATCATCTTTACACAAACAGTTAAAAAGTTGAAGAATAAGATATTGAAGGATTGGTCCCATGTTGAAATGGACCATGGCCATACCATGGTATACCATGGTATGGCCATAGTATACCATGGTATATGGCCATGAAATGCAATGAAATACCATGGTATTACCATGGCCGATCATGATCGTTAAATGGCACCATTACATTTCATGGTTAACAGCGTGTTTTTAACATGGAGTTTTCCATTGAAAAAATACTGCCGTTTCGCAGTATTTCGTGGTCAGAAACCATCAAATGCAATGATATCATGGTCAAGTTCTCGACCATGATATCATTGCATTTGATGGTTTTTTGACCATGATATCATTGCATTTGATGGTTTCTTACCATGAAATACTGTGAAACGGCAGTATTTTTTCAATGGGAAACTCCATGTTAAAAAAGCGCTCCCGACCATGAAATGCAATGGTGCCATTTAACGATCATGATATACCATGGTATACCATGGTCAATTAACATGTAATTTTGTATCTAAAAAATACCACCGTTTCACAGTATTACATGGTCAAATACCATCAAATGCAGTGATATCATGGTCTAGACATTCAACCATGATATGCAGTGGAGCCATTTAATTACCATGATCTACCATGGTATACCATGGTCACTATACTTAAAATTTTGCATTTAAAAATACTGTTATTTTGCAGTATTTCATGGTTGCAGACCATCAAATGCAATGATGGATGCAAACCATCAAATGCAATGATGGTTGCAAACCATCAAATGCAATGAAGTACAGTCAAGATGTTTAATCGAAGACTGGATGTTGGACTTACAAAATATTAAGTTTATCTCCTATTTTACCGACAAAAGTCAAATAAAAGTAAAGCATATTTATTTACCAAAAAAAATTTGTTTCTAGGGTTATTAACTTAATTGTTCATCATAGAAATTAATTTATTAAATAAATGAACAAAAGTATATAAGGTTGTGATTTTGATGAATATCAGAATCACTAATTATAATAATTTGGTTATCTAATTAACATTTATTAATAAAGATATTTCATGTAAAAATACTTTTTGAACATGGTCTTTCATTGTATTTCACTGCATTGCAAGAAAGACCATTGCATTTCATTGCATATCATGATCAATCATTGTATTTCATTGCATTTCATGGTTAAACGTGGTATTTCAATGCATTTCATGATCCATTTCAACTCTGACCAATTTTAGACTTGACACTCTTCTTAGAGTTCTTTTTAGCAATGAAATACCATTGTATTTGATGGTCAGGTTTGACAATGAAATGCTATGAAATACAATCAACCACGAAATGCAATGATATGCCATGATAAATGATAGTTATGATTTTGGCAATGAAATACCATGGTATGACCATAGTATTTGATGGTCAGGTTTGACAATAAAATGCCATGAAATACCACCAACCATGAAATGCAATGATAAAACCATGATAAATGAGAGTTATGATTTTGGCAATGAAATGACATGGTATGACCATGGTTATTGATTGTCACACGGTACAATGAAATGCCATGAAATGTCATCAACCATGATATACCATGGTAATACCATGGTAAATGATGGTCAGGTACATAACAATAAAATACCATGGTATGACCATGGCATTTGATTGTCACATCGTACAATGAAATACCATCAACCATGATATACAATGGTAATACCATGGTAAATGATGGTCAGGAACATGGCAATGAAATACCATGGTATGACCATGGTATTTGATTGTCACATCTTATAATGAAATGCCATCAGCCATGATATACCATGGTAAATTATAGTCAGGAACATGGCATTGAAATACCATGGTATTTGATTGTCACACCTTACAATGAAATGCCATGAAATGCAATCAACCATGATATACCATGGTAATACCATGGTAAATTATGGTCAGGAACATGGCAATGAAACACCATGATAATATCATGGCATTTGATGGTTAACTTTGAACATGAAATACCATGAAACATGGTATAACATGATATACCATGGTATACCATGGTCAAAAATTGACCAAAAAAGCATCATTGCCACCATGGTCAGAGTTGATGGTAATTTCATGGCCAATCATGATAGACCATGGTAAACCATGGTATACCATGGTATCATGGTTTACGTTTAAACATGGTCCTTATCTTGACATGAATCATTTCTATATGGAACCTGTACACTTGTGTCATGTGATATAGGTAATATATTCATACGGTGGTGCAATCTCAATTCATTCAAGTACAATCTACCTGTCTTGGTACACTTGGACACTGATAAGCGAATACGTTAGATTGTTTCACGAAATATATTAAGGTAAGAATGCTAGATACAGTGGCAATTATATATTTAAGTCATTTGGGTCAACTAAATTACATAAATTTTAGACTGATTGTGCTTTTCAATAATGTCCTTTATTTATTCTCTCTGTTTTCATAATTGTTACCAACTTGGCTCTTGTGCTTATGTATTTCATACTTAGTAAGGTTCTAGGTAGCGGAATGGATATGATATGTTCTGTACTTATCCCGCTATTTCAGAGGTCCGAGAAATACAGGTATCCATCCCGGTTTCGGTTCAAAGTTTAAAAATGATTTTTATCCATTGTGGGATCCACAGCCTTTACCTAGCCTTTTGGAATAGTTCAAAAGCGTTAGGTAAAGAGGGACTCTGATAAATCAGAATTATAGGATATCCTATGATTTTGAGGAATATCATTTTTATCTACGAGGTGATATTGATATCTGCACGAGAGAGCGAAGCGAACGAGTGCATATATCAATATCACCGAGTAGATTAAAATGATATTCTGAAAAAAATCATAGGATGTTCTTATTATCCTACACTTACAAGGAGTGTACTAAATGTATAATATCATTGCAAAATGAATTCCATGCCAAATAGAGTCAATTTGGCGGGAAATCAACAAGCAGAGTATATCGTCACAATATCCTCCGCATATTGGGTTTTCCGGAGTATATCGTCACGATATCCTCCGCCCGGAGTATATCATTACGATATCCTCCGGATATTCATTTTGCCAATAAATATCAAATTTATTTTTTAATGTTATTATACATTTAGTACACGAAGTGTAGGATAATGATTTTTATCCCATCGAACGAAGTTCGGAGGGATATAGGGAACGCCTCCGTCCGTTCGTACGTACGTCCGTCCGTCCGGGCAATAACTCAAATACAGTTAGCCCGATTTTATTTATATTTTGTATACATATACCCTATGGGGGTAGAAGTTCTGCTCGAAAGGCGATTTTCAAAATGGCGGCCATTTTAGTGCCGATTTTACAGTAATTTAGGTGCAATATGTAAAACTGTATAACTGGAATATGTTTTAAATGTAAAAAAATTAAAGGACATTAATAAAGCTAGAAATGTGGATATTGAAGAAGCACGTGGCAGCCATCTTGAAAAATGACGACCTTTACTCGTTATTTTACGATTTTTGCTGTAACTCGAAAAGTAGTGAAAAAATTTTGTTCATATTTGGTATGTGAATACTATAAGCATGGCACACTGTCTAATGACACTTTTGGTAGAAGGCGGCCATTTTTCAAAATGGCCGCCATTTTTCAAAATGGCCGCCATTTTAACGTATTTTGCTATAACTAGAAAAGTAGTGGAGCGATTTTGTTCATATTTGGTATGTGAATACTATAAGCATGGCACACTGTCTGGTACACTTTTGGTAGAAAGTGGCCATTTTGAAAAATGGCCACCATTTTAACGTATTTTACCATAACTGGAAAAGTACTGGAGCGATTTTGTTCATATTTGGTATGTGAATACTATAAGCATGGCACACTGTCTGGTACACTTTTGGTAGAAAGTGGCCATTTTGAAAAATGGCTGCCATTTTTGCTATATACTTTGTTTGTAAAAATACCAGCCATGGCTGTTCGACGGGATTTGCTACGCTTTGACGTTGCTGTTGTCGAGTTTAATACTGATCTTAACAAGTTAGTAGGAAACGTCTCACTATTTTTTGAAAAAAAAAGTTTTAAAATATATTTAAATCATGATATGAAATAGAAAATAATGTTGCATTCGAAAACTTTAGAAGGTAGATTGTACGAATAAACTAAGTAGAGTACATTTTGAATATTAATGAAGGATCTGTTTTGAGAGGTTTTATCAGGTCCACTTCATTCATTTGCATGTGATTTGTTCATCTTGAATGTTATCAGGAGTTTGTTTATTCTGGTAAAGGCTCGGACTAGTGACACACTTCTTTATTTGAGCAATCTTAAAGTAGCTATGGGAAATGTCAATCAATTTTAGATAATATAAATCCAGAAGTAAAGCATGTATATATCAATAAATGTTTTACTGTGTGTGTATGTACACAAAAGTCCTAAAAGGTAGGATCAAAGAGTATTATGAAACACAATAAGAAAAGGCATATCTAAAAGCACAACCAGTTATAAGGTAATCGTACCCTCTACAACCCTATTATCTAACGTCAAAATCGTAAATATCACAATCAATTCAAACCCACAAAACAAGAAATTGTCATCATTAGTCTGTTAGTAATTATCCCAACGAACGAAGTTCGAGAGGAATATAGAAAATCCGCCCGTCCGTTCGTTCGTCTGTCCGTGCGATAACTCAAATACCGTTTGACGGATTTGATTTAAATTTTATAGGCTTATACGTGTAGGACCTGCGTTCATGAAGGAATTCTCAATATGTCCTCTCAGTTCAAAATGGCCGCCGTTTTTCGTAAAAAACGTAATCGTTGATAACTCAAATACCATTGGACGGATTTGGTTCAAATTTTATATACCGATGCCTAACCACAAGAGTTAAATCCAAGTAAGGACTTAGCCTAGAGATAAAGGAGCGCTGGTCGAGAAAGACTGTTCAAGATGGTCACTTTTCAAAATATTTGGCATTTGTCATTTACAAATGTAATCTTTGATAACCCAAATACCAATACCAGGAGATGGATTTGTTTAAAATTGTATATGCTGATTTCTAGGGTCAAGGGAGCTCTGTTCAAGAAGAAATTTTCAAGATGGCAGCTGATTTTTAAAATGGCCGGCATTTTTCATAAAAATACCAGCGAATGGATTTGTATGTTGATACCTAAGGACAAGGGAGCTCTGAAATTTTCAAGGTGGCTGCTATATATCATTCATATATACGAGTATTTTTGTTCGGTGGGATTTGCTACTCCATGGTGTTGCTGTTTTATAGCTATAACTGCATCGAGGAGTTGAAAAATACAATGTTTTAAATCAAGTAACTTGTCAAGCTTATCTTGCTTATCACGAGAAAAGAGGTTCAACAGTTTGTACATCAATTGACATAAAAATTAATATGGATGTGAACATTGTGACCTAAGAAACATTATACCCTTTCAACTGAAAGGTAGAAACTTATGTTACGATTTCATCCAAAATAAATGGCCTGGTATTGTGAAAACCTGAGGCCCAGGAATGCGTTAAAAATGTTTAAAAGGTCCGCTAGTGTACTGAGTTTTTAATGCGTCGGTGTATACATGTATATTATACTTTACTAAATTATAAACATGTAGGCTTATAAGAATAAGAATAATTTTTATAAGCTTAATGGATAAGAATAAGACTGATTTTTTTTTATTAATGACAGTATACCCGGGCTTCAGGTGAAAACCCCTTTGGGCTTGGAATGGAAAATTTACTAATTGATATAGTTTCTGTTCTTGTTATTGTATCATGGACACGGTTGATTTGAAAAGAATTATCTGAGATTTTTTTTGAAAAACACATTCTGGTTTAGAGATGTTTTTAATCCCCAAATTATCTAATGTTCTAGCCCCAGCCTTCATTTTCAGCGAACTCTTATTCTTTGGCACAATTCTAATTTATATCGTCTTGGATGTATACATTATTGTTTGACATGTTTGATACGATTGTGTAAGACTGAGGCAAGTAGAACTTGTGACCACGAGGTACTCAAATCACATTCCAACACACATTCGAACTATGATAAGTATTTAGAAGACTGACAAATTCTTTATGTTAATCATTAATAGTCACACAACAGAAGGTTATTTAAGATTGGTGGTTAATCTCAATATTGTATATAAATGACATCTAATTTAGTACCGGAAGTAAAGCGTATTTTGTTTATCAAATTCAAAAATATCAAAAATATGATAATTTCTAATTAATAATATAAGTAAGCAATAATCTTACAGTAACAGTACTTCTCCAACGCCATGCCATTTATTTATTTATCCTTTGTGTGATGTGTTTGATAACCTTTGCGAGCTTTTTACCTTTACTATTATGTGTTCGATTGACAGATCTTGTCATTCTTGTGTTTTCTTTGAAATGTTCTCTGCTTTGGTTTAAATGTGATTTTTAACATTGTTTTCTTGGTTTTTTAGACATGCATCAAGTCTCTGGACCAAATCCCCCCTCCCAACTTACCTCCCTTACCCCATGGGCACATGTGGAAGAGATGTTTCGAGGAGCATAACTCAAAGGGACTTCAAGCACTCGATTTTGTGATCACATCAGAAATAAAAATGTTTCCATCTGCATAATAACTATTGTAATATTTTTACAACTTTGTAGACTAGAGCCACTAAAGATGTTGCTGTATCACTCGATGCTGCTGGTACTTCTAGCAGTAACGCTACCAGGACAAAATCATGCTACAACGGCAGGACAAACCACAGAACAGCCAACTACAATGAAACCAACAACAGTGAAACCCACCTCAATGAAACCAACAACAGCTGATGTAACTACTACCAAACCAACTACATCAAAACCAACTTCATCGAAACCAACTACCATGGCTACTACGGAGGGACCAACAACAGGCCCACCATTGGTTCATCTTTGTCCAAATGGATGTAATTGCTCATCCATGGGTGCCGATAGAATTGTCAACTGCACTAAGGCCATGTTACAGGATGTGCCTATGGGTATACCTAATGACACTACTGTACTTGATTTAAGTTATAATAACATAACGAAATTGAACGGAACCAATTCTCGTCTTGCAAATTTAACAGTGTTAAGATTGCTGTACATAATGAACAATACGTTGAACACTGTCGAAGCAGGCGCTTTTGAAGGTTGCGGAAAACTAAGCGAAATTTACTTCACCAACAACTCACTGGGTAACAATGGAATACAGCCAGATGTTTTCAATGACACTGCGGACCAAATGGGTTATTTGTATTTTGAGAGAAATGGTATGAATGAAAATATCAGCGCAGAAATGTTCAAAGGTATTAAAGCAATTACAGGACTTATGTTTGCAAATAACAATTTTACAATGTTGAAAAAGGGCATGTTCAAGTACACCAAGTCACTTACGGATGTTCGTTTCGAGTACAATCATTTGAAATCCATTGAGGGTGGTGTTTGGGATGATGTTCCCACTTTAACAGTTATGGATCTAAGGTATAACGATTTCAACAGTCTTAAGTACCAAATGTTCAAAGGCCTGAAAAGTATGCTTAGTTTGCATATACTTAGGTGTCCTATTGTGAATGGTATTGAAGATGGCACTTTCCAAGATATGACAAAGCTCACTTTTCTCACTCTGGAAAGCAACGGTTTAAGTAAACTCTCCCCTGATTTACTTCAGGGTCTTGGTCAGTTGAAAACTTTACGGTTTTATGGTAATGCCTTAGAAGCTGTAGATGGTTCGACGTTTCAATATTCCCCTTTGCTCGAAGATGTCGCCCTGTGGGATAATGATATCTCCCAAGTTACTGGCTCCATTCAAACTCTGACCAATCTGAAAGAATTTAGTCTTGCAATCAATAGAATCAAAATCTTGAAAGGTGATTTCTTCCCCAATGTCACCACTCCTCTGTCCATCGACATTAGTAGGAACCCTCTCCATTGTAATTGTTTCTTTAACTGGACCAGCGGGATGTCGAAAAACACAACGGTTAAGGGTAACTGTGAAACTCCTCGTAAAGTTAGTGGTAGGGATATATCTAAAGTGGGTAAATCTGAGTTTGTTTGCTATAAGCCAACTATTACTTCTATGACTGATAACCTCACAGTCAGTGCTGGTAGTAATGTAACAGTGTTCTGTGCAGCAGAAGGTGACCCTCTTCCCATTATAATGTGGAAAGCAAGTAAACTTGGTGTTACTAAAGTAATTGGGCCACCATCGGATGACTCTTTGTTGTCTAATGATGGCAGCCTTACTCTCACAAACTTCAGCCGACCTTATGAAGGGAATTATACATGTTCTGCCCTTAGCCCTCTCACCACCGGAAGTCTTGCTGTAAGAACAATTACTATAAAAATTGGACCCAATTCCACGCCCAGTCCATGGAAAGTGACGTATGGTCAGTTTGTTGGCAGTGTCGTTGGTGCAGTCCTTGGTACATTTGCTTGCACTGTTATTGTGTTTCTTATCGTTGGATACTGTAGGGCTAAGAAAACAGCAGGGTATCAACAAACAATTTAAACCAATAAACGGTGGTATATTCTTCTACCCAGTGTTTTTGTGAAGGGCTGTTGGGCATCGGCGTCTGTAACATATGGTTACTCTTTTGAAATTGCAACTGTGAAGTAATATTTTTTATTCTTTAGTTTATTTGTAAATGCCCTTCTTAGATGACTTAATCAGATGTTGGAGAGAAGCATATATTGTAGTCATTTAAAGAGTTCATATATCCAATTCACCATTTTAAAACTTAATATATCTCTTTGCAAAATAATGTACAGTGACATTAAATTCATGGATTCTCAATCTGTTTACATGTGTATGCCGTTGCATTAACTTATGTGAGGCTAAGTAAGGCCAGTGCTCAGTGACTTAAAAGAGTTCGGACTTAAATACTCTTAGTACGAGTGTAATATTGTGCATTGTTTTAATGGGAAAATCATGCCTACATTCATATGTTGTTTTTTGTAAATATGTATGTATATAGTGTTCTTAGCCGAATTCAGAGAATAATCACTTGAAGAACCAAATATATGGTATGATATGGTCCATGGACTCCGAATATATTATTATTATTAGCTCATGTATTCAAGGCTCGTGATTGTTATGAAAAACTGTGACATTTTGTAACACGATACACCCCCTACAACCTAGAGTGTGACATCTGAATGATGAGTAGACTGAGATGATTAGAGAACATTAAAGTTGTACATATTCTAGAAATATCTAAGAGTCGCAGTGTAGGATCAAAGTATTATTTAGTTTGCTGCACAAAGTAGATAACATTTACTATTGTCAGTAGTATGTTTGCTTGATCTCTGATATGTCATCAACAAGGCCAATCCCTACTCATGAACAGATGAAACACCGCGTTGGTTATGTTCTAGGATTAAGAAGCTCTTCTTCATTCTAGATTATGTCAAGATTCATTGAGAAAAAGCAGGCCAGGATTTTGCTCGGTTACATCCGGACAAATCCCAGACTTCGCCTTTATAGACCAATCAGAAGCATCGTTTAACTTTGAAGTTAATATAAGTTTGAAGTCTACAAAATATTTTGTGTAACAGTATGCCATGGATCTCTATGAGGATAGAAGTCCAGGGATATACAAAGAGTAGAATTAACAATTTTTAGCCTAATTTGTAGAAACCAACACACCACACAATATTGTATATATACACTGTGATATACCAAATTAAAGAATAGCAGAGCATTGTGATCAAGATTTTAGAATGGTGTAAATACAAAGTCTGATTATATTGGTGATTGATTCAAGTGTTCATTGTAAACAAAATCCGATTTATGATTGTGTAAATATTATAAAATCTGAAACTATTCACTCACTGTATTGAACGCCGTACATATTTTGTAATGCAACTGTCTTTATAATACGTTTTCATAATAAATTATGTTTACTTGTAAACAATGACATTTGACTGTTAATATGAATACAAATGTGTCTTTAATGATTCAAGAATATGATTAGCATAGTAGTTGAGAAATGAGAAATAAATATGCGCAACTAAAACATTTTATTTTTAAGGTCTACTCCGGTTGTATAAGTTGAATTTGAGGATCCACCGCAAACATGTCGATAATTTCCAACCATTTTCAAGAATGTATATACTTTTAACATCACTTATTGCTTATAAAAATGTTGGTGTGTTGCAAACGTTGCAAAAATTACTGTTATCAGTTATTGTTATCAGCTTGTTCAGACTTTATGTGATACTTGACTACTTGTAAATGAATCAGTTGAACAAGAAACTTTGCCCTTCCTCGAACTTTTAAGTGTATGTGTACTTGAAATTGTAATTTTAAAACAGTTACTACTTGCCAGTTTGTCACTTCGTTAGAAATCAACTAAACGACAATTTATTCTTTACAGAGGTGAACATGATTGATTTATCACTATCCCAACGAACGATGATTGGGTGGGATATTATAGTGAAGCCCTCCGTCATTCCGGAAAATAACTTGAATACTAATGGACGGATTTTCTTCATTTTTAATGGAAAGGTGGATATTGGTAAATAGTTTTACGCAAAAAACTTTTTCAAGATGGTCGGCGCTTTGAAAATGGCGGTATTTTTCAAAAATCTAAGATTTTCATTTCTAACCAAAGTAATGAGTTTGAATATATTGAATTTTGGTCTATCTGACATATATTCCTCAGATACTATAGGCGGGGTGTCGAGAGGGGTTCAAGCAACAGGAATTTTGGTTATAATTTTGAGATCTTTCTTAATTATAGCTATATTAAACTCAAATGAATGGTAATCTATGGTACATTGCAAATATTGTATCATTCTGATTCGTGCCTCAGAAAAATCAAAATGGCTACCTAAAGCATGAATTCGCTATAATTCAGAGATCTCTCTCAAAATTAGGTTACATTTTAGGCCTACTACATTAGATCAGATGCTTAAAATGCTTAAATTGGTCTACTCTGATTTACCTCCAGTATCTGTATTTTATTATCAGCAACTTATCAGGTGCAGAGTACATATTTAGCTATATTTTATTGTGACATTTAGATTCATGAATATTTTGTTTGTTGGGACTTGCTTCTCCGTGGATTTGCCGTTTTCTAGTTCTATGCTGTAGATCTTTTCAAACTCATCTGCGTTGGGATCATGATGTTGCATTGATTATCATCCATGTTCACCATTGTACAGGAAGGTTCTCATTTCTAAATAGCATCGATTACCCAAATGCAGTTTGCATGCAGATAGTGGGTGACATCTATTAGTAGCATAAGATAATTTGGGACCTCAAAGTTTTGAATGCTGATTTTTCAAAAATTGTTTCTTTAGAACTCTTCTTAGAATCTTTCCTGTAGCATTCTTTGGTAACTCTTCCACGAACTGTATTCCTCCTCTGAGTTGTTTATATGGTGCCACTTGGTCTGAAATTGCAGTAATTATTTTTATTTAGTTTTCAATTGGGGAAAAAATAAAAGGCACGGTTCGCCTGGGTTAGAACTGTAGAAAAGCTGGAAATAGCCTATTAAAATAACCATCCCATGCATAACAGGGGCGGATCCGGTAACCAACAAGGGGGAGGGGCGCATATTTAAAGTATGCTAAAAAAATTTGGCCCCTAAAACCAATAAGTTTCTTGATAATTTGGCCTAAAATTAAAAAATAAGGCCTTTAAAGGCCCATTTATGCCCAAAAGGCCCATTAATCGGGCCCCTAAAAGTTGCCCTATTTATTTTTCTGCCCCCAGATCCACCAGTTCATAAAAAATATATAGCATACGTTGCAATTGCAATACTACACCTAAAGTATCCAAAAACTATATATCTTCTCACCTTTGGTATGTTGAATGAGATCCTCTCCAGTCACATTTCCTTTGGCTTGCTTCATTAGTACAACATACGCCCTGGGAAGCTCTCCTGCAAGTGTATCAGGGATGCCGATCACAGCGGCCTCGGACACTCCTGGGTAACCTTGAAGAACTCTCTCTAGCTCAGCAGGCGCAACTTGATAACCCTTGTACTTTATGAGTTCTTTTAGTCTGTCCACAATATAGAAGTGACCATCATTGTCATAGTACCCTATATCACCTGGAAATGTGATAGTTCATGTTGTTATTTCTGGTCAAATGTATCCTCAGCAATTTTTTTTCAAGGATGCGTACGCTTTGTCTAAGAGAGATAATCTACTATTTCATTGACACAGACAATCACATGTTCCGGAAGGGCCTGCTACCTGTATGGAACCATTTCTCTTTGTCTATGGTAGCATCTGTGGCTGCTTGGTTGTTGAGATATCCTTTCATCACTTGGGGGCCCCTCATACATATCTCACCTTCTTCACCCATACCAAGGCTTTTCCCCGTCTCGGGATTTACTATCTAATCAGAATACATATGGCGTATCAGGGAAAGCAGCGTAGCTTTGTTTTGTTGAGGCATGTTAAAGAAAAAATGTATGTTCATCAAAAAATTAAATTTTGGGTGAGGTTTATTTTCGTTCTCCTTATGAAAAGGTAAAGGCATATCTGAATAGATTCGTGCTCTCTAAATTAACAAACGAGGGTTAAGTAAAACACATTTCTTTCTCAAAATCCTAGAATCACTATTAGGTCACTGTTTAAATACCTTGCATTCAGATGATGGTACAAGGATGCCTATCGAGTTTGATTTCCAGTTTCTAGCTGGTGATATATGGCACAGTGGTACTTCTGTAAGACCGTAGCCTGAAATCAGAGTTTTTGCAATTTTGACAATATAGGACAAATGCGGCCAGTATTAGTCAAACCACCTCGTGACTAGTGCCATGGTTAAGAAATGATACCATTACAAAGCTTAAACATGTGAGACAGTCAATTCAAGACGATTTTTAATCCGTTTGCATCCTATTATTTTGATTCGATTTGGATTGTATTTTCCGAAAGTACCTCCGTGAACTTAGCCAATGTAATTCGGCGTCGAGTTGATTTTGACACCAACCATTACCTTTGACTCGTACTTGAATAGTTGTACCTTGTTCATTAAACGGCTGAATAGTTATATTAGTTGTACCTTGTTTAAACGGTGGAGATTTCATTTTCCTGGTAAGACTTTTTCCAGCATTCAGGTTCAATGGACCGGCTCCACTTCCCATTCCTTTAACACTTGAGAGATCATATTTACTCAAATCGGGTACATTAGAGAGAGCCACAGCAATAGTAGGGACCATGTTCAACATTGTTACCTTAAATCAGACATAAACTGTCCTAATCTTTTTTTAATATTATTCGAAACAATAATTATAAAATACAAATAATTACTCTCGTAATCTCGTAATTGATTAGTGAGACAAAATTTACGACGCAATTTGTAACAATGTTATTTCATATCATCATTGGATCTGTCAAAGAGTATCTTTTATATTTGTGAACTTGACAAAGAACACCCCCCTCTTACTCTTGCTGTATACGTGCAACAAATACACTACCCTATATTTTTGCACTGTTTCTAAGTACAATTCAGGAGAGAATCTATACATTGTCAGAATCTTCCAACCTCTTGTGAGACCATGGCTTAGGAAATATGTAAACCCGTATATATGAAAAAATGGTATAGCTGCTATGACGCAATGCTTGAACGAACCTGTCTTGGGAGCAAGCCCTGGATGTCTGGAAATGAAAGATTTGTAGCCCTAATGCATGTGTTCATATTGTATTGTACTTTATGATACATCCCCTTAAATGTAATATACATTTTAAGTAATCCTTTGTCACGTGATTGTTTAGTTTGTTAGATTTTTTGTAGATTTGTTTGTTAGATTGTGTTACATACACATCCTTCACTATTATGCTTGTAACTCTAAAACAGGTTTTAGAAAAACACATCGAATGCTATTACTCTTCTCTTGTCTCAAATGCAGTAATAGGTATGTAACACGGCGACAACCCGAGGGCGACAACGGAGCAGATCAGAACAGACTGTACTATTTCTCTGGATAAAACTCTAATCACGGGCTGGCAGGGGATCCGATGTAAATGAGAATAGCCAATTTTATAGTCTTCGTGAGACACGGTAATTTGAAAACTACTTAGTTTACATATGGTAAATATATGCGTCATTGTTGTGTTTGTTCAACGCGGTTTGAATAACTTAATTTGGCTGAATATGAAACTTACTTCTCAAATTAATAAAATACTATGGTAAACACTGGTGAAATGTTTCGATTTATAAGATGACAACTATTCCCGAGCAACTATACTATGGAAATGGACTAAGAGAATATTGAGTATACATCTTAAAATATTAAAAACTCTGGAACATTACAATGATTTCCTAAGAACATTAATTTGTGAAAATACTTACATATGACTAAGTTACATCCAAAAATTCTTTGAAAGTCACTTTCAGAGGAATACTTTTTTTTATATTCCAATGTTAAAACTTCAAAACAATGAAGCTCATACATCTATTTGGTTTACTAATAGCAAGATATATAGTATAGCAAGATTCAAGGACATTTATATATCATGCTTTATTAACAGCTTGTAAATAGACGAAAACACGGGACAAGTTTCTATCCCCTGTTTATGCTTCTTTGCAAATACTGATAACAAAGTTCTGGTACCAGGAATGTGTCAAATTAATCAACCTAGATGGTGTTTGAAAACCAGATGTTTTTTAAGTTTCCGTGACCTTAAATAATTAATATTACCAGTGAAGTTGGATCAACCATGTATATTTTCCATTTTGAGGGGCCATCTCAAACTTTTAAAAAAAGAAGGACGTTTCATATTGTTCTTAGAAATATATATTACAATGAATGTCATGACGACTCTTGTCAACTACGTGGCATTTTACATTGACTGATGAGCAAAGTTGATATATTGTTGAACTCGTGTGGCTTGCTTTATTTACCGAAGTGTAACTAATATTTAAGAAAACAAAGAAGCATTGTCCAGTAAACAATATCGAGCCATTGGACTGACGAATTCATAAGTTATCAATACTAGTATTTCTATTTTGTTATTGAAAATAATTTTGTTATCTTTATTGGACAGAATATGGTCAACTTCGTGTTATTGATTAGGTTTTTTGAAATTGTATGTAATGTTTATTTAATATTTAATAGAACATTATTATCATACCCTCTTTGTTCAGTTGTAGCTATCATATTGTGATGTGTCAACATACAGCCCTTAGCTACTCCCGTAGTACCACTGGAATAAAACAGGAACGCAGTGTCTTGCTTAGGGTTGGACAATAAACTTCTAGGACACATATCTCCACTGTCGTTGCTGAGTGAGCTGTATGGTAAACAACCTGATGGTACATTTTGGTCTATTACAAATACATGCTGGAAAAATAAAGACAAATGATTTACTAGATACTAATGATTTGGATCCATAAAAATATAAAGAGCATTCATCTTTGATTGTTATAATCATTCCTGAATGGCGGGGAAGGGGTGTTAGCATTGTTCTTTATGCGTTCGATCATAAATTGGGATATTGAGGTTACTTCTTGCTTTGTTTAGAATATTCCTTGGTCTTTTTTCCTTTTGAAACTGTGTTTATAGCTAATCAAGGTTATTATTACAAGATTAAACAATAAAGTTTACCTTGACTGATGCGACACCTATCGCTGCTTCTTGGATCTTGTTGATGAAGTCATTTGTTGTAATGACAATAGTTGTACCAGAATCCTTCAGTTGATGCTGTAACTCTCCTTTAAAATATTAGTGGTCAGTAATTTGTGTTGATTGTTCTTATAATGTGTTTCGGTGCATCTAATTCTAGACTCATAGACATGGAGGGTGGCAGGTTCAGTTTTTAAAAAATCCAAGGGGTTCTATGTTGACAAAATCACTTGAAAAGTCCTAAAAACGTTAAATACTGCATGCTTTTGTAGAATTATTGACCGGGGAGGGGGGCAATTGAACCTCTGACCCCCTGGGCTACGGGCCTGGCTACCCATTTACTCATTTTGTTGATGTTGCCACGTAGTATAAATTTGGTAAAGTGTGTGTGATCATATAAACCTAAATTTCTTGTTTTCAGCTGCTTAGGCCAGGCTTTAAACACCATATTAGCAATTAGTTATTTAATTTGCAGTTGAACATTGATGACAAATCTGATTGGATTCTCCCAAACAATTAAATTAGATGGACGCCATCCAGTTTTGTAATTATTTGATAAAAATATCGTCGAGGTAAACCAATGTAACAATTGTGCATTTGATGATTGTCTCATAATTATTTCTAGGTATACTCTGTATTACACAAATCTAGGGGATAATTGTGTAGCCCCCAAAGTCCAATTGATGAGCGTTCTGTGCTTAAATTCATCCTCACCAGTTGACCTCCAGTAAACCCTTTCGTTTCTTCCATGCCTTAAGCAAATGTGTGTCGGAGAGAGCATTGTTTTATTTATTTCTATTCTTAGCGTCATTTTTGTGAGCTATGACAAAGAATTATGCAAGTCCTCAAAGGATTAGATAAACATATTTAGTTTGTTTACAATATATACGTGACTAGGTAAGACAAATTCAATGTGTTCCTACCTTTAGTATAAATAGGATTTACAAATGTAACTACTCCTCCGCATCGTAGTACACCATAAGTAATGAGAGGGTACTCTATGTTGTTCCTACATGCGATACACAGTACATCCCCTTGTTTGAACCCATGCCGCACCAAGCCACTGGCAATGGATCGTGTAAATGTTCGTATATCTGAATACCTGTATCCTTCACCAGACTTTGAATCTGCCTAGAGTTATAACATGTAAATCAGCACCGCTGACACCAATTTATAAATTCAGTGTTTTATCATATGTAGGATATCCGGGGAAGAATACTGTATTAAGACTGTTAAATATTATTCTTGTGATCATGATTGGTTGAGATGTTGTGTTTTCTATGTCTCTGGTGTGTCATTTATATGGATGTCCTTTCTTACTGTGTTTTATAGTGCTTGAGGTTTTCCACTTTTAGCCATTGTGCTATGCTATGTTTACTGAGAGGCGATATAAAGACTATAAAAGGTTTTACTTGCCAATGCAGTTGCTTCCCCATATTCATCTAGCTGGTCCAGAATGTAGTCCTCAAACCTCTTTTCTGGGATAAACACATCAGACAAAGGACTTTTAATAATCTTCTCTAACATTGTGTTCGTCTTTTGTTATTGTAAAATGGATTGGCATTTGTATTGTATTGTTATGTTGTATAAATAAACTATAATGCTCCACAATAGTTGGAATATGTATCAAGGTCAAAGGTATGGATTCGTTCCAGATAAGAGATATTGATTTGTAATTGTACAGGGTATTTAAACGTTGTCAACCTTGATCTAATAAGGTACTCGTGCTGATTGTATTATTAGACTCAACTCTGTATAGTTGAGAGTTTTAGAATTGAAGTAAACTACCCAAAAGGCATACCAGTGAGCCCTGGTGGGGAGGTTGGAAAAAAGTTTCAACAATATTTGATTGCGTGTCCCCGTAGGGACGTTCAGAAATTGCGCATGCCGGCCATATTTCAGGCCGTCAGCGCGGGGTATTGGGTAAAGTTTTCAACTAGCAATAACCACGCCTCGGATAAACCTCATTGGCTATGGTACCGCCACTGCGCAAAGCTGACGTCACAATGGCAACTTCGATATATATAAATCATTGTATAGAAAATAATCTGGCTAAATTTATTTGCATATTTTTTATATTTATTAGGTTTAATTCTCAAAAGTAATATTTATTTTTACTTTTTCCTCTAAAATACACCTTTTCTTTATTTTAGCATTATTTAATTAAAACGTTTATTAAGAAATATACTCCAAATCATTAAATATTTGTATAAACAGTATACTGCCCTTTATTTAACCATTGCTCCGACTATGGTTTATACGTTGTTTATATACAATGGCCTATTTCAACATCAATCACTGCTGCCACCTTAATATAATAGTATAATTTAACACATGCAACACGTGCTGCCATCTTAATTTGAACCAAACAGTTTTATCAATAGCCTAGCCTAAATGTTCTTTTCAATAAAAACTGCATTAAATGTTTTATTGGTCATGTTCATTTTGAATATAAGTTAGTACTCTCATTTCCAGTTTGACTTCCACTGTCATCATTGGATATTTATCTAGCTGCAAAATAATTTATGAATCTGATAAATAAGATATTATCTTGTCTCGTCTACATTGTGCTAGTTTCTATTTAGTCTCCGAAATGCTAATTCTTATGTAAAGTTAAGAGAAACTGGGGAGTCAAACAATAGTTTGCGGCACTTTAAAGGCTACTAATGAGCTTGACTGGCTAGTTTCTATTTAACTTTACATAAGAATTAGCATTTCGTAGATAAGACTATAGTGTAGACTAGACAAGATGGTTATCGGATTTAAGATTTGTTAGTTTTGCGAATGTATCAAATGTCCAATGATGCCTGTTTTTAGAAAGTCAGTGGTGAGCGTATGTATTAGATTGCACATATTAGATTAAACCAAGACCTGGATGGTGAGTCTAATTCCATGTCATGTATACAGGTGCGGATGATTATAACACGTGCCACTGTATGTTGCGTGATACTAAATTGATGTCATTAATAAGTCATCTATACCTTCAATTAAGAAGTGAAGAAAGCTAATTTCAGTTCCACACATTGTGGAATCTACAGCCTGTTCTATGATACTATCCCTTGTTGTGATTTACAGAAAGTACAAGCTTTAGGCTCTTTAGATAAAGAATGAAAGAGAGACTCTGATAAATCAAAATGAGTTCCACAGGTTTACAGTTTTTTATCCTCCAAATGATTAAGATCTTATAAGTGACGTTTTTTTAATAAATATTTATTACAAATAAACAGTTAACAGTAACATAATATACAAAAAACGGCATGTTTACATGCTTCGTAGTTAATCCCCCGGCAGCCCGGTTAATCCCTATCCAAAGCGAACATAAAGTTAGAAAACCTGATACCATCAAGAACTATGTGTTAAATTCACCAGTACATGGCACACTGACCATTGCTAACTTGAATGCCCAGGATGATACCCTGCAAGCAGAGTGTAGTTATAAACTACGAAGAAGACGGAGCTCTCTTTTTAGAAGTGAAGTCAATGAATGCAAAGGATACTATACTAGGATGAAGAAATGAAGGCTTCTTCGGCTTTCTTTTCTTCCTGCTTACGGATTATCGACATTCATGATGATGGATGAATAGGATGATTTACTTGACCAAAGTTAAAGTTGTCAATCATTTGTAGTCTTTGGTATGAAAAACATAAATTCTGTATCTAGCGTTCCCAGCACCATAGCAACAAATTACATATAAAATATGGCTTGCAACGTAAATAATTCTAAGTTGACACTTACATCAATAGTTGAGGGCTACCAATGTACTAGATAGTAGAATGGTATTAAATTGCGCTCAAGAACACTACTTTTTCTGCATAGTGGTCGTGTGAGTCATCTCACTGAAATGAGCATGAACATAATTTGTGAACTTAATGAAAGGAATCTTATAAATTGGTCCAAGACTTTCTAAGGATGTTTTTTGTCCAGTCTTTTGATATATGGAAATTGAAAGGGCATCGTTAGGCTACTTGAAACTTCTTTCTCACTTCCTGCTATCGATCGATCAATAACATCTAATTTCTTGCTTTTTTATGTTGGGATAGCTGATATTTGTGACTTGACTAAGCTTGTATTCGCGAATGCAAATAACGGCTGTCGGCTACCGGATTAAACTACTATTTTAAGACCATCACTTTTAAATATGAATGGACTAATGACAGGGACTATTCCTATGTAAGTGGATGCCCCATAAAATAGGTTAATCCGGTAGCCGACAGCCGAAAGTTGCATTAGCGAGCTAAGAGCATGGCTGAAGAAATATACCGTTTTAACAATATGCCTCTGACCAAGGATGTCCTTGCTCTGCCTATAATTTTGTTTCTTTGTAATTGTACATAATATGAGGATAACATGCCATCACTGCAAGAATATAATGATGATGGTATTCCAATAATATTGCAGCAGCAAACGACTCTAGTTACATTGTGTATGTGAGGTATATTCTCTTACTGGCAGTTATATGTAATATTGAACACATGTGGCAATGTCGTGCATCAGTATAAAATTGCGTGAAATGCAAAACCATCTCAAAAAATTCTGAACCTATAGATCCACTTAAAACTCAAAAAAGCCTAGTCTTGCTTCAAACCAAGAAACCTGAAGAAAGCTAACGTGGAATGGTTGGTAAAATCAAAATAGTTTTTACAGTGCATATTATGATTAATTATAAATGATGAAGTTAATTGATAAGTTCTCGTATTTCAACGTGCTTGTTTCGTAATATTCGTATTAGGATTTGCTGAAGATGAACTACCAGCAAAAGACAAACTCCTAGCAAATTGTCTATATCTTGCTATACTGGATAACCAGCAATGAAAATTCAAGCGTTGTTGATTATCAAACCAATTACTGGCGTTAGCTGTGGCCAGCAACATCAACACATCTTGTTCGTATTTATCTCCGCACCTGCTGTAATTATCGTAGCACCTCTTGATTGCATCGAATGTTCTATCTTTGTCCAGGTAGGAAGGCTTCTTATGGAGGAATTTGGAAATAATTTGGGCAAGTTTAGCGACTGTGTATGGAGCGTAGCCATATTCATAGTCAGGATCATAATCTACGTATTGTTGGTCCAAAAGTTGAGTACGTTTTTCTTCCAGGTCGTCTTTAGTTTGTTTCAGTTCACGATCAAGACGTTTGTTTTTCAGTTCAGCAAGTTCGAGGTCTTTTTTCATGCGTCGCATTTGCATCTCAAGCGTGGCGACCCTGCAAGCAAGCTCAGTTACCTCTGAGGAGTTAGCCCCGTTCGGTATTATGCTTTGTGGCTTCTCTCCAGGTAGATCTTCGTCAACAGCGGCCTGTATACTAGCACATCCCATCTGATGAGCGGCTAACTCAAATCGATTTACCGTCACGCCACATCCTGCACAATCAACTGGAACGAAACTACACGTTTCCAGGTGTGCTTTCATCCTCTCCAAATGCACTACGGCCTTACAGCCTCTGTCAGAATGATCACATTCGATATTTAATCCATTGATAAAGTTTCGAATTGAGTGAATAGGTCGGATATCATTTGAGCCTGTCTCTGTTCGGCATTCCGGACAGGTTGAGATCACTCCCGGTCGGGTGAGCCACGTCTGTAGACATCGTATGCAGAATGAATGACCGCACGGTGTGAGCACTGCGTCCTCTAAGACAGCACTGCAGATACCACACAACAGGTTCTGGTCTATTGCACTGGGGAATCGATGCACTCCGAACCCCATTGTTATTTTACAAAGAGTTTTTACTGTGTGAATTTACTGTGCTTTTAACTTGGCCTTTATCGTGTTCCTTTGAAATGTTCGATTGCGATCACTATTTTACATATACACTTCCGTCTCAGTCTAACCTAAGTCACTTAAAAGATGAGTTTTAATCCATCTGTACATATGTTTAATGACGAAACATATCTGCGTGTTAAACTAGTATTGCTTATTACAATTTTCAGTGGCACTTTTCAAATAAAAACACAATCCGTGTGTCAATAGTCAATATTATACACCGCCTCCTACTATCTCACCGCACACTTTTGAATTTATCCTTGAGAAGATAATTAAACGAAAAACCTGATAAAGATTGCTCTCGTTACAACTGTGCACAGCAACTTACTATTTTTATTTTTTACTGTACAAGGTTAAAAATAAATTGGAAACTTAAAGTACGAGGGTTGTCCTAAAATATGAACGAATGATAAATAAATGTTCTGCACAAACAACTGTGTCTCCTGAGTAAAGGGTTGACGTGAGAGTGCATCTAAGTCATTATATGAGCAGATGAGTGCACCCTTGAGTATTCAACCGTCCAAGTCCAACTGGTATTGCAATTGCAGCTTTCCAATTCACTATTACAATGTGTCCTGTAGGTCTACATGACAGATATTATATTCCATGCTCTATATTTTGCCACGTTGTGAGAATCCAATGTATCTTTAATACTACCCCTAAAATTATGTTCGATTGTATCACTTATTACTTATTATCTGCCAGCTGTTCGCGGAGGCTATGCTCTATTATACATCGATGCACGATCTCATCTGGCAATGAGCCTTTTAAATGTAGCGGATGAACAACCATCGATACTAATCCAATATTTATATTGGAATTCTTTTGCTTAATTAAGAATTTCCCTTCTTGATATCTTTATTTTATGCATTTGCATTGAACGATTTTCAGTCACTTCCTCTAGTTATTTTATTTGATTGATGGATCGCTACTAGGCTAATCGGATTTGACATGATAACTCGGTACACATTCCAAAAACGTTCTACTTAACTGTTTCTTTCTGTATGTTTTCCTTCAATTAACAATATTGATACAATCTATACCCTATCCCGATTACAAGAAGGCTAAAATAAAACCACTTGAGACAGTGAACAAAGCATAGTAACATTTGCTGTTTCCATAACTAACAATTCTGATTAAACACTTCAACATTATTTTCAAACTCAGATCTGTTCAAAAGTACAGCGAAACACCTCTCTAATCCGAAATAACTCAATTTGAAGACTTTTTCATGTTTTCTCTATCCAAAAGTTGTCATCTCAGCTCCCATTGACGCACATGTTAAAAAATGTGAAATGTAAACACCTGCTAATCTGAACACTTGGCTGGTCCTGTGGCGTTTGGATAAATAGGTTTTACTGTGTGTTTAACATTCACCAGTTCATATGTCATATATGCATTGATTTATGGTCCTCTTCTCATGTTATATGTGTTAGTTATATTCACTGATATGTGGTTTAATCAACACATTTCAGACACGATCTCTGGTATGTGATGAACTACCCTGCGTGCAGGGTCTAGTTAAACTACGAGACGAAGCTCTCTTTTAAGAAGTGGAGTCAAACGAATGCAAAGGGTAGTGGTGAACCTGAGACTAACATAAACCTGATGGTCAAAATATGAGATTTTCTTTTCATCCAAGTATTGTAAGAGTTGAAGGCCAACTCCATCTAAGTTTTGAAAAAGTTTTGAAGGCCTACAAATGTAATGTTTGTTTCCTTGTGGACTGCTTTATATTTATCAACTATTTTTGTATCAGTGATTATGTTCTTGCACATTCGATATTTGCAGGCTGTAATCCAATTTGTATTATAGCTTTAATGATGTATTATACCACTAATCACTTACTAGATCATCAAAGTATCTCTTGTAATTACTAAGCTTAGAATGCTACAGGATCTCATATGCATAATCGAGCATTTTCATACATCACACACAAGTCACCATTAGAACATATAGCAGAAGCTGTTTTACTCGTCTCCCTCATATGCTGTATTTACCATTCGAGGCAATACTGAATAGTAGCTTAAAATTGCAATTAAATTGTTATTCAGTTGGGTCATTTGCCAAAGGGTGACATTTGACTGATAAAATTAGGAATCTAATGTTCATTTCTACACCCACCATTCAACTGCTGAAAGGAGATGTTGAATGCTGGAGTAAAAGGCTCATTCATAGTGACAAAAATATCTGGGTTAATTGGTCAGAAATTTCAAGGGAATGACCTAAAAATAAGGACAAAAGTATGATATGTTTGATCGTGTCAAACAAAGTAGAAGGTCTAGTTAATATGATATAAAACTATCCACTTAACTTAATATTTTTTTCAGATAACATAATTTTAGTACCTGTCAAACCTACGAATACCTCATTACACTGTTTAGTTTTGGACAGACAACAACAACAACCGAAATTGCCACCTGGAACTTGGACGTGGGAAACTTAATATTTTGGTTCCATTTCAGATATGTTATCAATCACCAATCATTAGACCCTGATATTATTTGTCTCCGGACTCTTTTACAAAAGTCTGACGGCACAGTTCAAAAATGTCTGAATTGCAGAAGTGATCATCCATGGGGCAGTGATCCCTAATGTTTAGACGGGACAAACGTCTAGTTCCATGACGCTGTGTACCAGTCAGACTGAGAAAAGAAGTACATCGATCTGATTATCGACATCCAAGCATGTTGAACAGTTATAAGGACACACACTTCTAATAGCTAACATCTGAATGTTTCTAACACTTCCAATTACAATATTGTTCACTATTCCCCTGCTTCACCACAGTCGATTCTGCTTTCTGAGCATCTCTATGGCTCTCCAACTTGGCCTAGTAGTAATACGAGCCAGCGCGGAATCTCATTCAGAAATCATTCCCATGCTAGAGATTTACAATCTATCGTTGTATGTACTTGCCAAGCTAGCTACTAGAGTTAAATATTTCTTAGTTGGCCTTCAACCTAATTATACTTTGATGAAATTGGCTTTCAATATTGTTGATCAATACCTGAGATGAAATTGGCCTTCAACATTGATGCAATACTTAGCAATACTTATATGAAGTCGACCGTCAACATTGTTACAAAAGATGGAGTTTGATTTTAACACTTTTACAATACTAAGATGAATTTGGCCTTTAACACTGTTCAATACTTAGATGTTTGCCTTAAACTAATACTAAGATGAAGTTGGCATTTAACACTAGAAAACAGATAAAGTTGGCCTTCATCACTCTTACAATCCTAGGATGAAGTTGGTTTTAAACACTGTTTTAGTATTTAAATGAAAATAATAAAGTTGGCCTTAAACAATTTAACAATACTTAGTTGAAGCTGGCCTTCAAATTGTTGCAATAATTGAAGTTCTTGGATGAAGTTGGCCTTCAGATTGTTACAATACTTTGATGAAGTTGGCGTTCGATGTTGTCATAATGCTTAGTTAAAGTTGACTTTGAACAGTGTTAGGAAACGTGTTTATGTTTAGGTAAAGGTAAAGTTTGCTTTGAACAGTGTTACAACACATAGATGATTGAAGTTGGCCTTCAACACTATTTGAATACTAGATGGAGTTGGTCTTCAACACTATTTGAATACTAGATGAAGTTGGCCTTCAACACTATTTGAATACTCGATGAAGTTGGCTTCAACACTATTTGAATACTAGATGGAGTTGGCCTTCAACACTATTTGGATACTAGATGGAGTTGGCCTTCAACACTATTTCAATACAAGATGAAGTTGGCCTTCAACACTATTTCAATACTAGATGAAGTTGGCCTTCAACACTATTTCAATACAAGATGAAGTTGGCCTTCAACATTATTTCAATACGAGATGAAGTTGGCCTTCAACACTATTTGAATACTCAATGAAGTTGGCTTCAACACTATTTGAATACTAGATGGAGTTGGCCTTCAACACTATTTCAATACTAGATGAAGTTGGCCTTCAACACTATTTCAATACAATATGAAGTTGGCCTTCAACACTATTTGAATACTAGATGGAGTTGGCCTTCAACACTATTTCAATACTAGATGGAGTTGGCCTTCAACACTATTTCAATACAAGATGAAGTTGGCCTTCAACACTATTTCAATACTAGGTGAAGTTGGCCTTCAACACTATTTCAATACTAGGTGGAGTTGGCCTTCAACACTATTTCAATACTAGATGAAGTTGGCCTTCAACACTATTTCAATACAAGATAAATTTGGCCTTCAACACTATTTCAATATTAGATGGAGTTGGCCTTCAACATTTTTTCAATACAAGATGAAGTTGGCCTTCAACACTATTTCAATACAAGATGAATTTGGCCTTCAACACTATTTCAATATTAGATGGAGTTGGCCTTCAACATTTTTTCAATACAAGATGAAGTTGGCCTTCAACACTATTTCAATACAAGATGAAGTTGGCCTTCAACACTATTTCAATACAAGATGAAGTTGGCCTTCAACATTATTTCAATACTAGGTGAAGTTGGCCTTCAACATTATTTCAATACTACATGTATATGGAGTTGGCTTTCAATCCTGTTGCAGAAGTTTAATGAATTTGGCCTTCAAAATTTTTTCAAAACTTAGATGGAGTTGGCCTTCAACTCTTACAATACTTGGATGAAAAGAATCTCATATTTTGGCCTTCCGTTGCAGGGTAAGACAGTATTATTGCACATTACTTCGTTTTAAAAAATGGTGTCTATTTCCATAATATAGCCTAATTAGCCCAAGGGACATGACTGTGAATATAGTATTAGCTAATTATTGGGACCTTCTCTGGAATAACAGCATCAATATTACTTTAATAAAACCATGCTGAGGGGCAATATATCAATTGTAATATTATGTTTGAATTCCCATAGGTCAAAAGTGATAATATTGGGAAAATAATTTCCCTTTCGGTTCTGTTAGTCTGTTATACTCTTAACAGTTAAAGGCAGGAATTTGAATACAAAAATTCTTAGTTATAATATT